GGATGATAAAAGTTGCCCAGCAGCGCAATAATTACTTGGCATCGACAGTTATATTAGAATTAATCTCTTAATTGGTTCTATTAGAATGTTTTCAACACGAGTCATTCAGTTTCACGCGTAAAGAATGGTAAACGTGGTGGTAGGTTATGAGACTGATCAGAAAACTACTCTTTTTTGATACACTTCACTGCTGTCAGAGCTTCCTTTTCACAATCCACAGACAATCTACCAATTCAAAGGAACTTTGTCAGATACGCACTCCTTCTGCTGAACCTTGGCCTTCAGCACGTCTTTAAAGAGTATTACAGAGAATTGTATCAAACAAAGGCCTCTTCTATGAGCGTTAGTCAAGCATTTTATCGAAAACCTCAGCTGTCCCTAAAACAGATTTCAAAGATAGACCTAAGATTGTAACTGACGCCAACAACAGTCAACAAGTCTCTCGCATGTCCTGTGAACCGTGGCCTATGTGTTGAAATAAAGGAGATAAGCTTGGTTTTAATCGGATTTCGTCTAAGAGGACGCAAAGTAAGGTTCATTGGAGTTAACGCTACCCTCCTCAAGCTATTTAACGCGTAATTTTATTCTTAAGGAATTAGCTCCAGTGGAATCTTTTTTTCCTTATCATTGCTCTTTTCGGCCGGAAATAAGTCGTTTGCTAAGGCAATGTAATTATAAGCTGACGGTGAGTGATGTAGAAAAGGGAACAACTTATCTAAATTGTTATCGCTTTATTTTATTGCTTTTTTTTCCCGATACAATTTTGCGCAGCTCTTCTCGATGATAAAGGCTACGTTCCCAGAGTCATCTACATAATCAGCGTTATCTTCTTTGGTTTGGAATGTTCGATTCGTGGGAATAACTTCAGAACAGATGGATAGCTCTGTGATTATGTGACACGTTATATCTGAGGTGGTTGGGTTGAATAAAGGGAAAACGTCGCGTTTATTTTTTGATTTTGTCGTTCTTGCTTCTTTTAAAGCTGGTGAATAATTTTCGGTTTGCACACGAGAAAAGCACTTTCAAAGTGTACTTGAGAATTTCAAGAGGAGATATCAATATAACACTTGAACGCAAATACAATATTACATATTGGATTTAAGATTAGATCAGTGTAGTTATGAAATGAAACTGAATAGGCCTATCGTATGACTATCATGGCAGTTATCAAGAACTATGGTCTTTTATTTAAGTTCTTACTCAAGTCTCTTTATCGACAGACGGAATTCGGGACATCAACTAAGCTACGCCAAGTCTTCTAGGCCACACATGCAAGAACCGTTGAAGAAGTCATGCAATAAAATTAGATTTCAAATTGAGGGCTCAATATTTCTCAACAGTACACACTAAGTTAATGTTGATTTGGTGCAGAAGAGACCGAAATCCTGCCACTAACTAAGCGTGTCTAGTTTCTGATGGTTGAAACGTTTTCAGAGTATAACTATAACTTTGATTCTCTCTTTGTTGGATTCCTTTCAATTGGTTCTTTCCAGCAGATGCTTCATTTGGACAGTTCTATATATATACTATTCCGCAATTATTCGCTTTTTCGCATTTTGCCGTTGATAAAAAGACAACAGCTGAAACGGAGACCAAGAATTTCTAACAGCAAGCGAATTCTCAGAGCCGAAATTACACTAACTGTACATTAGACAGTAAGGACAACTTATTCTTGGAGGCGAGAGCATTGATAGGACGAAACAATTTTATCACGTTTTAAATTAACAGACATCCACGCTCATTGTAATACTGTCTGGCATTTATGTAAAAAAAACAGCAGGTTTAAAATAGAAATATGAAGAACCTTTCATAAGTGTGGATCATACAGTAACACATCGACGCTTGCAACCACGTACAACCTTCATTTTCTTGGCATTTTTATGTTTACCAGACTTTCTTGACTCACTGACTTGCTGTAGCGTGTTGCTGAGCACAACAGCTGCTTCCAGTTCAAAGTCGTTTAGTTTTTTACTGACCGAAAGGAAATCGTTTATGTTGATTTGTGTGGAGCTCAGTTTAACTTTATGTAAGATAATATGCGTTAGAAAAACAATGAAATGTTCTTTTAATGATAGTAAGAACTGAAACATGACATTTCTAAAGCATGATAAACCAAGATCCTTTTTAAACTAAACTAAGGCTAAAATAGGTTCAGTTTTGCTCAGCCGAGAAGAGTCAAGTTTTTGAGCTTTCATCAGTAACATCGGTTGGAGAGAAATTTAAGACACTTTTGACCCATACGTTCTCCAAATTTGTTGCTCGCAAGGAAAAATGTTTGATGATCAATGAAACAGAATGTTTGCGAATGAGAGCCGTCGTTCAGTGAATGATTCTTTTTCGGGTAGATCGTGGACTGGACTCGAGAAAACGGCAGAACCGAACCTGACTGAGTGGGTATGTACATGTAGGAGAGAGCACTAAATTAACTTAGTGTATATGAGACTATAGGTTGGTGTGAAGATCGAAAGTGCAGGCGAAAGATAGTCGATGGCGTTTTAGTTCCCCAACCCTCTGGTTTTTATTTTGCTCATACCACTATTGGCTCGTCTCTAGAAAGCCTTAAACAGGTTAAATTGACCCTGCAGAAGAGAAAGTTATTGTATCTCAGCGTATTGTAATAAAGTAAAGCTAAAGTGAAATTTAAGAAGGAAGAACCTGAGAACTGTTTCGCCTTACTGTTGAACTGCAATATACTTGTTTTTTGCTGACTAGGTAGTTTTCAAACCACACATTCCAAAGCTCTAAGGGCTTTGCCTCCTAGCTTTTGAACATTCATGTCCACGCCGCTTTGTTAGCTGAGAATTAGGTGTCATACCAATGACACCAAACTATACTCTTAGAAAGAGGAGCCTTGAGAAATGTTTTCCGAATTGAACAAACAGAATTAACGCTTCTTAAACTCAATTCATTACTTTTTCGAGACTTTTCCTTTTTGAAGAAAATTTAGCTAATACTCTTGTGAAACCAACTTGATCTTTCTGTGGTATCTTGTCTATCCATTGAACGACCTTTCGCTTAAGTATTGCCATGTTTCTACATTATATAACCATTCTATCCTTCGTTCTGTTATGTTGTGTAAGCTGGACTTTTCAGAAACCACCCACTTCGCGCTGCAAGAAGCACCAGAAAAGAAACTTCGTCTCAGTAATGCTCATCACTTCCTGTCTGTCAGAATAATGATGGCTTAATTGAATCGTCAGACCATCAGCGGTGTCACGGGTCAAATAAAAAAATATTTAAGAATGCAAACATCTTTGCTCGTCCACATGCCACGAACATAGAACAATGAAACTTTTAACCAGGGTCCTTCTCCGATGAAAATCGGAAGAATTTTCTAGCAGTTCCATAGCTATATAGTCATTAATAGATTTCAGAAGTAGACGTTAAAAACAGAAAACTGAATTCGCTATTTAAAGGATGTCGAAATTATATTCGAAACATATCTTTTTTTGTTTTCTAAGTGGTGATGTTGGCGTGAATTCAATCTTCCTCAATAAGGTCAAACATTTGTCGCAAATTTGCGCGTATGATGGATGATGTCTCGGGAGCCGACCTGTCAACGCAAAAGTATTAATTGATTTCACATATGCTCGGGAGGCAGGGTGATTAGAGCCTGAGATCATTAAGTCACAGAATAGAGAAAGTCGAAATGTTTGCATGTACGTGCAGTATTGATCGTGTAATACTAGGAAGTATTTTTTCCAGACTTTGATTCGTTTTGTTAGCAGGTTCTCCTTATTCGTGTAGTCAGACTTAAAATTAGGTTTCTTCCTTACAACTGTTCATTTGATAAACTGGCTAATCATTAAAGCTTAATTCTAAGGGCGCTTACTATTGGTCAGAACTGGCCGATATGGCCGCTCTAGGTCAGTAGACTCCTTAAAAAATTGGGAAATTTTTTCGAAAAAATGCTCATTCAAGGATAACCTGAACAGCATGGAAGGTCAGTTCTGATCAATGCTAAGCCACGAAAAGAAAAAGTAACTTGGAATGAGGGTGATGGGATGAAGTGTTCCGTCATCCAAAGTTATACCCTCCATTTCTCAAGACTCAGCTGCGAATTCTTGGTTTTTACTGTAAAAGCTCCTTGCGCAGATCTCTGGTTGATATTGCACGTTATATGGAACGACTGAGAGGATCAATTTCTGGTATTTAAAGTAACAAAAGATCCAATCTTGATGTGAAGTAAAACAGAAGGCTTTGCACCTTTGCGTCAAGTGATGGGCTGCGCTCAAAATCATTAATTAGAGATATAAAACGCATTTGAATTCAGTTGAATTCCCTTCTAGAAACATCCTTCAAAAGTAGAGAAAAACAGATGAAAAACAAGAGAGTATGACAACGAACAATGTAAATTTCACATGTGGTTCAGATGCTTCCAGTAATTGCCGTCTTTGCGGTCATTTGTAATTTGTTCGGTAGCGGCTTATTCCGATAAGATTATCCTTTTAAAATTATCCACTTTTGTTTTTCAACAAATTTACGACTGGGCAATATGTGTTACCCTTCCGTGGTCCCTTTTTTTGAATAACGAAAATTATCCAGCCGTAGAATCCATTCCTGAAACTTACCTAATCGCGTTCTAAAAACGTACCTCGCGTTCAGGGTCATTGAATACAGTTCCGCAGAAAGTTGGATGTGACCAGCTGTTGAGAGCATTTAATGATAAATCGATCGCTTTTCCTCATCATTGTTGATGCCTATGGAACATTCGTGTTTTTCTCGCAAGCAGATCTCTCAATTTCGACAAGAATATTGCAAATTTATTGCGCTACAATAAAAACCTCATCAGCAAACTGCAGCGTTAACTAAACTTCACGCAAAGGTAATTAACCATCACTTATAAATAATTTAGGCCATTTGTTACAGTGAGACTGAAAGCCAAATCACGAATGCACCAGGCATCTCATCACAGTCAGGATAACATCTGATCCTCAGGCGGCTGTCGCTATCTAGATTTAATTAACCACGTTATCAAGTCTTTGCACACGTATGAATATTGTAACTCTCAGTGCGTTTTACTCGAACTGGGAGGTATTTAGGGATTGTGTTCCACAGCGCGCACAAGATGCACTAACCAGACGGAAGACGAATTACATAGTCACCACCGCAGCTATTAACGGGGATCGAGGATACAAAGCTATTAGTAGTACAAGCTTGTGGTAAACCATGGGAAAGTTTTCCTCCACAATTGCGCCCACGACAGATAAACAACTACCAGCAAGGCGTCGGAAGGGAAGTTCGGACACGCCGTCAGCTAATGCACTTCGCGAGAGGGTCCGAGCGCAGAATATGAAGAGGGCGTACTTAAAACTGCAGAAAACGCTGCCTCAAGTTCCACCTGATACTAAGTTACCGAGGCTCAATATCCTGTTATTGGCGATCGATTACATCTCTCATCTCCGCGATGTGCTGCATAACGGTACGTGTGCAGCTGAAGAAAACCCTTTGCCTCACAAGGTGGAGGATAAATGCGGCATGTTCCGTCCTTTCATTGAGGTAAGAGCGCTTTTTGTAAATGTCACAAGCATCAAAATTCTTCTGAAAGTGTACATTACCTTCCCTTGATCTCGTGTCCACCTTAATTGCGATCAGGGATATGAATGAGCGCTATGCTCGCGAATTTGTTATTCAAGGAAATCATCTCTGTGACAATCTTAAAATGAAGTGCTAAACTCCAATCACAACAGACATGTTTATTTTGCTCCACAAGTCGGGGGTTCGTGTAAACAGTCTACGTTCGTGGTCGGCAACTTTTTATATTGACTGATGTTCTTCGTTGAGTCTAACGATCTTGACTGAAGCGTAAATAACTACTTATGTAAACATTTTGTAGGGCAATCAGCTTTCCGCGGCACTTTCAGGGCTCTCAAAATGAGAAAACCATGAGTAGTACGGCACGCTGCTGTAGAATCTTAACTTTGTTCAAAACTTGTTGGTAAAAGGTAAAAATTGATATTGTTATGACTAAGATGTTTCCCGTTTGACACAGGAGTTTTTTAAGCGATGTTTCCACGCTTTCGTGACGATACAAAGATAGGGGAATGAAGAAGATAAAAAAGCACTTTGGAAAGCACAAAGTTTATTGAACTAATGAGTTTTCATTGTTTTAAGTTATTCAAAACAAGATGATATGAAAAAAGTGTGATAACAGAGCTTTAAGACATTTGGAAAAATCATCGAGAAAGTAGTTTATTTTCGTTTTTTGAGTTTATATTTATGGAGACAAAATCATCTGATAAATGGCTGGCGCTCGACGCTTTCAGTTTTTTACTACAAGCGGTTAACTTTGAAGATCGATCGAACGGAAATTAAGGCTGATTCTCAGATAATTTTCTTTAGCAAACCAGCCAAATAGCCGAATATTTTTACGAAAGTAACAGCAAATCTTAGAATTTGGATTCATGGACATGTGAATTACAGAGAGCGGATAAACAAACTCCTGGCGGCAGAGTATTTGAGAGATGTAGTACATCAGTTTTGACCCTTTTACCGCAATGCTGTCACCCCTTACGCTACCTGGAATGACGAAAAAGGATTTTCCATCGTCACAAAAATATGATATCAAGTAGAAGTGTGATGAGGATGAAGAAAATGTAAATCAGGTGGTATTATTTGATTAAATACCAAATTCTCAAAGCTAAAAATATAAAAAATGTAGGACAGACTGAACGGAGAATTGATGACTAGATCGTGGGATTGAAAAGGTCAAGTAATCAAATATGCTGAAGTGTCCACACGAAACAGCGCCATTATATGACTCGACGAAAATGAACCATCCTTTCTACACTATTAGCTTCATAAGATATATTTCAAGAGAAGTACATCTTAAATACTTGATACCAAGTTGTAACATGTAATACTGTTGTTGCATTAATTTTGATGTCAGCCTCGTCGTAAAAAATGCCTACAGTTATGATAAGGGCAAGGGTGGGGGGAGGGGTGGTGGTGGTTGGTACGGACCTCAGACCCTCCCCTCCTCCCCTTGGATCCGACTCTGCATGCTGAGAAGAAAGAGTGTTAAACAGTAAAGCGGAGAGGGATTCGTGGCATGGGGATAAGGGATAAAAGCTTTATTTTCCTATTCCTTTGTTCTTCGTCTGGTATGATGAACAAGAGAAACGAGGAACCAATTATTTTTCTCTCTACGAACACATTTAGATATGCAGTGCTCCTTTGCTCAGAAAATAGTCTCATCTCGAAGTTGTTAATGTCAGGAACATGGCGCTGACTTTCATTGGGACGGGTTGCGGGCAAGGTGTCCTGTACTGTCTTCCGTCACCACAAGAAACGACTCACTGAAATAATGGAGGGCTTCCGATCGGGGAACAGAGAGCCACAATCAGGGCTTGGGCGAAGATATGTCCATTGCCATTTTTTAATTGTCATTTTTTCACGTTAAAGAAAGTCCTCTCCCTCAGACGTTCGCTTAGTGAATGTTCACTCATATCAAACCAAAACAAAACAAAACAAAAAACATTTCCTTTCCTTTCTGCATCGACAAAATTATCTCCACGCTGCAGCTTGTTATATTTTTTCACTCAGAAGAACTGATCCATGTCATCCTTGCAAAACGTTTCGGTGAAAAGACTTCTTAATTTCTTCAAGGCTATTTATGGGATCCTGAACCAACTCCTGTGCACCCTTATTTTTCTCTTGGAATTGTCGACCTAGGAAACGAGAAGCCCCATTTGAGTGACGTTAAGCGGACTTTCATGGAGGAGGAGAATAAAGTTAGTCAGTACTCTGCTTTTTCCATCAAGACCAACGAGAGAAGTGTGAGATGAGCGTGCGGACTCGCTTGAAGTCACGGGGCCAAAGGGAGATTTTCGTTTGCTTGGTTTTCCTGTCCGCCTTTACTTTACTCTTGGTCAACTCAAGGGAAATGGAAAGACAGCCCCCCCTCCCCCTACATAGGCTGTGGGCTTGTCACGTTTTCTGACTAATTTTCCTTGCTGGCTTTCAAATTCATGTAATCTAACTGGACCTTTAATTTTGTTCATCTCTTTCAGAAATGGCCAATCAGATGCCAGCTGCTGTCAGAGTTTTTGAGACCTCAACTTGACGAAACACAAACAAAACAACAAATTACACTCAAAGAGAAGTGAACTGACTGAAATATGGTTTTGCGTTGTAGCAAAGTTCCCCCTTCGACAAAATTATTGGTCGTTTTAAGTTATTCTTGAGCGAGAGCTTTGGCGCAGCTGTTTTCCACGTTTATGACCCAAGCCTTTTATCTGAATATGAAAGCCGAATAAGCGGTCTGTTTTGTTTTGTTCTACCAACTCAACGTAAGATTGGATTTTTTCTACTGTCCAAACAACTGAGGTAAATGGCGCAAATGATTTTATTGTTTTTTTTATTTTTTTCAAAAAAACGTTTTCAATTCAAAAATACGGTTTGATATTAAGAGCGGTGTTCAAAGTTATGCGACCTCAGAATTTCTCCCGACAGTAATCCAGTCGTTTGTTGACGAGAATCATTGGAACATTCACGTGAAATAGTCGCCTAATAATCGCTCGGATAGTATCTCTCAGTCAAACATAAAAACTCGACTCTTGTCCCTTCTCAGTTTCCTCTGTGAAATATAGGGCGGGTTTACGGTCACCTGTAAGTATAAATTTCTCCAAAAAAACGATGTCTTTTTGCCTCCTTTGCCGGGGTCATGAAAGAGAGTACGCGTAACTTTGAAAACCAGTAATATTCACACAAAAAATTATGGGTCAGTTTTTCAAGTAATCGAAAGTAGATACTTATCGTGCATAAATCTGCCGAGCATCGTTAACGTCAAACAGTTTTAAATTATTATGTACTAAATCTAGGTCGTCCTTGTTAACGTAGAGCGCATCGCGGGCTTAGTCGTTAACCCTTTAGCTCCCAAGATCTCATTAGTAATTCTCCTTACTGTCTGCCAAACGATTCTCATTATGTTATTTGGGAGAATTTGGTATCGGATCAATTAGCAATCCCATAATTGAAATTTTTCGAATTCTCATCACTTGTCTGCATGATATTGTATGGATATAGTAAGGAGAAATTCTGTCTTGGTCGCTAACGGGACTTAAAGGGTTAGTTTTAAGTTATCCTTACAGCATTAAGAAATTCCAAGTACATGAAATGTGCCACAATTTTAAAAAAGATCAAACAAGAGCATATCAGGCAATTATTATGAGTAAGTAAGGCATTTCAAAGATAAAGGAAAAATTCGTAAAGCCACTTACGTGAAGAGCTGAAACGACACCTCTCTTTCTCTTAATTTTATTCCCAGGGCTCCTCATACATCCAGAAAGAGAGCGGTCTGAGTACGAACTACATAGGTTGCAATTTCTTTCAGCCAGTTAAATCATAACTAAAATACGTATCTGGTTTATTCCTGTTTTAATTTTTTTTAAAGTTTTTTTCTTAGTTTTCTCATTTTATAGCCAGCTTGTAAATAGTCTGGAGTGTCTTTGTATACCCGTTTTTTCACTTCATTACATAAGAGAAGGTTCTCTTCCACTTTTTGGCCCTTTTCCAACACTCTCAAATTCAGGACGTGCATCAGAACGCTGCTAAATTTGAACATTATTGAATCAAACAACAAGGTTTTTGAAGTTGTGTCATTTTAATAACAAAACTCTTTTTCCATAAAATATTTGTACACTTGTTCCTTGAAGTATGTACTCCACTTGTTACATATGATCTCAAAATTTAACCTTTCACAAGCCGTTTTTTTTTTTGTTTGATTTCTTTTTTTAATCTTTCTTTGTTTTTCCGATGATTCATTCCTTTCCCCATTTTATCATAAGCTTATAATAAATCTTGAGTTCACTTCATCGCATTAGCAAATGTTGTCTTCCAGTTATTGAAAAGTTTTACTTTTTGCTTCCGGCTCCCAACCTCGTTTCCATGGCCTTTTCCCTAACTTGGGGGTGGGGTGCCCCACCCCCAAGTAAGGGAAAAGGCCATGGAAACGAGGTTGTCCGGCTCCTAATTTCAAGAACGCCGTTGAATTTGAACATAAATGAATCAAACAACGAAGTTTTGTTAAAATGTCATTTCAAGGTCAAAACACTTCTCCCACAAAATCTTTGTTTACTTCTTTCTTGCAGCACGTGCTTCACTTGTTTCATATGATCTTAAAATTTTCTCTCCATTCATGGCAAGTTCCCCGCAGCTCAGTGGGTAGAGCATTGTACCGCGAAAGCGGTCCCAGTCAGGATGGAGATCCTGTTCCGGGGAACTTGCCGTTTTTTTCATTGCTTTTTTTTTTTTTTTTTTTTCTCGAAGATTCGTTTCTTTCCTTATTTTATATCAAGATATGAAATAATGTGGAGTGTCTTTGTATACTCGCCTTTTTTACTTCAATAAATTAGAGAAGACTTCGTTCCACTTATTGACAAGGTTACCTTTTCCTAAACTCTTAAATTCAGGATACGCAGAGGAACGCTGCTAAATTTGAACATTTTTAAATCGAACAACAAAGTTTTTGTTTGTTTTAGAATCTTTGTTCCCTTGTTCCTTGCAGTATGAACTGAACTTGTTACATATAATCTTAAAATTTTCTCGCCATTAATGGCAAGTTCCCCGCAGCTCAGTGGGTAGAGCATTGTACCGCGAAAGCGGTCCCAGTCAGGATGGAGATCCTGTTCCGGGGAACTTGCCGTTTTTATTTTGTTTGATTTCTCTTTGAATCTTTCTTTTTTTCCCGACGGTTTCTTTCTTTCTCCATTTAAATAGTAAGCTTATAAATAGTCTGGAGTGTATCTTTGTACTCGTCTTTCACTTTATAACATTTGCCAAGTTTTAGCTTTTCCTACAATCTTAAATTTAGGAAATGCATCGAAACGCTGCTTATTTTTGACATTATGAAATAAAACTCAAAGGTTTGTTAAAAAAGTCATTTTAGATTCAAACACACAATTTTCCTCATAATCTCTGTGTTACGGGCTCCACTCGTTACATATAATCTTAAAATTTGTTCTCCATTTATGGCAAGTTCCCCGCAGCTCAGTGGGTAGAGCATTGTACCGCGAAAGCGGTCCCAGTCAGGATGGAGATCCTGTTCCGGGGAACTTGCCGTTTTTTTTTTTTTGTTTAATTTCTTATTTACAATGTTTCGTTCCTTTTCCCATTTTTGCCAACATAACATGTATGTGTTATCTGGGTCGTCTTTCTACGCTCGTCTTCTGCACTTTATAACATTGGTTAAGGTTTTCTTCCTCTTATTGGCCAAGCTTTGCCTTTTTCTTCACTCTAAGAATTTAGGACATGCACCGGTACGCTGTTGAATTTGAACGTTATTAAATCAGACAGCAGGGTTTTTGCGCTAAAGTCATTTTAAATCAAAAAACACAATTTTCCACATAATCTCTGTGCACTTTTTTTGGTATTACATGATCCACCAGTTACATATAATCTTAAAATTTACTCTCCATTCATGGCAAGTTCCCCGCAGCTCAGTGGGTAGAGCATTGTACCGCGAAAGCGGTCCCAGTCAGGATGGAGATCCTGTTCCGGGGAATTTGCCGTTTTATTTTCTTTTTTTTTCTTTTTGTTTGATCTACGATCTTTTTGGGGATGATTCGTTCCTTTTCCCACTTTTTCCAACCTTATGAGTTATCTGGATCGTCTTTGTATGCTAGTCTATTGCAATTTATTACATTGGCGAATGTTTTCTCCCAACTATTGGCCGAGTTTCACCTTTTCCTTCACTTTCACATTCAGGACATGCATCGATCGAAACGCTGTTGCATCAGAACATAATTAAATTAAATAACAAAATTCTCCGTTTTCCACAGAGGTTTGAGCACTTGTTCCTTGCAGTAAGTACTCAAATTGTTACATATAATCTTAAAATTTGCTCTCCATCCATGGCAAGTTCCCCGCAGCTCAGTGGGTAGAGCATTGTACCGCGAAAGCGGTCCCAGTCAGGATGGAGATCCTGTTCCGGGGAACTTGCCGTTTTTATTTTGTTTGATTTCTCTTTTTAATCTTTTTTTTCCGATTATTTGTTTCTTTCTCCATTTTAAGCTTATAAATAGTCTGGAGTATACCTTTGTACTCACCTCTCACTTCATTACATTGGAAAAGGTTTTCTTCCATTTATAGGCAAGTTTTACCTTTTACTGCACTCTTATTTGATGACATGCATCAGAACGCTGCTGAATTTAAACATTAAACAAATAACACAGCAAGGTTTTTGTAACAAAGTCATTTTAGAGTCAAAACACACAATTTTCCACATAATCCCTGTGCACTTTTTCCTGGTGTTCCGTAGAATTCTTGTTATATATAATTTTAAAAGTTCCCCGCAGCTTAGTGGGTAGAGCATTCTACCGCGAAAGCAGTCCCAGTCAGGATGGAAATCTTGTTCCAGGGAACTTGCCGTTTTAATGTTTGATTTATTTTTTACAATTTTTCTGAATTAGCGATGATTCGTTCCTTTTCCCATGTGATATCAATTTTGTAAATAATCTTTAGGCATTTTTTGCTTGATTTATTTGTTAACCTTTTTCTTTTCGATGATTTTTTTTTCCACCAAGCCATTGCTTATAAATATTTTTCTAAGTTTAGTGAACTCCTTAGTTGCGGATGTCATCTTTTTATCGAGTTTATCTTTTTAAATATTTAATTTCAATTTTTTTTTTAAGAACACGAGGGACTGAGATAAAGTAAGAAGAACACGCGTAGTGGAGTAACCAATAGAATTAATTCAGTAGAGGTTTCTGATACGTTCCTTTAGAGCGCGTGGAAACAAGAATCTTGTGCTAATTGTGACGTACTCATCAGTGATTGGTTTATTTCCATCTTCGACATCCACAGCGAATTCTAAATTTCTCTCAAACCAAACAGGTCGTGGACAAGTGAGGACGTGTTATTGTCGGTGAGAGTAGTCTGTACCAAGAACGTGTTTGATATTGGAATGGGACTGAAGCTTAGTGATATTTTAAGGTGGGCATTGCTGTTGTACAGTTTTATTTAATGTCCATTTTAAAGGAGGAAAATGCAAGGTTATTGAACAGGAGCGTTTTCGGTTTACCTATGACTCTGAGCTTTTCTCTCAAATATCGACGCTCATTTCTTTTATGAAGAATACGCTCTTCACTAGTTGAAACTTTTACTATGTTACGCAGTCAAGTGCGTTTGAATTTCTGTCGTAACTGTATCTCTAAAATAACCTTCATTTTGCTACGAGGAATATCGTTTGAGCGTCTTAAATATTCTACCAGCTCGCAATAGTCGTCCTCGCTTGTGCAGCTGTAACTGAAATATGTGTAAAGCTAGGAACTTGTCAACCGACCTAAAATTGTTTTTCTCGTTTTTCTAAAGCGAAAAGAACAAAGAATTCAAGAGGACAAACCGGAATCACTGAATCAAGAGCACACTCCACTAAGATAAGAACTTTATAACGTTATCTTAAAGTTGTAGTGAGGATGGTGGCCGTCTCTGTTTCTAGATTTTCTAAGGAACCTCGATCAATTGAATTTCATGTCGAGGTCAAGATTAACAGGACAGACTTGGTTAAAAAATCTATGGGTGTGAGAAGTGGGAGTGCAGCTCTTCAAAAGACTAGGCCATACGTGACGATGGCAGCCACCAGTTGAGTGATTTTTTTGGGATGGCACTGCATGCGAGACAGATGGTTTTTTGAGGAAAAACTCTGAACTTTAAAAAAAAGCTAAAATCGCCCTTTTTTTATTATCATTCAAACGTTTGCACAGCATGGAATTGTTTTGGTTTTCTAAATTTTTTGTGTTGAAAAATATTCAACTTTCCAACGAGTAGTCTGGTCAAACTTTATCTTTACAATATTCAGTGCCAACTTGAAATATTCACACATTTTCTTCATCAATCTTGCAATCAACAAGAGAACAATGGCAATCAAAAAGTAAAAATTATCCATTTATTTGCCTAAAACAAAAGCTACGTTCCTTCGCTTGCGCTCGGATGACGATACATTGACGCCGCACACAATGACGAACAGAACGCTGACGTTAAGTTCACGAAAAAATTTAAATGTAACAATGACTTTTCTGTACCGTTTACAAAAAAACCAATGAATACCAGCTGACGTATTTCTAGACACATCATCCTACCATCACAAATCACACAAAGATACGACAATTAGGAACTAGCGAGACGAGAACAACTAGTTCGCAAGGCATCATGGACCTAAACGTTCAAAAACAAGTTGAGATATCGTGGTTTTTACAACTGCGACTACTACATCATTCAAATTAGACGCAAATGAAATTTTACTGAACTGAAGCGAACGCTAACTGCACTGGACTGCTACGACAATATTGACCATACTTCTAACAGAGAGCATTCCAACACCATATGGCTGATTCTACATCTTTACAAAGAACATGACGTAGAATGACCAATGTTGTAGACAAAGATGAAACTAGTAACAGACAGCGCGGTTTACTTGAACAAGTGTTTCAACTGCTGGGCTTTCCATAAACTGAAACTAGCTGTAAATATAACACAAGACTAGCACTATTGCCTTGCACATTGCCAAAAATTCAGTCTAAATTCTGAGACATTTTTTAACGACTGACTAGTAGGGGTGATTTGTTTTCAAGCATAGCCCCTACTTTGATGTCAACAGAATACACCCTACAAAAGCATTTATTTTCGACATAAACATAACAAAGGAAACGAACTGAGTGAACAATCACACTAACCAGTCACAACTGACAAACGACGCGGATTTTACACTCGATTCAATCACGGTAACAATGACCAATCAGTCAACGTGTTACAACAAATTTTCACTGTTTACTGTACGATTGTCGAATTGCTGCTTGTTAAAAAAAACTGCGATCTCTTATAAAAAAAAAAAATGGACGAAAAGCCTATACGCCAAAGTTCTCTTGTGGTTTTGCAAGTTCTATGTGTAAAACTCAAATGTCTGGTTCAACTCGAAAGCGCCGTAATACACCATCAAGTCCTACTTGGTCGTGGTTCTAGGAAACGTTGAAAGCAATCACGATTGATCTTTCACATCATAAATTCATCAAAAGGAAATAATTTTTGTCAAATTCAATCGAAAAAAGGTGGAAGCTGCATTCAATTCGGTTTGCAAAAGTTTCAGAAAAAAGGAAATGTTTTATCACGAATTCAGTTCTTGCACGTAATCTACAGCGAACGCATTTGAAAGTTACGAGTATATATCTACCTTTATATTGTTTTTCGAATAAAACGTCGTAAGTTGTTGGAATGTTAAAAATGTAAATTGTCGTCCTACTTTTGAAAACATTTTTTGTAATTTGAACAAACCAAACGTGAATCACCATACAAAAATTGTCGGATACTATCGGCTGTAAGTTTCCTGTTTCTTGGAAATTTCTTGTACAACAAAAGTAAATAGAAATGGTTTTTTTTGTGGTCTGTATAATTTGTTGCAAAACTTCGTCATTGAATGTAAAACTGCGCTCATAATGAGTTTCTTTAATATTATTCCTTGAACCAGGCATTGAGTTTTATTGTCTTAGTTGTAATGTAAAGAGATCTTTATCAGCCAACAATTATTGTAAACACGACTTATAAAATTTTTGAGTTTGAAAGCTGAATTGATGATTTTAATGGTGGAGAATAAAATTTTACTCGACCAAGATCTTGACAAAGTTATTTAAAAAGAAACGTGGGGCCAAGAAAGTATATGACCATCTAAACCCTGGCCACTAAAGAAAAAAAGAACAAAACTCATTTTGGCTGCAAAATTCTGATCCATTTTAGGCGTTTTGTTTGTCCTGTGCCACTGACAAAAACCTAATAAATGGCTGACAAAGATCTTTTTCTCGGCAACATGGCAAGCTTTAGAGTGTTTTGTTTAGCTTGCAATTTTGAGTATTGGTAGCGTAGAAGTATGTTCATATCATCTTGCGCAAAAAATTCTCTTGACCAAAATGGTTCAAAGAAAGAAGAGAAAATTGATCTTTATAACGAAGTAAACTGCAATTGTGTAAAGCTATCTGGAAAGAAAGGCTGTTTGACAATTTTTTGCAATGACATTTTTGCACAAGGTGATATTAACATTTTTTTGGCGGAAAAATTCAAGGGAAGCCATTTTGAATTTTTTGCTGAAAATGTTCCCAGGGGAAACTCTGTGCAAATTCTACAAAATTTTCCCGCCAAAAGTCTTAGTATATATTTGAACAGATTTTTCTCAACATCTTTTTGATAAATCAATGGAAATTAACTTAACTAATTAAAGAGAAAGTTTTAAGACTTGTATTACTGTTTATTGAATGTATGAAAATAAAGATCACAAAAGAAACGAGTGAAAACTGTCGAGTTTATTGACTTTATTTAATAACAACATAGAAATATAAAAGTAATAAGATATGGAGTCTTAAACACACCTTTGATAAAAAAAAAAAAAATCGGCGCATGCGTATTTTGGGCGCCTGTATTTTTTCTAAGTTTTTTGGCGGGAAAATAACGCCATTTTAACCGGATGTTACTTACTCTTCCAAAAAAAAAAAAAAAAAGTCTGGCGCATGCGTATTTTAAGCGCCCCGTATTTTCTAAGTTTTTTGGCGGGAAAATTAAATACATTTTTGAGGGATGTCACCTGAATTCTTAAATGAAAAAAAAAATGGAGGGCAGTTACTAAGCAAATCTTGTCTTGAATTCGAAACACCTGATGCTAACAAGCAGAAAAGATGTTTTAGGTCGATAAGGAAACTAAATCTTCCCAAAATCAAATGATCAATCTTGACGCAATTGAGTTCTGTTAAAATTTATTTTCTACCTCTGCATTGAACTTGTCTTTGGGCTGCAGGACCTTTATCCTGAAGTATTGGTAACTGATTGTGACTTCAGTTATCCGCCATTCAATAAGCTGCAAGAGCACATAAACAAAAGAATTAACAAATACAATTTCCATAAAAACTTACACAATAAAGCTATATTACAAAAATACATCTTCCCGCTTAAGCTTCCATTCAACCCAACTGATTAATTACCACTTGTAATATTTATCATCACTTGTATTTTCTCGCAACCAGTCGCCAACAATAGCAGGTAAAGTACCGGTAGTGAGCCGTAAATAACATGCAGTACGTTGTCTAGTTACATTACTTTCCTGACATCAACAGACACGTTGAACTCTTTTCAAACACAATTTTATTTAACCTTCTTTTGCAAATTGCCGCACGCTGGGTAATTATTCTATTCCTAGAAGGATCTCGACATTTCTTTGTATTACAAGATATGCACAAGGGAAAACCAGAATTCTGACGTGACATTATCATAACTGTAGCAGCGTTGTTTATTTGGATATCGGTTTTTTATTCTTCACGACATGAAATTTAATTCGATTTTCTTGTTCAGCCTCACTACATCCGTTATTTTTTGTTTGTCTAAGAATAACCTGAAAAAGTACAAAGTTTGGAGCCAAAATGGACGCGAATTTTTGTAAAGGGATCTTACAGTTCAGAACCCAAATGCAAATTAAATGGTGCCAAATGTAAAAGGCGTTATGGAATTTTAGCGGGGCATTTTGGTCTCAGGGGTCCAAAATCATCAAAGTTTTTTTTTTGGTTCAAAAATACACAATAAACACAACCAAACGTTTTCCAAAAATTCAGTGAAATTACGGCAAATTTCATGGAAAGCAGCAAGAAAATTAAATGTCCCTAAACATGAAAGCGTGAAAAACAATAAAACCATGTTCTTAGGTCAGTATAACTTCTTCACAAACTAAGGCTGAATCATGAAAGTTCAAAGGTCGAGATCCAAGAGAAATCGCTTCTGAAGCCAGAATAAATTATACCATATCAATGGCGCTTTTGTGCATAAAATTAAAGAATTCAAAACCTTCTTTAACGTGGAAAACTTAAAGGCACAAATCATTAAATATTAAAAATACGTTTTTGAACTGGGTAACTAAGATAAAATATCAATGCATAAGCTAGTTATTTTAAAATACCTTTCTGGAAGAGGTCTCCAACAAAGGTAACAGTTGGAAGTTGAGCGTGCTTCCTTTTGTCTTTCGTCCTGTTCTACCACAGCGCTTATTCTGCCCAAGTTGAAGAAAACGTACCATGCTATGACCAAAGATGAGTTTGGACGAAAAATTGCCAACAATAGCTGTTTTCCTCACAGCAAAATTACGCAGAGATTTCGCATCGTTAGCCATTTCATCCTCGACCGAAAGTACACGTGATTGTTGGAATGTGAGAGATAGATCTGCAAGTTATGAATATTAAAATAACAAGCTTTACCAAAGACCATAATACATCAGTGCCTTTGGAAATTTTTTTCTGTGTTAGTACAACAAGTAGGGAATAATTTGCGAATTAAGGATATTTAAAAAATACTGAGGAGTGAAAGAGAAATTGAGAAGAGGAATAAGAAGAAGGAAGAGGAGATGGCTGAAAATTCTTGGAGGAACAAAATTGCACTCAGTAATACTATTTCAGACGTTTATGTCGAGAACAACTTCGTTAGCTGGTTTAATTTCGCCATATTTTTTCGATCTCTCCGCGCGGTAATCTATTTAGTATTAAGCTAAAGTCTCAGTTTCAAGGCCTAGCCCCGGTTTTTAGGAGGGTGATTAACGTTAAAAACTGGAAAAATTGCTACACGGTGGATAATGCGGCAGTACGTTCTGTTCTCACTTATCCGGAGGATGACGATTTGCACGATCAACACAGTTATCTGCCCTTTAAACGAATCAGCCCTGAAACGAAGGTTATAGCCTTGGAACACTGGGGAGAGAAGCAAGAGGTCTCCGGTAGCTTTCTCACCGAGCTGACTTTGCATCTTCACTCGTATGACAGACTAACTGAAGGTGAAAACTGGTTGTTCCTTTTTGGGTGTCAAACTATCAAGAAAAAAAAACAGGAAAGCAACTCTCAGTTTCACTGGAAAAACCTGGGATAAAGAAAGTAGATAAAGAAGAGCTCTAGAGTAAGTCTGACACATCCTCAGCAACTCACTCAAAATCACTTTGACTTCCTGAAAAGAAAAATCCCAAAGAAACACAGTAAGCCTAAGACCAAGAAAAATAACAACAAAAAGGACAGCTTGAGTTACACGAGATACTAAAGTAACAATCGAAAAAAGTGAAGAGCTAAAATTGCGCGAGATATTAACGTAACAATCAAAATGAGACTTGAGAACAGCTATAAATGCGCGATAAACTAACGTAACAATCCAAATAAGAGAAAATGTCAAATTGTGCGAGATGCAAACATAACGATCGAAAGAAAAAGACAGCTTAAGTTGTGCGAGATACACACTTAGAAATCCATATAAAAAGACAGCTAAATTTGGGCAAGATACTAACGTTACAATCTAACTAAGAAGACAACTAAGGTTGCGCAAGATACAAACTTAACAATCCAAATAAGAAGATAGCTTAAATTGCGCGAGATACAAACGTAACAATGCAAATAAGACAACTTACAAGAGATACTAAAAAGCTAAAATTGCGCGATACAAAGGCTACAATTCAAATAAGAAGACCGATAAATTTCTGCAAGATACAAACGCTACAATCCAAATAAGACGACAGCTAAATTTGCGCGAGATACAAACGTAATGATCTAAATAATAATTGCGCGAAATACAAACGTTACAATCCAAAAAAGAAGACATCTAAAGTTTCGCAAGATACAAACGTAAAAATCCAGATAAGAAAACAGCTCAAGCTGCGCGAGAAGCAAACGAAACAATCCAGATAAGATGACAGCTCATAAGTTCCGCGGGATACAAACATAACAACTGCTAAAATTGCGCAAGATACTTACGTAACAATCCAAAAAAGGAATCAGATAATATTGCGCAAGATACAAACGTAATGACCTAAATAATAATTGCGCAAGATACAAACGTTACAATGCAAATAAGACATCTAAATGCCCGAGACACAAACGTAACAATCCAGATTAGAAAACAGCTAAATAATAATAATAATTGCGCGGGATACAAACGTTACAATCCAAATAAGAAGACAGCTAAAGCTGCGCGAGAGACAAATGTAACAATCCAATTAAAAACACCTAAAGCGGCGCGAGAAACAAACGTAACAATCCAAATAAGACAGCATAAGTTCTACGAGATACAAACGTAACAACAGCTAAAATTGCGTAAGATACTTACGTAACAATCCAAATAGAAAACAACTAAAAGAGCGCGAGATACAAACGTAACAATCCAAATAAGAAAACAGCTTAAATTGCGCAAGATACAAACGTAACAATCCAAATAAGAAAACAGCTTAAATTGCGAGAGATACAAACGTAACAATCCAAATAAGAAAACAGCTTAAATTGCGCAAGATACAAACGTAACAATCCAAATAAGAAAACAGCTTAAATTGCGAGAGATACAAACGTAACAATCCAAATAAGAAAACAGCTTAAATTGCGCAAGATACAAACGTAACAGTCCAAATAGGAAAACAGCTTAAATTGCGCGAGATACAAACGTAACAATCCAAATAAGAAAACAGCTTAAATTGCGAGAGATACAAACGTTACAATCCAAATAAGAGAACAGCTGGAATTGCGGAAGATCCAACGTAACAATCCAAATAAGAAAACAGCTTAAATTGCGAGAGATACAAACGTAACAATCCAAATAAGAAAACAGCTTAAATTGCGCGAGATACAAATGTAACAATCCAAATAAGAAAACAGCTTAAATTGCGCGAGATACAAACGTAACAATCCAAATAAGAAAACAGCTTAAATTGCGCGAGATACAAACGTAACAATCCAAATAAGAAAACGGCTTAAATTGCGAGAGATACAAACGTAACAATCCAAATAAGAAAACAGCTTAAATTGCGCGAGATACAAATGTAACAATCCAAATAAGAAAACAGCTTAAATTGCGCGAGATACAAACGTAACAATCCAAATAAGAAAACAGCTTAAATTGCGCGAGATACAAACGTAACAATCCAAATAAGAAAACAGCTTAAATTACGGAAGATCCAACGTAACAATCCAAATAAGAAAACAGCTTAAATTGCGCGAGATACAAACGTAACAAACCAAATAAGAAAACAGCTAAAATAGCAAGAGATAGAAACGTAACGATCGAAATAAGGAGCAGACTTTCGTTGCGCGAGATTCGAACGTAACAATGCAAATAAGAAAACAGCTAGAGTTGTGAAAGATAAAAACGTTTCGATCCAAATAAGAAAATAGCAAAAGTTGCGGGAGATACAAACGTAACAATCCAACTAAGAAGACAGCTTAAAATGCGCGAGATACAAACGTAACAATCCAAATAAGAAAACAGCTTAACTTGCGGAAGATACAAACGTAACAATCCAAATAAGAAAACAGCTTAAATTGCGGAAGATACAGACGTAACAATCCAAATAAGAAAACGGCTTAAATTGCGCGAGATACAAACGTAACAATATAAATAGGAAAACAGCTTAAATTGCGCGAGATACAAACGTAACAATCCAAATAAGAAAACGGCTTAAATTGCGCGAGATACAAACGTAACAATATAAATAGGAAAACAGCTTAAATTGCGCGAGATACAAACGTAACAATCCAAATAAGAAAACAGCTTAAAATGCGCGAGATGCAAACGTAACAATCCAAATAATAGGGCAGCTTAAATTGCGCGAGATACAAACGTAACAATCCAAATAAGAAAACAGCCAAAATTGCGCAAGATACAAATGTAACAATCCAAATAAGAAAACAGCCAAAATTGCGCGAGATACAAACGTAACAATCCAAATAAGAAAACAGCTTAAATTGCGCAAGATACAAATGTAACAATCCAAATAAGACAGCTTAAATTGCGTGAGATACAAATGTAACAATCCAAATAACAAAACAGCTAAAATTGTGCGAGGTACAAACGTAACAATCCAAATAAGAAAACAGCTTAAATTGCGAGAGATACAAACGTCACATTCCAAATAAGAAACCAGCTAAAATTGCGCAAGATACAAACGTAACAATCCAAATAAGAAAACAGCTTAAATTGCGAGAGATACAAACGTCACATTCCAAATAAGAAAACAGCTAAAATTGCGCAAGATACAAACGTAACAATCCAAATAAAAAAACAGCTTAAATTGCGAGAGATACAAACGTAACAATCCAAATAAAAAAACAGCTTAAATTGCGAGAGATACAAACGTAACAATCCAAATAAAAAAACAGCTTAAATTGCGAGAGATACAAACGTAACAATCCAAATAAGAAAACAGCTTAAATTGCAAGAGATACAAACGTAACAATCCAAATAAGAAAGCAGCTTAAATTGCGAGAGATACAAACGTAACAATCCAAATAAGAAAACAGCTAAAATTGCGAGAGATACAAACGTAACAATCCAAATAAGAAAACAGCTTAAATTGCGAGAGATACAAACGTAACAATCCAAATAAGAAAACAGCTTAAATTGCGAGAGATACAAACGTAACAATCCATATAAGAAAACAGCTTAAATTGCGAGAGATACAAACGTAACAATCCAAATGAGAAAACATATTAAATTGCGCAAGATACAAACGTAACAATCCAAATAAGAAAACAGCTTAAATTGCGCAAGATACAAATGTAACAGTCCAAATAGGAAAACAGCTTAAATTGCGCGAGATACAAACGTAACAATCCAAATAAGAAAACAGCTAGAGTTGTGAAAGATAAAAACGTATCGATCCAAATAAGAAAATAGCAAAAGTTGCGGGAGATACAAACGTAACAATCCATATAAGAAGACAGCTTAAGTTACCTAGAGACAAACGTAACAAACCAAGTAAGAAAACAGCTGAAATAGCAAGAGATAGAAACGTAACGATCGAAATAAGAAACAGGCTTTCGTTGCGCGAGATAGAGTTGTGCAAGATACAAACGTAACAATCCAAATAAGAAGACAGCTTGAGTTGCGCGAGATACAAATGTAACAATCCAAACAAGAGGACAGCTGTAGTTGCCCGAGATACAAACGTAACAATCCAAACAAGAGGACAGCTGTAGTTGCCGAGATACAAACGTAACAATCCAAATAAGAGGACAGCTGTAGCTGCCCGAGATACAAACATAACAATCCAAATAAAAAAACAGATAAAGTTGCGCGAGATATAAACGTAACGAATGAAATAAGAGAGGTAAAATTGCGCAAGGTACAAACGTAACGATCGAAATAAGACAGCTAAAATTGCGCGAGATAACGTAACTATCCAAATAGGAAAACAACTAAAGTTGCGCGAGATACAAACATAACGATCCAAATAAGAAGACAGCTTAAGTTGCACGAGATACAAATGTAACAATTGAAATGAGGGAACAGCTGAAGTTTCGCGAGATACTTACGAACTATCCAAATGAGAGATCGAGTAAATTCGCGCGAGATAAAGATGAGCAAGAATACACACGTAAAAAACGAAATACAAGAACAAAACAAGTTACAGGAGATACTAATGTAACAATTACTGGGACAGTTAAAGTTGCGTGAGATTCTAACGTATCGCGCCAACAAAGAGGACAACTAGAATTGTGGGAGATACTAACCACAATGTAAAGTTGGGTAGGATGGTCATGTGACATCTTACCAAGCAGTGATGTAATATCCCCAATATAAAGGGGGCCCACGTCACCAGCTATTATCACTTTACCAAAAGAAAATCAATTTTAAACTGGATATAAAACTGAACTAGCATGCACATTACTGGAACACAATAAGATGTGATATCAATTTTTTTTCAGAAGCAAACAGTATATGGTACATAGAAAATGTTTCATTTGATCATGAACATCTGACAAAATGACCAAAAGTGTACTTACTTTGATAATAACAGTTTCCACTTATCCATTCTCTCTTATCCACTTGTTTATCTGCTTTCTTCCTGAGCTTGTCTGTCCTGCTGAGTGTTTACAGTGTCCATCCAGAAAAGAGTCTTGCACTCAGTCCACTCTCTTTCCACTGTCCACAAAGGCTTGCAATGGGCCAGCAAGGCTTCACAGTACTTCACTTTCTTTATCTTTTTGCCTTACTGTACTCTGTTGCATCATGAGGCTGTGTTAAGTAACAGAAGTAAAGTCATACAACTTAGAAAACTGCTCGGTAGAATTTTCTAATAAGGATCATTTAATCCTAAAACTCCCAAAAGTGATTGATATGTAACTTCTTCCTACAATATCAATACATTATCCAGTAAAGAGGTGAGGAGAAAACTCCAATTTATCAGGTAGTTGTTGCTATCTTAATCTAACAACAAATTTCCATGGCTAATTTACAAGGAAATGAATATCTGCTAAAGAGGAGAATTTAAAATCAAATCATGGGAATTTAAGGGCTGAAGCTAATTCCCATAATGGACTATAATTGGGATGCCATTTATCTCTAAAGGACTACTTTTCTTAAGTTTGCTTCATGTAGAAAGGGGTGTCTTTATCACTGAAGGGGCTCATGGCCCAAATAAAACACTCCCAAGTAAATGGATATAGAACTGAGAGGCTTATAAACGGAGGTCTTGTCATAAGGAATTTCTGTATCTTTAAAGTTACTCTGGACAAAAGTTGTAGATGCTGAGGAAATAACCAACATCTTCCAGTTTTCTTTCTGTTCTCACAACAAATATGAATGTAAAAGGAGAAACAGTTTCAAGGCCCAATGTTGTATATCTAAAGCTGAGGTTTTTGGAACTAAGAGCAGAGCATTCCCATTGTAACAGGCATTACAGCCAGCACATACAAACTTATAGACCACATGTGAACAGAGCCTGTCAGGGACAGGGTCTTTCAAAATAAACACTTTACAATGTGAGTTTAAAATGAGTACTCCAATAGTTAAACATTTTTTTCAATTGCCATAGCAGTACAAAAGATGCCACATGTATTTTTCAGGTAGGAGAAGATCCACATTTGGAAATAATTACCACCTTAGTATTAGGTATGCAACAAAGAGTACAATTTTTCAAGGCCAACCCATACCAGTAATGTTTACTGCCATGGAAACATTTTCAGACTAGCAAGTTCATTTGAAGCCTACTAACAAACTAACTATTAAGCATAAAGTATGATTCTAAAGTCCTGCTCAAACAGTTATGATAGTTTTTACTATTAGTCACAATCATTGACTATCATATCTGCATTCAAACAATTCATGGTAGTTGATGATAGTTGATGATAGTTGACTAAATCATGCAAGAGATGATGAAATTGTAAACAAAGATGGCATGTGCTGAGGTCAGCAATTCTAGAGGGATTTGAAATTTTAGTCCAAGAGTTGCAAGTTGAAGATACTGAAGCCTACCAGGAGATGATAGGAATGACCTGTGAGACATTCTGCAAAATTTTAACCATTTCCACAGGTTCCACAGAATAGAGGTAATAAGAAAAAACACCAAAAAATGTAATTTTAAACCATAAATGATCACTTAATGTAAGAAATCCTGCTCTAAACTACCACTAACATTGATTTTAGGAGACACATGGATTGAATTTGGCCTGATAGATTATTCTTGCTTTTATTTGAGTGTTTCTGCTCCAAATGAATGTTCAATACAGGTGCAAGACAATACAAACAGACCATTGGGACTCAGTAAAGGGTGACCATGACTGCTACATAGAGGTGACTGCTTAATAGGGATGAAATTTAAAACGATTAACCCTTTAACTCTCATGAGTGACCAAGGCAGAATTTCTCTTTACAATATCTATACAATATCAACCAAAAAAGTGATGAGAATAAAGAAAAATATCAATTTGGGGATAATTAGTTGATTCAATACTAAATTCTCTGAACTAACATTATAAGAATTGTATGGTTGACAGAAAGGAGAATTAAAAATTTGATCTGGGAGTTAAAGGATTAAGGGGAAACTAATGCGGAACTTTTACAACTGACTGCTCAATACAGGGTGACTGCTTAATATCATGCTGCTAAATACAGTTTCAAGTGTAGTTGTAACTGTTATCAACTATTATGACTGTTTGAATAGGGCTTAACACCTGGGAATCAATAACTCAATCCAACGCCACATCAAGATTTGTGTTTCTTGCCCCTTTGACTTTCAAGATTCAGTTTACAACTCTCTCATGACTGCCATACATTTCCTTGTTAACTAGTGCAGTGAAGTTGGTGTTATATTCAGATAACACCCTGTAACTGATCTGCAATTTTTTTCCACAAATTGCATTGCTACAAAATCAACACACAATTCAAAAACAGGAAAAAAACAGATAGCTAGAGGTTGAAAAGACTCTTCAGGAACATTGTACTTTTTGGTTCTTGGTGGTCAAATTTTCATGGTCAGTAATAGAAAATTTAGAAAAACTGAAGTTATTCAGATGTGTTAGTGAGAGGCCAACTTTTCAAAATGTTCAGCATAATTCAACGTTTCAAAACAATCTCCTTCAATCTGGATTTGAAACACAGAAGTTTTTCAGTAAATAACTACTTCAATAAAAAGATACGAGCACACGCGCACCTAAATTGGAAGCAAAATATTGTTATAAAGGTTCTCCTGCGGTTAAAAGCCTTTATATACAGAACTCTAGGAATTCAGCGAGCATGAACTTATGAAACTTTCTTCATACCGAGCGGGTTTAAAGGATTTGCCTTACCTCTTCCACCACTGCACTAGTTCCAAACTTTCTCTTCGCATTTTCATGTTTGCACTCGCACTGATAATTTTTTGCTGCATTTGAATATCACCAAAGGCGAAAAGGCATATTCTAAACGCAATCGATTCTAAAAGTTCCATTTCATTTTTCGAGCGCCGTTGAAATGGTTTCAAAGTAAGACACATTTACTGGTACAGCCTCTTCCGCCATGTTGTAAAGTTTTTCTTGTTCCCAGTTTCCTCTGTCTTTCGCAACTGTCACGTTATTAATATTCAGCGCGGTAAAACGCAGAAAAAATGCAGATAGGAACACGCGGTGTTGTACAATTTCTAAACGCGTTGGCTTGTGAGACCATGAGTCGAGCTGGTTCTCAAAATCAAACTTCAAATAAACAGAAAGTTGAAATTGATCACAGAAAGTTGAAATACAGACTCGACCGAAGTGTCTCATGAAATAAATGGTAAACTTGCTGCAGAAAAGCGGTGTAAAGTCCATTACTCTAAATAAATAGATGATTTATAACATGCATGTCTTGTGGCAGCTTCTTACCAACATTGCACGGATGGGTGGAGTTTCAAATCAACGATCACGGTTTTGGGTCCCATTTGGTGTCTTTGGGCCCGTTATGCTTAGTGCGTAGAGGTCATAGGTTCAAATCCTGTATAAGCCTGAATTTTTTTTTCAGGTCTTATTTTTAATACTGCTTAGGTAGTGTTCATTACCGCGAAGATCGCTTCCAAATCTATGCCCGTGCGTGTCTTTTACCAGCTTAGTAACCTTTCCAAGGTGTACCCAAACTACGAGTCCAAACTACAGTGGTCTCGACAACGATCCTCAACTTTCAAGTCGTTCTCCATCCGTTTATACGGTATATTAAACCACACAATCCATGTCTGTCGTCGAGGAAAAGTGGCAATCGACAAAGCCTTCCTTGAGGGAGAGAAGTAAGTTCATTTTTAACAACGATTTGTTCAGCGATGTAAAGTTCACCGTGCGAACGACGGATGGCGGAAGTGAAAGCATGCAATTTATTCCTGCTCACAAGTTAGTATTGTCGATCAGTAGTCCTGTGTTTGAAGCCATGTTTTACGGTGAGTTAGCGGAGACCAGAGACTTTATTGAACTGCCTGACTGTGACTACGAGTGTCTGCTGGAGTTGTTTCGTTTCATGTACTGCGATGAAGTCAACTTGAGCGGAAGTAATGTCATGAGAGTGTTGTACTTGGCGAAGAAATACATGGTGCCTTCACTCGCTGATAAATGTACCGAATATCTCTTCATAAACTTGGATCCGTCCAATGTTTTCATCATTTTACCATTCGCTCAGAAATGTCAAGAGAAAGCCCTAGTGGATCGATGCTGGAGAGTAATCGATGACAAGATGGAGCAGGCAGCGAAATCAGATGGATTTGTTACAATTGAGAGGAACTTACTCGAAACAGTGGTAATCAGAGATACACTGAATATTGAAGAGATAGATCTGTTCAAAGCCGTTGACATGTGGGCCTCAAAAGAATGTGAGAGACAAGGTTTAGAGGCGGATGGCACAACCAAAAGAAGAATTCTTGGAGAAGAAATTGTCAAAGCAATTCGCTTCCCAGTTATAGATCAAAAAGATTTTGCCGACGTCGTGTTGGACAGCGACATCCTAAACCTAGACGAAGTTAAGGCCCTGGTCAAATATCGAAGTTCGGTGCTTTGTCATCCATTAAGATTCTCAGACAAGAGAAGATCATCTGTTCCTCGTGTCTGTGGAAAAACTCGATGTTGTTTCAGATTCCAGTCCTTTATTTCTCTATCCAAAGATGATGCATTTGAGAAAATACACATCATTGAATTTTCTGTGGACAGTAAGATTTTGTTACACGGGGTATGTCTCTGTGGCGGTAACAGCGAGAACCTGATTGAGCTTAGCCTATGGAACAACAAAGGTACACTACATCGTGTAACTGGAACGTTTTCCGTCAACTTGTATGAGGAAAATTCATTTCCGTTCTATGCTTACCAAATCTTATTTCCCAAAAATGTTGTTTTGAATGAAAACACCACATACCGCATGGAGGCAAGAATAAGTCATCCAAGTTCATGGTGTGGAGAAAAAATTCACCACCAAGTTACTTGTTCAGGTGTAAAATTTACATTTAAGTCCATTGTTGGTAAAGACTTTCCTGCATTGCTATTCTCTAAATTACCCTGAATAGAAGAAATTACAACAGAAAGGAATCTGGATCTTTATTTCCTTTGGATCGTTCTCCCATAATGTTAATGATCACAGGCCATAGCTTTGTTTTATAACAACCAAGGGTAGATTATTAAGATGTACTTTGAAGTAAAGTGTTTACGAAAATTGAGAAAGTAGAGGAATATTCTACTAAGAAGAAAATGTTCCTCGTTTATAGTAATTGTAAAGAGATAAAGTAAATAGTCTATAAAAGCGAGAAGAGAGGACTCTGCTATCCACTAAGATCTATTCCTATATTTAGCATCACAGTAAAGGGCTTTGGTCAGGGAAAACTTTGCTATTCGGCTCCATTCAGATTATCGCTCTGTAAAACAACGTAAACGAACTCATTTTCCTTGAAATGATCTCCTCAAGATTGATATAAGTTACAATTTCTACAACGTTGTGACCCTTCAGTGGTATATATTACTCAAGAATCTTTCAGAGTGCACGTTCATATGCACAACTCAAAATTTGTAGCAAGTGCTGTTGGCTTTTCATTCAAGAGCTTTTCGAAACACAAATATGATCGAAGGTGTAGAATCATAATTTCAAGGAAGTTCATCTTCTAATCATCAGTGGATGGAAAATTCCGACGTTAAACTATAAAGAAATAATCGAGTCAAATCAGGAGACCTTAAGCACCATCTTCATTTTATCAAATGTATTGCAGCTGTAATAAAAAAAAAACAACAAAACAAGCACCACTAAAAGAAGGATTGTTTCTGTAATCGAGTATTACCCGCATCGTCTGTGCAGTGAGTATTACAACTTGAAATTTTTCTCATATTCTTTAGGGATGGTATTTTTTATAAATCTTTTGCAATTTTTACTTTCACTACTGGTGGTATTTTTTTATCTACTGCGTAGATTAGTTGCAGGCAGGTTGCCGTTATATTGCATACTTTACTGCATGCGGTTCTCAACCAGTTGTTTGTCTATAGAGCCTTGATAAGGGGAAATAAAATTCGTTATTCACGTCCAGGTTATTTTTCCAGCTTCCTTGAGGCTATCGTAAGGGTGTCATGCCCTCCGTAAGATGAAGTCGGACTCTCGTATAAGCCTATCATAAAAAACCAAGACTTGTCAACACCCCTGTTCCAGAAATGTCCAGAAGTCACGCGACGCTCGTCCAGCGCTGGGTGACATCTGTTGAAGTCCTAAATGTAATAACTGTCCTAAATGTAATAAAGTCCCTAAAATAATAACATTTAGTCCTAAATGTAATAAGCCTCCAATGCAATCGTTGAACTCCTTCAGTGCATTGTTGTTATGGCGGACATCCACATTGAGATGTTAGTGACAGGTGTTGCACCAAACACCGCTGATTAGTATACATGTCATATTACGGGCTCGCTGATATCAATCAGCGTCTTTTTACTTGCTAGACATAAGAAATATCAGCAGTCGAAGTATGGTCCATAAGGCGGTTTATTGATCGAGTTGAAGAAAATTATTTCCAGCCCAAAGTGAGCAAGTGCTTGGCTGGAAGCTCAATAGGATGGAATCGGTACGTAATCATTAAGACTTTTTGGAAAAGAAATTGACTACAATTGATGATGAACTAGCATGCTATTGTTGATGTTATCGTTCGTGTTAAAGTCTTTAGTAGTGATGCAACATTTTAGAGCAGTTTGAATGATTTCGCTGTGTCACATGTTAATCCAAAAGAAAATTATTACTATCAGTAGCGTTACTGAAATTTTGCACATCAATGTTATTCAGTGTCAGTTGATTTTAATGAAGCATTTGAGTTCATTTTTAAGAATGACTATCTTGATTTATTCAATTTTGAACTAAGGGTATTGCATTTCTAGCCCTCTATGGCTTTACTGGGATAACATATGATTGGTCAGTAGATATCTTGCTCTGTAAGTCACTTTATCATATAGCTAGCAGCGCACGCGGGCAAGATGAAGTGAATCCTGTGTTCTGATTGGCTACCTGAGCGGGCATGATGGGCCCACCCTCGCCCGCTCGGATTCCCCATATTGATCCCACGCAAGAAAAGTTACAAATTTCGTAACTTTTGGACAATGTTTGCGTATACATAGAAAAAAAATAAACGACCCTCCTGGGTTTATTGTGCTGCAAACACAGTTGGCTTTCACTATCGGCTCTCGAAATAAACAGGCCATTCTTGATTCTTATCAAAGCGAAATCTTTTGTTATACAATGAATCCTTTAATGATTAAGCCAAGAGAATATAAACTCTCTTGACCAAGCTTGTATGGTCAAGATTACTGGATATTAGCCTCGTTCCTTTTCTACTTTTTTATGGACTGAGACTTCGTCTCAGTCCATAAAAACGCAAAAAAAAAAAAAAGAACTCGGCTAATATCCAGCCATTTTGACCTCACGCTTGGTCAATAACGCATATGGATATATTTTATGCAGACCCGTAAAAATCTGGTAAGGGAAGACAGTACAAAAAAATGCCCTTCCGAGCCCAGAATTTGTCTAACGTATAAGTCGGTGGACTTCCTATTCCTTGTAATTCGGTTCATGAAGTGTGAACTTCAGCACTGATGACAGAAGTATTTCGTCAAAATCTGTTACACTCAAGAGTCTGAGCCAATGATATAAAGAGAGCTATTGGTCAACGTTCTCATTGCTTTTGCGTCCGTCAATTTGATGCCAAAAGCACATCAGTATCAGTATAAGGTTTTGTAGCCAATGTTTCTCAACCTACGTCTTTAGCAAATAAAAAGACACTGATTAATATCAGTGAGCCCGCAATATTCCATGAATATTGGTCAGAGGATTCTTTGGTGCAACAGCTGTCACTTTGACATCTCAATGTTAGCGCAGTTGCAACGATTGCATAGGAGGCTTATTACATTTAGGACCGAACGTTATTACATTTAGGGCTTTATTACATTTAGGACCAAGTGTTATTACATTCAGGACTTTATTACATTTAGGACCTCAACAGACATCCCCTAAAACAACTGCGTAGGGGACCACTACGTATCAGAAAAACAGAAACGTTGATTTTGCCTCAAAAGATGCGACAACACCATGAATGTTGCCGCTTACTGAAAAATTAAATTTCTTCGAGATCGATTGTTTTGAAACGTAACAGCCGGCGAAGAAGGAACAAAAATGTGCAAGTGTACAATCAACACAACAGTACAAGAATAACGTTGAGGAGAATTCCGTGGATTCTACAGCACCCCGTGCGTGTCAGGACAAAACAATGACTTTTCAATTTAAATAAAAGGCAGTAATGCTCATAAGTGTTAAAAAAATTCTCCCCATGCTTAGAAGTATTCCAAAGTCTTACCCCGCACTAGTTTTATGAGTGTCCAAACTCACGCTAAACTTTCTGTAACTGTTTATGGTGGATTATAACTTTATCTTCGCGGTGACTTTCATTACTAGAAAAACATTTCTCCACTCATTTTGAAAGGAAAAAATTTCGTTTAAATTGAACCCGTCTTTTTGAGCCAAGTTATTTCTTTGGAGCTATTCTCTGTCGAACAAACAAACCCCTCGGAAAAAGGTAAAGGGGGTAATTTTCTAAAGAAACTGTAGTGCTGCGTCGTTACGAAAGTTTAACAGGGTAATTAAGTATTATCAGCTGAGTTGATAATGTAAGTTGGCCACCGTAAAGAGTTTCAGAGCGACGTTTCGAGCGTTAGCCCATCGTCAGAGCGAATGACGAAGGGCTAACGCTTGAAACTTCAGCTTTGAAACTTTCTACGGTGACCAATTTACGTGATCAACTCAGTTGATAATACTAAATTACCCCCGGAAAAGGGTATTGTTACTGTCGACACCCACTAAAAATCTGTTATTTTTCCAAATTCGCACCCACGATGGAATGAGAGGGTGATCATTCTAGCATAGTAACCCAATATGCAAAAATGTCTTTGCGTTTAATTCTAATCACTTCTTAAGCAGATGCTTGTCTGTAATTGTCATTTTTATCACTAAAGAAGAAAACTTTTAAGTTGTCCAGCTTGCCTAAATTTCTACGATATTACCCCGATATGTCTATGGCTAAGATGAATTGGCAGACAAAAAAGCTCACCATTAGAGAAAGGAGTGAGTTTATTTTTAACAACGATCTGTTTAGCGATGTTAGGTTTGTTGTCTCGGGAGTAATTGGCAAATGTGAAAACAAGAAAAGTATTCCTGCTCACAAGTTTGTGTTGTCAATTAGTAGCCCTGTGTTTGAAGCCATGTTTTACGGTGAGTTGGCGGAGACTAAAGACTCTATTGAACTGCCTGACTGTGATTACGAGAGTTTGTTGGAGTTTTTTCGTTACATGTACAGCGATGAAGTGGGTTTGAATGGAGGTAATGTGATGGGAGTGTTTTATTTGGCGAAGAAATACATGGTGCCTTCGCTGGCTGATAAATGTGCGCGACATTTACGGCACAACTTAGATGAATCGAATGTGTTCAGTGTTTTGAAATTTGCACAGAAATATGATGAGACGAACCTTGTGGAAAATTGCTGGAAAGTGATAGATGAACGCACCGCAGAAGCTGTAAAATCTCGGAATGGATTCTTGACAATTGAAAGATCCTTACTCGAAGCTTTAGTTGAAAGAGACTCGTTGAATATCAATGAAGTGGAACTGTTTAAAGCCGTTGATTTGTGGGCTATAAATGCCTGTAAAAAGCAGGGTTTAGTGGCGAATGGATCAACAAAGAGAACAATTCTCGGAGAAAGAGTAGTCAAGGCAATCCGCTTCCCTACGATGAAGCAAGAAGATTTCGCCCTGGTGGCACTCGACAGCAAAATATTAACAGCAGAAGAAATTGTGAGTGTTATCAAGCGTATCAACTTAGTATCAAGTGCTCTGTTGCTGTTTCCAGAAACGAAGAGATCTGGTTTCGTCGGTGAAATCCAGCGGTGCTGTAGGTTTGGTTCTGTCTCTCACAACAAATGGAGTTATGCGGGCTCTTCCAAAGACTGCGTGAATCTTTGCGCTGACAGAGAGATTACGTTACATGGGCTTCGGCTCTTTGGAGAGGACCAAACTAGCTACTGGGTTGATATGGAAATCAAAATTGCCAAGAACAAGTCCGTTCTGTTATCAAAAGCAGGATGGTTTAAATCAGAGGCCTTGTCAAGCAATTTTGGTCACTATCATGGATTTGAGGTTTTTTTTGACGCTCCTCTTGTGTTGAAAAAAAATCATTCATACTCTGTGGAAGCTTTGATCATAGGTTCGGATTCGATGCATGGAAAAAACGGTCACGAAATAGTAAAATGTTGCGGCGTAACGATCACGTTTACAAATAGTAAGTACTCTGGTAATGGAACAAGCGTCAGTCGGGGTCAGTTCCCTGACATATTATTCACTGTTTAATCAACATTTGATCCAAGGAGTGTTAAGTATCGAACTCCGCTTTCTAGTCGTAGGGCACAGTTAAACAGGCTTGTAACGTGAATGAAGACAGAGATCAAGGTGGGGATAATGGTTTGATATAAAGAACAGTCAACAAATGAATGTTTGCTTGTTAGTTTGATAGGAGAATACGCTTTCAGACCATGGGAGTTATAGTATTAAAGGAGCTTTATCACAGCCTGTGCATCTTGAAATATTTACCAGCATTTGCTTTGACTCTCCTGTAATCCTGAACATTAATGTCGTTTCCTTCATCAAAACTTCCGTTACGTTCGTCCATCCTCACCAACTATCTGTTTGGGTGGATTTTTGATAAAAGGCCACCATCAAAAGTCCTTTATGTCACCGATAAATGAAAAATTTCAACGACCCATGAACTATTAAAAGTAGTGTGGCACCGTTCCTTAACCCTCTGACTCCCGTGAGTGACCAAGTCAGAATTCCTCCTTACTATATCTATACAATATCATGTAGACAAGTGATGAGAATTAAGAAAAATGATCAATTATGGGATTACTAGTTGATCCCATTCCAAATTCTCCAAACTAACACAATGAGAATCGTTTGGCAGATAGCAAGGAGAATTATTAATGAGATCATGGGGGTCAAAGGTTAACTGTCACACTCCAGCTTGAAAAGGTTAGGTAGTGGGATACCTTACCTCTAAAAGCCATCGAGGAAGGAACTCAGTCAAAGGAGTATTCAAGGAAATTCTAACATCCATAGTTGTATATGAATTTTTTTCAGGCCTTATTTTCACTACTGCCTAAGTAGTGCACATTACTGCGAGGTTCACTTTCATTCACGTCTTTATCCGCAGTTCAAATATATGACTTTCATATATTCTTAACCATTTATTCATCACTTCACGGGTTTATTTAGAACCAACTTCATGACCAGCTCCCAGTTGGCTTGTTAGCTCAGTTGGTAGAGCGCTGCACCGGTATCGCAGAGGTCATGGGTTCAAATCCCGTACAGGCCTGAATTTTTTTCAAGCCTTATTTTCACTACTGCCTAAGTAGTGCACATTACTGCGAGGTTCACTTTCATTCACGTCTTTATCCGCAGTTCAAATATATGACTTTCATATATTCTTAACCATGTATAGTATACTGTTCGTTGTTGATAGATAAAAGTGGAGTTAACATCTCTTAAAAGGGGATTTCCAGTGGATCTTCTCGCGGCTTTTCCACGCGTGTTCGTAAATTTGAGAATTATTTTCATTACTAAACAAAACTCTCCCTGTATGCAGCTGCTGGAGGTGGCTTAGACTGCCTTTGCTATGAACAACTATGGAGCACAAAGGGCACTGTGAGACTTCGCGAAATGAAATGGCCGGCCGGTTGTAGAAGGACTTGAAATATTGCGAGCAAGCTCTCATTAAGACGCCACACGAGTGGTGAAGCGTGCGCATTCCTAGCGGGAAAGAGATGTAAGCAAGCGAGATTTTCACGAGGATTCTGGCAGGAAAGTGTCAAACCCCTCTGAGATCTCTCGCCGTCTCGAATCGCGTGGGTCTTCACCGTTCGTATTGCAGCGGTAATCAGATCCTGTTCGAAGGTAAAATTAGCTTTTGGAAGAGAGCATTCTAGGATCTCCAAGATCTGCAATTTGACGTACCCCGCTGAGAATGAAAAAATGATCAACAGCCTCACATCTCCGTAGGAACCACACTGTTTCCGCCAAAAAGGCCGGTCAAATTATCATAAATCAGGAACAAACACGTCTGCCAAATGGTTTCTCATTCAATATCGAATATCGTTACTGCAGTAACTGTTTCACTTGTGATCCCAACTGGCTTTGTAGGGCTCAAGGGATTTTACTGAATAGAGGCTGGCGTCAAAACATTATAATGACTTTTCCATCAGTTTCTACTCAGCAGGAGACAGATTATTGTTGTTTACGTATGAAAGGTAAGCATGCTGAGTGTAAGTAGCGCCGATTGTATATGTATATTTAAAGTTTGTAGTTACTCTTACAGACGTTGGCCATCAACAGATATTTCGTAGCTCATCGTAATCTTTTCAAGTGTTTAGACCAAGCTCACCTAATGTATTGTTACTAAAGTAGGTCAAACGTAGGCAATTGATACAGAGGCATGTCTATCGATAGGTGGATACTATCCCTGGCACTTTGTACGTTCCTTAACTTTATACCAGGTGAGTGAAAATCCTTGCTTCTTTTCTCCCCGTATAAACAGGCGTACTCGCTTGAGTAAATCTTTGCCAAAAAGCCATGTTAGACATTTGGAAATTAAAGGGGATAAGATGACGCATACTTCACACCTATCGGTTTAAATCTATGAAGCCGGGATAATCTAGTCGCGTGTGTTTTCACAGGGATCAATTTTCCCCTACGTTCCCCTGCACAACATTGAAAGTAAAAGTACAGATCAAAAAGTTTACAGAACATCGCTGGGGGAGGGATGGGAAGGGACTACACTGTGAAATTGCGCGTCCTTTTGATGACAGGTTTTTATTTTGGTGACAGTTGTAGCGTCCTCTAACAACTTTACTCTATACTCTACTCTTTGAGTAGAAATGATGCACAACTGCCGCTTTAGGAAACTCGCGTCCGAATTTGACTGAAAATAACACAGGTTCAAATGTGGTTTCTCTGCTGTCTTGCAGAGGAGTCAAGTAGACACTCAATGTGATATAGTTCAACCGAAACAACCCTCTACTCGCATTTGTTTATTTTACGCAGTACTACTAGTCCAGGCCAATGTTGTTTCGTACTGCATAAAGAAAACAACGTACCCTAATGTGATCCTCCGGGGTAAAATGGAGGCGGGGACCTACACGCCTTGGGAACCGGGCGACTTAAGTCACATGACCGTTGATCGATGCACTGAACACTGCTGTAAAAGCCCGGATACAGATGTAGTGTTTCTACTGAACAGGTGAGACATCAGGCGTATAATCTATCATTTGTAAAACGAACGCATGGCGTGACTTTATTCGATTGATTTCAATATCGTTATTCGAGCTTTGATCGGCTAATTTCGTTCCTCCTGTCGAGGCAGTTTTGAGCAAAGAGGCATGTTAAGGTAAAAACTTGCCAACAACAAAATTTGCTGGTGTAGGTTACTCAAAAAGGACTCCTCGCTTTTTGTCTATTAGCAAGTTTTCCTTGCTAATACGTATACCGAACAAGATTTCATCAGCGTTTGCACTTGATAATAGATCTGGTTGTTTTTCCTCTGTCACTGAAAAGTGTAAATGAAATCATAACGATTCCATAACACTGGCCTAACATTTCGAAAATTGTCATCATAAAATAATAAAATATTAGAACCTACCATTTTGAATCTTTCTTAGCATCCTGACTTCTGCTTGTCTCTTTTTTTCTTTTCCATCTCTTGGCGATTTGTTTGAACGGTTAGGAGCTAAATAAAAAGGCATTCTTGACTCAGTTACTCCACCCAGAGCAACAGCTGTTTGTGGACCGCGCCCTGCGTTTACCGCCATTTGGTGCGTGCAGTGCATTTAACTAAGTTGTTTTTTAAAATGGCAGCATACGAAGGGAAATTGTTTGGCACATTTGAAGACAATTTTCGAACGGTTAGGTATGATATTCATATATACGTTTTCGTTGCAGATATGAAAATCAAATGAAATCGGGAGTATACCTCTCTTAAAAAAGAAATTTTCAGGCGCAATGCAATCGATGTGTAAATTTGAGCTTGATAATATGTTTTCTCTTCAATAGCTATTGCTTCTGTGTGAAGTGCCATTCTCTGGAATCATGTGCCATGGTGAAAATCACTCCACCCTCGACGTACAGACCTGTGATTGTTACTGTATTGAAACGTAAGTACTTTGACCTCTGAACGTTACATGAGTTTCTTTTATATAAACTGGTAGATAATGATAAACATTTTAAGCATTTTTTTCGCAAAGCATTTGTTGACATCACCGGGAACCCATTACCCAGGTAATAGGTACCTGTCATCACTTGATCAAGGTTACCTTATAAAGTCTTTAAGTCTTTTTGGAGGAGAAAAAAGTTACTGTGCCTTTGGCTCCAACAAGAGATGATAAACTCTCGGTTCCAATGAACTATTCTGGGAAAACCAATGGCAGTCAGTTGACTTGAAACTGAAGTGGAATAGCAAGCTTCTATGTGTCTCACCCTGGTAGTTTTTTCTATACCAACTAAGCCACTGATTATAGTTAAAGCTTGATTTGACGTTATTCAATATTTCCCAGACTCTCTTTTTCAGGACACCAAACATGTAATTTCCGCACATCGTTCTAGTTAAATGGTCTAGCCTAATAGGTGATTGAATAAAAAAAATTAATTGTTTGTAACTTCGTCTTTTCGTCGAAGTATTGCATTTTTCATCCTTACTCCTAAAGCAAACATCTTCGGCGAAAGAAAACAAAATTATAGCTCATTCTGGCTACATCTATCTCCGATAAAACAAATTTTGAAATCCTTTATCTGTTTAACTGCAAGGAAAACTCAAATTTTTTTCTTTTCACGTGACAAGTGGTAATGGGAACATAAACTTGTAAGTCTGCTTCAAATAACTGCGATGTCCTATGGCATTTGAATAACTTTTTACATTTATTTCAATTTAAAAAATTAAAATAATTTTTTCCTAACTCTCATCCGGTTGCGGAATCTCCTTTAAAGTTAAAAACCTGGTGATAAATGTCTGGGATCTCCCTTACTTCTATTTTTTATTTTTTTATGGGAAGAAATCAAACGGAAATTGCAATGAACAACAAACTTCATCTGCGCCCCCAAAAAACTAAAGTATATTAATTTTTTCCTTATAAGTAACCATTACTCTCTTTAGAAATAATTTGTTTCATACAAATTGTCTGATAAGATAAAGCTCATAAACACTAGTTTCTAAAAAGTGTCGTTATCTTGCTTTCACGAATAATGGACGATAACTACTCTTTTCAGGCTTTTAGCGCCTAATTAAAGGCTAGAGTTCATAGGTACAATTGGGCCGTAAATATTTAAAATGTTGTTCCGATGTATCACTATGCAACATTCCAACTTTTTCTCATCAATTAACAATTCTTTTGTGCTGCCGTGAAATAAAGGGTCAAAGGCGGGTACCTGACCCAGTGTTAAGGAATACTTCACTTGAAGCGCTTTAATTTTACCAATAAATGCCCAAAATAAACGAAATTAATATTTCGAACCACTGACATCCATAACTTATGAGTTTTTCCTATTGGTCATGAAGAAAACTTAACGTAGGCGTCGAAAACTTGCGATAATATTTTCAAAATTCGCGGTTGCATATACGTTCAGACGAAACAATGTTTTGATACTAAAGGAGTGACCTTCACGGTGATTAATGATATTTTGTGTCGTCTTGAGTTTCCTCTACAGTAAATATTTTCTTTGGCCACCTAAGGGAGTTAAGTGAAGGCTAAATCAAATAAGACGCCGGTTGTATAACTCTCTGACCCGTACTAACATATAATTTATGCAAGGAAATTCAAAACATTTCAAAGCCACTGAATGCAGCGCACCGGGAGACGGTGTAAGTTCGCAAGCCTTAAATGGTGAGTTAAAAGAACTTTCCACAAATAATTTACAAATACTTCTACAAATTTTTACAAATAGTTACAGTCATTTTATTTATTTTCATATATTTGTATTTTAAAGCTCTCTTGTCTTCATAAATAGTAGAAGATTTTAGGTTAAAACTGAGATGAGAGAAGATTTTTACGGTGGGTGATAATTCATTTCCCATCATATTATCACTGATTATGTCACAGAAACAAAACTTCAAGTAACCATATCTCCTTTCCCCAAAAATTCAACGTTCAGCAACTTTGCCGGTTTGCTGCATCAAAAATTAGCTATTGGTTATTATTTTTTTTAGTTTAATTAGGGAAATTATCAAAATCCATTGGATACATTCTTCATCAAGCCGAGAATTTTCATTGATTGGCTGTGAGAAGTATACACCCATTGAATGAAGATAAAGCCCTCCGGTCGTTGGTACTGCGTATTTTTCTCATTGTTTGTCTTTACGATTGTTTGTCTTTTGAAGTGCTGGCTTCTGCGAGTGGTCTTGCAAATCTTTCGAAAACGTTGTTTACCTCAGTCTCAATTTAATGTTGAGCAAAAGTGAGCGACTTAAAAAATACGTGGAAAAGCTGACCGTCGCTATGATGAAGTTCAAAATGAATTTTGTGAAAATGAATTTAAAGTAGTTCAGATTGAATTTTTCTTTACTCAGTAAAAAGTTACGATTATTCTTTAACAAAGGGAAAAGGGAAATACAAAAGAACCTAGTTTGGATCATTTTAACTTAAATCTTATTGGAAGAAAATCATATTCTTCTTCGTTAGTTAATGATTTAGTAACGGAGAAGAATATGATTTTCTTCCAATAAGATTTCTCCATGTCGCTACCAGGGTACTGAAGAGGAGGGGCTTGGGTTCGTTCATTCGTTTGTTTGAACATCTCACACGATGATCTTATTTTTTCGATTAAACAGGAAACAACAATGACAACAAGAATATAACTAGTGATAATGTAAACAACATTAAGTCATAGATGACAATGAATGATTGAGACATTGATATGGTAGAATATATATCAAATCGTAAGAAACTGCACTTTGGAGCTTTTTCGTCTATTTCATCGCTTTATGCATGTCTTTCAAAGTGTTACCTTTAAATCTGATCAGACACACCATTATGAAAACAATTAACGAGTGTATGACGTTATGAAACATGGATGAATTTTCACATTCCAAGGGCTAATTTACGCAGATGTAAACAATACGGAATAAACGGTTCATATGTTTTAGTTTCTTGTGATGCAAGTTTGCGTGATTATTTCATCCTTCGTGTTATCTTAACGTCCTCCCCTAGTACAACTTCCTTATCACTCGTTAGTAGATTTTTCTCCCTGATGGCTGCCGGTGTGGTCCTAATTTAGTAATTGTACTAAAAATTAAACTATGAATTTACCAGGTGTGAATACACAGCTTGGGAGACAGAAACACCCCTAATTTACCATATTTATCGCTAACCATTTTCTCAAAAATCGCCTGGAAAGCTCGGGAAAACATCGCCACGCTTGCAAACACTCTACCCCAGCACCTGTTATTTGACAAAATCTCGTCTGTATTCAGAAATGTGTGGATTGTGGGCAAGCTGTTAATTGAAAAGATCACAAAAGAGAGTTATAGATAAGGGTTGCTTCCTATGTAGCTAGCCGTCTGGGAAGCCTATTATTTCTTTGACATAAAGCGCACTGCAGGCACATCTGTTATTTGTTGTTTCCTAAGATGCTACCTTCCTTCTCAGACGTTGTTAATTATAAAGCGATTACACCTGGAGGATAAAACCACTTTGAGTTCATTCATTTAGTTATTCTCGAAGGTGTGCATTCCTAAATTCTTTTGTGTTTTTCGGCGCTACAAAATCTCCATTGTTCAAGTCGATTTCATCTTTGTTTTTAGTGTCATAAGAACACTCCCTCTCTGCTCGTAAATAATAGTTATTATTTTGAAGATCTCTGTACTTTAAGAAAGCCTGATATCTATCTTCATAGAGATAAGAACGTCTTATTCGCTCCACTTACGCCTGTAATAAATCATTTACGTTGTTTATGGCGATTTGATTTCAGTGACGCCAACACTTCTCGGTAATCTTTCCAATAGCTGAATCTTACTTTTCCGCCTCTATTATCTGAAAACTTGTGTTGTTTTTCTAGGCATTTCTAAGCTTCCTTCAACTACGCAACCTCTTTCGGCTACCAGGAGTTTCACGAGGCGGACCCAATCTACAGAATATAGTACCCAAGTGAGTGGTAGTAATAATTGTTTACATGTTTTTTAGAAAAGGTTATTGCTAGAGATAATTTAATGAACTGAATTAGACGAACAGTTTGATGAACCCATCTTTTAGAGCAACTGTCTTTCTCAAAAATATTTTCATGACGTATTTTGTAACTGAACCTAATCCTCTTAGCCTGCATTCATCTTTCAATATCAAAGATCTTTAAAAGAGATTTTTTCAAGAATTTTCTGGTACACAGAAGTATTGAATAAACTTACAATGCCTTCGCACCTGTTCGTGTAAAACTGAAGTCGTTTCTTATAGTCATGAATCAAAACCTGAAGACAGCAGATCGCCAACGATAAAAACTCTTAAACTGACGTAATTTTGGAAGACTGTAACTTTCTCTTTGAACTCTGATGTCTTCTATCAAGTTGTCTGAAGAACGTAAAGAAAAAGGTAACAAAAAACGGTTACAGTCGCGTGCTCGTGCTTGCGTTCGAATATTATATTTTTGGTGACCTTACCGAGAGGACTCGTAGCTGGAGCACATTATGAAAATAAATCGTACACTAAATAGAGGAGGACTCCTGGCTGGAGTATATTTGAAAGTAAACGATTTATTATATAAAGCATACGGGTTTACACTCGACAAGGAACAGTTGTATACGGTTGTAATAGGTGTATGACGACTCTATTGAAAAACTCCCATACTCGGTCCATGTACCTCATAAGCCCCAAGATGCTGAATATATTGATATTGTAACTAATCTGCCTCAATACAACTGTTTTTCCTGTTCAATCTCAACCTTTAGTATACATCAAAAGCACATAACCAAGGTCATAAGCTTTTGTATCCATTTAATGTTTACCTCCGTGAAACACTCTTAATTGATACGCTAAGAACTTTCTACGCATGCCAAACTGTAAATATTTCTCTTTTGAAATAATAGCGGTTTTACCGAAAACCCCTTTATTGGCAAATTGTTTCTTATTTTGTCGGTCTTAGGGAAGAACTGAACAAAAAGAAAAACAGTGCTGTCGCATGTTTGATTTTGAACATAAAAAACATAAACTACGGATTACCGCCGTTGCATGTAAACCATATTAACTATTGTGGGCTTGATTCCCCATCGATGTTTTTCCTTTTCATGGTGTGACATTGGTTTACCGCATCATCTATTTCACCTTGTCATTTTGCACCAAATGTCACATAAACTTGCAGGGGTGCTAGTTTTTCACTCTCTTTTCCTGGTTTTGGATGAATTTGTTTTCAATTGAGGCTTTTCGCTTTGACGGTAATTTCAATTTGACTTTTTCCTTTTGCCTTCAATGTGCTTCTTGACTCAGTGCAGTATTATTTAGTATGGGCTTTCCTTCACTCCAGTCAGTTGGGATGAAATGAATAATTTTTTAGCTGTTTTTCTTTTCTCGGATCTATCGCAAAATCCTGTGACTTTCCACGTGTTCCAAATTCAATTAATGCCCTCCTTCCCTCGTCCCCGAAAAAGGAAAATTATACAAAAAGATGTTTTTCGTCATATCACGAGCGTGGGATAAAGAAAAATTCTGAGTTCCCTTGAGGAATCGGACCTCAGTCCTTCGGATTCCGCGCTCCGATGCTCTACCACTGAGCCACAGAGGCTCTACGGTGAGCGAGATCTATTACGGTCTATTTCATATGACACCCGTCCTGCATACTGCTTGGATCAGCAATGGCGATAGCGTCATGTTTAATAAGAGAGACGATAGGTTTTTTGAGCTCGATAAAGAAATAGAGAAAGATGTTTTGTTCGTCTTGTCACGAGCGTGGGACACTTATTCTATTTACAAGGAAAATTTTTATTATCAGTTCAACATTGTGTGATCTATTCAATCTGGCAATTAGGGTCTTTCATTCTTCTCTTAGCCAACCACCGTCAAATTCGAACAAAAAGAAACAAAAGGAACTAAAAGACCCCAAGATGCCAAAACAGATCCCACCAAGAAGACGAGTGATAGTGGATTCAGACGAGGAAATGGGACCGAAATCAGCCAGGAATGGAGACAGTCAAGCAGTTCGTGTAAGCCTCTCTCTATCTCTCTCTCTTTCTTCTCGGATTCTTACTGATATAATTGCACTATTTTCCACTTCAGGCCTAGGGGTAAACATAAATTGAGCACTCTATCCGACTCTCAGTTTTCTGACTGGGACCTCGATCTGACTGTCGGGTGTAAATACACAATGTTGTTTGCAGAGTTCATTGTATCCTATTTTCACAGATAATATGGGACCGTTTGTAGATTAGGCAGGAACGATACCTTTTGAAGAAAAAAAGAAACGGTTCTTTAAATTGATGTACTACAAATGGCACGTCTGACCAGTTTGATTGTTTGAAAAGTTTTTACCATATTTGAACGGTTTCTCGAAATTGCGCTCAAGAAAACCTTGTCAACATTCTCCACTCGCGGGGTTGAGAGAAAGAAAAGAGGAGAATGTACTTGGTTTTTGCGATTAAGCAATTTTCAGTTAAATGTTGAAAAACCAAAGCCAAAGCTATCACAGGGACCAATCAGAAAAGAGATTTACAACATCACCAGCCAACGAGGACTCGTAGTGGAAGCGCATGACCGAGTCGAATGGCCGAGTCGCGATTATTTTTAGTTTTGCATCTACTTGCTTGAGAGGATGACGTAACTTTTCTGGACTAGTCACAGGCAAAGTTGGGTAAAACCAAAACAATCCAGGTTTTGATTAGACACCACTCAAAATTGCTCCATGTAAGAAAAAGTTACTTCCTCTATTGTTAGATAAATTACAATATGCAAACTTGCATAACTGATCCATCTCTTTTCAAAGTATTGAAAGGAAATGAGCTAACTTTTACATGATAAACATAAATAGATAAATAGATTTTTAAATAAAAATATAATCAAAAACATATATATTTATATACAAAAGAAAACATTCAACTATCAAATTAGTAAATTAAGCAAAAAAAACTTTCATTGTGACTTGGATAATTTAACTAATTATATAATTCTTCCTTCTTTTCATTACTCTTGGGAACGCACGTATCTTTAACTCTGACATTCAGTTTGCTTCTCTGTTTACAGAAACTATTTCGTTTCTTTTCACGGAAGCATAATCCACAAACAGCTCTTGTTATTCGCTACGCTATCTGCTTTTTTCTCGGTGGACTTGTTGGACTTATTCCTTACTTAGTTTTCGTGATTGAGCTCTGTAAAGGTTTGTCTGTCTCTTTTATTCTTTTTCTCTCTTTTCCTTCTAATTCTCTTGGTCTTCGTTCCTCGTTTCTTCCTTTACATTACTCGCTTTCTTTCCACTCTTCATCGTTGATTGATTGATCCATTTATGTATTCTTTAAGCTGTCCTTTCGTTCATTCGTGTTTTCATTTCTCCCATCTATTCTTCCTTTGTTCCTTATTTCTTATTCACCCATTCACTTAACCATTTTCTCATCCGTAACTTCCGACCTTATCTGTCAGCGTGTTCCTTTTTTTTTTTTTTTCTATCAGAAGAAGTTTTTTCGGTCCGAGCAAATTATTCATGGAAAGGTACTAATCTTGACTAAAATCGAAAGTTTACAGATTAACATTTGATTGTAACGCTCAATATCCACAGCTAACTTAGAAATGAGAAATCCCCATCTTCCTTCAATAAATGGATATTCTAAACACAAAGATGTACCCAAAAATGAAGCTCTCACCTCTTTCAGTGAAATTAGTAGTGCTCCTGTCATCACTACAGCTTACGTTGGTAAGTGTCCAAAAGTATTAGCCGACGTAGTTTTGCTCCATAAATGCTTCAGTCTAGATAGCTGGGCGAAAGCACAGAAAATGGCTTGAACCTAGGAGTAATAGTTGAATCATCTCGGGATTTCTCTGACTTTTTCAATTCTCCTTCGCTTATTTTGCGAGACGGCAGTTGTTCTTAAGTCTTCCTTTGAAATTTTGCGCGGGAAATTGGCGCGCGGGAGACCAGAATCGATCCCCTCGCGCATGCCCTTTGTTTGACCGCTGAGTTGGACTGTTGACGTTTCGCGAACCTGACCGTAAGCCATGTCTCACTTGACTCTGATGATGACTTCCGCTAAGGTTGTCGAAATACCAGTCACTTCTACAGACACATTCCATTCAGGAAAATCCTCATTAGGACGGTCAGAATACACGCTCAGTTGTGATAAAGTAATAGACAATAGAGAATACACAATTCTGTGAAATTAAGAAAGACCGTCTTAACATTTTCTTTGTTGATCTGTTCAGTACTGCATAGGATGACATTTACTTTTAAACAGGTAAATCGACATCTAATAGTGCAGAATTAAATTAATCGCATCTATTTGCTTACATGATAATAAAATAATAAAATTTATTACAAGAGATATAAAAAGAGCACTAAACAGTAAACATAAAAAAAGAGAATTTCTTCTAATATTTTATCCCTTAAGGATGAATTGCGACAGTTTATCTGCCTATTTTATCCGACACTGAGCTAGGTCACAAAAAAGAGTGGGTGTTCCCTTAAATACAGCTACTACCGTGACTCACTCATAATCAGTGAAACAGAAACCATAAGTTGATTCCCTCTAAATCACAGCTAATATGTGCATGACTATCAGTAAAGGGATTATTACGCTATTAATTGTCTTCTTGCGCTATCCCTTTTTTCATTGCAGATGTAAACTTCACCACACTAAGTAGTAACTCAACTGGTATCACGACACCCCGACCCACAAGAGTAGTGACAACAGAGAAAAAGGGTGGGTATTCAGTCATACGTTTCAACACAATTTCCCCCAAAAAATAACGAAAAAGTATGGACATGGGTGAAGTAGCAAGGGGAGGGGGTGAGAGGCGGGGTAGACACCTCCGAATGAAAATTTGGAGGGGATAGTCCACCCCCCCCCTTTCAGTTTCGTGGTTCAGTGTAGAAAACATCACCAGTGCAACGTGAAATTGTCCTGGGAAAATATTCAGTGGCATCATGCTTAGTTAAATAGTATGTTGTGGTACTTTTTTGAACAACTCAAGCCTGCTCATGAATTTCTACAAGTAGGTAACAGATCCCAAAGATGTTTTCTTGTCGTGGCCAATGAACCATCCTTAAGACGTTTTGAGACACCTGAATGGGCCTAGGGGCATGGAATTGGCTCGGTGTGCAATAGTGAGATTCCCTAACCACCCTCCCACCCCCCCTCAGCCTTCCCCGCTCTCACTCGCCACAAACATTTTTTTATAAAAAAAGGTCCGCCACCTCCAACAAAAAGTCACCCTAAATTATATAAGAGTTACTAAGTCTATACTCGAGGCCAAGAGACCCAAGCTGACCATGAGCACATTTCCTCTTGTTCTGGGTAAGGTTTATTTGGTCCTTACCTATCATGAAGAATATTGTTTGTATACATCCTTTTGTGAGAAAAGACATTGAAAGAATTAGCCGTTCTTTTCACCGTTCGATGACTTAGCATTAGTATAGCAGTGAAACTGCAGTGATACTGCGAAACGTTTTCGCGTACAAATGGTGATTTGAAAATTTTCTCCCAGCTGAAGGGACAGGTAATGACGACATCTCTCTCCAGTGTTCCGGGACCATAACGGTCATTCGCGTTCGAGCGTTAGGGATCCCTGGGGATACTTCTACCGTGGACGATTTCAACAAGCACTGCCAAGCGAATCTTGGACAAGTGGATGGGACAAATGTATGCATTGTGAGCCTCAAACGGGTTTATAAGTCCCGTTATCCACCTTTCATAAAGACTGTGGTCACTTATACTTGTTCATACACTGAGGAAATCAGTTAGCGATAGTCGTGAGGGAACAGGGTAGAGGCTTTAAATACAACCATATGATTCTCACGTGATGAGGAGCAATCCCCAGAGGATTCCTAATTGCCTCCCCCTCCCCACCACCGCCAATTCTAAGAGAACAATAGAAATAGCTAATATGCGTAAAATTGGTACTTTTTGTACGGTTAACGAAAACTGATAGATTACTCTCGGTTATTTGGTTGTCTAAAGGGCGGAGCCCACAGAGAGGAAAAATGATAAACTTAATTTGATATACTGATGGACGTAAATCCACTGGAATGCTGAGAATATGATTTCCTTCCTGATCGATGGTATACAAATACAAAAGAAAAGTTGTAAAAAGGAAACGTTGATATCAGATGCAGATACTGACGGTGGATTTTAAATGAAGACAAAAGTAATGTATTATAAAAATACGTAAATTCATTCACAAGGTTAATCACTGGTTTATTTCTCAAGAGTGGATCAGCAGGAGGAACGGCATACCAGTCATGTTACGGTCAGATTTTGCTATATTTTGAAAGGCACTTATTATGTTCATAATCACTTGCATTTGCTTTAGCAAATTGACAAAAGGACTATTTTACGCTCCCTTGATTACAATAGCTTTCTTTTTTTAATTAAACGAGGCTAAGATATACCTAGATATACTCAGAAGCTGCTCGGCAGAGTTGATTTATTGTTACCAGCCCCATGTTAGTTAAGCATGATTGAATTAAACGAAAAAGAAAAAAAGAAAATTGCTTTAGTCGCTCATCTGATCAGAAGACACAAATCATGCTTCATGATCGTTTTTGTCATGTCGAAGTAAGTTACACTGATACCCATTTCTGGTGAAGTGTTGTAATATTCATCGAGTCTACTAGTTAAGTAGATGATTCTCATCATACGACTAAATAAAGTAGTACATGTAGCATCAAACTTATCAAATGGCTACGCTCTTTTTATTTCACTTTAGACGGCTCGTCAACATTTGGCGAATAATTTTCTAATATTTTGGGTTTGAATTTCAAAGGACTCCAAAACAATAGGTCAAAAGATTTCTACCAATTTTTTATCAACCCTTTCACTCCAAAGATCTATCAGCAATTCTCCTTACTGTCTGTCATACAATTCTTATTATGTTTTTTCTGAGAACTTGATATTTGATTAACTAATAATCCCCTTATTGATATTTCAAGTTTAACTCTCCTCACTTGTCTGCTTGATATTGTGTTGGTATTATAAGGAGAAATTCTGTCTTGGTCACTCATGGGAGCTAAATAGTTATGAAATAAGTCATGGTTGCTATTTTTCCTTTCACAAAGAAAAAATTTGGATGGGCCCTTTTACCCAAAGGGCTGAGGATTTGAACAAACCAGTCTTCATAGGTTCATATGCCCTAGGAGGTTGGCCTCTGAAGGAGGGTGGGATTTTGAAGCTTTGAATTGACTGACGTATTACTAGGTAACTGGTTTGTTATGAAAAAACACAAAGACTCTAGAGAGGCCTTTAATAATCTTTTATTACTTTAGCTGGCATTCTGTGCTACTTGTGTTTTCCCTGGTTCTTCGGGATGGCAATAAATATAGCAAAATATCTAACAGGAAATACATATTGAGAGTACACGAAAAATGTAAAAATAGTCCGCTTTAGTGAAATTATAATACTCTGTTCTACATAAATTCTGTGATTAAGTTATAAATACACAACAAGATGCCTTTTCATTACTAACAGCAATAAGCTTTTGACTCATGAACAATGATGTAATTACGAATATTTGTTCTGAAAAATAAAGTCAAATAAACATGTATATTACATGGTAATAGCACAACCCATTTAAAATTAAAGTCATAAAATAAACAATGGTGTGCATGTGCATCTTTTGATTTGCTTAAAATCCAAATACTAACAATAATTCCTTGTGATCCTAATGAAGTAGGATTTTCAATAGATGGTGCAGCTAATACAAAACTTGAAAATTTTTAAAGAGCTTAATGTAGTGGAAAGAACCCTCCAGGGCTGATATTCAGGGTGGCAGACGAAGGAAACCTTCTGGCTGTCACATCAATTAATGCCGGCTAATTGAATTATAATCAAAGATACAAATGCATGTGTCCCAACCTCCCTAAAAGCGCAGGCCATGCTTGCTTCCAAAGCATAATTCACTTCAGCCACCCAAATAGTCAGACTGTACATGCCTTACATTTCTTAAAGACAACCCCGGATACTTGCCTTTCCTGTTTCTCATAAAAACTTTCCTAGTTTCACAAATTGCTAAATATATTTACTGCCCTCCAATAAAAAATAAAGCAACACTCTTTTAAACAACATAATAAAATTTGAATATTCATTTATATTAATATATATGTGATACAGTGTACATGCACATTCCTTGTGACAAGTTTAATTAAAATTTATTATTACTTAATTAAATAACTAATCAATTAAGATTAAATGCTGTGTTTTGAATTAACTTAAAACTGTATCTCATGCAAACCTCTAAGTTGACTACATGTCCAGTTTCTCCAATCAAATCTTAGATGAATAACAACTATGTGATTAGCAAGGGTTTCAATAACTTTTCTCATAAGCAGCTGTCAATGTTTAAATAGGCGGCTGTGCTGTTAGGAGAAACCCAAACATAACAGTTAGCTCGCAGGCTAAACAAACAGCGGTGACAGGTCGCACAGGCAGCAGTAGACTGCTGGTAACTGCCTTTTATCAAAACCCCTGGATCAGTGCAGGTACACTAGCAGATTTAGTACTTAATCATAACATTTTCCTATTTTACCACATGGCAATATAACTACTAGTTCTTTTGGATACACTAAAACAAATTCATTTAATCATGACTTCCTTAACCCTTTAACTCCCAAGATCTCATTGGTAATTCTCCTTACTGCCTTCCATACAGTTCTTGTGATGTTAGTTGGGAGAATTTAGTATAAGATCAACTTATACTCGCCTAATTGATATTGTTCTTTATTCTCATCACTCGTCTACTTGATATTGTATTGATATTGTATGGAGAAATTCTGTCTTGGTCACTCATGGGAGTTAAAGGGTTAACTAAACTTAACATTTACAATACTGGAGCAATGAAGGGAACAAAAATTAGCACAGAAAAACAACAAAAAAAAACAATTTTCCCTCCTTTATAAATCTTTCATCACCAATTCTTGAATCTTCTTAAATAATTTCAATAAAATATAAAGCAGCACTAATGCTGTTTCTTTTTTTTTTTTTTTTTTTTTTTTTTTTTTTTCAATTATCAAGAAAAAGCTGGAAATAAGACATGTATCCTTCTCACTAAGAACCATTTCCCTCCCAAGCTCTAAAGATCAATTCTCCTCACTAACTGCCACACATTTCTTATAATTACAGATCTGAGAATTTGGTGAGAAATAATATGATATCCCTCATCACCTTTCTGCTTCAAAATATATGGATATTGTAGGGAGAAAGTAATACTTGATCAATCCTGGGAGTGAGATGGCTGATGACTCTTAATTTTGTTAATTTGTTATTGCAAAATGACCAAAAGATTTCTCAAAATTTATAATTGCTATTTTCATACTTTGAGGATAATAACTTAATATATATATAATCAAAATGAAATCTCTAAAATTGGTTAAAAAGCGTAAGACTGGCTCAATAAATGTCTGGTAGATATCTAATGCATTAAAAATAATCTTTTAACAGCACTTGGAGAAAAATATTGAATACAACAATATATCTTTATGATCGTGACTTTGGTATGCTGATATTTTCACTGTTGTCACTTCTTTGATACCTACCATTAATTTCTGAGGTATTATTCTGTGAGAAAACGTTATCGTGAGATCTTCCACTGTCCTCAGTGGCATCATTTTGTGAAAAGATTCTGTCGTCTTCCTTAATTCCATGTCTGGTCACCATATGTTTCTTTAAGTTATGACCAATAATAAACTTGCTTCCACATAACTGGCACTGAAATGGCCGTTCTCCTGTGTGGCATCGAACATGAGCCTTAAGCACATTGGAACGAGCAAAGGTTTTTCCACAGTAGACACACTTAAAAGGCTTGACCTTTTGGTGAATCGCTAGATGCTGGTTTAGATTTCCACTTAAGTTGAAGCCCCAGCCGCAGATTTTACAGATGTAGGGTCGGTCTCCAGTGTGGGAACGTTTGTGACGAAGCACAGAGTTTGCAGAGTCAAACTGCTTATGGCAGATATCGCAGCTGTACTCCTTCATATCCAGGTAAGGTCCACCCTGGGGGTGTGTTGCAGCACTCTCTGTGTGGTCCTCCTGATCAGGAGAAGCACCCACAACATCAACAACTCTTGGCAGAGATGGACCCGAATGAACTGGTGCTGAAAGGCCATCTTGAGAACTTGTTGGCAAGACTTGTTGGCTAAGGGCATAATTCTGCACAGAAGGACCCATGGTGCTGTTTTCTCTTTCAGGGCTACTACCCAAATGTGGTTGACTTCTCTCCTCAGAAGTATTTGGCTCTGGTGAGTGGCCATTTGACATGGAAAGAACTTCACTGGGTTCTGTCTTAACTTGGATTGTGTTTGGTAAGACTACTATTGCTGTTTTTGGAAGAAAGGTTTGTGCCTCATGAATATCTAAGTGAGAACCTTGTTGACTGTTTCTATGTGAGCTCAGCCCTCGGCCACCATGGTTTTGAAGAGGACTGTTCTCTGAACTAACAAAGTTTGAGTCCGAGTCATTCTCTCCACCACTAGTTTCCCTTGAGTCACTGTGGATGTCAATAACAGCTGGATGGTCATCACTAATGGCAGGACTTGACCCATTTGTAGAAGAGCTTTCAAGATTTGGAAAATTGGCAAAGCCTGCTGAATCTTCTGCTGAAAATGCTGTTACAGTATCACTGCTATAGATGTCTCTATGATGGTTTTCTGTTTCCATTTCTTCCCCTGTTCCTTGCAAGGAAGGTCGATAGTTTCCATTTTCGGTGCTGTCACACAGTCCTGGGGAATCAACAGCTTCAGGATGACTTGCAGACTCATTTGCAACTGCATCAAAACCCTCCCTGTTTTTCTCGGACAGTAAATTTGTAGAATAAATTACTTCTCCATGCATGGCCTTCCTATGAAGGACAGGATTAGGACTTGATGTTGGAGACACTTTGCGTTGGAAAACCGATTTTCTAGCTGTCTTCTTGCGACGTGAAACTGAAAGAATGCTTGAGCGAGTGGGGAAATAGGTACCATCTCTTCTTGCCAAAAGCAAAGAGCTTCTATTGTTTTCTCTGTGATTTGCAGAATTTCTAGTGTCAGATTCAGGTGAGATTGCAAGAGTTAAAGGTGTTACAAGGCTAGCAGGTTGCCCAGGCTGTGTTATGACTGATGATGTTCCTTGAGGGGGATTGAATGGCAGATTTAACGAGTGTGGTAACCTTGCCATAGTGGAACTGTTCCCCTCAGAAAACTGTCTAGTATTTGCGTCTTCCTTGGAAACTGGTTGCACAGGATTTCCTGGTTCTGGATAAAAAACATGAACAATTTCTTTTTAAAACAAAGCTGTTGAATCCAAATTAAATCTTGGCCATAGAAAGTTGAGTTTGAATCCCCTCAACAGAAACTTAATGTATCACAGGTCTCCAGTACTGCATGTTTTGGACAACTGTGTTATGATAAGAAGCTTAACTTTTTGGTCTGTTACAGAGTCAAACACAGAATTTGCTAGCTTATTTACTCTTTAACTCCCATGATCCAATTGTTAATTCCCCCCTCTTGATGCTACACATTTCCTGGTAAATACGTAACAAGGATTAAGAGTTAGATCAAGATAACAACTTCTACAAGATAAGTTTTAGTATTCTCAGCATCTGTTTGCTGGATAATGACTGGATATTCTAGGGAGAAGTTACATGTTGTACACCTCAATGAGTTAACCCTTTACACCCTAACATCAGTATGCATATACTCCATACTGTTTTCTAGACATTTCCTAAGGTGTTGACAAGGAGAATTTGTTCATCAATCAAGTGGATATTTAGTTGGTGATCATTTCCTTTATTCTCATGACCTTACTGTGTGATGCAGGGGTTATACTGTTGGGAGAAATTAGATGTTAGTCACTCTCAGCAGTTAAAGGGTTGAATGGTCCAAACAGATTTTACTGTAATTTTGCTTTTGAGAAGGAAAATTACTTGGAATTTGTATTTTTTTGCAAAAATATTTGTTATCATTTCTGTTCAATCAAGCACATTTAACCTTGCTTCAACATTCTATTCACCCACAAGCCTGCCAAAATATTTAATTTTGGCACAGTAATTAAGTTGAGATGATAGACAATGGAGAAGTCTATAATGACCATGCAGAACGCAAAAAGAATATAAATAAAATATAATCATCTACACAGTAAGGGGTCATTTTCTCTCAAGAATTAAATGTTGCATGCTCTCCTGCAAATGGAATCTAAACAAAGATGTTCAATTTCAGCATGATTGACACTTTGTAGTTATCAAATGTTTTTCTTGGTGTTTTCAAATGCATACACAACTACATAAGTGCATTCATGCAGATGTCCACGATAATATTTAATTTTGCACAGTAATTGTGCTGAGGAGATAGGAAGGTGTTCGATTTTAACATGATTGACACTATGTGGTTACTAAGTATTTTGGCATTTTCAAATGCAAACGCAATAACCAAATTCAAAATTTCCTGAAGAAAAATTTGTCAAGACTTTTTTGCATTTAGTCACCACTCAATTTAAATGTTGTAATTGTACATGCATTTGAAAACACCCAAATTTTTTACATGTAATCACCACAAAGTGCCAATAATGTTTAAATCAAATACATTCCTTCAGGTGCTTTTTGTTGAAAAGCATAAGTTTATATGCAAAATATAATTGTTGAGAGAAAAATTGATGATCTTGTGCTGTATTATCGTTTACATTCAATTTTTGTCAAACTTGTGTGTACTGCTCTTAATGTTGCTCTTTTTCAGTTCCAATTTGTGTCACTCAAATTTGTCTTATCTTTGTCCACAACCAGCTTAAATGATCTAACTAGAAAAACTAAACTAAAACTAAATGTTTGAGTACATTTACCATGAGTGATTATTTCATATTTTGCTTCTTCCAGAGGAGATTGATCTAATGTTAATACACAGGGCAGTGGATCATTTGTATCAGGCTTCAGTGCAATCACTGTTCCTTTATTGCTGGGATCTGCTTGGTAAAGCAGTTTAATGACACTCAAGGTTGTTCCACGTTCAACTCTAAGGATTGGTTGGCCATTCTTGAAAAGTAAAACCTACAAGCAAAAGAAATATTGTTTCAAATAAGCACAAGTTGTGCTTTGTAAAGATCTTAAATTGTTACTCACAATAATTCTATCATCTGTGATGTCATTTTACCAAATCTGGTTGAAAAAAAACACAAAGTATTGGATTGTTATTCAAAACAGTGTCCCAGGTAAGTGGTTTACAACAGAGAACACACAGACAGAGAAACAGGGATTACAGTAAGTTTTAAAGTACACAGCAAAAACTATAAAGTAGGCAGAAGCTCTATCTTTAGTCTTTTGTTATTAATTTCAAAGAAAAAAGGCAGTAATTTTGCTGGATTTTGTTGAAACTCTTTATAATGGTAGAAACCACTGGAATGAAAGGGAAAATGATTTAAAACATAGTTCTTTCAATAAAATGGGTAGTTCAGAATAGCAAGTGGATAGTTTAAAGGCCTAGAGAGCCCTTGTTCTTAAAGAGATGCAGGCTTCTTTAGAAAATTCCCTGAAAATCTTGACTCTTGCAGTTGCATTTTCCAGCATTTTGAGGTTTATTCTGACTGATGTTCCTTTGTTGTTCCACAAAGTCAACTAATTTGAAGAGAATTGTGTGAAAGTTAGGAGTACAATTACATTTGTGTTAGGGCTTCAAGCAGTTGGTCAATATGGCACAAACACATAGATCCACCCACCCCTTGCCATCTATTTAAAATTCTAAAAACTAGTTCTCAGCATGCCGATAAGATTTTAACTGGTGAAATGTTGGCAATTCACTGATTTTCACTCTGGATTACATCACTCGCATGTACCGCAATTGAACAGATTGAGGCGTAGGTTGCATGACATATGAGTGCAAGTTCTGCTCACTGAATATATTTTGCACCACAATGTGCAAAATATTTTCTTAGTCAAACCATCATAAACAGTCATTTCATATTTCACATCAACATTTTTTTGGCAGAAAAATAGGACAAAATGGTGCATACCACTAGTCAAAACAAAATCCCACAGTTTGCAGACAATCGTGCTTCAACGCATGCAATTCAAATTTGGTAAACATCATTTTCCATTGGGAATACTAACTAAAAAAAAAAAAGGTGAACTACATTGTATATTTCATCATAATCACCAAAATTAACTTCATCATCAAAGTAAGCATGTCTAATCTATTCTATTGTGACAGGTAATTATCCCTCTACTTTTGCGACAAAGAGCTTAGATCCACCCTAGATAAGAAATAAGCTACAAATGTCTTTGATTTTTGAAACAGCCCAAAAAAACAACATGATGATGTAATGACTAAAGTATAATATATCAGAACAACCTTCTGTACATCATTTGATGTTGAATTCAACAATTAACAACACTTTAGAGGGCACACCTGTAAATTTTTCCAATAGAAACCCTGACAATACGTATAAATTCAATCAATACAAAAGTTCCAGAAATGAAAAATCAACGGCGGTTCAGAGTACACGTTTTAGCTCACAGGGTGAGACTGTATTTTAACCCAACCTAAATCACAATACCTGTGAAAAATATAGACTTATCATAAAAACTTAAATACGATTCAGTATTTTTAACATCAGTGACGTAGGATACGTTCATCAAAGCTCTCAGTATATATAAGAACTACATATTACGTTTACGAACAACATTTACATGCCCAAAACCTCATTGTCATACCATTAGTATGTTCATTGGTTCCCATTTATCAAAAAATCACTTGAGCAAAAATGGAAATAGGAATCAAGTAAGGTTCCATTTTCTTTGAACATTTCCCTTTCGTATTCTATACTTAAAACTCCTTTTTCGAAATGTTTGAGTAAAGTGAATATCTATAAATGAAACATCACCACACCACGCGCTCAAAACTGCAAAATTCTAGAGTGAATGATCTTCAGCAAATTTTCAAAACTCTAGTAAATTACGATAACATTCGATCATCAAACGAAAAAAAAATTCCCTTCATCTTAAGCAATTTCGTCTACAAAAAACAAGCCCCTACTTCCGAGAAAGAATTCAATAAAAAATGCGAACACGTTAAAATCGTTGACAATTGATTCACACATTCTTGTCAGTGAATGAAAACGTGACTCCTGTCACAACTCGAAAACTTAAATTCCATTTCCTTTCAATCAAAATCTCTTATCGTTGGTAAAGTCGTTTCTCTCTTTCTTCTTGTAACAAAATGGAAAAAAGTTTGTATTATTTACCTCATTTTGCCGGACTTGAATACGTGATAACTCGGACGCCATATTAGAATAAAAACTGAACAAAACATTTCCCAGAGATCTTTATTTTCTCGGTCTTCATGAATGACGTGACAAAATTTTTTCTCGGTGGAGGAGAGGTGAGCAACACGCATCGGCCTAAAAATGTCACGTAACTGTCCAAAGTACAATTTTTTTTTCTATACTATAAGATTTTCTTAATATTTCGATAGTTTGGAAGTGATTATTTTATGTAATGCGGGTGCTTTAGGGTGAAATAAAAGGTAACCAGACTTATTTTCCCTAGGCCACCCCAGTCAGTACAAGAAGACGACCTTCACCGGCGCTAATTATCAAAACCGAATTTTCGAGCACGCCGGAAAAACCATGTCGTTCTTTACCGAAGCAGAACACAAGTTTTTATCTATCCCTGAGGATATCAGAATTGAAACGAAATCATTCTTAGATGCAGCAAGTGAAGTAGTTCCCTTTTTCGGTAAGCACCTTTCATTCTAAGATAAAATTCGCTATAGACATATTCGAATGTACAGCTCATGCAATGAAAATTTACATCATGTTTAGACTACCGCGTAATTACCAATGCTTACGTGTCAAATCATGTGCCATGATTTCACTTTGATTTCAAGAACCGATTTATTCGAGAGTTCATCTGTGTAAAATCATTAAGGTCAGTTTGGCGCGTTCGTCATTTCGAAATTTAATTTAGTATTTTTGTGGGATCTAAAAAACAACTCTGACCTGCTGTTTAGAGCGCTGGCAGACGCTTCTGCTGTGAAACTTCAGCTTATTTTTCCCACAGCTATTTTAAATTCTTAAATTATTCATGCATGATCTTGATGAATAACACTGCAGACCAATTTGAAAAACGCTGGAAAGGAAATAAAACGATATTGAATCGTGAAAATTTATGTTGATTTGAAAACAATGGCCAAATGCATTTTTGAATTATGCCGTTAGACTGACACTTGCAATAATTACTAATCAGTTATCAGCCGCAAATTCGCGATTTCAGCGTCGGCTAAGGCTAAGTATTGATATGCTCAGAGAAATATTAGTCACCGTCAGAATAGAGAAAGATTGGAAGCAATCAGAAGAAAGTATTGAGGGCTAAGGAAAATTTTAATGTGCCACATTGCACAGCTCTATTGCAGTGCACAAAAATGTTAGGTTTTTCTTTTGAATTGTCTGCCACAAGTTTTACAACAGCAGTTTATATGGGTGCACTATTTGGATGATATGAAACTAGATAATTACTGGAGATAGGAATGTGAATTTGCTAGTCTGCAAAGGAGTATTGTGTGGCATCTTGTCTTGGCAATAATGCAGTTTAGCAAAATCATGCAATCCTTATGTCATCAATTGCAATATGGAAGTGAACATGATCTACAAATGAACAGCATGTAATTAGTTTGGCTACAGAAAGTGATATTTAGGCACTTCTAGGATAGCTAGTCCTATGATATTTTAGGGTGGTTAACAATTTGATGATCGGAATGTGATTTATCAGTTTGCCAAAGAGGTGTGGTTGACTGTCTCAGCATGTGAACAATGCATTTTTCAGTGTCTTGCATTTTAATTGCACAATCCACTTCATCATATCAATCACATTAAGGACGCCCCCATGATCTTCAAGGGAGAGGTTTGGAAAGGGAAAGTGGGATGGAAGTGATTTTATATGCAAGTAGTGAGATATTTTAAGGAAGAAACATTGAAGGTAAAAAAATAGATGACCAGACTTGGAAACTTGGAAAATTCTGTGGTTGGGTTATTATATTTCTGGCAAATATGAATTTTTGTAGGACTAACTTTCTAATTATGCATTTCGAAATGATATTATTGCTTTCAAAATTCCATCATTTATGGCAGAATTTTTCATCCACATAGGAAAGTTGGGTGCTAATTGAGTGATCCTATAAGAATGGATATTAATTGATTTAGCCAAAAGTAGTGCTAATTGTTGCAGAACAAGGATGCGTGCTGTAGTATTGAGTGTGATTCTTACGGTTGTGGGCATTTTTTATTGTTGTTCATTTGACAAGCTAGTGAGGTAGTACAGTCAAAACTTTAATTATCAGGACCTTGATTTTCCGGATTTTATGATTATCTGAACTTTTCGCTTATTCTGACTTGCTTCTCTGGTCATTTATATTGATATTTTTTGTTATCTAGACTCTTGATTATCCTTTCTATTAAGCCCAGTCCCCACGAGTTCGGATAATCAAGGTTTGACTGTATTGAGCACGTGACTGTGCTGCTAGTGCTGTGAAGTGTTGTAGTAATACCTTAATTTTCAGGACCTTGATTATCTGGATTTTACGATTATCTGAATTTTTCTGTTATTGGACTAGCTTCTCTGGTCATTTGGATTCATATGGACTCTTGATTATCCTACCTATTAAACACAGTCCCCATGAGTTTGGATAATCAAGATTTGACTGTACAAAGCACGTGACTGTCAAATTTTGGTCATCTGACCTTTTGACTCAAACAATAAATAATACCATGATGTTGTAACACAATCTCAATAGCAAATGGCGATTCAACACGGAAAAATGAATTTCTTTCCGGAAGTATGCTAGCTTTTTGTTCAAAAGAGGAGTTTTTCAAGCTTGTTGTCTATACAACTGTCATTAATAAGTCTCATATGAACATGTATGTAAATCTGTGCCTATTTTTGTTATATTATTTGAATCTGTTGTCTCTTAGCAATCGCATGATTGCACCAAACTAATACCTTCCTGACTTTCAAGTTTGATGCTCAAGGCATCGCGAAGTGACGACATTCATTCGCATCCATGATTTCCAAACTTAACTTTAAAAAAAAAAAAAAGACTAAATATAGTCAGAAAATGTTTGAAAAAGCTTATCTGCCTTTTTTCCAGGATACACTGATATTTAATCCTTATAATGCCACTTTAAAGGAAATCCTATAACTTCCTGATTTATCCACCCTTTTCTAAAATAGTTGTTTCTTAAGCTTTTTATATCCGGGGTTATAATATTACAGTGTATCATTACCTGTACATTGTACAGGTATCCTGCCTCTAAGGTGTATATGTAATGCTTCAAAAACATGTGGAAAACCAGAAGGTTATGTAAATATGCCCCACATGCCTTGATACAGTGCTATCAGATATTCTTTGATGTTTTATTCCAGGATATATTTAACTCTTGATGCTGTAAGTAACAACTCTAGGAAAATGGTTCAAAAGGTAGAAACACTACCTGCCACATATATTATAAATATTCAATAGAAACACTCATCCATTATGTTATTTAATGACTCTTAGAGTTTGAATGAAAAAAAAAGGACTTTCCTGTGAGAAAAAGAAACAAACAGGTGTTAAAAAAAACATACCACATGTTTTTTTTTTGAAGTAAATGTTTAACAGAGGCATTGAGAAACTTATCTAAGTGAGATACTAGATGTTATTATTACTAAAAGTTTGGAGGTGTTTCTTGTTCCCCTTAAAATGTGAATTGTTTTGCCCAAGAGGCCTGGATTTCTTTGCTGTATTTTTTCTCTTTATAGAGATCAAAAGCATTTTTCTGAATGTATAGTAAAGGCTTTGAAGAAATGAGCAAGTAGCATGTCTCTGGCTTTAGTAGGACTTGAGTCATATCTCTGAATCCTTTCACTCTTTTATGAGTGGTCAGGAAGTTTTTCCTCCTTATAATATCGAGACATTAGCAAGCAGATAGATGATAAACATAAGGGATAATGGTCATGAGAAGACCTGAGATTTTGGGAGTGAATACATTAACAAACATTCTCCATGAAGGATGGATACTCTTGCTGAAAATGTTTCCTTCATTGGATAAATTTTTATTGGGGCTATGTGACATAATAGTCAACTAACCACAGTCATCTTTGAAGCAAGGGAAATGGCAGGTGTGTGTGCAGTTTTCTCCTTATCAGGTGGTAACCAGTGAAATTTACTGCCTGAAATACCTCCTCTCAATGCCTAAAATCACTTGTAATTCTCAGAAATTCAATTGGTTAAAAGGATTGCTCCACTGATTTGAAATTTTATTCGACTTGTTGAGCTTAAATTAAGGAGAAAAGTGTATATGAAAAATAAAAACAATTGTTTTCTTTTTAGATGTGTTAGGACCAACAGCATTCGCTCCAGTCAAATCAGACATCAATGGTAACATAAAAGTAAGGCCTTTTCAAAGTTATGCTTTTTGTTATCTTGTGATGTTTTTATCTTATGATAGAGTATAACCTCTACTGAAACAGTAAGTCAGACTATAGACTCTATACTGTCCACTTCAGCATTCTAATCACTTGTTATTTTTTCTTCAAATGATTAACATTTCCTAGATTAGGAACCATGAAGTGTAGTTTTAAGATAAAATTCTTTTTAAAATCTATTTTGATACTCTATAGCAGTGTAGCTGAGTCTCTCTGGCTTTCAAAAGCTGTGAAAAAACCTCCTTTGTATTGATCCACTGGGTGGTTTTTTGGCAGAAAACAGGAAGTTTGTTTTTGGAGCAGTTTGGCTTATACCCCCCAGAGTTTATTCTCATTTCCATAGCAATGACCCCTCAAACCCCAAGAGTGACCAGCAACTATTTCTCCTTACAGTAACACTGCTGAATTATTGATTTAGATCATGAGAATAAAGGAAATGATCACCAACAGAAGAAGCATTGATTATTAAACAAATTCTCCTTGTCATTACCGAATTAAATGTATGAATAAGAGTAGAGAGAATATAGATAGTGTTGTCAGGGTCCAAAGGGTTAAAGGATTAGGGCTGTGGCTACTCTCCCTGAATGTGGGATCTTAGTCCATCACAGGGTACCTCCCAGTATTTGATTGAGTCTCCCTGATAGCTCACTGGAGCTGATTTATACTCTTGGATAGGGAGAGAGACACTGTGAGGGTAAGATGTCTTGATAAGAACACAACAGGATTAACAGGGCATTGCTTGACTTTGGACTTCATAATTCAGAGTCCACCAAGTCCAACTTTTGTTAGCAGAGAAGTTTCAGACTGGAAGTGTAAAAGCTTATCTTAAATTTCTTTAAATTTCAAACCAGTGAATGCATTTCACCTTAATTTGAATTTCAAGCCTTGTTTTTCAGGTATTTTTTTTTTTAAATAGAAAGTACTAATTTATCCCTCATTACGTTTCCTTCCAGAAACTAAGAGAAAAGTTCACCAAAGACCTAGAAAAGTTTAAAACTTTACAAGACATCGTAGAAAGTGAAATGGCAGAAAATTCTACCAAAGCGAAGAACTCAGCTACAGATGCTTTGTTATGGTTGAAAAGGTTTGTCTTGTTGAAAGGTTTTCAATTTCAAAACTATCTGTGCAACACATCAGGGAGATATGTAGTATCTTATTATTGTAAGTTCAGTGTTTTCGTGTGCTAACTCATTCTTAATCGTTTCTAAGTATTGAGAAAGAAGTCTGGAAATTCTGGGAAGAAGCCTGAAGATTTTCCTAGCAACATAAATTTCCTGATGGCTGGGTGAAACACTCTAAAGGGAACTGAATCTCACTTTGATTGCACTGTTTAAAATGTTTTATGGAGACAGAGAATTTTCATCTTCAAGGCAAGCCCTTTGACAACTTCTCTTTTGCTGAGGCCATTTGATTTGATTCAAGGTTAAACTACAAATCTGGAAAATGAAAATAATGGTTTCCAAAAAGCATACATGTTAACTCTTTTCCTTTCGGCATGACTGTTATAACTGCAGATGAAAAACTTACAATTCGTACCATGCCATGGTTGCCTACCAGTTTCTCATATGTAACAAAGAAGTGTCTGCTTCTGCAGCCTTGACGAACAGATTTTCTTCAGATACGCGATGTGAAATAGGCTTAAACGGGGCTTAGAAAAGAAAAGTCACCATAAAGTTGCACACTTTCATAGATTTATCTTGTTAAGCTATTTTTACCATTTTGTAGTCATTATTCATAGTTATGCAAGATACATGTGCTTGTCAGCATAGAAAGTAAATAACATTATTATGAATGATGCCATTTCATCACGAAATTCGGAACATTGTGGTAGTTACTTCTCCTTAACATGTTTTTCTACAGGGCTCTCCGATTTATCATAGTCTTTCTGAGAGAGGTTCTGACTGGTGAGGAAGATCTTGTGAAATGCGCCAAAAAGGCATATGAGAATTCTCTGAAGAGATTTCATGGGTGGATGGTTCAGGGAGTTTTCTCAGTAAGTTACATTGGTAAAAACATGATTTTTTGACATTATGGCCATACAGAAGGTCACCTTTTTTTAGATACCTAAAAATAGTTTCAATGGCAGCTTCCTCCACAAATAAGGCAGAAAGGTTGCATGCTAAAACAAGCTTTCAAATTATGTAATACAGTGTACTATGGATGCCACAGTATTTGAAAGAGATTAGATTTCCACATGTTGTTTAAGGTTTGGAATCAGGATTTTGTGATTGGGCTTTACGTCTTACCTTGGAGATGATGTTGAGGATACGTGTTAATATTTTGTTTAAGCAGTGTCTCTTAATCTTGAGGTGCTAGGTTCAAGACCTTCATCTTTCATCCTGCCTCAACGTTATCCATCACTGCTCTTGCACATGTTTATCCACGTGTAGATCCCTGATTCCTCACAACTTCCCAACTTGAACACCAACAAGCTCATAGAAAGTTGTGAAGATCCTCAGTTGTGAAGTATTCACTTGAAAACATCATTTTACTCATTGCATGGGACAACAACAACAAGAAGAAAGCTTCAAGCACAAACAGTGTTGATGTTAAGCTGTAGGCACTCCCATTGAAGATCTTTCTAGAGCTATCCTAGACTACCCCTGTGAGTTTGATTGGGACTTGTAAACCAGAATTTGTAGCCTAGCTTGGTGGCTTTTCACTCCCCAACCTCATGGCATTTCTGTAAGCACTGATCACCACTTTTCTGAGTGTACACAACAAAGGCCTTTCTCTCTGTAAATTTACATTTTGCCTTGAAGAAATGTTTGTGGTTAGACACTGTGCATTCCAAATTGATGACGTAGGGCCATGGAGCTCAGGAGATCTTCTCTGATTGGTTAGAACTGTGTGGAAATGATCAAAACATGTTGTAACTAATAGGATGCAGTAAACGGCCCATTCTCTGAACAGCTAAGTGAGGGGTGTGAAATTTCACAGGTCAAACCTCAGACAGCACCCTAGTTGGGTAGGGATTGAACAGGAAGAGATTGACGTCAACTCAGTAAGCTCACTGTGTCACACCAATGTGGCTCCAAGCTTGAAATTTATGCAGATTCTCATCCAAAATGACTCAAATCTCTGTTGAGTCCAAATCTTTAACACTGCAACTGGGAAGAATTGGAAATAGTTACAGTATATTTTTCTTGGAATAATTAAGTACAGTCTTTGAAGTGATAAGTGTGCTGGATCCATGTCTCGTATCACTAAGCCTTGTGTGTTTGCACTTAAGAGAGATGTCACTTGGTTTGTAATCTGTATCATAAAGTGCTTGTTTATCTCACATTCTTGACTCTTTGTTCTTGGTTGATATGCGTTGTGCAGTGCCTGTCTGTCCAAGCAATAATTGGAGTATCCTCAATTTAGCTCACTAAGAGGAGTGATACAAAATTGAAATACTGTGAAGGTATAATGATATGCAGGTGTATGATGCTTTGTGATGTCCCTGATACTGTTCACCTGTTGATAAAGTTTTAAAAATTTAATCATTTATTTCACTAACATTTATTTAACTGAAAGAAAAAAAGGAATGAAAGTCTGTTTTGTCACTGTTTTGAAGTCCAAGTCATGTTTTCATGAGATCTTGATACAGTGTAGCATTTGAATGTTAGAATGACTGTCTAATTTTAGATGGTAGTAAATCTGACACTTTAAAAGATCAGACGTTTTCCTGCTTAGTTGAGCAACTTCCTATCCTATTTCCTATTTATATATTAAATTATAAGAGGACAATGTATCTTTTTTTTTTCTTTTCTACCTGTAGCTTGCCTTGAAGGCTGTGCCTTACCGTAAAGACTTCATTGACAAACTTGGTCGTAATAAAGTAGACGAAGATACTGTGTTGAGGGAAATGAGAGAGTTTGTTGATCTCTTGGAGGCAAATTTAGAAGTTGTGGAACAATTTTATCAAAAAAATAATTTGGAAACCTCTCAGGTGCAATAATAAGTGCAGAATGTAAGGTAAATATGGACTGGTTAATTTGAATTTGAACTACTCAGGGATTTTGGAACATGGCTGTGGGATAGGAGGTATGAACCAGTCGTTCAAAGGAGGTCTAAAGGCTTCAATTTAAGATAATCAATAGACATCTAGTTTTCTTCATAAGAATAAATGAGTTGTCATGACGTAACTGAATCTTTTCTAGTTCTTTTCACCACAAGCTTTCCTGACACTGATGATAAATATCGATGTTTAAATAAAACATTTGGCTTTGTTAGAGATAGAAGGCAGTTGTATTGCTAAAAAACAAACTGAACTTTGTGTGAATAGGTGTCCCTATTATGTTAGAATAGAACTTTTGAGATTTCTGTTAGCCAACTGTTTAGTGCAATGACTGTATTTTTGTATTTAATTCATATTTCAACTTCTCTTTCTCATTTAAAACTGGCCAGTGATTATCTATTTTGGTGAAGGGGGAAATTCAGTGGGGACTTGGATGTTAATAAGGCAGTATTTGATAAGGATGGTGGTGGGGCAATGTTATTGTTTAAATAATGAAAATTATTGTAAGAGCACTTAAAATGTGCTCTTTGAATTAAGATAAACAAAAGAGTATTTATGTCTGAATTGGTCAAAATAAACAATGTTAATGGGACAGTTTTAAGCTTGAATTGAAGTACAAGTCTTTGTTAACAAACCTTTGTAGCAAAACTGTGATGTGTATGTAAGGTTTAAAGTGTAATCTTTGACATGATGGATCCTTTTCTTCAGTTTAGAAGAAGAAACAAATTAATCTTGACTTAAAACGTTATTCAAAAGTTGCACTATACTGGTACTTCATTTAACGAGGTACGAGTGATGTGAAACAGCAGTTGTGAGCAAGTAATCAGACACATGTAAGAGAGAGAGAATGAACTCTCTTCTCTGTATTTTAGCTCTCTCTCATTCATTTTGATTGTCTTATATCTGAGTTGCTACACGGAAAGCTGAATCATGAGATATTGATGTTTTTCATATACCAGTGAAGGCAATATTTAATGTATTGACTCACTGTTCTGATGCCAATATCGCCATGTATTAACATTTACAATGTGTGACACATTTTCAATAATGGGAAAAGCCATGCAAAAACTGATTCAATTGACAACATATTTTAAATAGTGATGATTGAACTAAAGAGACTGCAGTTCATAAGAATGAAATAGCAGGTCATGGGTGCTGGAAGCATAAAGGGTGGTTGGGGTTCTTGTTCCTTCCCTGGAAAGATATTGTTATTTAGATCTCTACAAGATTCCATTTCCAGCAGTTGAGATTATGAACAAATGCAAGCAATGCATGAACTGAATGCAGTCCATAACATCACTATACCCTCAAAATTGTGGACTCATGATAGGAGTGTGCCCTGAAGGTAAAGGTAAAACACTAATGTTGAAAAATTCTCTTATACCATCAGGAGAACAGTAAAGGGTCATACTAAAAAAGACCAGTAAAGCAGGGACAATGTTTCTTTCATTTGTTAGAGGAAAATTATGAAAAATGAGAGAAGGGAGGAAAATTGTAAGGGTGTAAATAATCACCAAAAGAAGAATGTTTTGGCGAAAATAATAGGGTCAGAATTAATGAACTATAAACTAAAGAAGCTGTCTGTTGTCCTTGAAAAGAAAAAATTGTATAAGCTCACATGCAGACTTCACCTTAATCCTTTTGCATTACTACAAAAAGATGGAAGTCCAATATGGACACTGAAATTCTCCTGAAGCATCAAAAATATGCTGCTAGGAACTTATCCATCAATCCATTTATACTTCTGCATGGAGAGAGAGACTGAAAATAAACAACTGTTATGTGTTTTGCCCCACTACTGGCCTACTGGTTAGCACACTGGACTTCTGGTCAAACTAATGACCCTGTCCTGCACCATGATATCCAGAACCCAGTGTTCTAATCATGAGGCCACTATGACTCAAGTGTTGTTTATCTATGTTATAGCTATGAACTTTGGAGTGCAGGATGTCCTAGGCCTGGAAGAAATTTTTTGAAGCAACCTGAGAAAAAAGGAGTTTTAAACTATCCCTTAAGCATGTGATCCCCTTAGCATCTTGATCTCTGTAGCTCAAAAGAGAGAATGTAAATTTCTTGCCAAGCTACAAACATTTTCCATTTCCCATGTGTTGCCTTCAGGTGTGTTCTCCCAAAAGTGTATAGCTTCTTCATTTTGTCTACCCTCTTCTTTTCCTTAGGTCTTGAAATCTTCAGCCCTTGGAATAGACCATTTTTGGAGGAGCACCCCTGTATGACCCACTTTTGCAGCCAGCCACCCCTTCTGGTCATTTCAGCTTAATTTTTATTAAAACAAAACACATTTCCAAAATTGTTACATTTTTAAGGATAAAAGGGATAGACCTCTCTAAAAAGAACAACTCAGATTTTATAAGGAAATTATACTAATGACTTTCACGGAAGTCTTTATCTTTAGTCTCCTCGTCAGTACCACTTTCTGAAGGATTAGTTCCATTATCACTAATTCATTATGTATTACATTGTTAAGATTTAACAGAGATCACCTCTTCAAAAGAGCAAGTTAGATTTTGGAAGGGTTGTACAGACTCACCCAATTATCCTATTTCATTTTTACCTTTTATCTTTCCTTTTTTTTTCTTTCAAATAGCATGTTTAATTTTAATCACTAGCCATGTGCAAAGGTTGAGCCCTAAAGGCTTGAAGGTCAGTTTTAAATGTCATCTGGTCCTTAAACACAGGTCATTTTATCAAATCCAGTCAAGGGCCTTGTTGAAACTCTACCTCCTGTGGACCAAAAAAATTTCAGAACTTTCCTTGGTCATTACTTCTAATCAGTACATGGCTTTACTGGCACTTTATAGCAAAAAAGCAAGAAAAAAAATCATCTAATCATTCCTTTCAACAAGAAAGAATAGTTAAGTTCTTCAAGTTTCCCAACGTATTTCTTCTAGTTTTCATGCAACCCGTTTCACGGGTCATAAATGCTCTCCTTAGGTTAAGCGTTAATTAGCTCAAATTTCCCCTTTAAAGTGGGGTGTTTGGATACCAATGACGCAATTCCTTTGTTTTTAATCTGTCCGATTTGTAAACATTTTAGGAAGTAAATTTTCTGAAGCTGAAAACTCTTGCCTCTCCTATTGTCTTCGACGTTAATCAAATGCAACGGCTAATCGCCTGTCTAATTGATGCAACTAATTAGCGACAAATTTGTGCTATGTTTATGTGAGCTAAAATCGCATTACTAGAACCCTTGTATTATATGGACGAATAAAAATTAGCCAATTAAAAATTAATCTTCTTACGTGTGTGCATGATCCTTACGTCAGAAGTCGCTATGTGCTTTAATCCACCCAACTTCCGTTTTCTTCCAAATATGTCAATGGAATGTAGAAGAGGTATGCCAACTATTCACGAAGGTTTCGGTATGATCGACACAAATAGACAGCCGACTCATTCCGAAGCATTCCGATACGTTACGATTACTTCAGACATCGAACGAATAGGGCTGAACTGTGAAGTCTAGGAGAGCGTTGAAGCTTTGTGACTCTTGAATTTTGTTGGATTGATCGTTTGACGGGTGCAGTGATTTGCTGCTAAGTGGATATACGAAGTTCACTCGACTAAGTTGCTATGGAAGACTTGGGTATGTGTGATTTTCTGTAAATAGTAGCACTTTGGTTAATTGATCGTCTTTCTTAATCTGTTGTGGTTCTTGCGAAAGCTGTAGCGTCTTGTGAGAAATTGAATCCTGTTTTTATTTGCTATTTTGATCTTGAAAACCCTGCGAAGGAATCGTGCTCGTTAACTTGTTTGTGATACTTTGTAAACAGCACAGGAATTTTTATTTCAAGGGTAGCTTATATTGGAATGCAATGAAAGTCATTCATCAAAATGCTGTGAAATTTGGTGGCAAAATCTGACTTAAGATTTGAATTTTTGCATCTATGTAAATCAATGACTTTGATTATGTTAATTTTGTAATAGGAAGTTCTGGTAATGCTTTGATTGTTTTGGTGCAATTTCAGCTGTTCTCAAGTCACATTCAAAGTTCACGTCTCACGTACTTTCAATTTTGTTCCGACGCAGGAGAACTTTCGTATCTACATTCCGATCTCATCCGATTCCTCTGTGAAAATAAACTTTGAGATTCCCTATTCCATACGACGAGGGATTATAATACTATCCAAACTTTTTTGAATAGATCTCACTTGGACGTCCTCTTTTCATTGGTGATTCAGCATATTTAATAGTTTCGATTGTGAGGTGCCCGCTTGAGTTGGTATTTGTTTCAACTAACGGGTTTGGCGAGCGAGAGTCTCCCGGGGCTGCATCTACTGCGTAACGATGCGGGGATTGTCGTGTCTTTAAAACACTTGTCAATATTGCTTTTGAATAATTTATATCGCTTTGTGTAATTTTATTGTGCTTTGGTGAGGTAAATTATGGCATCTACATCCGACAGCATGGCACACATGTCATTCTGCGACACGCGGTATTGTGAATGAATGTTTAAAACCCGATAAAAACTTTGAACCCGATAGCTGGATCTGACGCCGAGAATTGCGAATTAAAATTGATATGCCGGGAAAAACGAGGAAACCCTCTATCGAAGAAAAGCTGAAACAGAATATTGAATTTTTAGATGCACTACTGGCGGATCTCCAAGCTACAAGTCCCACAGTTTCCGCATCGCCGACGGAATCCAGAGGCAGACAAGCATCGAATGGACGAGAATCGCCCGATAACCCGCCACCTTTGCCTCCTCCTCCCTCGTTCGAAGCTCTCGATCCTCATGGATCAAATCCCAAGGACGATATACTGTTCCCTCCACCTGTTCCTTCATCGAGTTTGGGTCAAAATCTTTCCGAGTTGGACAGTTTATTGGAAAATTTGAGCAACCCAATACATTATCCTTCTGATCCTACAGGTAAGTCCAAACGAAGTTTGAAATTTACTAAATTTACAGAGCCCCAAGTTTGAAATTAAATAATTTTTCATTTTATCCTTTTTTGATTATTATTAGTAAGATATTTCAAGGTCAAATAATCCCCTCTTGGTCGTGTGATTGCCTTGCCTTTGATTTAAAATGTACGTTACTTGTGGTTGATTTCTGGTCAGTTTTGAGTAATCGAAAAAGCCCTTTCGTTTATTTTTCCATTCTCAAAACAATACAGAGCTAAATAGAAGAGCGAGATCACAGTGTGTTCATAAAACCAGTAAATTTTGCATTTGAAATTTACAAGAGCAAAAGCAATGAATGAATGTTTGCTCAGTTTATCCAAGTGTAAATATTTTCCATGGTCTTGATCATTGTAGCACGACCTTGGGTAAAGGACTTTGCAATTTTTCGACAAACTACATGTAAATAATGGTAATTGAAAGAGAGGGCATTGGCAGCTGTTGTCCTGTGTCAGTAGGCTCTCTTTCTTACTTTCTTTTTCTTTCTCCCTTTGCACCTTGCAGCTGGCCTATGTTAATTCAATAATCACCATTATTATTATTATAATATTTAATTGAAGATATTTCTAACCATTGGATGTAAAATTGCAATCTGGCCTGTCATATCTTGAACTAAATAAGGAACAGAAAATATATTTGCAATTTTCTTGTATAGAAACTTGGTTCTAAGGAAGAATTATTAACATGGTTTTAATTATCATCAAAAGAGGCAAAATAGGGAATTAAGGTAATCTTGTAATTGTATAGTTTGCTAAAATGTTATCAAATGTTAATAACTAGGTTTTAACCTGCTGCAGTTTATTAGGTAAATTTACAGTTTAAAATGTAAAAATCTGCCTGATGCAAAACAAAAAGCTACCCCCTGATGGGAACATGAAATAGTAATCTCAATGTTGTGAGTTGTTCAGTGAACATTCCTTTAAGAATTCTCTTCTAGAGTCTTTAAATTTCTTCCATTTCTGGCATTGTTTAGATTCATATCAATTGGAATTGCTTAAACTAAAATAACAGAAGTACAATGTAGAATAGCTATAAATATATGTTAATCTGTACAGAATTTTATTGTTTCAATTCTTTTGTTTGGAGGTACTTGTGGTTTCCAAAGTCCTGTTAGATAATAAATATTTTTATTGCACGTGTTTTTAAGTGGAGTGCACGTGCCAAAAGAAAACAGATGAGATGCTTGTTTATTTACAGGAAGAAGTTTTAAGTACGAAAATAATCTCAAATTATACAATTTTAGTACATTCCATTGACTTGTCTTCTAAAATGAGAACTAAAGTCAAGTTGTTCGTATATGTTTTTTTAAACTTGGTTAAAATTGAATAAATTATTTAAAACCCTCATGATTTACATCTGCATTCATGTGTATTATCTGCTGTGCAAAATCTACTTTTCATCTTGATATTGCTAAATTTGTTACCATCTTTGCAATTTAGTTTTTGTGTATTTTAGTATGACAATGAAGAAAATTGCAATAAGTTTGGTGTTGCATTTTTTTAAAATATTTTGATTTAAAACAAGAAATTTAAAACTGAAAGACACCATGTATCTCATATTTTGCTTTATGGCACAATCATCGCAATTCTTTGTCATTGTTCTTATTTGAAAAACAGAGTTAACCCTTAAGCTCAGAAGTGATCAACATGAAACCTCTCTCTATAATATTCTTACATTACCCAGCAAACAGGTTGCAAGAATACTCAAACTTATCAGGTAGAAGTTGCTATCTTGATCTAACACCAAATTCATATAACTAATTTACAAGGAAATGTGAAGCAGCTAGAGGGGAGAATTAACATCAAGATCTTGGGAGTTAAAGGGTTAAGCCTATAAATTTGCGGTGAAAGTTGCCAATTTGATGACCTGTGTTTGGTAGTGATACAGCTAGCTGTCAGGTTTTCATTATTTACTTTTCTGAGTTGAAATGAAATACACATTTGTATGCAATGTAGTTTGTGTTTAATTCTCGAAGCTGGTGTTACATTTGGGCCATTTTGGTCTGTTGTTTTGATATCTCTTCTTTCTTTATTTACAAGGCAGACAAGGATAAGAGTTGTTTTAGTTGTCATTTTCTACGATATGATATTGCGATGACTCTGAAGTGCACGCAAAAATTATTTCTTTTTCATTGTCTCTCTAGTCAAGCGAATAAGTGCTGGATCACCAAGAGGAAGTCCAACGTCACCATCACCAAAGCCAGCCATTAATGGTCGACCAGCCAGCTACAAGGGTCCTATGATGTCCCCCACCCATGATAACAGGCCAGGTAGTGCAGTGTATTGTAGCTATACATGTATTGACATTAAATTTTAGCATGTAAAAAAGAACAACTAAATTTACGTTCTTGTTGTAATGCAAAAATCTATGGAAAAACTGTGTTGAATGAAGAAATTCCTGTCAACAAATATGAGAAAAAGATCAATCATATGTCAAAGTTGGTAGAAACGATATTCATTATATTAAAAGTGCTAAAATTGTGGATAAGACTTTGAAGTATTTTCCATTGCAATTTTAATAGTTAATTTATGTTTGATGAACAGTGGATGAAGAAGACTTCTCAAGACTCAACTTTGGATTTCTTTTGATTTCTTACAAAAAAACTTTTTTTTCCAAAATTCAAGCTGCTAAATTCAGAGTGCAGCTTATCTGTGGGTTTTTACTGTAAATGGTTTCTTTTATGCTGTTTTTATATTTCACAGATACCTCATGGAATTGGTACTATGCTCAGATAACACAGTGCAAAGTTTAGAAAACTAAAAGCCAAAAGACTAGAAAATGAAACAACAGTGGAATAATAAATCCCTTAATAAATGTACATGTGTGATACGAGTGGACATTTTGCTTATTGTTTCTATTTTCCCTGCCTCTACAGGGCCCAGAAATTTACTTTGCAACTTGCAAAATATCCACGCATTTTATACATGTTAGTTAAACCATCAATTGAGGTTTACTGTTTATACTTGGTGTGTAACAAATGGACTGCAAAAGGAATTGGAAGAATTTCTCCCACAGGCTGCTTTTAGGGTTTTGCACTGTTAAACAATTTTCATATTTTGATTATTCAGTTGATGGACATTACAGAGAAAGAAATGGACCTGAAAGTCCCATGGCCCAAGTTAATACATCTCATGTTTTCAACCCGGCTCCTCTGCGCAACCAAGTCCAGCAAACCAGGGACTTAGATAACAGACAGTCACGGACAGCATCAACAGCCACCAAAGAGCTGGATGACTTGATGGCATCATTGTCAGACTTTAAAGTCAATGTTAGTACAGCTCCCACTCCATCACAGTCCAGGCTCAGTGGGGATTATGCAAAGCCAACTAAATCAAAACAGCAACTTCCTTGTATGTGGTGAATGTTTACATGTATCACTTTTCACCTATTTGTTGAGATGCTGTTGTTAATGACTGCAAAAACACGTTTATGTTTTTAAACTTTTTGATGATTGCTGAAGTGGTTTTCCTATGTCAGTAGTAAAATCCAAGACCACTGCAAGTTTTCAGAATCTCTTATAAGAGCTTTTGCTTGTAGTTGGCCAAAACTGTCAGCTAGCTTTTATATCCCATAAATTACTAGTGCAATTTTTGTTCATGGTTCTAGTCTCAAGAAACCCATCTGTGACCAAGAGTGACCAAATAGAATTTCAGCTTAAAATATCAATACCATATCAAGCAGAGAAGTGATGAGAGTAAAGAAATATATAATTTAGGGGATTATTAGTTGACCCAATGGCAAATTCTCCAAACAAAAATCATGAGAATTGTATTGCAGACAGCAAGGAAAATTACCTATTAGATCTTGGGAGTGAAAAGGCTAAAGAACCCATCAGTGAATCACGAGTTACAATGAAGTTTGAAGTTTCAATGAAGATTATGTTCATCACCGATCAGGGATGTCAATGATTTTGAGTCTTCTTTAGGCAACAAAGTCTAATTAGACAGGAAATATTGAAATGTCAATTTTCTAACATTTATCAAGTGTGTAAACCAGTCTTAACCCTTTGACCTTTAAGAGTGACTAGCATCTAAATTCTCCTTACAATATCACCCTTGAATCACACATTAAGGTCATGAGAATAAAGGAAATGGTCACCAAGTAAAGAAGCTTTTGATTGTCAAACAAATTCTCCCAGTGAGCACCTTTGGAAATGTATAGAGAACTGTATGGAGAATAAGCATACTAATGTTAGGGTGTGAATTAACAAATAGATTCCAAGTTGCGGTACATCTGCTCAGTAATAGATCACAGATGACGTCAAAATGTGGCACACGAGGCACAGCCAAGTATGTCACTGATGTTCTTACCTCATTTTGACATCCACTGTGATCTATTTCTGAACAGACGCATGGCAACTTGGAATCTATTTGTTTTATATGATAAAGAATTAAAATATACGGAAAAAAAGTTTTAATGATGACGTCATCTATAGGTCTGTCCTCTAATAGATCATAAGTGAGAACCAATCAGAATGCGTGCGTAACTGAACTATATAAAGGTTAATATACATCTGGTCTAGTTCTGATATCAATTTTTCTTGTCATTTTCAGCTGTTGGTAAAGTCAGCCAGCTGGACTCCATGCTGGGTTCTCTACAGTCAGACATGACCAGACAGGGTGTGAGTACAACAAAGAAAGGAATGTGTGCAGCTTGCAACAAACCAATCATAGGTCAGGTTTGCACTGCATTGGGTCGCACATGGCATCCTGAACATTTTACTTGTGTTACCTGTGAGGTGGCGTTAGGTGCTACAAATTTCTTTGAGCGAGATGGAAAGCCTTTCTGTGAGAGAGACTATCATGAGCAATTTGCACCAAAATGTGCTTACTGTAATGGACCCATTCTAGATGTAAGTTGTGACTTTGTTCTACATTTGATTTATTTATTACTGAAAGAGTTATGTTAGCACTGTTACAACCTTGACCCCCCTAGAAGTGACTACTACTGTAGTATGTAACTTTACCTTGCTGTAATTTCCAACACACATTATCCATTGAGATGGCTATGATTTAAAGAAAAAATTGATTGCAGGAGATTATATTCATATCTACACACTCATCAAACCAATCTGTATCATTTGGTGTAATGCTTAACCCTTTCAACTCTTAATCCTTTAACTCCCAAGATCTCATCAGTAATTCTCCTTACTGTCTGCCATACAGTTCTTGTGATGTTAGGTTAGAGAATTTGGTATTGAATCAACTTTTAATCCCCTAACTGATATTTTTCTTTATTCTCATTACTTGGCTGCTTGATATTGTATTGATATTGTAAGGAGAAATTCTGTCTTGGTCACTTGTGGGAGTTTAAGGGTTAAGAGTAACCAACATCTAATTTCTCCTTACTGTAATTTTGCTGAATCATTCATTAAGATCATTAGAATAGAGGAAATGATTGCCCACCTAAGAAGCTTTGATTGTTAAACAAATTCTCCTTGTCAGTACCAAAGGAAATGTCTGGAGAACAGTATGGAGATTATGAGTACTGATGTCAAGGTTTTAAGGGTTTAAGTCTTAACCCTTTAACTGCCAAGATCTGATTGTTAATTCTCCTCTCTAGCTGCTACACATATCCTTGTAAATTAGTTGCGTGAATTTGGTATTAGATCAAGACAACAGCTTCTAACTGACAAGTTTGAGTAATCTCATGTCCTGTTTGCTGGATGATGTTTAGATATTACATGGAGAAGTTACATGTCAATCATTTTTGGGAGCAAAAGGGTTAAGAGTGATTTGCATGTAATTTCTCCTCACACCATCACCCCTGAATCAAATGTAAAGGTCATGTGAAGAAATGAAATAAACACCTACCCAAGATGCTCATGTTTAGAGAACTGTATTGTGTAAAGTGTTAAAACTCATTTTTTCTCATTGTTTTCCCAGTAGAGTTTCTAATAAATTTTCAAATCGACTACTTTGTTTTCAGTCATGTGTCACAGCCCTAGACCAGACGTGGCATCCGGAACATTTTGTGTGTGCGGCTTGTGGACGGCCATTTGGTGAAAGTGGCTTTCATGAGAGAGATGGGAAGCCTTATTGTCGTGATGATTACTTTGCGTTGTTTGCGCCTCGATGTGGAGGGTGTGGCCAGCCCATAGCTGATAGCTATATTTCTGCTTTGAGTGCCCATTGGCACTCAGAATGTTTTGTGTGTTCGGTAAGTTCTTTGCTGGTTTTTTTCTATTGTTATTATTATTCTCAAAAAAACAACACTGTATGGAAATTCTGCCACCCTCCACTCCTTTGGATAGGATAGTTGACTGTCTCGAATCATCCCTATTATTATGCCAGGTTCAGCCTGTTTCTGCAGCACAATACTACCACCCCTCCCCTCCCTCTCCCTTTCCTTCCCCATCCATTATTGTACCAATATTGTACCACTATTGTGCCACCATTTGCTCCCTGAAAACTAGGAATAACCTCTGCCAGCCGCAGCACTCTATGGTAGAGATGATAGTTAGGAGAAGCATGCAGAAAGTTTGGAAAATTTGAAGTAGACATTTGTTCAAAGGCTGCAAGCATATAGCTTGGAACATATTATAAGCAATTAGATCCACCCACACTGCCCCAGCAGTGTGATTGTTGTGTACAGGTATACTTAGGGGACTGGGTTAGTTTTTATGTTGTGTTGGATCACCCATCTAATCCAAAAGACTTTTAAGTACTAAACATTCTTTCACAAAGTGCCAGCATCAAAAAATCCTCCCTAAACCTATTTTCATTTAAAATCCCTCTAGTTGGTGGTTATTTTTATCACCAATAATGCACCAAGAAGCCATCTTCTCTAACAGACTCCTGTATACACCCCCTCAATAATCCCACCTCAATGCAAACTTCAGTATTGCTCTTCTGTAGAAACTCTCAAGGGGGCTTATTTAACCTTTGACACACAAGAGTGACTAGCATCTAATTTCTCCTTACAATATCACCCCTGAATCACACACTAAAGTCGCAAAAATAAAGGGAATGATCCCAAACTAGAGAAGCTCTTGATTGCAAAATAAATTCTCCTTGTCAACACCTTGTGAAATGCATAGAAGATTGTATGGTGTCTTGGTATTCTCATCATCTCTTTGTCTGCTGCTCTGTCTTGGTTGCAAAGGTAAATCAACATTTTATGACTTTTCTTTTCCCCCCAGGAATGCCATCAAGCTTTTCCAGGTGGAAGTTTCTTTGAGCATGAAGGCCGACCTTATTGTGAGATGCACTATCATGCCCGCAGAGGCACGCTGTGCTTCAGTTGTCAAAAGCCAATCACAGGCCGATGCATCACTGCCATGCACCGTAAATTTCACCCTGAGCACTTTGTGTGTGCATTTTGCCTCAAGCAGCTCAACAAAGGTACTTTTAAGGAACAGAATGACAAGCCATACTGTCATCCATGCTTTGTCAAACTTTTTGGGTAGATAGTAAAATAGGAATGACTCTGTTACATGTGAGTGGCTGACAGTCAATATGTTCAAGTGCAAGTCCCGTAAACTGGGATGCGTGCCTGAAATTAGAGATTAGGTGTAAGCTTTTATGGTAAAATATTGTGGGATGCCAAAGTTTTCATGATTGACCCTGAAACTCGTAGAAGTAATTAACATGTAACTTCTTCCTATAATGTCCATACATTATACAGCAAACAGATGATAAGAATATTTGAATTTAGTTGGTAGAAGTTGTTATCTTGATCTAGCACCACAATTTTTTTAACTAGTTAACAAAGAGATGTGAATTAGTTTGTAGGGAGAATTAGTAATTAGATTTTTGGAGTTAAAGTGTTAAATGCTACATGTTACAATTAACAAAGTTTTCATGTAAGCATGTTTTAAAAGAAATGGAAAGCCATGTAGAACTTATCAAACTTCGAGATAACTTGCTTGCCTATTTTAATTTATTCTATATGGAAAGTTTACCAGGAAGCCTTTGCATGATGTAATTAACCCTGTTTGTGTGGCTTGCCTGAAAACATATTGACAGTTGGCCATTACAGAGTTGCTTATCTCATCAGAGAAGCAGTCATCTCTTTCAAGTTTTGTTTCTTGTATGTGGTTTGCATTGCTGAAGAGACTGGCTGCTTTGACACGCTGCACTAGTAATTTGTGAGATACTAAGTGAATTGAAATTTAGAATTATTATTATATTTTTTAATTAACCCTTTCTCTCTCTGAACCTCATTAGTAATTCTCCTTACTATCTGCCATTCAATTCTCATGATGTTCAGTCTGAGAATTTGGTGCTGGATCAACTAATAATTGTCTTGTTGATATTTTTCTTTATTCTCATCACTTGTCTGCTTGATATGGTAAGGAGAAATTCTGTCTTGGTCATTCATTCCTCCTGCAATATTATTACATTTTCAATCAGGAAGGTGATTAGAGGAAAGTAAAATATCAACTTAAGGATGTTGATTGATTAAATACCATTTTCTCCTTGCTAAAACTTTAAGAAATGCATGGCAGACCGTGTGGAGAATTTATATTTAAATCTCTGGAGTGCAAGGGTTGAAATGTCTAACTACATAAGCATGTTATATTTGTTGCAAACTAATTGCTTTGTATAGGAGGTGAAGGCACGGAAATTTTTTGTAAACCATTTCAGAGAACTTTTTTTGTAAAATGCTGTTATTTTGAGATAAATTTAGAAACATTATTTAATCTTTCGCTTTTTGGGAAAGAGCATAATGTTATTTCAAATTGAATTGTTACAAGTTAACTTGAAAAGCACTATTTGTTCCTTTGAGCATTTCATACTTCCAAGAGCCATTAGGCCGGTCATTTAAACTAAGTTTAGCCGTTGTTTAACAAAGCCTCGTTCCAAGCCATCTCCAATTTGACCAAACCTTTAATACGAAAATTTATTTTTATGAAAAGTGTCAAGATAGCCGGCCGAAAGTTCTAAGTTTAAATCAACCTAGTTAGAAAGAATCCCGGAGGCCCGATGCTTGCGTGAAACCGCGGTTTGGATAAGACGTAGAGATACGATACTACGGCCCCTGGTGTCAAAGCCTGAATTTTTCCTAGCTTCTTTTCTGTTGCATAAACTGCAAGTCACTTTTGAGGATTATTTCTTCTCTTGACTTCATCCACAGCTCAATTGAAATTTATCTCGTATAAAATTGTGTATGGTGAAATTCTGGTTATTTACCTAACAAATTAAAGTTATTTCTTGTGTGGACAATGTTTCTCCTAAATGTAATTAATTTATGAATCAAGTAAGAATTTAAAATGTTTATAAATATATTTTGAATTGTTCCGACATAACTATTTTCTGGAACATTATTGCACCAATGATTGTTAATTATTGTCAAAAGGTATTGTGGCTAGAAATCGAATTCTATAGGAGAAAAATTTAATGTAAAGCCGTCGAAGTATTTTAGATGCTGCTCAAAGTATGATTTGTTCTTAGCCTCGTATAATTGCCGTGGAAGAGTGTAGATTTAGCATGCAGGTATCCCAGGAGAAGTGCTGTTAGGGTATTGCACGACGCGGCACTTAACTGCGCGAATGACCAAACTTCAAACATTTCTTATTACCTTGTGGTAATGAGGGTCCCTTTTTAAACGCAAACAGCGGGGTGAAGGTGTGATATCAGTTGAGTCTCGGAGAACAGATTTTAAACCTCGTCACTGGATTAATCAAAATTAGAGGAAATGCTTAGTCTCTCACGTATCATGCTCTCTGGTGCTACTACTGTTGTCATGAAATATCTAGAACGGTTCCCGTGACAGTCACGCATTTCAAATGATCACGCAATCCTGAGAAACTGCAGCATGACATTGCACTGTCGAAATTCATATTCGTCATATAAACGTTTACTTCATTTAGAAATAGTTAGAGCGTATCACAAGCACAAGTGAAATGCCTTATGTTTAATAAAGAGATGTATTTAGCGTGAGTATGAGTCTGGAATTAATCTTTTCTCCCTAATGTAAAAGGTTTTTGAGCACACGACCTATAAATATACCGTTTGAAAGGATCAGTTCCCGTCTTTTGTAAGACGCGAACTTAGTACACAGCGTACGCGAATCTTTTCTTGTTCCGTGCTCACTCAACTAGACGCGAACCACGTACACGAGCAAGCAAATTAGATAAGAAATGCGCTTTCTGTCTATTTGTTTACCTGAAGAACAACGTTCTCCCATGTTGTGCTTTTCTCTAGGAGACCAAATTCATGCTAAAGAATTTTGGTGAAAAAAGTAACTTAAAAAAAACAACATTTATCCTTACCTAGATACTGAAGAGTATAAGAAAGCCCGCCCTCCTTGTTGTTAGTTTTCCCATTTGCTTTGAGACAAGCCGTCGAAACAGCTGTTCAACGAGGTGCCTTTTGCAAAGGGACAAGTCACTCCTTCGACTCCTCTGGCGATAAATAATGAATCGTCCGTAACTTCTTGACAACGAACTGAGAATGCTTCTGTCTTCTGATGTTTATGAACATCAAAAGGAAAATTCTAATCACTGATGTGTCAGAAACACACTCAGATACTTGAAGCGCAAAAGATGTTTCTTATTTGTTATTTTTTTCGTACAGATCCCACCGCTATTGGTGTGGACTTTTCTGGTTCACTAGTTTCGTTTCCCAGACAGTCTTGGTAAAAGTGAAGGAAAATACTTTTGCTTTTAATTTCTTTGGATATCAAAAAGAGATATAATATAATTTGATGAATCACGAAGATAGCGGAAACAGCAGGAAAAGGACGCAGTCTTTGAGGCATTCAAAGGATTTTTCTAGGACAGTTCATCTTGCAGAGGAAATTGATCCTTTGTAATTTCATTCATTTTAGTGACATTTAAAAATTCATGAAGATCGTTTAAAACAATTTAAGTGTCTGGCTTGCTTAGCGAAAATTATGCTCCTTAAAAAAAATTAGTAAACTGTCGGTGTGAATATACTTTTGGCATCGATTTAGAGACTAGCTTTGTAGTGCTTAATCAGAAGAGCGAGCCTAATTTCATAATCATCATTATATAAGATAATCCTCATCACAACAAGAAAGAGGATCATCGTTCAAGTAGAAGGAGGTAATAATTTCGGAGAAAGCAATCCTCTAAAACATTAAAAAATCGCTAGAAAATTCGGCGAAATGATATAGAAAATGATCACTCACGTTCGAAAGTCGGTGCGTAATACATTAATCGTAACATGTGAGACTATTACAGGAACCGATGAAACATCAATTTTGCTCTCAGTATGAAATCCGCCACATGTCCGATTGCCAAAGCGTTGAGGTAGAAAGAGTGGGTGTCACTCTGCTAGCTTACTAGAGTCTCCCTGAACAATTTTGGCTCCTGGATACCTGACGTTTTCTCCTAGTTCGTGACATTAAATGTCTCCAGGAATCTCTTAAAGAAAAGCTTTAATCAACATATATCGAAATTTAATTAAGTGTCTTCGCACCATATCTGCTAACCCAACTTCAAGAGATTTTCCTCTGGCACACGCCATATACGGTAGAGAAATTTAGAATATTTTTGTTTTTCTATTCACTACGGCTACAAACGCTGAGACTTTTTTTTATTTACTGGAGATATTTAAACAGATAGGATGGAAGGGATTCTGTGCGATGGTCCATAACTGTCACGGCAAAAGAAATAACCCCGCAGCAAACGAACAAGACTCACGGCAAAAGAAAAAACCTCGCGACAAAAGAATAACCTCAGGATAAAAAGAATAACCTCACGATGAAAGTAAAAGACTCACGGCAAAAGGAAAAACCTCACGGCAAAAGAAATAATTTTTAATTTAATTTGCCGTCAGTCTTTTTTCTTTTGCCGCGAGGTTATTCCTTTTGCCGTGACAGTTGTGGGCCACCATAATACTGGATAATTTATTCACGACATTTCTGGCCCGCTCCCGTTATTATAGAAACACTTTTTTTTAAGTTTTAAAATATTAATAATGGTTGAAATGTTTTAAATTACAGTTAGAAAACTCATTTTCGCTGATTAGTGGTGGATTAGTTCTCGCCTTTTACGCAAAATAAATATCGGCTTTGAGGTTTTTTTTTTCCAACGTAATCAAGAGAAAATACAGGACTGCATAGGTATTATAGTAACCAAGAATCGAAATGATAGTCTTTAGTGTCTCGCAGAAAGGAGCTGTCTCGCTGTCGGAGGGAACTGAAATTTGTCACGCTATGCCGAAATCTTTTGAAAATAGATGCAAATTTTATTTTCACTTTCGGAAGTCTCAATTGATTGGCAATTCTGTCTGTCTGGCAATTGACTTAGCGCATATGAAAAACGAAGTACTTTTTTGGGTCAATATGCTGAAGAAAAAACGGTAACGCCGTAAGAGTCCAACCGATGTGCGCAGTAAGTTTGTTCTCTCCAGGAGTACAAGTTTTTTTCATTCAAAAACGGTAGTGGCAGTTATTTAAAACAACGCCTTTCAAAATTGTAAAGAAATCATTACATCCTTTGCATTGTGAAAACAAACAGAGACAATATCCCTTTGTAAGCCTTGCCTGGGAACGCCTAATGTCAAAATATCAAATACACCAGACTTTTGATTAACTAAAAACTTCCCAATGTTTTATTAAAGGAAATAATATGCCACTGTTTATTGTTCGCCCTCAGCTAAGAATAAAACGAAAAAAATATTAGTTGCCCTTAACTCAGCAGTCCTTAATTTGAAGCGCCGCAATATTTATAACTGTAGCGGGAACATGCTGCAGTTAGGCTCTAAACCACAGCAATGATTCACAACAGTTTCTGAATTTCCTCAATTTAGTGTTTTTCGCTGACTTAATAATCGAATTCTAATCTACGGTAAGGGCATCAAAGAAAGAAAAAAAGCGCACACTGTTTTTTACCCCGCTAAAAATAGTTGAAATAACCCCCCAAATTTTCACGCTGCAGCAGAAATCGAAATTGCAAATGAACCTTCGCAAACCTTGAATTATGAATTTATCGATAGGAAAATATCAATGGGTAATGTGATTCTCGTAGTTTTTCGTTCAGACAGTGGTGTATAAAAAAAAGCTTGATGTTTTTCACTGAGATTCAAGTTTGTAGCTTGGCAAGTGGTGAGATTTCACACCACCAAAGTTTGTATTTCTCTTTGTCCTGATCGGCGGGCCATTTCAGAAATTAAAAGCACCTGCATCCAGTTCCAGTTGATAGCGATCTATTTTCCTCTCACAAGTCGTACTGGAGCTTGGCAGAGATCCCTTATGTTAATTGTTCGTAAGTATCGCGCTGTAAAAAGATCCGTTCAATTTCCCAGTATATTGTCCTGGTGTTAGGTACTTTTCAAAGGAATGTCTTCTGTCTCCTCGTCCGAGATCTCCTCATCTAATTGATTATCTCGAGTATATTTTTTCCCGCAGAATCGATTAAACACGGCAACGAACACGAAGGAAAGAATTAAGAAAATAAACAAATGCCACGCGAAAGCGATCGGCAACACTTCAACATTTTTTGGAGTGTTTTTCCAAGGGTTGGGGCCATATAGAACAAAGGCAATTTGGTAAAACCAAGACCCTTGCACAGCTATCAAAACAGCCCTTATTAGCGAGAACAATGAATGATGTTGCGTAAAAAAGACATCAGCGAGAAACAAGGCCGCTGTGATGAAAATCACGATGTAGAGAATGACGTGTAAGCGGACACTTATTTCTGAATGGCCTTGAAGGTGAAAATAGAAGAGAAATCCTTCGATCCAGAAACTTGCTGATATGATCACATAGTCAGTCATCGGCGGTAGAGGAATTACACCATACCACATCACAAGATCAACCACACCAGAGAGGCCGAAGAAACAATACATAGCGGCATGGCTATGATTATTGATGTTGTCTTCGACGAATTCTCCATTTTTGCCGATCAGTCTCCATGACTGGTGCAAGAAAAGCTCCCCGAGAACCCCCACAAACGCACAGAGCACCTTTAAAATGGGTTCCAGTGGAATTTTCGAAAGAGTCTTTCCGGGACATGGGTACCAGACAGGTGCGTGGGTTTTTAATCTCGCGCACGTTGTACCGCTTGAGCGAAGCAAACCTCGTCTAGGTTTCGTGTTCTGATGCTTTCGAATAAGAGTACCGATGAAGGACCAGATGGAAAAGATTAGAAATATAGACCCAGGCACTGCGTGACCGATGAAGCTCCCCATTATTTTCAAGACACATGTACTAGAGACTGATGTCGAATCAAGGGCAGTCAAGAGCGTTTTTATATCCACGGACCAATGTTATTATGGATTCTCGTGTAGCTATTTAGCATTCATGTTGACAGTTCACGACCAGCTGTGCCAATTAATTTGTCAATGGGTTCTGCGTTGAATCGTTGCTCAGCGAAAAAACAAAGCAAAAAATTTTTTTTCGCTTGTTTTTTTGCACATGCCAGTTCGCCCTTTGGCTATGGACAGATAAGAAATTCGCCTCAAGGAATGTTGTTTGTTCTTTTCCTTTACGAGGTGCAATGCATGCAATCTTTTTTTGCAAAAAATTAATAATAAGTGAAACTGTTAAGAAAACGAGGTCAAATTTTCAAAGTAATGGCTTAAAAGAGTACTTCCACAAGAAAACTTAAAACAAACAGAAAAAAAAAATGACTCGCTACAATTTCACACCAGTTCTGTGGATGATTAACTATCAATTTCTCATTCAGTTTGTTGTTCTGCTTATTATTTGCTGAGGATAAAGTCCCTTAACCCTTTAACTCCCATGGGTGACCAAGATAGAATTTCTCCTTACAATATTAACACAGAATCAAGCAGACAAGTGAGAACAAAACTCAATTAGGGGACTAAAAGTTGATCCAATACCAAATTCTCCGAAATGAAATTATAAGTATTTTATGGCAGACAGTAGGGAGAATTACTAATGAGATCTTGGGAGTTAAAGGGTTAAATTCTTTAAAATCTCAACTGCTGTTAGGGCTTGCTGGTTACTAAGGACTCCTATGTAATTCCTTTGCCGAAATCTCGGAATACTTTTGGCTAAATCTCGAAGGAAAACGGTTGTTTTACTTGTCTCAGTAATCGCAAATTTTGATTTGATTCATTAGTGTGGCGTAAATTTAGCCTCTAAATTGAAATGAACGTCAGTAAAAAGGGCATCAAACTTCTCTCTGAAAATATTAAACAAAGGAAAATTTCCGAAACCTTGTCTAAGGGAGGGAAATTATGATTTGATGCAATCAGATCAGTGGGGTAAAACACACATACACAAAAAAACAAAAAAAACAAAGAAAATCTCAAGATGTTCTCAATCGATATCCTACTGGGCCATTAGAGCTGGTTTGTAGTCCGTTATGTTAGTGTTCAGGTGTTAATTTTCTGGTGCAGAGTTGATTAAGCTGAGCCTTGTTTTATTCATTAGTTGAAATTTGAGTGACTTATCAACTGATCACTTCGCCACTTTCAAGTTTTAACTCTCTCGTATGGTCATCAAAATCCTTTACGAATTTTTGTGTGTTATCTCTGTTTTCACTCGCCTCATACTCCAATCGATCATCGAAGTTGTTGCATATCTCCAGGCGAATATGGCCAAAACAAACCCCTATCCCGTATTGAAATGGAAAAATTATGAAAATATCAAAACCTAGTTTTAAAATGGCTTTAGGGACTGCAGCTTTAGAAAGCGATTCAAAAAGAAAAGGTGTTTATCTTATGGATGAAATTATAAAACCAAAAGTTTCCAGCGTTTTCTATCCCTGTTCGTCTTTTTTGTCAAAAATTTCTCTAGTCTTAGATGCACAGTCCCAATCAATAAAAGTGAGTTCTTGAGAATTCTATTTCAGTCAAATGGCTCTTATGTAATTTCTGCAATACACTTAACGTTATCCGCTGAACACGATGCAAGTATTAACTCGGGCGTTCATGGCAAAAAATTGACTCGATTTCTCTCGATGTTCTCTCAGGAAGGCCTGGATATAGTGCATTTTTGTCCGCTGAACATAATACAAGTGTTGACTCGGGAGTTCATGGCAAAAAAACCTCGCTCCGATCGCAGCGATCTTTTCGTACGAAATTGCTTCAACGTTAACCTTTTATTTTTAATGAAACTCACCTTTAATTCTGATTAATTACACAAAAACTTTGGTGAAAGGGTTCTTCCGCTCTATGATAAAAAGGGGTCAAAATGTTCCGAGTAACCTGAAGAAAATGCGAGAACATTTATTGCCTTTTGTTTTATGATCCTATGGGAAACCGCATCAAAGTGTTATGAAAAACAGGTTATATATGTCATTATAATTCGTCTATACCCTAAAGGAAACTTACACACGGAGTTTCGGCCCTTTAGATTCATTCGGCTATATATGTCAACATCTGCTGAACAGCTTACGTTTTCTTTCAATTGCAAATTTAGGGTAGGAAATGTGGTTTTACCCGACTTATTAAAGGGCTCATTGAAGTGTCATAAACGGCGGTACGTACCCTGCATGTCGGAAGCTTAAGTATAAGTAATCTTAATTTCAGGTTTGGATTAATTACATTTACTTAGGTTCACTAATGTATTGATGACCATCTCACTTGTTTTCGAAGCACAGTGTTTAATAAAAAAACGAGAACGGTTTCAATGAATAAACTGCATCGAAGAAGGGGTGAAAGGGGTTTTTGCGTGTTGCTTGACCGGTGGAAATACGAAAGTAAAACCCCGTGAACTGTGAATAGTTTGCTTTTCACGATACGTTGAATTTTTTTATCCGAATTTTCGTGATGCGTTATTTGTACCTTTCGATTTGCGTGAAACGTGCGCTAGACCCACCCCCCCTTTTACCCTCCTCATCGAACAAGCATCGTTTGTAAGATGGCACTCATTTTCATGGTATTAAAGAATAATTTGGTTCTATCATGATCAAATGAGTTGATAATGTAAATTGGCAATCGTGAAGAGTTTTTAGAACTGACGTTTTGAGCGTGGCCAATTTATATCATCAGCTCATGGCATAAAACCAAATAATTATCTTGCAAAACACCCACCGATGCAGTCAGGAGGGTAATGAGCTCCTGATGCAGTTTAAAACTTGCCTGGTTGTGTGGAATACCTTGTTATGAGAGAAAAAAAACCAATGATTTAATTTACGACATTTTTTCTATATTTTGTCGAACCTGTTCATCGTTTTTTCAACGCCACTCACCGTATAACACCCGTTACCATTCTGTCAGAAGGCCAAGCGTTTGCGGTCAGCGGAGCGAGAGCTGGGACTAAACGAAGTCCGCGCCTTCCCGCCTAAAATTAAAATTCGAACGATCCTTTCATGTTTCCTGTCGCGCAATAAATTTTACGCTCAGATGTTGATTTCTTAGTTATTTTGGAGGGAAAATGTTCGTGGAGAAACCCAAAGAAGAAATATACGATGTCATCATCAACAAAGTAAGTCTCTTAGGTTGCTTTTGCTTTTAGGTTACTTTTTTGAGTTTTTTAAACTCTCAGAACTGCGTGAACAAAATTCAACATGGCTGACAATTATTTTTGCAGCGTGTTTTGGTTCTTGTATCTATTGACTTAGACTCCTTATGTGCTTGCAAGATTCTTCAGGTGAGATATCACAATTTTAAATTAGAAAGAAACTAAAAACAGCTAATTCGAATTAGGAGCGCGGCACGATTGCTTCATGAGTGTAAACACGAATCACTTCTTTTCCTCGCTCGGTAATGTTCCTCTTTTTATAGGGATACTGGCAAAGTTGGCTTGCGTTAGTTGAAAGGATTTTTCTCAAAGATTGTCTCAACCATTTCAGAGTGTAATTTTTATTTAAGTACAATTATCTGACCCATTCGATCATCATTATTGCGCTACATGCATGTGTGTACATTTGTATCAATAAACTAACAATAAACTTCGTATGTAACCAAGCAGTGAAAACGACTTCTGAAATATGAGCGAGGATTCCTCTCTAACCCTATACTTAATTTGGTCCCCCTCCTTTTCCCTTTTTCTTCCGAATATGTTCCTTTTACATATATCGTATTAAAAATCTCTACAATTCCAATTATTAAATAACTCTTGAAATCAATAAATTTTGAAAATTACTGTCAGTGATGTTACCCAGTTCATTCTTCATTTCTTCTGTTTGTCTTTTGATAGTGGCTGTTTAAATGTGATAATGTGCAGTACACTATCGTCCCTGTTAGTGGAAAAGAGGATCTAGTGAAGGCCTATCATGAACACTCTGAACAGGTAAACAACGAAAAAATACAGCTTTGCTAGTGAATTACCTTTTGATACGAGTGGGAAGTATTTATTTGTTTACTTATTTATTTATTTATTTATTTATTTATCTCCACCACTATGCATAACCTACCTACAGAAAAACATTACATGAAGAAATGAAATTTTTAGTTGACAGGGGAAAAAAGAAATTTCAACCACCACTTCACCTAACATACCTACAGGAAAAACGTAAAATGCAGAAATGAAATTTTAGTCAACAGGAGACAAAATATATTTTGAAACGAACCCCTATTGCAACCACTTGTCTGTAAACTGCCAATTTTTCTAAGTACATAAGTTTTAGATGTTGGATTTGATTGGTTTTTCTTTGAACATTTTCAGTTGAAGCATATATTTTTGATAAACTGTGGTGCAAATTTGAACATTCTGGAGATACTGGAACCAGAGGAAGATGTCATGTTTTACATTGCTGACAGGTAATGAGGAATCCTGTGGTATCTTGAGCAGAATAAAATCTGACAAATTTTTAATTTCACTTTCTTTCTTATTTTTTAAGTCACAGGCCCATTGATCTGGATAATATTTATAATCAGGACCAGGTTAAGTTACTAATGAAGGAAGGGGAACACCTCACAGTCCCTGACTTTGATGAGATTTATGCTGACTCAGAGGTAAATATTACTTTTACCAATTCTCAGTTAATATATGCACTAAGATTAGTATGGCCTACTAAATTCAAAAGTTTTTTTTATTTGAAATATTTTAGCCCAAAGGTGTAATAAATCTCTTACAAACCTTGCTTTCTACGTCAATACTGTAAATTGTGGAAACTTATTTTTTGGCTCAGATTTATGCAGGCTTCATGCTTGGGCCAGAAATCTGAGTGGAAAAAACTTACAGTACAAACCTTAAACTTAGTAAGAGGTATATAAGTAATGTTTGAATATCAGATAGTTTGGTTCTTTTCATTTATTTTTCTAACATAGGAAAACTGGTTGTATTTCATGATGTAATTGTCATTGATGATTTTGCAGGATGAATTTGAAGACTCAGATACTGAGGAATCAGAACCCTCCTCAAAAAGAAGAAGAACAGGAGATGAGGTGATTTCTTTGTATGATACTCCCTGCTACCAATGGTTTTTAAGACCAAGTTGTGAAAAAGCTGTCACAGTTGAATGATTGAGGGAAGTTTTTTGCACATAGGTGTATTTTTTTCAACATAGGATTTTGGAAGTCACTGACTGCAAAATAACTTCTTGTGCATATTTTTGGCTTTTAGGACTCTCCAGTATCAAAGCGAATGTCAAAAAGACAATGGCACCAAAACAGGTTATTTCAGCCATCTGATCATGATTATGATTGACTTTCCTTCTGTATTTTCCTCTTACTTGCTTCATTAGAAAAATGTGAATTTTTCACTACGTTGAGGTAAAGGACATAGGCTAAAAATGTGTCACAGCTCAGAATGTTACTAATTTTAATTATCTTTTACTTCCAAAGACAAGAAATTCTTTATCAGTACTATGCCTATGCTTTCCATGGAAGTTCAGTGAGTAAAGTACATCTTTATGGTTCAGTGAGATGATAATAATATCTTACTGTTTAACGCAACTTCACTTAAAGTGAAAAGGGAAGAGCATTTAGTAAGGCTAGTTTCTTTAATAAATGCTAAGCATTAAGACGTACTAAGTTTTTTTTTAAAAAAAATCCAGCTTTTCTTGTTGGATAAGATTGAAAGTGGTCTTTTCTTGGGCTTTGCCCATATAGAAGGGAGAAAAGAGGACATATTGGACCAAGTACATTGTTGAAACTTCTCTTTCCTCTATGATTAAATTTATCAACAAGTTTATGAAATTCTATTCTGCCTTTAAGTTAATACTGAATTGTGATCAGCGAAAGTAATGTTGTGCTCTCATTATTTCTCAGGCATCCTTGGTTATGTATGAACTGGCTTGGAAAATGAGTAAAGATAGTAATGACTTGCTATGGTGGGCAGCAATTGGATTGACTCATCAATATCTATATGAAAAAATTGATAGGTATTATGATTAATGCTGTAATTTGTATATGTAATGCATTAATTTGTATATGTCTAGGTTGAACTTCTTGCTGGTGTCTATATATTATGTTCTTTGTGAAGGGTTTTTACTCTCAAAAGTTTTCAAACACCTAATCACTGAGTATTAGAAGGGAAAACCAAAGTAATTCCAGATTTCTCTTTAAACATTTCACTTCTTCCTGAAATACCAGGTATCCATAAATTATCCAGCAAACAGGTGATGAGAATGCTCCAACTTATTTGGTAGACATTATTATCTTGATCTAACATCAAGTTCTTGTAACTAATTCACAAGGAAATGTGTAACAGCTAGAGGGGAGAATTGACATTCAGATCATGGGAGCTGAAATGTTCAATTCACAAGCCTTGAAATGTTTAGTGTGATTCTATATTTTGACAATTATCTCTTGTATAATTTCATCAGTGACAAGTACGTAACTGATGCTCAAAATCTCCATGAACATGTGATGAGGCATAATCATGGAACAGATGAAAATGGTTCTTCTGTGAACTGCATGAAGATTGTCTTTGATACTGAGTATCCTTTTCAATGAATGGAATGAATTTAATTTATCCTGTAACTTTTCAAATTAGTTAGTAATCATCTAGCAAGTTAAGTTGGCTTGCTGACAGACAAACATGCTGTTTTAGCCATTTTGTTGCTAGACCTTGTCTAAGTAAGCCATTGCTTTTTCCTTGGACCACGCTGTAGAAAAGCTAACCTTCACTGGGAACTTCCCATGTTTATGATATGTCCAGTAATTAGTAATAAAAACCTAGGTAGAGTACATAAAGTAGAGACATACTTGCACAAAACTTCTCAGGAAAAAAATAAGTTACTTGTGTAATAGCATGTTTCAGGAAAATGTAAGTTACTCAAAGACATGTAATAGCATGTTTTTCCATTCAGATATCATTAATGTTATTTTTCCATGCAAGCCTTAACATAATAAAATAGACTGCGACTGTCATTATACAGACATTGGTCTCTGTTTGACAGCATCTGTAACTCCCGCTACACAGCCTGCAGGTTCAGGGTTTGGACAATGAAAGGAAAAAAGAAACTTAATGAATTTCTTGCTGACATGGGGTAAGATTAGATGGATCATTTTAATATTAAAAATAAGTTACATCTGGCTAATGAGTACAGGCAAGCAGCTTTTAGTTACCTCCAAGGCAGTTTGAGTTTATTTCACAAAAATGGCCAAGGTGGGTGGGAAACTTGGCAGACCAGTGTTAACACAAAATATTATTTTAAAATATTAAAAATTAGTTACATCTGGCTAATGAGTACAGGCAAGCAGCTTTTAGTTACCTCCAAGGCAGTTTGAGTTTATTTCACAAAAATGGCTAAGGTGGGTGGGAAACTTTTTTGAACTTGAAAAATTAAATCCATGAATGTAGATCTTATGTAGCAGTGGATTTCTTAAAATTGACTTTCTTCTCATCCACTGTTTTCAGATAAAATTGAGATGTTTATAGTTTTGGTTTTTGTAGAGTGAGGAAAAATAGGACGACAAGTCAACAAGAACAAGAGACTAAATCCAAATGCTTGATGAAAGCTTACTGAAATGCTGAAAACAATTCCAATAATATGATGGCTCATCCCAGAATTGTTTTATAGAGTTTCCAAGTTTGTCAGTGGAACTTAAAATAAGTGCATTGTGCCACAAATATCACTTATCTGAGAATTTCAGCCATTGGGTATTATTTCTTGTATGTACCTTAAATTTTTAATTTATAAGTTTATAATACTGAGAACAGTTGTCTTCCTGTTCCTCACCCCTTAAAATAAACCCTCCAAAAATTAAAGGAGATGTCCTTGGATTTGGTGATATCTTACATTGTTGTTTTGTTACAGATATTAAAAGGGAAATTGATTGTTGTTAACATACTCATTTTCATCTTGTTGATTTTTGTTGTTGCAGAATCCCTCTTGTTCAGAGTAAGCAAAAATTTCACAGCATGGATTTTGACTTGAGGAACAACCTAAAAGGATGGGTTGAAACTTCTGCTGACAAATTTGGGTGAGTTGGCAAATATAATGGCAAACTCTGCCACATGTTATAACATATATTGACATCTTCCAATTATGAGGTATTGGCAAACTGGAAGAAATTCATCTAGTTATTGCTGGTTTTGATCGAAAGCAAAGGTCAACTCCTTTTGGGTATTGAATTCTGCCCTTACGTATGTGTGAAGGGTTTGAAATCTGTTTATGCTGTCTTCTCTGTCATCGGGCACTCAAACGTTTAGCTAATTTTGCGTATCGTCAATTCACGCGCATTATAACTGAATTTCCCTTCTCTAAGGCCCAAGGAAGATTGGCCAAAAACCAAAACTGGCTTGCCCCACTTGCGGACAGGATGGCCTGACCCACCAGTTCTCAGAAATAGAAAGTGGCCAATTCCCGGCATTCGACAAAACATCTCGTCAAAGCCTCTAATCCCAATATATAACTGTTAAAAATTATTACCAGGGAGTTTTAACTCATACTTTCAGAGATAGATCAGTTAAGCTTAAAAGCAATTGGGTCGTTCATCAGAATCTTTGTGTCCAGGAACACTTCCAGTCACCAGAAAAGAGCTATGAAGCCAAACGTAGATATGTTAGAGGTGTTTTCCTGACTAAGAGCGTAGAAGATTAAAGGATGCGAATGACGAGCTTTGATGATTTTGATGTTGGTGTCTTGTTTTTTATCTTTGTCAAGGCTCGATGAAATGTCGTACGGAACATTCCACGTTCAGTATGGCTTCAAAAATAAGGTAACGACAAGAATTCCCCTTAGATTAACCAAGGAATGTGATACGACGATAAGAAATACTAGTTGTTTTTTTTAAAGAGAAAAACCACCATGGATTGTTTTTTGTTTATCTCTCTGTTTGGTGTGTTGATTTTTTATCCAAAAGTAAATTGTCCTTCTTCGTGAACGTTGGAAATGAGAGAAATCTTAAGGGTTTTTCACAGGAAAAGGGCCGTGGGCATGTGTAACTCTCCTAATAGGTGTCCTAGACCGGCATCTTACTTCAGGGCTCGTGCAGGGATCTCAAATCATGATGTAACTCCACAAAATCATTTTCAAGGCTCGGAATGCAGTATGATTTGAGAATCTTTCTTAGAAAGTGATCACTTATTCTGAGTCATGTGGGGTCAAATGCACCTCAACGCCCCCCTTTATCACGCCCTTGCTACGTGCCGCTCACCTTAGTGTTTAACTACTTTCCTTGTTTTAACAGCTTTGTGCAAGCGACGTTGTCTATGCCGTTAATGCTCTTTTGGAAGCTCCGGTAAGTTATTATAGAATAACCTCTCTCAACCAGTTCGTTGCTCGCTCGGCCAGGCCATAAATTGTACAAATAAATAGCTGATGGGTCTATTTCCACAGGAAACGGAAGGGATGAGCAAATGGGATCACTTTTTAGAGGCTCTAGATGCTTTGTCCAGGTACGAGAGGAGAATAATTCTTAACACAAAATGCTTTACTCGATTACAACGGGTTATTTTTAAGTTGAATAAGAATCAAATAAGTAACAGAAATTTGTGATTGATTATTAAAAATTATTAGATTTTTTCACGCGTAGTATGGGTGCTTATTACAGACATACTGGCCCTTTCCGCTGCTTAAACCTTAAACCCCAAAGAATGAATCACATCTTATTTCTCCCTACAATTTCACCCCTGAGTCACATATTAAGTTCATGAGAATAAAAGAAATGATCACCAACTAAGGAAGCTCTTGATTGTTAAACAAGTTCTCTTTGTCAGCAACTTAGGAAATGTGTAGAGAACAGTTTGGAGAATATGCATACTGATGTTAAGGTGTAGAGGGTTGAGGTTCATATTTCCTGCTGTTAACATATGTTGTTATGAACCCTGATCACTTAGCTACAGCCTTACGACCTGCTTTTAGGAATTCGGCTTCTTTTTTGTACTGCAAGTCTCAGGATTTTTTTAGTCTTTAATTCCTTATAAAATCCCTTCGAGATCAAAGTGTGTTAAAAGCAGTTGTGGTTTGCATCCACCGTTTGAGTCTCCTTAACCCTTTAAATCCTAAGAGTGACTAGCATTTAATTTCTCTTTAAAGTAATACTGCTGAATCGTTAATTAAGATCACGAAAATATAGGAAATGATTTCCAAACTATGGAACTTTGATTGTTAAATTAATTCTCCTTGTCATCACCAAAAGGAAAGTATGGGGAAGAGTATGGAGAATATGGATACTGATGTTTGGGTGTAAAGGGTTAAAGTAGGTTTTGAAACCGACTTTTTCTTCGATATGGTTTTCTCCATTGATTAGCTATTTGAAACGGTCGCACTGTCGTTATCGAATCAACTGTATTTAGGGGTTTACTCTTGACAGACCTGACCTTTACTCTTGACAGACCTTGACCAGACCTTTCGGAGTGCTCTCTAAACTTCCCAAGTGCTTCATATCTCGATGAACGCACAGCTGACATATGAACCAATTGTTTTATAACATTTTCAACCCGATGGAAAATTTTTTCTCGAGAGATATGTTTGCTGACGTCATGAGCGTGCACAATAGGAATATGAAGCACGCTCGCGCAATTGAATTTGATTAGACAAATTTACTAGCTATGTTATAAAAACGTTTAGTAACTGTTTTTCTTAGATCAAATACTGAGAAACTTCAAGAAGGTATCAAGCTGGGAAAGAAGCAGGTAAGCACTGTTTTTATCGGCAACGTCTCTTGAGAGTGCTCGACGACTTCACGATTTAATTTTGCTCAATATTCAGTTGTTATTATGGAGCGTAGATGTATTTTTTTTATCTCAAGGTGCTGCACTGGTAACCGGCTGGATAGGAGGAGGCGTGCTTGCTGCAGCTAATCTAAATTTTTTCTATTCTTTGTAGTTGATTGCCGTCGTGGAGCAAGTTAGATCATTGATTGACATGCATCAAGTCATGTGTGCAGGTCATTTCCTCTATTCACATCTTAGAGAGGTATGACATCAGCTGTTACACATGAGGGACCGGTCATTTTTTTTTTCGCGAGGTGGGGGGGGGGGGATTTTGGTAGTGTCACACTGAAATTTATTAATTTCCCCCCTCCCCAGGCTCTGTATTCTCATAATGATCCCACCTCACTGGCGGTCAATTTTCTATAGTCTCCCTACATACTCTTTTAGCGACGACTGATCCCCCTTCGTACCCCCTGAAACCTCCCACCTCCCACCTCCCACCTCCCACCTCCCACCTCCCACCTCCCCCCTCCCACCTCCCACCTCCCCCCTCCCACCTCCCACCTCCCCCCTTTAAAAAAAAAATTGTCCGACCCCTTCTGGCGATGTAAAACTGTACCTCGCAAGCTTGCAGATATTTGTAAAAGGAACTTGCGGTCTACCTAATTTCGCTCATATCATCATAATGAATTAAAATGATTTGCTTTTTTTTTTAAGGGTATACCGGACTTGAACTTGTTTGGTAAGCCAGCTGTCTTAGGGGCGTTAGCTCGGTTCATCCTCAACGCTTATGTCGTGATGGTATGTCATTCGACGCACACTACAGTGGGTAGATCCAGGAGTTTTTGATAAGGGGTTCAAGCTTTGATTCAAGAAACACAGAGTTTTTAAAAACTAGAGCCTAAATAAGCCTAAAAATATTGAAAGACAAGTAAATGGACGTATTTCATTTTGATTGTTGAATTGCGATCCTGTCTTTGAAAAAATATCGTTGTCAGGTAACATATTGAAAAACGACCAGGTCTGAGAGTAGCCGTAGCCAATCAGATTGCTACATATGTGATAGAACGCTAGCACAATATGAGACAAAACGCTTGTAGATTTATACCTATTGCCCGTAGAGATCACTTCGGTTTTCCACTTTTGTTTTTATGATCATTGTATTTGATGTACACCGTATCCTAGTCTTTAAGACTATACCAATCCTTTGACGATTGGGTCTCTGTCATAATGAAGCGAATCTACATTCATTCGTTTGCCATTTGTGACATAGTGAGATGATGGCGTCTAAACTTCAGCTGATTTTATTTTTGTTTCGTCTTTTGTCTTATTAAGTCCAAAAACAAGAAAGCAGCCGCTCTTCCTTTCGTTCTTGCAACGCCCTTGGACTCAGAGAAAGGTAGGGATAGCAGATGTTAACGACTACAAGACTGGGACGAAAGCTCTCTGTGACTGCTTTGATTTTACTTTATTTCGCTCTGTGATTGGTGTAGATAACTTGTGCCCTACTCTCGACCAATCAAAAGAACTAAAGTTAAAACCAACCGCGACTTGGTCACCCGCGTTTTCCCGCGCTTGAGGCAGTTTGCCTGTTTTGACTTTGAGTTTTCATTGGCCGATGATATAGCCAACCTTTGCTCTGATTGGCTCTAAAGATTCTGACAATCACATAAGCCTGTGAGTGTCCATTAGCCTTTGATAGTAATGTCGACTGCAGTAACTTGTGGCCAATCATCTGAACAAATGCTTTCATTTCTAGCATCTCACTTGACAAATAATAGTGTTTCTGATTTTTTTCAATTTTACTTTTGTTACCAGGGACTTGCTTACTAGTTGGCGTGCCTCCGATTGCTGACGATTCAGGCAAAAAGTAAGTTCCTTAACCTAGTCATGCTACAGCGATTACATGCGCATACTGGAGAACTTAATTAGAGACGTTTTGAGACACGGACGGCCACCGAAAGAAAAATAAAACTAGTTTTATCCTGTAGCGCTTTGACGCCAATCTATTGACTGTAAGGTCGTCGTTTTAGCATTTTATACCAAAATACGCTGACAAAAATGGTGCACTGAGAAGTAGGAATGAGAATTTAAACTTCCAGTTGCCATCTGAGTTTCAAAACGTTTGTGCTTAAGCTCCTTTCTACCTCGTACAAAGCACATACCTGTCTCTACAACAGCCAATTTCCTTTGTTCTCCAGGAAGGCGTTGTTGAAATGGTTGACTGTATTAAGTTTATTATGTTCGTCCGTTCACCTTTTTCTTTACAGTTTCTTGGGAAAAGCTTTTGAAATGGCTGCGAGCAAAACAAAGTCTAGGACAATTCACGACCACTTTGACCCAGCAGGTGAGAATGATGTGCTTTGCGGAAAAAAATATGTACCGAATTGAATGAGCATGGACCATTTCTTTGTGGGTTGTCTTTCTTAACATAGAGAGGAGAGTTTTGTGCTAGGAGCTACATATAGATTGATGACTAAATATCATTTTTCTGCTTTTTTTTTGTCATTGTTCTTTCAGTTTTTCTTTCTTTTTGTCAAAATGAAGTGTGTTCACTGACTAAGTTCTTGTTCTTTCGTTATACTTTTCAAACAGATATTATTTTCTTCTTGTTCTAGTGATTGAAATGAAGAGTGAAGACCGTGGAAAGTTCTTCGATGCCCTATCAGCTCTACTAATACCAAAATAAAACTAAAGTATCTGTAGTCATAGTCAATCTTTCCCCTTTTTTCTCATGATTTTTTTGTTATCTGTCTGAATTCTTAAGGCTTGGATATTCACTGAGCGAATTCCTGCAGACCTGCTAACTGAAGTGGGTCACTAAAAAGAAAGGAAAGGTTGAAATGACTTAATCCGCCTGGACTCTTAATAATTTAAGATAGAAAAGTCTTAAAACTTACATTAACCTTAAAACTCGATGCTTGTAGATAAAACTAATCAAAGTCTCGTGGCAAGAGGCAGTCTCTGAATTGCGTAAAAGTATGAGAAAATTTTCTGCGGAGTGAAATTTGCTGCCAGACATTGGTCAAATTTTAGTCTGAATTTATCCTCTATTTTTCGATGCCAAAACCAACACGTCTGGAATTGTCTATCTTCAAGAATTTGTTGGTGTGCTTGGTTGAATGGTTCCATTCCATTTTATCTTTGCAGCGTGACCAGAATAATCGGTGTTCTGGTCCAGGTTCTCGCGCTAATTCTCCACTCGGCATGTTCATCAAATAGAAAGAATGACTTTGTACACAGCAACAGAAATATCATTTGCGTCCGTCTTTGGTGTAGTGTTAATTTGTATGATTGAATATCCGTGAAATACGCTCGCTTATTCTTTTGCACTGTTAAAGATTGAATTAAACGTTTGGCAACCAACCGAAACAACTAGAATGTTCATAGAGTTTTCTTTTGTTTGTTTGTTTGTCTTTTTGTGTGGAATACTGGTAAAATCAAAAAGCTGCAGGTCACCCTACAGGGGAAGGGGCGCTGTCGATTGAAGCCAAAACAAAACCAATTTATTGAAGCCAAAACAAAACCAATTTATTGAAGCCAAAACAAAACCAATTTATTGAAGCCAAAACAAAACCAATTTATTGTGGTGGAGAAGCGAATGGTTAAAGAAAAGTACATTTCCCTGTATGTCATAGAATAACAGTTTCCTTCACAGAGAACGAAGAAAAACTTTTCTTCCCTACATTTGATTGTCTTTCGAGAAGAAGGGTACGCTTAGTTTAATATCTATCATAGGTCGAGTCCTATCCCCCCCGCACACATACACACACACACGCACACACACCTGGTCTGCAAAAATAGTGATATTCAGGATTACTTTGCCCACAGCTCTGTTGCTCCGTTTCAAATCTGCCTTTCATTGTATCTTTATTTCCACTTCATCTTTGAATATTTGAATTTTACACCGCACAAAGCAAAGAATTATTTGCCACCCCGTACTTTTCAAAGCCGATTTTTTTGGCCCGTTTTTTAGTTCAAAGCAAGTTTTCGATCGAGCGGGTTTGTTATTTCAGTTGTAAGTAAATACGAGTACTACTAGTTTAGATTATAGGTTCCTCCCCGTCAGGCTCCCTGCTGCGCTCCAGCTGTTATTTTCTCAATCTCCTTATGCCAAGTGTCAAAGTTCCTGGTAAGTTTTTGCGTATTCATAGGCTTTTTGTCAACCCCTGCCCTTTAGTTATTGATGAAAGTTGAGGTGGATGTTAAGAAAATCAAACTCAAAGCTTTTTCACGAAAAGGTTTCTGTTTGATCAGTAAAGTTTTAACTCCCACAGACCTGGCCGGTGTCATTTATCATTTACTGACTTCGTTTTGATCGACGTAAAGTTTGATGTTTTCTTCTTTTGTGACGTAACAATATGATACGCAGTTCGACAAGCAATATTTCAATCATTCTTAGATATTTGCCTCCCCGCTATCAATGTTTTTTTGTAGATTTCATGAATAGTTAGCGAAATTGAGAGCTCTAATCTTTCGGTAGGCAATATTTTACGTACTCACTTAAGGGGAAATGCGAACTTTCGAAAAATCAATTTATTACGCAAGCAAAAGTAACATAATCGACCAATCACAATCCGTAAATTTGGCAGCGTTTTGATACACGCGCGTTGAAGCGTTTGTTCGTAATTTGTTATGCTTTGAGTTCAGCTTGGTGATTGTTTTGCGGTAATTGTGGTCTAGCGAGGGATATTTCTTGATCTAGGTGATTAAGGAAAGTCATTACCTCAAGCTGTGCCAGAATGATATGTAAATGTGGACTGGAAAGTCAAGCTGTCTGTTGCTGAAGCCGTTCGTATTCACCCCGGCCGGCTGAGCAAGGCTGTTGACCTTTGACGAGCTAGTTTGTGCTGTAAAGTTTTCGAGGAGTACATCACAAAAGACAATACAGCTGCCTCTACAATTGAGTCTTCATTGAAGGTGTCAAAATGGAAGTGAAGGTATGTTTTGGTTCCTTACTTATCCAGTATGTTGTCAAGCACCGGAGAACCGACTCGTCTTTTCCAGACGTTGCGCGATCGCGGGTGTAATGTTATTTTATCTGACCGATAAACACGTCTGATGAATGAACGTCGCACTATACAGGCCTATCTGTGCTAATTTTCCCATTTTCCCGTCAAGTTATTGTAGTGTTTCAGTACTTAAAAATTCAAGGGCTTTAGAAACTAGAACAGACCGATTACTTATCTACTGCTGACGCACTAGCTCACGATTCTTAGTTCACGGTTTCCTCTGATTTTATCAACATATCTGTGAGCCGATTGAAAACCCCTGCCTACTGTTGGTAAGATATTCATATCTACCTACGAATTAAGGCAGTTTTGTGCCGAAATATGATCAAATCGCGGAAAAGTTTTAATTTTAATTTGGGTTTTTAATATCTTCGCTGACGCGGACTTAAATATCAAGGTTATCGATAGACGAGTATATATAGCCAAAGGGAAAATTAGTTGTAACATGGTGAAAGTGTTTGGTTTAGCAAGTATTTGAAGTTTCGAAGTGGCATTTTTTCATGTTCTAGCCTCAAATCCCTTGAAGTCTCACAAAAGAAAATTTAATCTTGTTTCTGTTACGGCCGATCAGCACTGGCAACCGGGTGGTATAAGACAGGATTTATTCAAGTGCTGTCAGTATTATATTGATGTCGTCTAATTATTAGTTCACGCGCATTAGGCAAATCTAATTGCCCAGTCTGTTCCCGTTGTAATAAATAAAGAATTAGCTTGAGGCGCTCTCTTTCTACTCTTATCCTTTTGCGGATCTCGCAATTTTATTTTTTGTAGGGGCATTAGATAATTTTTTCCATCTGTTCACTTTTAAGAGCTACTATCCTCCTGTTATCAACAAATGCTTTAGTATTAGCGACCATTTGCAATAAATCGGTTTTTGATACTCTTGATATTGCACCCAATAACTCTAACACTGAATAACCTTGAATGGTCCAAGCCAAAATATTCATGGTCTGTGTTTCGAGCAATATTGCACTCTTGAACGCATTGAAAATTTTCATTCTCTATTTCTCAGCAGCCCTAAGCAATGACTAACTGAGCTTTTTTTGGTAGATTTTAAGGATAGTGTTACAGGTGTACCAAAATTTTTTTTTTCTGTGGTGTACACACCAAATAGTATCATAATAGATATTTGCCAGCATGTCCAAAAGATAGACTTTTGAAGACCTTTTTCGGTTAAAATAAAGAGAAGGAAATAACAGCTGTGTAGACTTGTTAGTCTTTGGTTATAATTATCCAGGATTTTCATGAAAGCATCCATTGTTCAACTTCCTTCCTGCAGTCAGTGCTTTTTCTTTCATTAGCCATTTGAAGACAAAACTTTTTCAGTGTGAACTCAGGCTAAGGTGTTGCTTTCTGTCTGTAAATACACTTATATTTTGGATATGATTATAAAAATTTTTTTCTTTTATTAATTATGAAGAAAAGTTTATTGTCCTGTCTGTAAATTTAAGTTACATTTTTGAAAATTATGGTGAAAATTCTGTGTTATCATTTATGATGCCCTTTTTACCATTGTTATTGTCCAATTGCAGTGGAATATTAATAGTCAATAGCACTTTGTAGTAGAACAAATCTTGGAAAAGCTTTGACTATGCAGACAATTGGTTTCAAATGTTACATTTTTAATCCACTTGTCAGTATCTTTAACCCAGACCCTGTATTATGTGACCAACTATAATGCATGGCAGACAAGGACTCAAGTCTGTTATTAGTGTGTCTGACTACAAGGTCTCCAAACTTGCAATCTTTCTATGTATAGTTTCTACAGATGTGAGGTGAAGGTATGTCTAAGCTCTTGATGTATTAGGATCCTTTGAAAAGAATCCAGCCATGAGACATTGAAATCTGAAGTTGACATTGCATGGAAGGAACTCCAAGGTTATGATCCAGTGAGGTTTCCAAGCTCTCTTGTCTGAGCTCTTAATCTTTTGGGTACCTTTCAAGAAATTACCTATCTTCAGATAATAGTGTTAAAATTGGAGTGGAAACAGGCCTTTTTTTTTTTTTTTACATACGTATGAAACTTATTGAGACTTAGTAAGGCTAGCCAATGTGACAGAGACTGAAGTGGACAAAGGAAGCACTATTCAAGGCTTCCAGTAAGATGTGTAGTAGAACAACGGGGGTGTAGACTAGTACTACAGGACAGAGGAAGATTCTCCCCATCTCAATCAAACACAACTCAGGCTATCAAAATTTATGTAAAGGATTACATGTAGCAGCAAGGGAATTTTTTTTCAGATTTCTAACGACCTCTTGAATTACATTGTATACACTTTGGTAAATTAATTTTGGAATTCAGGTTGCAATAACCAATTTTTTTTGAAGCAAGAACAAGGTTGTTGTGGTGAATGGCAGAACCTTTCAGTCATTTAAATCTACAGAATATCTTGTTCATAATTGCTCTGCATGTATATCAAAAAGAAACATGTGGCAGGGTATCTGTCAATGTGCCCTGTGTAAGAATCAAACTTAAGTCTTTATTTTTGCTCTCAAATTACAGTGTACTTTCTAAAAATTTTTTTTTGTTGGGATTCTCTGATTTGAGACAAAAAAATTGAGTTTGTTTTCGTACACAATTATAATGCTGGAATGACTTACTTTGTACCAAAAGGTGCTTGAACCTTCAAAATGAGAACAGCATTATTTTAGGACAAAAGTTGGTTGTCCAAGTTCCTATTACACTGTTGGTAACTTATGTGCTTTGAATCATGAATGAGACTAATTGAATAATATCCCAAAGATGAGCCAGTTTTCTTAAATTTTGTTTTCATAAGGAATTCAGTTTACCTAGCAGGAAGGAAATCAGGATTAAAATAAAAGGAATTGTGGATTAGGGTTAAGTTCAGGTTACTTTTTGAGAAGTTAAGGAAAAAATGTGAGACTGCAAATTTTTGTATTGGTTACATTTACTCACATGTGTTGGGTTAGAGTCAGTTTTGCACCAGCTTGAGATTCAACTGTGATGAGAAGTCTGCTCAAAGAAGATATGAAATGTTTCTTAAGGCTCTATTCCCTAAAAATAACAGTTATTACAGGAATAGGATACATGTATCATGCAATGTGCCTGTAGTTACCTGACTTGTTGTTGGAAAGAGGAATTTTTATTAGACTATCATCTGATGTAGAGTTATGGTCAGCAAGAGCTCATTTGATTTTTTTATGTGGGAACTTGCTGTGTTCCTATTTTCAGGCTATGACAAGTAAAATTTGTCTGTAATACCTCTTAGTACAGTCTAAAATTGGTTGGAATTCTTGAAAATGCAACAGATAAAAGGATTGCTTTACCTATTTGAAAATATTTTACCTGTTGTGCTTAAAATAATGGAGAACAATGAACTTGATTCACATATCAGTCACTGTTTCAAGATTATGAGCATACAATGGTATATTATTCTCGGAACTACATGTATTATATGATACCTGTTCCCTAGACATAATACGGGGTACTGACTTGGTCTGCATGCACTGGAGGGTTATTTCACATAACTGCACTTTTAGGGACTTTGAGCATTATAGATTGGAGTCATTGGACAGGTGCAGATAATTGACAAACTCAATTTTTTCGGACTTTCAATCTCTGAGTTATACATATTCATGTAATTCAATGTTAAAGGATATTTGTTCAAGATACCAGTGTTGAAGATCTGAGATAAAAGATTTTGAGTTGGTGTCTGAATGATCAGCATGAATAAAAAAAGAATTAGTTATAATTTAAGAACAGAGGTTGAATATTCTTGTTTTTGTCAAAGGAGTTGACATAATTTGTAACATTCAAGTCTCTCAGTTTTAAATGGCTAGATGACAACATCATTGCATTCTATATTTCTTTTGTTACAGTGATATGATAATACTACTTACAAAAAGGCAACATCAGCAGCCATGGAGTTTTTACTTTACGTTATATGTTAATTAGAGCTTGATGATTTTTTGGGGTGAATTTGGCAGGTAGATGCAACTTTAACAAGGTACACAATGAATACTCCTTATACTTGACAGCAAGTATTTGACCACATGACATTTGTTTTCATCTTCACACTAATATTGTTTTAAAAAGCATATTGAATTGTTTTGAACTTGAACTTGGAAGCACTATAATTAATTTAGGTTAATATGCAAGCCATGGTAACCAAAATAATGCAACAATCAAAAATAATTATGGTTACATATTTTGTAAAAGGTGTTAATGAATTTTTTATTAATTTTTCAGAACCTGCAGTTTTGTTTCAGAATGTGTGATTAATAAATTACTGTTTTATCTTATTTGAATTCCATTTTAAAGAGGTATTGTTGTGAAAGAATATTGTTGAGTTATTTGCATGGTTACTGGTATGTAAATTATGCAGTATCTTGATTTGGGTGCAATTTGCTTTGTAAATATGTTCTTTAAAATTGGTTGTGGATTTCAATAACTCGACTTTCACATGGATGTGTGACAGGAAATAGAATTTGCATACTTTAAAGTTCCCTTTAATTTGTGGTTGTGTGATTAAAAAAGGAAAAAAACCAGTTCAAAATGGAAAATGATATTGCTGGCTGTATAGGAATCCTGAATGTTTTTCTCTTGAAAATCTACAGTGAATGTAAATCCTCAACAGCTTTTTATGATGATTTTGAGTTTCTACATTTCCCTCTCCTCATAGTTGAAAACAAAGTGGTTGTTCCTTTTTAATTAGTAATTTACCATGTCAAGTCAGTTTTCAATTTCCTGACTGAGTAGGGTGACAAACTGGTTAATATTCAACAATTGAGCAGAAGCTTGAAATTTAACCAAGGCACCTGTAGTTTATGAGACCTTATGGGATGAAATATGGTTTTTATATGCATAACTGCTGTAAACAATAAGGTAAGAGTGATAGTCTGAATGAATATTTATTCATTGCAAATGAACCCAAACTAATTAGTGTGGCTAATGATTGCAAGTGGTTTAGTTGACAACCTGAAGTGAATTGACTGTGTGGTGTAAGAGTTGCTCGAGTCTTTCTAATGCTTTCACTTTCTTGCGGCACTGGCAAATCTAATGGCTTTGCAACCTTCTCGCTACTTGTTGTACTATCCTAAACAACCTAACTTCAGTCAAACAGCTTGGAAAAGGGTGCCTAAACAGAGATTTGTGAGTTATTGTGTGAAATCATTGTTATGTTATCGGTGAATCACTTGTGAATGCTGACATTTTTGAAGTAAATTAGGTGACTCATGCGGAAATTACATCAAGATAAAGTGTTCTTCTGTAAGAGACAGATTTGCACTTTCACAATTATCAGTTTGGAATTACAGCAATTGTGTAGAGGTGATTAGTTTTAAATGTGCCATTGTTTTGTCAATGGTTTTTTGGTTCAGATTTCTTTTTATATGAAATGTTAGTCTATCATTCAATGAAATCTTGTAAGGTACATGCTAGGTCTTAAAGATAGGTACAAGACACAACTGTTTGTTAGAAAAAATACTTTGTACAGTCATGAGGTACAAAAGTGACTGAATGCTTTTCCACAAACACTTATTTTGCTATTAATAGTACTTAGCTTCAAGATATTATTTGCATTCTGTGTACAGGATTGTTACTGCAGCTGTAATAACTACATTGTAGCTGGAATATAGAAAGTCCTGACAAGTGGGACTTCAGCTGACAGTGAAGGGAACAAAATTTAGAAATTCTGAGAGAATTACAATGGGACTTATTTAGCTTATTGTTTAAGATTTGCACATTCTCAACAGGTAATCTCTTTGGGGTACATGTGAATTGTTTTTTTGGCCTCATTGTGATGCATTCACAGTATACTTCAAATTTAATAAGCCTTTGAAATGAAGTAAGCTAGTGAGTACAGCTGTGACTATTGCAGACAAATAAAGGTAGTTGTAACATTAAGTGTAATATATTTTATTAATATATGTATAGACCAGCATTGTGAAGATATGAATTAAAGAAACCTGAGTTTATTTAGAAAACAAAAAATTATTTGTGTGGCAGCTTGGTGGAATAAGATAATTGTTTTGAAAAAGTTTTACAAAGTATTTTTTCTGGCAAACAGTTGTGTCTTGTTCTGAGTTTAAATGTATGTCAACATGTCTGTGGCTTAAATCAAAATCGCGAAAATCCGTCATTGACCTTATAACACTAGGTCATTTGTTTGCATGACAGTGAATAAGATTAATTACCCACACAAAACAGCAAAAACTAAATTTTGACCTGATCAAATCTTATTTAATTTTGCATACAGTGTATAGTGTCAGAGAACAAAGAAGTACATGTATTTTTTAGATGTGGAAAATTGTAGTTTCTGGTTTACTTCAAATCCTCTTGTCATCTTGTGTATAATTTTAATCTTGTGTATAATATTACAGAATGCTGTGTGGTATGTGCACTGACTTGTTGCCTTTTATAGGCAGTCATATTATCTACATTGAAGGGAAACTTATAGTCTCTACTTAACCTTTACAGCCTAGCATCAGTATGCATATTTTCCATATTGTCCTCCATACATTTTGTAAGGTGCTGATGGGGAGAAATGGTTGAACAGTCAAGAGCTTCTTTAATGATTATTTCCTTTATTCTTGTGACCTTGATGGAGAAAAAAGATGTTAGTTACTCTTGGGGGTTAAAGTGTTAAAGGAAATCTGAATCTGTCTGTCTTCTGTCAACCATTTTTCACTGATGACTTTAACAGATGGAAAAGAACTTCAGTCTTACGCAAATCCTAAGTACAATAATTGCTGCCCACTTTTCTAGTAGCACCCTTATTTGAGGCAAGAGGTAGCAAACTATTTGTCTTTTGGTCAGGCACATACTTGTTACAAGGCTGTATGAATGAAAATCAACTAATGATATACTTGAGGATGGAAGGAGAGGGTGAATTACTGTAGATGTACTGTAGGGTTGACAACTCTTATTTTTTTTTTCACAGAGTGATGGCAGTGATGAAGAAATGAAGGATGATATTGATTCTGTGCGTGGTCTGTTAGACAGGTTCAAGGAGGACAAGGAGAGGGAACTCCTTAAAGAGGTGACTTGCACAATATGACCCTTTCTTTGAAATAATACTAGTTATTTAAAGTAAGAGACAAAATCCTTCCACAGTCACTTCCACAGCTAAGATTTTACTCATGAAGAGTCCTCACCAAAATTTTCTAACTGAACTGTAGTCATTGCATAACTTGTATGCCCATTTTAAAGTAATTAAAGTCTTTGAACAATTAAGGAAAATTGCAATCCAGGCAAAGTCTACATACAGCACAGCCCAGAGTTAGATGGCCAATGCACGTGCAAAACCTTTGCATGTTTTTTTTGCCATGTATCTCTGAGCTATACTGTAAGTATATGGGGCTACATTTTTCTGGGCTCTAATGATCAGGTTTTCTAATATTCCAGGGCAGAAAAAGTTGTTTTTCTCTGATTGCATAAAAATTGTATAATGAATGAAAGACTCCTCTCCAATTTGAATTCTGCAATCATTTTCCTGAAATTTAACCCCTCAAGGCCTGCACTTAAAAATATATTTGGTGCCATCTAGGTGGATACTTCTTACAGCTATGAGTATCATGGCCATTTTTGTTCAGTTGTATGATCTGCAGTGAAATTATTAAAGTAAGGAGTTTGCCTAAAAATAAAAAACCAAAGCCAATTTCCAGGGTTTAAGAATGTGCAGTTGATTTATTCCAATTGCTTTTTCTAGACAAGAAAATCATGCAAATGCTTGTAACCAAAAATGAGTTGTTACTGACACTTGTGAACAGGTTTTTTTACTTTTTTCTCACATAAAATGTTTTTCTGCCATTATTTAGACCTCCTCAAGTTCAACTTATGAGGATGGATACAGCTCAGGTATGATCAATGGATTGTGATTTATCAATTTGTGTAGAGTATGTGTATGTTTATAATAATCACTAGCCTCCATTTTTCAGAACAGTATGTTCAGTTCTTGGTCTTATCCCAGAGGGGTGTGGTGTTAATCCCTTTAATTCACAAGATCTGATTGCTTGTGTCTTTCCAGTGCTTTCACTTCCTCTCACAAGCAAATCTAATGGCTTTGAAATCTTCCAGCTACTTGCTGTTCTATCCTAAACAACCTTATACTTCTGCCAACCAGATTGGAAAAGGGTGTCTAAGCAGAGATTTGTGAGCGATTGTGTTGTTGTGTTGTCAATAGCTGTTGCACATCTCATTGTTAATTAGTTACATGAATTTGGTATTCAATCAAGAAAACAATATCCACTTGATAAGCTTGAGTATTCTTATTTACCATTTGTTGGAAAATGTATGGATAGTATAAGAAGAGGTTACATGTTAATCACTTGTGGGAGTTTAAGGGTCAAGAGAACATAGCTATAGGGACAGTCAGTCATGGGAACAGGTAGTGTGCAGGGCACAAATTTATCGGCAAGCAAAAATTGGAGAAAAGTACCACACAGTTCAGTGCACAGGTTATTCATTGGACACCTCTAAACCATTCACGAGAAAGTGAGAGGGTTATTTTGACAGATTTTAACTTATTTTAGTGTTCCTCAGTCAGAAAGCAGTGACATCAGTTTTGTAAGTTGTAACTATCAAGCGCCTATTTGTTTATAAAGATTGTGGCAGCCAAATTACACGAACTAACTTATTGTTGCATTTCACCTTTTAAATGTAGCTGGTGAAAATTTGGTTAGTGAACTTGTAAAGAAATCAACAAAATCAACCCTTGTGATGAATTTGAAACCTGTTTCCAAAACAAGGGAAACATCAACAAAGATGGGTTTGGGAGATGCAGCAGCAGGGGATGATGAAGGAGAATCTTCTGGTAAAGGAGTTTCACAGAAAAGAAAACAGGATTCATTCTTAGTTGAAGTTCAAGAGAGAGCTGAGGTACTGTTTATTGAGAAAAATGACAGTGATTTCTTACATTTTAAGGTGGCTCTGTACTTACACAGTGCTTCTCTCTGCTGCCGATTATTTTAAGTGGGCACTGGCAAACTGTTTGGCTTGGGTGGCCAGTAGCTATTTGCATGAGATTGGGACAGAAATCAAGCCCAGCTTAACAAAATTCTTTTGGTTTTATCGTAGGTGATAAGTAAAAGTGCTCGAAAAGCTCCAGAAACATTAGTATCATCAATTGGACAAAATGTTGAGGGTGATCCAGATACGGTAAGTACAATAATATCTTAGAGGGAAGGGAAGATTACAATGTATACACGCTTTTTTTAAAATAATAATTTACATAAGTTTAATTGCTCAGTGGCGATTCATGGTTAAGAATTACCTGATATCTTGTCATAATCGCCTCACGCAGAGTTCTTACGTTAAGGAAATGCTAATTTTTGAAAGTAATTTTTTTCTTGTTTTAAAAAGAGATAATGAAAGATCAAACAGTTTCTCTCAGAAATCCCTGCGTGACAACTCAATTTCTACATTTATTCTCTCAGTGCTCAGCTTATGTTGTTGAATAAACCCCTTGGGTTCTTCCTGGGGGACTTAGCGACAACATTCACTTCCATTGCAGTTTATAGGGAATTGTCTCAATACTGAATATTTGTTATGCTAAGAACACAAATGTTGTCAAATGCAAGTCGAACAACAATTGTGAAGAATTTATTTTTAAAAGGGTCGTAAAATTTATCGGTTTCTACTTCGACTTGTTTTGCCGCTCTCTGTGACGTTTTTGTGTCCTATTTAACGTACGACATATTTTGTGACAGTGTCTGGGAATTCTGTGAACTTTCTTTACAGCATAGTTTGCAATAAATCTTATTTTACATAGCAGCAAATGAGATTCGCAAAAGAAGCGCGTTACCGTTTGTAATCAATTCGATTTACGTGTTCCGTGTGTTTAAATAAAACCACTCGTACCTTATTTTTTGCAGGAAGAGTTTCTCAGAAAGATCCGAGCTGCACCATCCTCATCAAATGAATTTCGTGTAAGCAGAAATGTAATTATTAAAGTAACATTTGTTTTTGTCCTCTCTGTATATTATTTAAGCTGGATTTTTTTACATCTTAGATGGAGAACAACGAGACTAGACCGTTCAGAAGTAAATCGGCCTCAGAGGTTGACTTATCCGTGGTTGTGCCGGTGAGAGATCCTCTTGTTTGTTTCAGAGAGTGAGAGAGAGAGAGTGAGCGATCCTAATTATTTTGCTGGCCGCGCGACCATTAAGTTCTTGAATTGGCGCCTTAGTTTGACACTTTTTGGCCATAGATACCATTTATGGATTACAGGGGACATTTATAAACATCCCAGCTCTCTTCAAAGAAGAGGTCCAGGGATGACTGAGATCTTCCTTTGTTAACAAAATTTATAATAATTAATAGTTCAAATAGCCAAAATCCTGGATACGGCCCTTTTAAGTGGCAGTGAGGCTAAATGGTTAGGGGGCGGGTGCTTCCGCATTTCAACGCGTTTTTTCCCCGTCCCCTCCACTTGTCACTGGCTTTGTTCTCCAGGGCAAATGGTTGGCCCTGTTTTGCACTTACTTGGGAAGTGAAACGCGCATTGCCCGTCCACAGGAAGCGCATCTCACGTGTGGGTTACTTGCGCGCTGGATGCGCACTAACGCGTGTTTTTGCCGAAGGAAAGACCTTCAGCCCGTTATGTTAGAGTGTAGCTCGCTTATTGAATTAAGTTTCCTCAGAACGGAATATTCGAACGAAATTTCAAGTGGATACCATACTATTTTGCAGATTGCTTCAACTTTAAACTTGGAAATTCAAAAGTCTAAAATCCCTCTGGTGAGGTCAGGCTCGTTAAAGGATCGTAGAAAACCCTCAGCTGCTTCCAGGCGGAAAAGTTTCAGGTCAAGTTTTAATGAAGATTTTGATGATTCATTTGTTATCAGCGAAGGAGAGGAGTCGTGAGTATTACTTTTACCTGATATAGTTGAAGCAGTACACTATATCAGCGATATGAACTCATCTGTACAAATTTCAAGGGAGTTAAGGCAAAGATGGTTGATTGGGTGTGAATGGTATTGAATACGAACCTATGGTTTTTTTTTTTTGGGGGGGGGGGGGGCAGACTACTCTTATATGTGCTTCCCTTGTCTCAAATATGACGCAAGACAAGTAGGAGACCATTGGTTGTTGGCCGAGTCAGTTATCACTAAAACGCTCTTTTTTTTGTTATGTTGAACACGTAGCTGGAACTTTGCTTTCGTTTCTGCTCTGGGGTTTTCTAATGCTTCTACTGCTGAAATTATAGGGGATTGTGTGGCTTAAATTTACCATTAGAGTAATTTCAATTGTGCATGAAACGTATTCCAGGATTGTATCGGGATTGCTCTTGTGTGCTCTGTGACTACTTGAGAAATTTCATGCCATCCTCTCAATCATGAAGGTGTATAACTGAAATAAATCGTGTCTCGGTCGTCAGCTTTCTACGCTCCTGGAGAAATGTTCGCATCGTAAGTTTGTCACGCTATGTCGTTCTTGTCTTATGTGTGATCGTTGTGACAACTCTGGTTTGGTTTCTATACCTCAATTGAAACGGGTACGGCCATTGGTTATTGATATGTACCCTTCAATCTCTGCCCTGAAGAAGCCATTAGTACATATAGTACTGGATATGTAAGAGTCGAAGTGGTACATACAGTCATTTTAATTTCAGGATGAACGAAGACCGCAGTGTCACACCTGGTGGTGGCTTCATCATAAAGAACCCGCCTCAGTGGGACGTAGGGGAGGCGGTGAGACCACGAACCAAGCCAAAGCCGAAGGTGAAGAGCAAAACTGTGTCTGGAATAGCTCTACCAGGGCTGGCTGATGCATTAATCAAGAAACAAATTGCAGCTGAAAATAAGGTTGGTCCATTGGAGAAAAAATTTTTTCTTGGAGCGATAACATATAAGCTCACAAAACTGCAAAAAATTTTCCTCTGGTGCTATTCAGCCTCAGTATTAAGAAAACATTGATGATCAGTCTGGACTTAAAGTCCAGTCACGACTTGTCTTGCGTGATGTCTCGGTGGCGCTTTGATTGGCTGCTTGGACTTAGAGTATCTTAAACTCGATGTCGAAGTACAAAGTTTGACGAGCTGTCTGGGAGCTCTTTTCTTGATCGAGCGTAAGTGGCCTTCCTTTTCACTGTTCAGTGTTTCTTCATCGAGTTTGGTTCAACGTTATTTACTGGGCGCTACAAACATTTTAGCGTTTATTTATTTTAATTTATGGTAGCAATTTACGATATTTTACCGATCGCTGATCCTCCCGGTTGATCTTCAGGTCTAGGGATAGATTAGCTAGGCTATCTCTAATGAACGAGACTCAATGATTTTGTTAACTCCTTCACTCCCAAGATCTCTTGAGTAATTCTCCTTACTGTCTGCCATATAATTCTTTTGATCTTAATTCCGAGAATTTGGTATTGGATCAACTAATATTTCCCTTACTGTTTTTTCTTTATTCTCATCACTTATCTGCTCAATATTGTTTTAATAATGTAGGGAGAAATTCTGTCTTGGTCGCTCATGGGAGTTGTAGAGTTAATCTTTTGTTTCAGGGGGACATTCACATTTCCTCCTCTTTTTGTGTTATTTTAGCAGCGTTCCCAGGGTAGCGCAGCCGAAATTGTCCGTGCGGCTGCCGAAAATAAGAAGAACATGGCAGCCAAGGAAGAAAAATTAGAGAAAGAACCTGAAAAACCTGCTTGGTTCGTGGAGGCGGAGGCACGGAGGAAACTCCATGAACAGCGACGGCATCCCAAAAGTAAAGAACAAGGAGAGAGTGAAACTAGTCTGGGGCCAGAGAAACCGGTGAATAATGGTCCTGTGCTCAAGTCTTTACCTCAGAAACCTGAAGTTGGAAAAAAAAACTCTGTCGGTGGTGGGGTGATGAGCGTTTTTCGCAATATTGTGCTTCGTCCTGTTCGGAAACCTGACGCAGTTCCAACCAAATCCGAGGACGACAGCGATGCTACGAAGTCGTTTAATGTTTGTCTTCGTCCCGTGTCTAAAGCAGGTCCTTTAGATAACCAAGCAGATGAAATAAAGGGAAGTTTTCAACCAGTGCGTTTGAAACCTATTGCTCCCCGTCTCGCAAGACCCTTGAGTTCCTCAGTCACGAATACCGAAGCAACACCATTGCGCACACGAACGCCTCTCGAAAAAACATCTAGTTCACAGTCGGTTCAACTAGAAAAAAGTGCACGTGAGTATCACACCATCCCTCCTCTTGCCCCGATAACTTTAGAGCGTTCGGAACCGAGGGTTTCCGAAAGTTTTTCGTCACCTACGAATGGTGAACGAGTCACGATTTCCTCGAACTACTTGAGTGGCCCTCATAAACTTCCCCCAAGTACAACGCCTAAACCTTCCAACAGATCTAAGACAGTGACAGTCACCGCTTCTGAAGTGCCGCAGCTTTCATCAGTTAAGCGAAGAAGCGTAGAGTTAATACAAGCCAGAGTGGAAAAGAAATCTTCGGGACCTTCAAGTTCAGCCGTGCCATACGGGGACCTGAGCGGATCCCGAAGAGGAAGTGATGCGCGAGATAGAGCAGAGACATATGACTCGGCTTTCAGGCCAACTTATACTGGGGACGTGCTGCCGCAGTGGAAGATCGAACTCATTGAGAAGAAAAAGAACTCAACGACTTCACGCGAAGGGTCAAACAAAGGTAGGTCGACTTACATTTTTCCCGCTTAGAAGACAATGATTTATGTTCGATGTTGACAGCTGCCCACTCTGTAGGCGCGCTAAAAGAGTCTCAAACCCGAAATTCCCAAGATGTGATTGTTAATTGCTCCCTCTAACTGCTGCACATTTGCTTGTGAATGAGAGACCTTCAATTCTGCTCAGCCAACTTCTACCATCGCACTCTGTTTATTCTGACGTTGCAGCATATTGAGCAGACTATCAGCATACTCTGCTTCGCGACAGTCGGGATTAGTTCACCCTGGTTAGTACTGATGTTGGTGTCTGGCTCTTCAATAATTCGAGAGGAAGTCATGTCACCTGGGCGATCATACTCTTCCAGATATTTTGTCGAGTATATCAGAAAAATTCCTTTCCCCTTTTTTTCCCCTCTTTCGTGCGAATTTTTACGTTCAGTTATTCCTTGGTACTCTCAGTAGATATTCAAAGAGCTAGTGCACTCATCGAAGTGATGTTTTGATTACAGATCGTCCTCATCAGACGCAGATCACGAACGCAGTTGTTGTTCCACCTTGGAAGAAGGAACTGGCTGAAAAACGAAAGCAACGCTCTCCGGTCACTGGTAACCAGGCCTCCGGCAAAGAGAATGAACCGAGTACGTTTTCGGAACTACCGCTATGGCAAAGGGAAATCGCCGAGAGAAGAAAGCGCCGAGAATTTTTGCCAGGTCAAGAGCTCCCTGAGAAAACAGACAACTCTACAGAAAGACCTGAATGGCAACGGAGACTGAAAAACACACGACGAAACCAACCGATCGTGGCCCCAAAAGGACCATCGGAAGATTCGGCAGAGTCGGTACCGAGTTTTATGAAGGAGTTTGAGAAGAAAAAAAGAGCGTGTCCTCGTGGTAAGTATTTCTGTCAAGTAGAAACTAACTACAACCAGCGTTTAGCGGGGTCATATCGTTTGCATCAAGACAATCGAAAAAGGGGGTCAAGAGTCTTCGTCATTACGGCCAATGATTTCCATTTGACTACTATTTCCTTGCAGAAGTTGATGCCTAAGGCTGTATGATCCATTCGCGCTAACACCAGCGGGACAGCATTCTTGTTAGTACAAAAAAAAAAAAAAAGCAGCGAAGTATTTTGCACTAACGTAGTTTGCTTTTTATTTCTGTGTACTTCACCAAAATATGTTCACAACGGCGATCGAATGCTCTTGTTGTACAGACTTAATTACTCAGGGTTTGTTCGCCACGTTAATCTTACGGAGGTGGGGGTAGGACGGGCATGTAAGGACCCCCCCGTAGCTATGCCCCTGCACTTAAGCCTAAGCATCAGCCTACGGCTGTCAACTTGATGGCTCATTGTTCCTCCTTCTTTTTTTCTTTTGTTTTTTCGGTTTGTTTGTTTTAAATGGGAGACGCTAATGTCGTTGATGATACCGTTATTTTCGGAACCAGTCTACTTGCTTTCACCGTGGTGCTATGTTTGCCCTGTGTAAAGAAGGACACTTGTTACCTATTGTGTTGTATACATCTAAACTTTGAATTCTTTCGATTTGCAGGAGGCAGTAGAAACTCAAGTTACGTTTGACGTCGGAAAAAAAACATAGCAAAGTGCATATCTCTTCTCCCTTCTTGCATTTGATAAATATGATTTCTAATGTGTTCAACAGATTTCTATGATTTTTACAAAAACATATTAAAAAAACACATTCAAACACCTATCGCTCGCTAAACTTATTCCTATTTACTGAGTATTGCTCAAGGAACAATTTATAATTTTTTAAAATTGATGAAATTTTTATGCTTCAGTTCGATGACTTTAATTAATTGCGATTAGTTGTTTTTGTGTTGTTAAAGAAAAATAGAGCGCTTTACGATTAAGCGCAATATTTATAAATTTTCAAGTGAACACTGAGGCTGTGCCCAGAATTATTGAACGCAAATTGTTATTTTTTTAGTAAGCAAGTGCCGTCGAGCTAGTTATACCCAGCGTGGGTCACATTGGCCGGAATATTTATTTTTTTGGGGGAAATCACCAATGGATGGATTTGATTGAAATTTTACAAATGCTTCACAAATTACTCCAAGGCTGAGTTGTCTAATTAAGTTACACAAGGACTAGATCTTGATGTAATGAAAGGCATCAGGTAATTGCGTTTACAAATTGCGTTCCTGTTGACAAACATACTGAGATGTGTTTTTTCTGCGTTACTTTTGAAAAAAAAGCGCATCTCGTTGGTTTTAGGTAGTTTTACTGGTGAACACAAATGTTGAACTTTTCTTAACGAAAAGTGCTCGTTATTATCTCTACAATGCATATTCACTTGACATATTACGTCCATCGTTAACTGTTACCTTTCAAACACGGTTTTATTTTAGATCTACATTTTCAATGAACTATGGAAATAAATCTTGAATATAAGATAACTTGAATTTACAAACGTGTTGAATCTTCTTTTGTCAAAAGTTTTTCTTGCGTCGAAAATGGTGACTGTAGAAATGAACTCCTTTGAAGTCACTTGCAGAACTGCCATTCCCACTTTGCTCAGTTTGCCCTATCAATTATAGTCTGGGAGCAAATGTCATAAAATAAGGTCCCGTGTGAAATTCGTGCTGAAAGCAAGCACCCAGTGTAAAAGTGTTCATTAGGTCCTACTAAACATGAAAAGTTTTGGTGCCAGCTTTGGCACTTGCTCAGACGGCTTTTAAGGGGGGTTAAATTCTGAGCCATGAAATCCAGCGTGAAAACGAGGCTAAAACACATAATTCTTCATAACTTTGTTAATAACAGGCGAAAATACACCAAACTTGCTCACATGATTGGGCATGATCCTCCCTGTTGATTTATGCTAATTTACATAGGTCACGTGACCTTACGCATGAAAGCGAGGCTGAAACATAATTTACTATAAATTTGTCCCAAAAAATCCTTATCATGCCAAACTTGCTCACCTTAGTCAGTTAGACATCTTGCATCGATCGGTATCGATTTTTCACGATTGAGTTTTAAAACTAATACCAATCCTCCTCCTTTGTCGGCTGAATTGCCGCTTATTTTACTAATGAGAATTTAAGTTTTATAACAGAAAGGAGTCGCTGTTAGCGTCCTTTTCTGTTACTTTCTTTAAAATAAATTTTGTTTGCATTTGTTTAGATTAACTCTAATTTATTAGAATAATTGTTCTTAACTCTGCTTATGAACATTGCAATACGCAACATCCAAAAATACTTATTTAATTGGACGCTTTCCCCAGAAACTGAATTTATGGTCGCCTTTGCTGAAGAAGAAACGGCAATTTTAACAATTTCCAGAGTATTTTTTGTAGAGAATGCCAAATTTTTTTGGGTTTGGTTGTGTCGTTTAGGAATCTGAATCTTGTTTCTCATAGACTAACTAGTTGAGCTAAAGCAAGAGAATATCAACTATACTCTCTCGGCTTAAGATAGACATTTTCCTTACCAACGGTTTGCTAATGAGATTTGTAATTTCCTTTCCGTTATGTTCCTAACTGGTTACTCACTACAGGCTTGTACAAATTGGCATCAGTTGATTGACTGATTCAAGCCAACAGAAATGAAATGTTTTAGTTTATTAAAGCGAAAACAATATTTCGGGAATTTGTCCAGTTGAAACAGAAGTTCCACTTGAAAGGGAGCTGCTGTCCATAAATGTGAATGTTACACCTGAACACTGAACAGAATTGAAACCATCCATTCCTTTTGCTGAAGGAGGACCTGATACTGAAGCAGTTATACAGTACCGAGTGTTTTTCCGTGCAACGACTTCTTTGTCAAAAGGCACTTCTATTCCGTAAGAATCAAAGTTTACGCTTCCCGTCGTCTGGACCTCTTTATTTTTTAAAGACAACAAAACCAGACCAGTTTGTTTAATCGAAAGCATCAAGTTTATTGTGTAAGTAGAGTGCTCACTGCCATAGAAACGAACTCCATGTAACTTAATGTCCTTGTCCACAGAGAAATCTATGTTATCTTCCGTACCGTTATAAAAGCAACGTTTTGTCGTATTGAGAAATCTACAACATCGGTGAATATTTTGACATCTTTTAGTCTCGGGAAATCCCGCTGGAGAGCTGGACACGAAATTCAGGTATCTGACAAGACTGACGATCTCCTCTTTTGTGAGGATATCACTGGCTAAAACCTCACTTGCGAAATCTTTCTGTGTCATCGTTGGGAAGCGTATTGCTTTGACAATTTCTTCACCGAGAATTCTTCTTTTATTTGAACCATCTGCCTCTAAACCTTGTCTCTCACATTCCTTTGTGGCCCACAAGTCAACGGTTTTAAAAAGATCAACCTCTTTAATTGTCAGTGTATCTCTGATCACCACTGTTTCGAGCAAGGGCCTCTCAATGGTAACAAATCCTTCAGATTTCACAACTTCCTCTGTCTCCCAATCGATCACTTTCCAGCATCGATCCACCAGTTCTTTTTCTTCATATTTCTGAGCGAATGGTAGAATGATGAAAACATTGGACGGATCCAGGTTTTTGAGGAGATATTCGGTACATTTATCAGCGAGCGAAGGCACCATGTATTTTTTCGCCAAGTACAATACACCTATCACATTACTTCCGCTCAAGTTGACTTCATCGCTGTACATGAAACGAAACAACTCCAATAGACTCTCGTAGTCACAGTCAGGCAGTTCAATAGAGTCTTTAGTCTCCGCTAACTCACCGTAAAACATGGCTTCAAACACAGGACTGCTGATCGATAGAACAAACTTGTGAGCAGGAATCACTTGATTACTTTCGCTTTCACCATCCAAATTGTGAACAACAAACTTGATATCGCTGAAGCGATCGTTGTTGAAAACAAACTTAGTTCTTTCTCTGATGGTTGGTCTTGTTTTTTGCCAGTATTCTTCGACGAGAGACATGTTTCCTGACCGTGGCGCTAAAAGCAGTTAAGAAAGTTAACTTCAGTTTGCGAGGGAGTGCATAACATAAATGGGTGGCAACTCGAGACAGCGGTAACTTACAAAATTTAAATATATGATCACATTCTCCAAATTGTTATAATTGTCACCCAATTTAATTGCGTGACCCAGCCTCCGTCGCGGGCCGTAAGCCTTCCTTTTAGTTCGTTAAAACTGAACGCAAATAAAATAATTTCCGTGGTTTTGTTATTTTATTTCGCATTGCGTTACTTTGGAAAGACCAATTGGCAGTTTTAAAGTTTATGTAGTCATAAATTATAAAGACTTTCGATATATAATTTCAAACTAATTTCACTAGCCATCAGGAATGGTGAACCTAGCTTTAAATATAAATTTTATGTATATTTGCGTTTGTAAAATTCGTTTCATCTGGTGTTGCACCATGTAAGAAATTTGTCATGATAGAGACTTCGCTGAGAAATTTTTGAGGGTGAGAGATAAGCCGGAGGGAAGATTAACTGACCGCATCTTATAATCGATTCTATTTCGCTTTGTCACCACTACCTAGTCATATATAATAAAACTGAATTATTACATTAAAGAAAACAGCAATTCTGGAAATTGACCGCACATAGTGCTTGTTTCATTTGTTAAGGATTCATAGTTGGTGAAAGTGAATGTTACACCAGCCCTGTACATTAAATTGAGCCAACACAACTAATTCCTTGGCAGGTAGGAGGACCTGATATCAGAGCACTTGTAGCGTAGGAGGTGTTTCTTTTTATGTTAATTTGCTGGTCGAAATAAACCTCAAAACCATAGTAGCTGCATTTCTCGCACTGCAACAACTCTGATGGAAACGATGCAGTTTTGGTTGCTAGAGCTGATTTGCTTATATTGTCTCTCACCTCTGAGGTCACTGGGTAAGTTTGATTTTCGTTTCCAAAGAACTGAAAGTTATCGCGTGTAACGCTACATCCTTCTCCACAGGGAAGTTAAAACAATCTCTGCGATTCGGATAATTCCAAGGGTTGTCTGACTTTAAGCCCAATCTGCAGCATCGTTTAATATCACCAAACCTCTTTGCCTTGGAAAAGCCTTCTACAAACTTAGTGATGGAATTAAAATACTTGAAGATACTGATAATCTCATGTTTGTTTGATAGGTACCCTTCAACCTCTTCCCTGAAGAAGCCATTAGTACATATATTACTGGATATGTAAAAGTCGAAGTGGTACATGCGGTCATTTTAATTTCAGGATGGATGAAGATTACAGTGTTATACTGGTGGCTTTATCATAAAGAACCCGCCTCATTCGGGCGTAGGAGAAGCGGTGAGACCACGAACCAAGCCAAAGCCGAAGGTGAAGAGCCAAACTGTGTCTGGAATAGCTCTACCAGGGCTGGCTGATGCATTAAAGAAGAAAAAAGTCGCAGCTGAAAATAAGGTTGGTCCATTGGGAAAACAATTGTTTTTGTTGTGGTAATATATAAGCTCAAAAAACTGCAAACCGTTCGAACAAGGAGTTCACCATCTAGGAGTAGAGGGGTGTTTATCCTCAATTTGTCTTGCGTGATGTCTTGTGTGATGTCTTGCGTGATGTCCTGCGTGATGTCTTGCGTGATGTCTTGCGTGATGTCTTGCGTGATGTCTTGCGTGATGTCTTGCGTGATGTCTTGCGTGATGTCTTATGGGATGTCTTGCGTGTGCATTGGTGGCGCCTTGACTAACTGCTTGGACGTAGAGTATGTTAAACTCGGTGTCGATGTACAAACTTTGACAAGCTGTCAGGGCGATCTTTTCTTGATCGAACACAAGTGGCCTTCCTTTTTACCGTTCAGTGTTTCTTCATCGAGTTTGGTTCAACGCTATTTACTGGGCGCTTCAAACATTTTAGCATTTATTTATTTTAACTTATGGTAGCAATTTACGATATTTTACCGATCGCTGATCCTCCCGGTTGATCTTCAAGTCTAGGGATAGATTAGCTAGGCTATCTCTATTGAACGAGACTCATTGATTTTGGCTCCTTCACTCTCAAGATCTCTTGAGTAATTCTCCTTACTGTCTGCCATTGAATTCTTTTGATCTTAATTCGGAGAATTTGGTATTGGATCGACTAATATTCCCCTTACTGATTTTTCTTTGTTCTCATCACTTGTCTCCTCAATATTGTTTTAATAATGTAAGAAAAAAATTCTGTCTTGGTCGCTCATGGGAGTTGTAGAGTTAATCTATTGTTTCAGGGGGACATTCACATTTTCACCTCTTTTTGTGTTATTTTAGCAGCGTTCCCAGGGTAGCGCAGCCGAAATTGTCCGTGCGGCAGCCGAAAATAAGAAGAACATGGCAGCCAAGGAAGACAAATTAGAGAAAGAACCTGAAAAACCTGCTTGGCTTGTGGAGGCAGAGGCACGGAGGAAACTCCATGAACAGCGACGGCATCCTAAAAATAAAGAACAAGGAGAGAGTGAAACTAGTCGAGGGCCAGAGAAACCGGTGATAAATAGTCCTGTGCTCAGGTCTTTACCTCAGAAACCTGAGCCAGGAAAAGACAAATCTGTCATTGGTTCAATCGGTAAAAAGTGCACGTGAGTATCACGCCGTCCGTCCTTTTGCCCCGATAACTTTAGAGTGTTCGGAACCGAGGGCTTCCGAAAGTTATTCGTCACCTATGGATGGTGAACGAGTCACGATTTCCTCGAACTACTTGAGTGGCCCTCATAAACTTCCCCCAAATACAACGCCCAAAGCTTCCAACAGATCTAAGACAGTGATAGTCACCGCTTCTGACGTGCCGCAGCTTTCACCAGTTAGGCGAAGAAGCGTAGAGTTAAGACAAGCCAGCCTTGCCGTACGGGGACCTGAGCGCATCCCGAAGAGGAAGTGATGCGCGAGATAGAACAGAGACATATGACTCGGCGTTCGGGCCAACTTATACTGGGGACGTGCTGCCGCAGTGGAAATCGACCACATTGAGAAGAAAAAGAACTCAACGGCTTCACGCGGAGGGTCAAACAAAGGTAGGTCGACTTACATTTTTCCCGCCTAGAAGACAATGATTTATGTTCGGTGTTGACAGCTGTCCACTCTGTAGGCGCGCAGAAAGAGTCTTAAACCTTAAATTCCCAAGATGTGATTGTTAATTGCTCCCTTTAAGCTGCTGCACATTTCCTTGTGAATGTGTAGCAGGACACTTATTGCTTAGCCAACTTCTACCATCGCACTCTGTTTAGTCTGACGTTGCCGTATATTGAGCAGACTATTAGTTTACTCTGCTTCGCGACAGTCGGGATGAGGTTAGTGCTGATGTTGGTGTCTGACCCTTCAATAATTTGAGAGGCAGTCATGTCACCTGGGCGATCATACTCTTCCAGATATTTTGTCGAGTGTATCAGAAAATTCCTTTCCCCTTTTCTTCCCCTTTCTCCCTCCCTCCCCCCCCCCCCCCTTCGTGCGAATATTTACGTTCAGTTATTCCTTGGTACTCTCAGTAGATATTCAAAGAGCCAGTGCACTCATCGAAGTGATGTTTTGATTACAGATCGTCCTCATCAGACACAGATCACAAACGCAGTTGTTGTTCCATCTTGGGAGAAGGAACTGGCTGAAAAACGAAAGCAACGCTCTCCGGTCAATGGTAACCAGGCCTCCAGCAAAGAGAATGAACCGAGTATGTCTTCGGAACTACCGCCATGGCAAAGGGAAATCGCCTAGAGAAGAAAGCGCCGAGAAGTTTTGCTAGGTCTCCCTGAGAAAACAGACAGCCCCACAGAAAGACCCGAATGGCAACGGAGACTGAAAAACACACGACGAAACCAACCGATCGTGGCCCCGAAAGGACCATCGGAAGATTCGGCAGACTCGGTCCCGAGTTTTATGAAGGAGTTTGAGAAGAAAAAAAGAGCGTGTCCTCGTGGTAAGTATTTCAGTCGAGTAGAAACTAACTAAAACCAGCTTTTAGCGAGGTCATATTATTTGCATCAAGGCAATCGAAAAAGGGGGCCAAGAGTCTTCGTCATTGCGGCCAATGATTCCCATTTGACTACCATTTCCTTGCAGAAGTTGATGCCTAAGGCTGTGTGATCCATTCGCGCGAACACCAGCGGGACAGCATTCTTGTTAGTACAAAAGAAAAAAAAAAGCAGCGAAGTATTTTGCACTAACGTAGTCTGCATTTTCTTTCTGTGTACCAAAATATGTTCACAACGGCGATCGAATGCTCTTGTTGTACAGGCTTGATTACTCAGCGTTTGTTCACCACGTTCATCTTACAGAGGTGGGGGGAGGACGGGCATGTAAGGACCCCCCGTAGCTATGCCCCTGCACTTAAGCCTAAGCATCAGCCTACGGCTGTCAACTTGATGACTCATTGTTCCTCCTTCTTTTTTTCTTTTGTTTTTTCGGTTTGTTTGTTTTAAATGGGAGACGCTAATGTCGTTGACGATACCGTTATTTTCGGAACCAGTCTACTTGTTTTCACCGTGGTGCTATGTTTGCCCTGTGTAAAGAAGGACACTTGTTACCTATTGTGTTGTATACATCTAAACTTTGAATTCTTTCGATTTGCAGGAGGCAGCAGAAACTCAAGTTACGTTTGACGTCGGGAAAAAAACATAGCAAAGTGTATATCTCTTCTCCCCTCTTGCATTTGATAAATATGATTTCTAATGTGTTCAACAGATTTCTATGATTTTTACAAAGACATATTAAAAAAACATTCAAACACCTATCGCTCGCTAAACTTATTCCTATTTACTGAGTATTGCTCAAGGAACAATTTATAATTTTTTAAAATTGATGAAATTTTTATGCTTCAGTTCGATGACTTTAATTAATTGCGATTGGTTGTTTTTGTGTTGTTAAAGAAAAATAGAGCGCTTTACGATTAAGCGCAATATTTATAAATTTTCAAGTGAACACTGAGGCTGTGCCCAGAATTATTGAACGCAAATTGTTACTTTTTTAGTAAGCAAGTGCCGTCGAGCTAGTTATACCCAGCATGGGTCACATTGGCCGGAATATTTATTTTTCGGGGGAAATCACCAATGGATGGATTTGATTGAAATTTTATAAATGCTTCACAAATTACTCCAAGGCTGAGTTGTCTAATTAAGTTACACAAGGGCTAGATCTTGTTGTAATGAAAGGCATGAGGTAATTGCGTTTACAAATTGCGTTCCTGTTGACAAACATACTGAGATGTGTTTTTTCTTCGTTACGTTTGAAAAATAGCACATCTAGTTGGATTTAGGTAGTTTTACTGGTGAACACAAATGTTAAACTTCTCTTTACGAAAAGTGCTCGTTTTTATCTCTCGAATGCATATTCACTTCTGTACGTATTACGTCCATCGTTAACTGTTGCCTTTCAAACACGGTTTTATTTTTTATCTACATTTTCAATGAACTATGGAAATAAATCTTGAATATAAGATAACTTGAATTTACAAACGTGTGCAATCTTCTTTTGTCTGAAGTTTTTCTTGCGTCGAAAAATGGTGACTGTAGAAATGAACTCCTTTGCAGTTACTTGCAGAACTGCCATTCCCACTTTGCTCAGTTTGCCCTATCAATTATGACAATTACACCCCCAAATCTGGTTTTTCTGATGAAATCAAGATTTTTTAGTCTCTGGGACTGCTGTTACCAAGCCACCCTTTATTGGGACATAAAATTTTAACGCCCTGTTGCCCAACCCCACCTCCTCTTGATTATGGTCTCAATGCGGTATCTACAATAACTCTGCCGAGACCGTCTCAGCAGTGAATCTGAAGAAGAACAAAGAAAGGAAGATCAGATAAATCTTAGGTTAGAATATACAGACTCCAAAATGCCAGGTGAAATTGACTGCGACAACTTGCGTGTTTCCAAGTACCCGTCATTGCAGAAGTTGCGCAATGTTACGCAAGTTGCGATTTTCGTGAAAGCGTGGTTCCTAAGAAGTAAATAATAAACATGGCGATTGAATTGTAGTGTGCAAGAAAATCCTCTCTATCGACTTTGCTATCGCCTTGCGAACTGTAAAAGTGTATGTGAAGATGTTCAGGGCTAAAATAACAGCCGATAAGTTCTTCCCAAATAATTTGATCGCATGGAAAAGCACTTTAAGGGGCGCAGAAAAATCCCTTGATTTGGACAACCGCGATACGCCAGATAGCTCAGTTGCAGGGGATACTAAATTTGCCGCTTCTAAGAGAGGAACTTTCTTTCAAGGAGCGCCAAGGCTTGGAAATCAATTCAGTGGAGATCTATTTCTGCAATCGTACTTGAAGAGAGTCCTTCCACATGAGGTAAAGGATAATTAACATGAACACAATAGTGATTGGTCTGCGAAATTGTGCAGCTTTAATCTTTAACCCTTTAACCCCTTATAATGACTAGAATCCAAATTCTCCATACAGTATCGCTGCTGAATCACACATTTAAGTCACGAGAATAAAGAAAATGATAAAAAATTAAAGAGTCTCCAGATTGTTGAAGAAATTCTTCTCGTCAACAACTCAGGAAATCGTAGTTACTAAAACAAAAAATGACCTAAAATGACCTTCCAAGAGTGATGTGTACAATGACCTAAAATAAAAAACAAAAGCTAAAATAACCTTGACTGATGTCTAAAACAACCAAAAATGGCGTTTTAAGCTTAGCTAAAAAGATCCATAATAGTAGCTGGTAGTAGCACAATGATCTAAGGTGTTCTAAGTGATCTAAAGTGGCATACTATTAGGTGAAACCGCGAAGGTAAGCACTCAGCTCGCATCATTCAGTTCTGTTCTGTATATCACTGGCAATTACTATTTTAAATTGCTCCTATGAAGTTTAAACGTCACTTTGCATCATTTTAGTCAGAGTAGGTTATTTTCAATCATATTAGGTCAAGGATGGTCAATACATCAGGCAGGTTATTTTAGGTAATTTATTAAGGTCATTGTAGACATCAGTTAAGGTCATTTTAGAAATCACTCAAGGTCATTTTAGGTCAATTTGGGTCATTCCTTTTTTTAGTAAATATGCTTAGGAAATTTATGAAGAACAGTTTGGAGAATATTCAAACTGATGTCAGAACGTAAAGGGTTAATCTGCTCTTTTTAAATCTTGTTTTTTCCTACAGGGAGCATTGACTTTTTCCATGTTAATTGCTTGTAAATTTTGTGATTGTGTCCAGTGTTGGTGTTTTGACAGCTTGCACAATTAAAAGAGTTTTAAACCTCACTTGTGTTAGTTATCACAAAATGGACTGTACTCTTTTTCATGCAATTTCCTCTACCCACAAGTATCTAGAGAATATTACATATGGCTGCATGGGACTATTGTAGTACAGCTAATTCATATCACACAACATTAAGTTGTTTCATTGTAAGGTGTGATATGGTTAAGTGGGGGTTGTATTCTGTAGTCTGTGTGAGAGAAGCTCCCTAGAGATGACCTCTCCTCAGGTTGTTAAAACATCCCTCTCTTTTACTTAAGTGAAAAGAACTACTTGCACCCAAGATGGATCACACTTTGCACATATCATTCTAATAAATACATATTATCAAGGAGTTTGATTTATTTCAATGAAGGTGGATGGACATTATGATTGCTGGGAGTGATTAACCTGTTGAACATTCTTCATGATTGCAAAGGAGATTCTGTAGACTTAAATTAAACGTATAAAAGGTTTTTCTTAATTTTGCTCACAAAGTTGCTCAATGAAACTGGACTTATTTAAACACAGGTTTTACAAGAAATCTTTCCAGACTTACAGCACTTTGGCCACAGAGTGGCCACTGATATTTACTCAATGGGAAGGGAATGTGAGCTACAGCCACCAAAACTTGAACAATTTGATGCTTGGGGAAAAAGGGTGGACAATATTCAGACTTGCCAGGGGTGGAGACAGTTACATGATGTGTCAGCTGAAGAAGGATTGATATCCATTCCTTATGAAAGAAAGTATGGACAATGGAGGTAAAAATGAGTTTCTGTTTTCATAGAAATTAGTCAAAGTCAGTTGATTACACAAGTGCATAGAACTGACATGCTATTTTTTATCTGTGCAGGTAGCTAAAGGCGTCATTAAAACTTCAACATTGTTAATTTTTATTTATTCTTAGTCGTATCTACCAAGCTGTGAAGCTGTTCATGTTTTCTCCTTCTTCTGGTTTGTATTCTTGTCCATTGGCCATGACAGATGGAGCAGCTAAGAGTATTGAGGTACATGTACTATGCTTAGATTTGAAATAATGGTATACATAAGCCAGTTTGCCTAATTTAAGCCCTAAGTATTAAAGACACTTTGTTCTCTTCAGTGAAATAAGGTTTTAGTGGATTAACTGTGTGAGCTACAATAGTTGTCAGTCATTTTGCAATGTTATTCATTAATCAATAGTTAACTGGCTGTGGTAAAGTAGTTTAATTAGTTAATGGGCCCAGCTTCAGTGATGGATGTGGTTGACTAGAAAGTTCAACATGCACAGCCATTTGGTTTAATTGAAGATGCCATTTTTAACTTTCTTTCCTTTATTCATGATGAACATTCTGTAGTTAAGCATACTTGTTCTGAATTACCCTTTTCAACTCATGGTTCATTCAGCACAATTTTACAGTATACAGTGTATAACAATTAAGCAGCCAGCGTTCCTTCAAAGAAATTCAATTTTCTTTTCTGTTCCAAACTTGTTGGGGATGAATAAATATTGTAACATTGTTGTAATTTCCCCTATATTTTAACATTCAGGTGTCAAATATGACAGAGAAGCTTAGTGTTCTTAAGGATGCCTACAGCCATTTAACCAGCAGAGATCCAAAGAAATTCTGGACATCTGGTCAGTGGATGACTGAGAGGAAAGGGGGCTCAGATGTAGGTAAGTCTAGATTATCTGCTGGAATCATTTTTTTAAAATTATTTTGTGTAAACTGAGAATTTAATTCTTCTTTCCCAGTGCTGCTCATCTTTCCATTAATAATGATTTTGACCCTTTGCACCCTCACATCAATATTCATATTCTCCACTCTGTTCTCTTTACATTTCCTATGGTGCTGACCAGGAGAATTTGATTGACAATCAGGAGCTTGTGAAATTAGTGATCATTTCCTTTATTCTAATGACCTCAATGTTTGATTCAAGGGTGATGCTGTTATAAGTAATTAGAAGCCAGTCACTCTTAGGGGTAAAGGGTCAAGTATCATGCCTCGACTCACAGTAGGTGGATTATTGCCACCCACTATTATTCATTATCCAATCTACATTCCTATGTTAGTGGTGATGAGTGTCTTTTTGCCTTGCAGCAAATGGTACAGAGACGATTGCTGTCCCTCAAGACGATGACACCTACAGACTGTATGGTTATAAGTGGTTCAGCTCAGCTACTGATGCAGACATGACACTCACTCTTGCAAGAGTCCAGAACCCTGATGGATCTACTGTACCTGTGAGTTGTTTCTTTCATTAACATTGCAACAGATGTGGGCTCAATTTGATGTTTTATCTTGGCCTTGCTCCAAAAGATTTCCTCTTGGTTTTCTAGTCTACTCTTGATAGAAGTAGAAAAAAAATCAAAACTTGTGCCACTTTCTCAAGTCTAATTTTAATTTCTCCATATGTGCTAGGTGTGAAAATCTTTTTATTTCAACATTGTAATAATTTGGATTGTTATTAATCTGTATCAGGGCACCAAAGGCATTACAATGTTTTACATGCAAACTCGCAATGAAGATGGCAAATTAAACAATATTGAAGTCCAGGTAAAATGATAACTTGTTATTCTTAGGATAGAATGCCACCACCAGCTGTTAGTGTTGGTGTATTTTAAAGAAAAGTTAAAGTGAAAATGGCCTTATTTGCCCAGAAGTGGTCTAGGGTGGGGCTCAGGGGTTTGGTTAGGTTTTGAGGGATTTTTCACTCCAGATAACTTTTTATTTTTCAATTAATCTCCATAACAAGGCTTTAACAGAGAAAACTGAACAACCATGCCAACTTTAATCCTTTCTTCTCAGTCTGTCCCTTCAGCATCATTATCACAAATTTTTATGTTTTTGGAAGCAGCTTGTCTACCCATTCTTTGGCTCTGTTACAAATAGGTACAACAGTGCTGATGTGCTGATATTACATGCTGGCAAAGTTAATTTGATTTAATATTTAATCCCATATTTTGCAGAGATTGAAAAATAAGTTGGGAACCAGGCAGCTTCCTACTGCTGAGCTTCTTCTTCATGGATCACAAGCCTACAAGGTAAGTTCATTCGCTTATATCCTCACCTTGGCCACAGCAATACCTGCTCCATTATCATACCATATTTTATGGCCTTAACTCTTTGACTGCTTGCATGATTACATTCTCTTATGCAAAACCAACTTCATTTTGCAAACATTTTCAGATGTCTGATGAGGGTCGTGGAGTGCCTTGTATATCAGACATGTTAACAATCACTCGTTTTCACAACAGCATTGTAGCTGCAGGTGTCATGAGAAGGTGAGAGTGGTGAAAAAAGGAATTTTGTTAAAATCACAGTAGCAGCTAACATTTCTGACAGATATTGTAAGTGGCCTCTCATTTGACATGCCGAGCGCTGATTCAATGTGTGGGTTTAACCCTATAAGTCCCTCTAGTGACCAAGACAGAATTTCTCCTTACACTGTTGGTACAATATCAAGTAGAAAAGTAATGAGAATAAAGAAAAATATCAATTAGGGGATTATGGATTGATCCAATTCTAAATTCTCCAAACTAATATCATATGAATTGTATGGCAGACAGTAAGGAGAATTACTAATGAAGTCTTGGGAGTTAAAGGTTTAAAGCTTATCTGTGTTAGGTTTTTGGCTGACATTCTTACTCTGAAAGTTCCCGTCTCTGCCCTGGAGTTAAAATGGCTGGTTACTACCTGGAATAGGAACTTGACAAACATATTTTGGGGTGGGTGGGTGGGTGGGTGGGAGAGGGTGAAGAGGAGGTGAGTACTTTAAACGCAGTGAATTTGATTAATTCAAGTGGCTTGTAGTCATACTATAAACATAAGCGTTTAACCCCTAAATCTGACCAGCAACTCATTTCTCCTTACAGTACCACTGCTTAATCAAACATTAAGGTCCTGAGAGAAAAAAATGGAGATGATTGCCAAACACAAATTCTCCTTGCCAGAACCTCAGGATAAGGGTAGAAAACAGTTTGTATGAAGCTAGAGTGCTTTCATGACTTTAAAATTCAGTGGACCAGCTTTGAACCTCACAATATTTTGTTTTACGATAATATTAGTTAACAATTGACATCCTTGGATCCTTTTCAGAATTATGTCTCTGGCTCAGGATTATTGTTTGAGAAGATCAGTGTTTGGTAAACTATTGGTGGAACATCCCCTTCATATGCAGACACTCGCTAAAATAGAGGTAATAACACTTGGTGATTTATTTTCTTGGTCTTTGAACAATTGTCAATGTAATTTTAGAAGTAATCCAGGTGTGCAGTTGTTCATTCCAAATTTGCTCCAGGAAATATTATCTGTTTTTCCCCCCATAACCACAGAAAAAATGTAAATTTAAAGCCGAAAGTGATCTAGGAGTGTTGTAATTCAGTCTGAATTTGGTCCAGAAAAGTTGCCATGCCTTGTCAACCCATGACCTTTAAAACTAAAACTGGTAGCAAATTGGTTTACTTCATCCTTTCTTCACTAGGCAAATATTTATTTGGGCTATAAACCCATGAAAATAGCCACTAGGATAGAATATAAATGATTAGAAATTGTACACCACGTCATTATTTACCTTCAAAGAAAGAGAGAAAGATATCAAGATAACTTACCTCCTTTTTTTCGTCCTTGTACAGGTGGAGACCCGCGCGGCCTTCCTGCTCTCAATGGAAGTTGCCCGTCTGCTTGGTAAACAGGATTGCAACGAGGCCTCAGATGTAGAGACACAGCTGTTGAGACTTCTTACACCTATCACAAAGCTGTACACTGCTAAACAGGTACGACCATTGCTTCAAACAAAAAATTGTGTGCAGGATCAAATTTGACATTTGCTGTAAGGTGTGACTCGCTATACAAGGAAGTTTGCGCAAGTTTTCTTTGCTCAAAAATATCTTAACATTTGAGCTTGTCTAAATTTGCACTTCAACCAAGGCTGTTAATAGCAAAGGTGTAATCTTTTTTTATTTGTTTTCAGGCTAATAAAGGTAAGTGTAAGGCAAGAGCTGTGAGGGCGCTATCATCGCGCACGACTTGCGACTGAATATGCGGCAAAAATACACCTGTTTTGCAGGCTAACTTCTAAGATTGGAGTTACGAAAAGGCTTTTTTTGAATGTAACCAATGAATTGCTCTAGTCGTAAAATTAATCTAAGCCTTAATTGGTTTATACGCTATGCCAAGCAGGTACCAACATTTATAATAGGTACCTACGCTTCAGCGATTTCGTCGAGGCGCACATAACCCGATACTCTCGCGCATCGCTTCCAACTTGTATCTGTTTGACTTCTACGCGAGGAAATTGTTTCCTTAATTCAGAGTGAGTGTTTCTAGAAATTTATTCAGTTTGTGATTCTAAGAGAACACCTCAGTTAAGACCTCTAGAATCAACCCTTTTGTCAAAGCTTATTCATTGTTTTTTAAAGGTCTCATAACCTGAGCTTTGCTTTTTTACACAGGCCATGCAGGTTACCTCAGAAGGTCTTGAGAGTTTTGGTGGTCAAGGATACATAGAAGACACAGGGTTACCAGGCTTGATGAGGGATGCTCAGGTACTGTGGCTTTTTCTTTAGTATTAGTTTTTAAAAAAATGTTACCAGTCGTTCTCACTTGTTGACAGAACTGCAGCTACACGTTAGTGGTGAGAACTTGGTTTCACAACAGAAAACTGTTGCTGGTAATATACTATTCTGTTACATTCTCGATCTTGCTACAAGCTGTACTCGGGTGCGATTTGCGAACAATCCAGCGATTTTCTGATTATTTCATTCTAGCCAAATGATCTGCCCTAGAACGTGAATATTCTACAACTGAATTTATTCGAATTTGATTTGCACAAAACTGCAAACCGAAAGCTACCTTATACATGTATAAGCAGCAGGAATACTACGGATTGTCTCAGTAGAAGTGACGAATAAATGTTGTTTGCATATTTAGGCAAAACTTCCTCTGCAATGAAGATGAGTTGCAGCTTATTAAAATAATTAACTTTGCTTATGGATAACTCAATAGGCAACATATAAAACCAAATAAGCCTTTGATGTACTTTGTATGGTTGTGATCATTGGATGAGAACTTCAGCAATTGAATCTGAGTCATCATTTGCTGAACTTTTAAAAGGATAGCACTTTTAAGTGAATGTAGCTTTGAAGATACTAGATTTTTTAATATTTTCAGATTTTTGTATTAGAAAATTCGATCAAATGTTATAGTTGCTTCAAAAGTTGCTTAGACCCTTTCAGGGTTAGTCGTCATTTGTTTTTTTCAATCTAGTTTCTTATCGCCCCTGGAGTTTTGGTAAGCACGGACATTTTTTACATCGTGTGTCCTTTGAAGAGATTGTTAATTACCTTGGCGATATGTGTAGGAGTTGTTGTCCGTTCCAGGTACTTACATTCGCGTCAGCTTGTTTGATTTACAATTTCATTAAAACTACACGAAAATATACGATTTCTACTTGAAATTTTGCGCGATCATATAAAGAGAAAATAATAATTCAGGAAACTGTCCCTGTATTGTCGTAGTTCCATAGTCTGAGTAGGGACCGTTCGTAAATGTGAATGTGACACCTGAACAGCTCTGATTACTCACACCGTTTTTCCGCCAACTCACCGTGAAACATGGCCTCAAACACAGGACTGCTGATAGACAGCACTTTCGCTTTCACCATCCATCTTGCGAACAACGAACCTGATATCGCTGAGGCGATCGTTGTTGAAAAAAAATTTGGTTCTCTCTCTGATGGTTGGTCTTGTCATTTGCCAGTTTTCTTCTCCGACAGACATGGCTTCTGTTGTGAGATGGGCGGTGAATCAAGGAAAAATCTATCTGTCGGCTGTATCAATTCGATTTATAAATTGGGTGGAAACCGAGACAGTGGTAATTTTGGAAATTTGAAGATAAAATAACATCATACACGACAGAATTTTCACCCCTAGTTCTCCGTACGTCAGCGCGGGGGCCAGCGTGACGGAAAACACATCAATGAAAAATAACTTTGTCTTACAACCTACATTCGGGCCTGCAAACACAGGGCTTCTTTTTCCTTTTCCTTTAATTGAAGCTGAGAACTCTCTATGGAGAAAAAGGATGAACGTTTTCAGTGGAAAGGGAAATTACAGCAACACCTGATCATTCGCTCTGACGAAGGATTAACGCTCGACACGTCAGCTTAAGAAACTCTTTACGGTTGCCAATTTACATAATCAACTCAGTTTATTAAACTAAATTACCCTGTTATATTCTCCCACCGACGCAGTACCACAGTTTCTTTAGAAACTCACTCCCTTTATATATCTGATCAATTCACTTAGTGGCTCCCGTATTCGGTGAGCTGCCTAGTAGCCTGCCAGAAAAAAAAAAACCTTTGTTGCTCACATTTGGAAAACCACTCACGAGGAAGATGATCATTTGATTTGCACTTTTCATTTATTCATCAAATACATTTATAACATAGCTAGTAAATTTGTCTAATCAAATTCAATTGCGTGAGCGTGCTTCATATTTCTATTGTGCACGCTCATGACGTCAGCAAACAAATCCCTCGAGAAAACAAATTTTCTCTGCGATTTTTTACTTTGGGATTTTGCTATTAAAAAACTGGTTAAGACTTCTGCGGCAATTTAAGTTAAACATGGAAACAAAATCGTTTACAGCGTAGCAAAATGTTTTTCTGAAACAAAATTATCAACGCGCTGAAGCGTAGCAGAGGGAATATTAAACTGTATATGCTTTTATGCTGCATCAAAATTTTTTACCATAAACACTAAAAAGGTGTTCCTCATCTGTTAAAATAAAATTTTTGTACGCCCATCCATGTCGTTTTGAAACACCATTCAAGAAGCTGGTTCCAAAATTATTTGACTTTGTAAGAAAATGATCTGAAATGAAGGTATGTCTCTCTCAAATATCTAAGGCTCAGTAATTTTTTTATGACTAGCCATGACCCACACTCGAAGTCCATCACTTTCAAGGCCTTGGAAATGATATTTGTGTTGTTCCAGGACTAAGATTTAGAATTAAAGCGTATCATTGAACTTTGGAGGCAACAGCTGAAAATCGTTGCATGACAGAAAAGTTTTTAAAAAGCAACAGCTAGGTGAGTTGACTCACTGATACAGCGATTCCAGGCAGTACTTTTACTCTTGATTTACAGCGAAAAATGTTTCAAGGCTAAAATGTTCAATAATATGATATACATATCTGTGTCCTGTTTTCCTTGTTTAGTCATAGCCTTCATAAATTTCCCCCCACCCCCCCCCCCTCTTTGCGCTCTGCCATGTGCACCTGTTCTCCACAAGCAATCCATTTTATCCTGTTACACAAGCCATGTACTCATTTCTGTTACGACTAACTAGTGATTATTGTAGAGAAAACAATAATTCTGGAAATTGACCGCACATGGTGCTTGTTCCATTTGTTGAGGATTCATTGTTGGTGAAAGTGAATGTTACACCTGCACTTTGAATTGAGCCAACACAACCAATTCCTTGGCAAGTAGGAGGACCTGATATCAGAGCACTTATAGCATAGGAGGTGTTTCTCTTTATGTTAATTTGCTGGTCGAAATAAACCTCAAAACCTTGGTAGCTGCATTTCTCGCACTGCAACAACTCTGATGGAAAGGATGCAGTTTTGGTTGCTAGAACTGATTTGCTTGTGTTGTCTATCACCTCTAAGGTGACTGGGTAAGTTTGATTTTCGTTACCAAAGAAGCTTATCGCGTGTAACGCCACATCCTTGTCCACAGAGAAGTTAAAACAATCTCTGCGATTGGGATAATTCCATGGGTTGTCTGACTTTAAGCCCAGTCTGCAGCATCGTTTAATATCACCAAACCTCTTCGCCTTGGAAAAGCCTTCTACAGACTTAGTGATTGAATTAAAATACTTGAAGATACTGATAATCTCTTGTTTTGTTAAAATGTCACTGTCAAGCACCACACCTGCAAAGTCTACCTCCTTCATTGTTGGGAAGCGTATGGCTTTGACAATTTGTTCTCCAAGAATTCTTCTTTTCGTGTCACCATGTGCCTCTATACCTTGTCTCTCACATTCCTTTGTGGCCCACAAGTCAACAGCTTTAAAGAGATCTATCTCATCAACGGATAGATTGTCTCTAATGATTACCTCTTTAAGTAAGGACCTCTGAATTGTCGCAAATTCATCCGTTCTCAAAGCTTCCTTTGTCTTTTCGTCGATCAGTTTCCAGCATCGTTCCATTAGGTCTTTCTCTTGATATTTCTGTATGGATGGAAGGATACTGAAAACATTGGATGGATCCAAGTTCTTTAGAAGATATTTGGAACACTCCTCGGCGAGTGACGGCACCATGTATTTCTTTGCTAAATATAATACTCTCATCACGTTACTTCCATTCAAAGCCACCTCATCGCTGTATATGTAACGAAACAACTCCAAGAGACTCTCGTACTCGCAGTCAGGCAGTTCAATAGAGTGTTTAGTCTCCGGCAACTGGCCGTAAAACATGGCTTCAAACACAGGGCTACCGATGGACAGAACCAACTTGTGAGCAGGAATCACGTGTTTACTTTCGCGTTCATCGTCCATCTTCCGAACAACAAAGTTGACATCGCTGAAACGTTCGTTGTTGAAAACGAACTTAGTTCTTTCTCTGATAGTTGGTCGTGTTGTTTGCCAATTGTCTTCGGTGAGAGACATGATAGCTGCTTCTGGCTTTAGAGACAGGGACAATTCGCTTTAGTTAGGGAGGTAGAGAAGTTTTTATATTGGCGGAGCACGAGGAGAAGACAGCAGGGGGCAACTCCCAAAATTTAAATATAAATGGTCACATATTAATGTATTCTTTTATTTGTTCATTAACTGAGACAACCTGATATTGGTTGTGTGAGTTACTCGCTCCCTCCAAGATTCAGGCTGCGCAAAAGTGTACCTGATTTTTACCCCCAGAGTACAGTGGTCCACAATAAAACCACTTAAATCACCAATGACATTTTGCCCTTTTACTCCGTTCACATTAATTAGTGACACGTAACGTTACGCATGCAAATATTAACGAGGTTGCCTCGGGGTATGAATATATTGGAAGCGTTTCCGGTAGCAGTCACGAATGGGCACAAAGGTTGTTTAATACGCAGAGAGCCTAATAATATGTGCATTGTTGTTGCTTAAAGAAGTTTCTGTATGCGTTTCTATCTGTAACGTAATTGTTTAGTATTCGTTAAGAATATCTGTATGTGAGTTAGAAACTGCGGCCGGAGAGGAAACATTATTCCTACGCTGGAAATTGTGGACAGAATTTGAATTTCTTGATGTGTATAATGTTATCTAAGGATGTCGTGAAAATTTTGCGGACAGTTAATTGACTGGCGGTTTTTTTTGTGCCTTGCGGGAACATATTTTTGCGATTTCCTACTCGAGCATGAGAATAAATCACGGTAACAACACGAAATCAGTGAAGTATGACCTACGAGTTCCTTTCTTCTTTCAAGCATGATTCTTGCCGTGCACTACTTAAAAAGACGGAAAACAAAATTTATGATGATGACTAAAATAATATTAGTTATAGTTATGGTAATGATCATAAAATCGGTAAAGGCCTGTAGAAAGTTGTTTAACAACTCAAAGGTGATACATAGAATTTGTTTTCGTGATGTTGTGATTTCGGAAAGGTTCTTAAAATAGTGACAAAAACACAGTGCGTGCCCAAATTGTAACAGCGGTCAAGAGCAACTTTAAATATGAACAGTTCACCGAAAATGTAACCTCGAACGTATTTTTCCGGAGATTGCTCCTCTCTGAAGTGCAAGCCTTTGTTATACAACCAAAAGGAAACTCGATGCGTATAGTGATTGTAGATTGAATCCCAAAAAAGTTGAAATGATGACAAAGCAAAAAATGAGAGTTGGGTGAAAACTGAACGACCTTTATTTATTTGCCCAGTCTTTTCTTTTCCAACGACCCAAATCATCCTTTATTCCGTTTTGAATTCGTAAATGGCAGCCATTTTACAAAGCCGTAGCATTAAATGGTACCCTGAGGGAATTCTCCAATAAACCATTTTGAGGTGCAACTTTCAGGGAATTCCTTCGCTAACAAGGCTCGCACTAAGCTTGACCTGGGAAAGGTTGTTGTGAAATAGGATTTACAAAAAATGAATTTTCTCGTTCAATTTAACAGCTCTCTTGTGGACTCTTCTGGGATGGTAAACGGCTCATGATTTTAAAAGGGATGAGTAAATAAAAAAAAAAAGAATAAAAAAGACATATCTTGTTACGGTATAATCTAACCGACAGAAAAACACTACAATCCCACAAACTCAACAACTTTATTAAACAACGAGTGATATTCTTAATAAGGAGCGACTCCTAAAAAGAAAGACAATACTTGTGGTTAATAAACTTAATTAAGCCCACCACAGTCTATATCCTGGCTCTCCACTAACACAACCTAACTGCTGTCTCCAAAGTTCCTTGAAATGAGCAATCTTCCACAGTAAATCTCTCCTTAAATCAGTCGTTGCTCCGACAACAACAACTACACTTACTACTGCATACGTGAGTCTATTTAACAAATAGATTCCAAGTTGCCGTGCGTCTGTTCAGTAATAGATCACAGATGACGTCAAAATGTGGTAAGAACAAAAAAGTGGCACACGAGGCGCAGCCGAGTGTGTCACTGATGTGACACATCAGAACATCGACAGGAGGAACATCGACAGGAGGAGCGGTTTTGTTCGAGATAAAAGTCAAAGTGGAACCTTGATGAGTCACGATTTTTTTCAAGGGAACGGCTTGATTGGGGAAATGATCTAAGGCACCAAGAATTGTTGACTGTGATCGTGTTTTTGAGTAAATGTAAGAACGACTGATTTATCTTACGGGTTATGCAACACAGCTTTTGAAAATCAAATTCACTAGCTAATTAAGGGCAATATATACCCAAAAATTTACATGTTTTATTGAGAATATTCTCTTCACAAACTAATCAAGTAGAAAAATCGAGATGCACTAAATGAGACAGTAAGGATGGTTGTTAGCCATTATTGCCTCCAAAGTAACTTTAAAAAGGTACATCCAATGATTGTCTGTAAAGATGAAATGTGAAATGTTAAGCGCAATACAAAACTGTTATTAACATCGGAACTGTAAGCTCAAGATTTGGATTTAAAAATGTTAGATAAATGACACAAGTAGCAATCTTTGAGATATTCTATTAATTAAAAGTCATTAACTGAATATTTTCTCTCAGTTCTCATGCGCCTTTGGCCCTAAGAAGTTCTATTATAGGCAAAATTTCTGTTGATTTAACGATCATTATAAATCACGGTCTTCGAACGTGGTATTGGCTCCATTGTGATGCTCCTGATTTGGTAGTTTCCTCTGATACTTTGAAAAAAAAAAAAAACGGAAAGGGTAAATGATGGGAAGAAAGTGGTATAGAGAATTTTTGTCATGGGCGTGGAGAAAACGAAAAAATCTGGGTTTCCCAATACCCATCAGATGCTTAATAGCCAAGTTCTATGTTACTATTCACTGATTATTTAAGACAAAAGAGTAGTTCGGGAAACTGTCCCAAACAAACATTACTTCCATTATTATTTAGGATGTCACTGTTCATGAATGTGAATGTTACCCCTGGACACTGAACAGACATGACACCGTTCATTCCTTTCTTTGAAATAGGACCCGTTATTACAGCACTTAAACGGTATCGGGTGTTTTTCTTTAAAATGATTTTTGTGCTGAAAATCAATTCAAAACCGTTGTAACTGTATTTTTCGGCATGCAATTGTTTTGTTTGCATTGGTGCAGTTTTTAAAGACATCAACACTGTCGCAGGTGTAAGCATCTTCAGGTTGAAGTCTACACAGTAGGTGCTGTCCGGTGTACCAAAGAAGCGTACTCCATATAAGAAAGTGTCTTTGTCTGTAGAGAAATCGATGACATCTGGTTTGCCATTGTAATTCCATCTATCATGAGGTGGTGAGGTAAATCTACTACATCCTTGAATTTTCCCAGTAGAACCAGATCTTGCTATTTCGGAAAATCCCGCTGGAGACTTGGAGACAGAACTTACGTGTCTGGTAAGACTAACAATTTCGGCTTTTGTAAGAATATCACTGAGTAAAACAACACTCACAAAATCTTCCAGACTCATTGTTGGGAAGCGTATTTCCTTCACTGCTTTTTCTCCAAGAATTCTTCTTTTTGTGTCACCATCTGCCTTTAAACCTTGTCTCTCACATTCTTTTGTGGCCCATAAGTCAACAGCTTTAAAAAGATCTATCTCTTCAATCGCCAGAGTGTCTTTTACGAGTATTGCCTCAAGTAATGACCTCTGAATTGTCGCAAATCCATCTGATTTCGCTGCTTGTTCCGTCTGGTCATCGATCACTTTCCAGCATCGTTCCACCAGGTCTTTCTCTTCATATTTCTGAGCAGAAGGAAGGATACTGAAAACATTGGATGGATCCAAGTTCGTCAGTAGATATTCCGAGCACTTCTCAGCTAGTGACGGCACCATGTATTTCTTTGCCAAATACAACACTCCCATGACATTGCTTCCGCTCAAGTTCGCTTCATCGCTGTACATGAAACGAAAAAACTCCAAGAGACTCTCGTATTCACAGTCAGGCAGTTCAATAAAGTCTTTAGTCTCCGCCAACTCACCGTAAAACATAGCTTCAAACACAGGACTGCTGATGGACAGCACGAACTTGTGAGCAGGAATTACTTGTTTACTTTCGCTTTCACCATCCATCTTGCGAACAACGAACTTTATATCGCTGAGGCGATCGTTGTTGAAAACAAACTTGGTTCTCTCTCTAATGGTTGGTCTTGTCGTTTGCCAGTTTTCGTCTCCGACAGACATGGCTTCTGTTGTGAGATCTGCGGTGAATCAAGAAAAAATCTATCTGTCGGCTGTATCAATTCGATTTATAAATCGGATGGAAAACGAGACAGCGGTATTTTTGAAATTTGAATATAAAATAACATTACATGCGAAGTTGTCACGGCTGAAGCGTGACTGAGTCTCGATTGAATTTTCACCCCCAGTCCTCTGTACGTCAGCGCGGGGACCAGCGTCACGGAAAAAACACATCAATGAAAAATAACTTTGTCTCGCAACCTACACTTGGGCCTGCAAACACTGGGCTTCTTTCTCCTTTTCATTTAACTGAAGCTGATAACTCTTTATGGAGTGAAAGGATGAACGTTTTCAGTGGAAAGGGAAATTACACCTGTATAGGAAGCAACTCCTTATCATTCGCTTTGACGGAGAGCTAATGCCCGAAATGTCAGCTTAAGAAACTCTTTAGGGTTGCCAATTTACAAAATCAACTCAGTTGATTAAATTAAATTACCCTGTAATACTCTCCAACCGACGCAGCGCCACAGTTTCTTCAGAAACGTACCCTTTTTGTACGTGTGATAAATTAACTTAAAGGCTCGCGTGTTCAGTCTGCTACCTAGCCTGCCAGAAAAAAGCCTTTGTTGATCACATTTGGGAAACCACTCACATGGAAAATGAACAGTTGACTTGCACTTTTCATTTATTCATTAAGTACATGTTACTTGGCAGTTTTCACTGATGAACATTAAGTGAAGCTAAACAAGGAAAACAGGACACAGATATGTATATCATATTATTGAACAATTTATCATTGAAACATTTTTCGCTGTAAATAAAGAGTAAAAGTACTGCCTGGAATCGCTGTATCAGTGACTCAACTCACCTAGCTGTTGCTTTTTAAACATTTTTCTGTCATACTGTTACCTCAGAGCTCAATGATACGCTTTAATTCTAAATCTTAGTCCTGGAACAAAACAAATATCATTTCCAAGGCCATGAAAGTGATGGGCTTCGAGTGTGGGTCGTGGCTAGTCATGAAAAGTTACTGAGCCTTAGATATTTGAGAAAACGATTCCTTCATTTCAAATCATTTTCACACAAAGTTAAATAATTTTGGAACAAGCTTCTTGAACGGTGTTTCAAAATGACATGGATGTGCGTACAAAAATGTTATTTTGACAGATGAGGAACACTTTTTAGTGTTTATAGTAAAATATTGAGACGCAGCGTAAAAGCATATACAGTTTTAAGACATTGTTGCCATCATAATGTAACATTCCATTTTTAGACCCCGAGAGTGGCGTTAAGCTAAGTGTAAGTTTCAGCGATTATCTGTATATGGTTGCCGTTAATTTTCCTAGACACTCTATCTTTTATCTTCCATATCTTCCATAGCCGAAATGCGAGGGTGGGAAGAGTAGGTGAGAGGAAAACTTTTCCTGGTTCTCCCTTTGTTTACGTTTTTCTTGGCCCTTTTTACCTTTACTGTCAGCCCTCAAAAATTTTCCCTCACCCCCCCCCCCCCCTTTGCGCACCTGTTTTCCACAAGCAATCCATTTTATCCTCTTACATATCCAGTGTTACACAAGCCATGTACTCATTTCTGTTACGACTAACTAGTGATTATTGTAGAGAAAACAACAATTCTGGAAATTGACCGCACATGGTGCTTGTTCCATTTGTTGAGGATTCATTGTTGGTGAAAGTGAATGTTACACCTGCACATTGAATTGAGCCAACACAACCAATTCCTTGGCACGTAGGAGGACCTGATATCAGAGCACTTATAGCATAGGAGGTGTTTCTCTTTATGTTAATTTGCTGGTCGAAATAAACCTCAAAACCTTGGTAGCTGCATTTCTCGCACTGCAACAATTCTGATGGAAACGATGTAGTTTTGGTTGCTAGAACTGATTTGCTTGTGTTGTCTATCACCTCTAAGGTAACTGGATAAGTTTGATTTTCGTTACCAAAGAAGCTTATCGCGTGTAACGCCACAGAGAAGTTAAAACAATCGCTGCGATTGGAATAATTCCATGGGTTGTGTGACTTCAAGCCCAGCCTGCAGCATCGTTTAACATCACCAAACCTCTTTGCCTTGGAAAAGTCTTCTACGGACTTAGTAATTGAATTAAAATACTTGAAGATACTGATAATCTCTTGTTTTGTTAAAATGTCACTGTCAAGCACCGCACCTGCAAAGTCTACCTCCTTCATTGTTGGGAAGCGTATGGCTTTGACAATTTGTTCTCCAAGAATTCTTCTTTTCGTGTCACCATGTGCCTCTATACCTTGTCTCTCACATTCCTTTGTGGCCCACAAGTCAACAGCTTTAAAGAGATCTATCTCATCAACGGATAGATTGTCTCTAATGATTACCTCTTTAAGTAAAGACCTCTGAATTGTCGCAAATTCATCCGCTTTCAAAGCTTCCTTTGTCTTTTCGTCAATCAGTTTCCAGCATCGTTCCATTAGGTCTTTCTCTTGATATTTCTGTATGGATGGAAGGATACTGAAAACATTGGATGGATCCAAGTTCTTCAGAGGATATTTGGAGCATAGCTCAGCCAGTGACGGCACCATGTATTTCTTTACGTTACTTCCATTCAAAGCCACCTCATTGTGTGATGTTGTGATTTCGGAAAGGTTCCCAAAATAATGTCAAAGAACACAGTGTGTGCCCAAATTGTAACAGCGGTCAAGAGCAACGTTAAATATGAACAGTTCACCGAAAATGTAACCCGTCGAAGTTAGTTTTTCGGGGATCGCTCTTCTCTGAAGTGCAAGCCTTTGTTGCACAACTAAAAAGGAACTCGATGCCCATAGCGATCGCGAACACTACTGAATCCCATAACAGTTTGAAATGGCTTGTTTGGGGGAATGATCAAAAGCACCAAGAATTGTTGAATGTGATTGTGTTTTTGAGTAAATGTAAGAATGGTTGATTTTCCTTAAGGGTTATACACCACAGCTTTTGAAAATCAATATCACCAGCTAATTGAGGGCAATATATACCAAAAAATTGACGTGTTTAATTGAAAATATTCTCTTCACAAACTAACCAAGAAGAAAATCGAGATGTATTAAAGGAGACAGTAAAGGTGTTTGATAGCTATTGTTGCCTCCAAAGTAACTTAAAAAAGGTACATCCAATGATTGTCCTAAAAGATCAAACGTGAAAAGCTAGACACAGTACAAAACTGTTATTAACACCGCAACTGTAAGCTTAAGATTTGGATTTAAAAATGTTAGAGTTCGATAAATTATAGAAGTAGCAATCTTTGAGATATTCTATGAATTAAAAGTCATTAACTGAATATTTTCTGCTGGTTCTCATGCGCATTTGGCCATAAGAAGTTCGAGTATAGACAAAATTTCTGTTGATTCAACGATTATTATAAATCACCACACACGAACGTGGTATTGGCTCTATAATGATGCTCCTGATTCGGCAGTTTCCTCTAATACGTTGAGAAAAAAAAGGAAAGGCTGAATGATGGGGAGAAAGTGATAGAGATAATTTTTGTTTTGAGCGTGGAGAAAACGAAAAAATGCGAGTTTTCAGTCGGAGTTAGGGCCTCTCATCTTCCCAATACTCATCAGATGCTTAACAGTGAAGCCGTATGTTACTATTCATTGATTATTCGAGACAAAAGATCAGTTCGGGAAACTGCCCGTCACAAACACTACTTCCATTATTATTTGGGATGTCACTGTTCATGAATGTGAAAGTTACCCCTGAACACTGAACAGAACTGACACCGCCCATTCCACGCTCTGAAGTAGGACCCGCTATTAAAGCACTTAAACGGTACTGGATGTTTTTCTTTAACATGATTTTTGTGCTGAAAATCAATTCAAAACCGGTGTAACTGTATTTCTCGGCTTGCAATGGTTTTGTTTGAATTGGTTCTATTCGCAAAGACATCAACACTGTTGCAGCTTCGACCATCGTCAGGTTGAAATCTACCGAGTAATTGCCGTCTTTTTGACCAAAGAAGCGTACTCCGCATAAGGCAATGTCTTTGTCTGTAGTGAAATTGATGACATCTGGGTGGCGACCATAATTCCATTTATTATCAGGTAATGAGTTGAATCTACAACATCTTTGAATTGCCCTAGTAGAACCAGATCTTATTGTTTCGAAAAATCCCGACTTGGAGACAGAAGTCAGGTGTCTGACGAGACTGACGATTTCTTCTTTTGTCAGAACATCACTGGCTAAAACAACACTTGAGAAATCTTCCAGTTTCATAATTGGGAAGCGTATTGCTTTGACAATTTCTTCTCCAAGGATTCTTCTTTTTGTTGTACCTACCGCCTCTAAACCTTGCCTCTTACATTCTTTAGTGGCCCACAAGTCAACAGCTTTAAACAGATCGATCTCTTTGATCACGAGAGTGTCTCGTATTATTACTTCTGTAAGTAATGACCTCTCAATTGATGCAAATCCATCCGATTTCGCAGCTTGTTCCGTCTGGTCATCGACCACTTTCCAGCATCGTTCCATCAGGTCTTTCTCTTGATATTTCTGTGCGAATGGAAGGATACTGAAAACATTGGATGGATCCAAGTTCTTCAGTAGATATTCCAAGCACTTCTCAGCTAGTGACAGCACCATGTATTTCTTCGCTAAATACAACACTCCCATGATATTACTTCCGCTCAAGTTGACTTCATCGCTGTACATGAAACGAAACAACTCCAAGAGACTCTCGTAGTCACAGTCAGGCAGTTCAATAGAGTCTCTAGTCTCCGCCAACTCACCGTGAAACATGGACTCAAAAACAGGACTGCTGATCGACAGCACGAACTTGTGAGCAGGAATCACTTGTTTACTTTCGCTTTCACCATCCATCTTGCGAACAACGAACTTGATATCGCTGAGGCGATCGTTGTTGAAAACAAACTTGGTTCTCTCTTTGATGGTGGGTCTTGTCATTTGCCAGTTTTCTTCTCCGACAGACATGGCTTCTGTTCTAAGATCTGCGGTGAATCGAGGAGAAGTTTATCTGTCGGCTGTAACAATTCGATTCGGGTGGAAACCGAGACAGCGGTAGTTTTCGAAATTTAAATATAAAATAATGTTACACGCGAAGTTGTCACGGCTGAAGCGTGACTGAGTCTTGATAGAATTTTCACCCCCAGTCCTCCGTACGTCAGTACGGGGTCAGCGTGACGGAAAAATAACTTTGTCTTACAACTTACACAAGACTTCTTTCTTCTTTGCATTTAACTGGAGCTGAGAACTCTTTATGGAGATTTAGGGGATACGTTTTCAGTGAAAGAGAAATTGCACTTTTGTAGCAAGCAACGTCTGATTAATCGCTCTGACGAAGGGCTAACGCCAGAAACGTGAACTCTTTACGGTCTTTAATTTATTTAATTTGATAACACTAAATTACCTTGTTATACTCTCCCACTGACGCAGCACCACAGTTTCTTTAGAAATTCACCCCCTTGATACATGTGATCAATTAACTTAATGGCTCGCGTGTTCAGTCTGCTACCTAGCCTGTCAGAAAAAAAATTTGTTGCTCATATTTGGAGACCACTCACAAGGAAAATGAACACTTGATTTGCGTTTCATTAAATGCGACTTGGCATTATTTACAGTGAAACTAGACCAGTAAAACAAGACGCAGACTTGATTATCTTATCATTGGACAATTTAATCCGGAAATATTTTTCACTGAAATCTAGAGTAAAGATTGATTGGACTCGCTGTAACGGTGACTCAATTCACTTAGCAGTTTCTTTTAAACACTTTTCTGGCATGTAGAGATTTTTAGCCGTTACCTCAAAGTTCAATGACACGCATTAGTCTAAAACTTAGTCCTCGAACAACAAATCTTTGAAAGTGGTGGAATTCGAGTGTGGGTCATGGCTAGTCATGAAAAATTACTGAGTGTTAGGTATTTGAGATAGAGATGCCTTCTCTTCAGATCATTTCCACACAAAGTTAAATAATTTCGGAACCAACTTCTTGAAAGGTGTTTCAAAATGACATGGACGGGTTTGACAGAGGAGGAACACTTTTTAGTGTTAATCCTTAAAAAATTTAGATACAGCATAACAGCATATATAGTTTAAAGACATTGTTTCCATTATAATGTAACATTCCATTTTTAAATCCCAAGAGAGGCGTCAGGCTAAGTGCAAGTTTCAACGATTATCTGTATATGGTTGCCGTTAATTTTCCTGGTCACTCCATTTTTTATCTTTCATAGCCGAAATGCGAGGGTGGGGAGGGTAGGTGCGAGAAAAACTTTTCCCGGTTCTCTCTTTCTTTATGTTTTTCTTGGCCCTTTTTGCCTTTACCGTCAGCCCTCATCAACTTCCCTCCACCCCCAACCCCCCTTTGCGCTCCGCCCTGTACACCTGTACTCCACAAGCAATCCATTTTATCCGCTGACATTTCCAGTGCTACACTAGCCGTGTAGTCATTTCTGTTACGACTTAATAGTGATTATTGTAGAGAAAACAACAATTCTGGTGATTGACCGCACGTAGTGCTTGTTCCATTTGTTGAGGATTCATTTTTGGTGAAAGTGAATGTTACACCTGCACATTGAATTGAGCCAACACAACCAATTCCTTGGCACGTAGGAGGACCTGATATCAGAGCACTTATAGCATAGGAGGTGTTTCTCTTTATGTTAATTTGCTGGTCGAAATAAATCTCAAAACCTTGGTAGCTGCATTTCTGTACATGTAACGAGACAACTCCAAGAGACTCTCGTACGCACAGTCAGGCAGTTCAATAGAGTCTTTAGTCTTCGCCAACTCACCGTAAAACATGGCCTCAAACACAGGACTGCTGATAGACAGCACGAACTTGTGAGCAGGAATTACTCGTTTACTTTCGCTCTCACCATCCATCTTGCGAACAACGAATTGATATCGCTGCAGCAATTGTTGTTGAAAACAAACTTGGTTCTCTGTATGATGGTTGGTCTCTCTGTTTGCTGTTTGTCCTCGACGAAAGACATGACTCCTGATCGTGGCTTTAAAGCGGAGCTTCTTTTTCCCGCAACTTTGCAAGGCGTTGTAGATTTCAGTATGAATGGGTGGCAACTCGAGACAGCGGCAGCTTACATGAAATGAACACCTATTAACTGACCTTGAAGTTATTATTATAAACAAAGAGCCTTTCTATATTAGCGTTTGTTTAATAGTTTAATATTTAATATTATTAATATTTAATTATTAATATTTAATATTGCCTTAATATTAATTTGTTTAATAGCGTTGCTAAAATACCGTGGCGGTTCTCATACATTGCTACGTGAATTTCATGTCCTCGCGAAGAAAATTTGAACGTTGGTTAGTGATTCTCTTCACCGGACTGCCGCCGGAAAACTATTCTCCTTTGCCCCCGTTGTTTGGTCTCGTCACGCAACGCTCTTTACTCCACGAGAGCGCGCGTTGCGAGACGAGACCAAACAACGGGGGCAAATTAGAATAGTTTTCCGGCCAAACAACGGCTGCGTAGGAGACCTCTCGATGACATTTATCAATTTCATGCTGTGAGCCCTTTCGTCTGCCGATTAATTTTTGCAAAATTTCACAGAATCTGAATTAAGTTATGTCTAGAAAAGTGATCCTAGAATCTCGAGATAATCATATTGCGTGAAAAGTTTTCCGAAGTTGTATTGACCAGCGATTTTTTGTGTTTTGCGCAAACAATTTTAAGAGCCTGCATATTCAAGTAAGAGATTTCGCTTATTAGTTCTATAACCCAAGGTGTTTTATATTTTTATTTTTTTATTTCAAGGACCCTCAAGAGTTTTCTTGGTTACCTGGTAATCTGCTACTCAATCAACTGACATAGAAGAAAGTGTATCCCTAACATCCCTTGAATTTTTCTCATTTAGGTTTTGCCCATCTGGGAAGGAACGACGAATGTATTGTCATTAGATGTACTTCGATCAATTTCTAAAAGTCAAGGGCAGGTAATTTTAATTGTTTACCTAAAATGTGGCATAGTTAATATCAGTAGTAAATGTTACCTTTTATACCAATTTTGTTTTTACGATTCTTGAGCCTGGTAATTGTGCCATAAACCTCAGGCATTGTGCTAAACCCTCCAAGAAGGAAAAGCGTTTGTAAGGAAATTATGCCTTCGTGCAATGATTCGTGAAATCTTCTGTGCCTTAAAGCATTTTGCAGCCTTACTTTGGGGTTTAGCATGAGTTGACAAAAAGTTTTGAAATTTTTTTTCTGGTTTTGTACCTGTTCACGTATTGTACACCCCTCTTTATATTTTCACTGTTTAACTGGAAAAATCCTTGCTACAACCATTTATTACCGTGGTCAGAAAGAGACTTATTAGATACGATGAGTTGCCTAAACTAAAAGGCATTCACTCTACGAAGGCTCGAATCCTTACTTCTCAAAAAGTTATCTAGGCGGTAACCGTCACCAAGTCAACAAATGTCCTACTGTGTGGTTCATGATTTCAAGTCTTTGTTAAACTCAGATTTTATGCACTTAAACATTCGGAAACATGTTCTCTTTTCTTATCATAATGCAGGTACTGAAGGCTTTTCACGCGGATGTTTCCAACAAGTTATCTAGGGCGTGTGCGTTTCGTCCAGCCCTGAAGGTTATGGAAGAAAAAGTACAATCCTCCATGAATACCTTGCTGTCTCCAAAAAACTACGAGCTTCTCTCTGATTCATTACCTGCACGGGATGTCGCCTTCAGCCTGGCAAGAATATACATGGGTATGACGCTGATGATACTGTTTTGTTTAGAAATTTTTTAATGAATTGTTGTTCAGTACGGTCGCAAAAACTGTGTGGTCGGCGTCTGAGGATGTGGGAAAAGGGAGGGAGAATTAAAAGCGCCCCTTTCTTTCTTCCCCCCCCCCCCCCGACCGGTGCGCATATTCGGTCACTTTCTAGATCGTTTTTAATATCTCGCCTTAAACCATTCCTTTTTCTTTTATCAGCGTCCCTATTTATAGAGCACGCTTCCTGGGAAGAGGCTGAAGAACAGGATGTGGAAGCTGCCAAAAGGTAAGTTAAGAAGAAGAAGCGAGGATACACGAACGATCTGCGTGAGCTAATGTTCCTGTCGTTTGCAACTCTTTTCGTTAAAATGTGAATAATACACCATGTAATTTCTGTCCTCAAGTTCTTTCTTGAAGACATTTTATATGTCAGGTGTTGCACTCCTAATTAGCACGACCATGCGCTCATCCGATATGTCATCGGGTAGAATGAGTGGTCATTATTCATTATGCATGATCACCCTAACGGGAAATTTGAAAGCGAGCGTGCTTTGAAAACCCCAGAACGATATAAGAAAGGGCCGAGTGGGCAGAGAAAACTTGCTCGTGTGACTTCAAATAACTGCTCACCAACACTTTGACCTACAGCTTTTTGTAGAAAATGAGATATCTACAATGATAGACAAAAACGAAGAATTTTTTTCAAGTGCAAGGTCTATCCATTTGCGCTAGTAAATGAACATAAAACAGCCATTGTTTTGTATGGAAGCCGATCTCGAAAGAAACTTTCTCGAAACTGGAATAGACGCTTCCAAAGTGACTTTAAAAGTGGTATCTAATTTTTGAAATTCACTGCTTTCGAGTCCCATTTGAACCAAGCTTAGCAAGAGTAGAAACGCACAAAACACACGTACTAAAGGCACGTGCAATTTTTTAGGTGGTGTCAGCAAGACTTGACCCCAGTTCTCACTCAACTCAGACACAACGCATACGACGCGAAAAGCTCCGCCTGTGACCTGGCGCTAGTTATGAAGGGACATTCAGATTTCACAAGAACATGATACTTGACGGTCGTTTGCAAAGCCTTACACAGCAACAGGCTTGAAATAGGCCTCAGCTGCTTGTCAGGGAATTTCACTCACTAATTGCTAAGAAAACACGATTTTCTGAAGTGTTTACTGTAGTTAGAGAGACAGAGACTTAAAATAAGCAAAATTATACGTTTAAGACAGAAACAGAATGCACGCCAAAGCGGGTGTCGTGGTGACGTTTGGTCTTTTGTGCTCTTCGAAAAAGATGCAGATTTAATCCATCCAGTCAGGTGGTCAGCAGTTTCGGCCTAAGCAGGCCTTATCGCCGTGACATAGCTGATCAGCCAATGATCAAGGCACTTAATAAATATTGTATGGTATATGCAGTCAATATTTTAATCCATTCGCATCCTTCCCTACATGTGTCTCTCCACACCAAGTGTAGATATCATTATTACCTCATTAAATTCTCTCGTGAATGTTACACAATCTGAAGATTTGGTCCACCACGCATGCTCTATTGCTTCAGTGCCTCTCTCAAAGAACTGTCGGCAGTTTTGGTTTTTATGTGGAAACAACTCCAATTATTTGCATCTTTAGCTTGCTCGGTATGTGCAAGAAAAGTGAACCCGTTTCACTCAACTTAGGTCATATATGGCAATCGCTTTGAGTTCATTACTCAATCGCGCAGAAATTAAGAGCTCAAGTCGTGGGACGAAGTACTAGAAATTACAGAAGGAAGGTGACAGAACAGTAAGCCATAATGAGCGAAAAAAATAGGTGAGATACTGTTGATTATAATTTTTTTTTTAGGACACGCTCTCCTTATACTGCCCCGTCCGTTTCCCTTTTCAACGTCGTGTACAACAAGTTTTAGCGATAAAACACACGACCTTTCCCGCTTTGAGTGTGGGGCATCAGCGAAATCTATAGCGAGAGGAGCAATTTGTCCTACATTCAGGAACATAGGTATATTTTTCAAAATCTGTGCGCTCATTGTCGCAAGATCGACGTTTCCATTATCAACACTGCAAACCATACACTTCATTAGCAGGGGTTAAGCTTGCGTGCGTAACATTAACTCTTGTAAGGCTGAAAAGTAGCAACCAATGTCGTCAATGAAGATTTGAAAGGAAAGGGAACAGCGCACTGTTGAAGTTGTTATGCTTGGAGCATGTAAGTGTTAAGTTATTGCAGCAGCGGAGAATACATATATATATATATATATATAGACCCAAATACTCTCAGAGCACCACCTCCACGTCAAATGAGCATGAAGGCAACAAAGTTGATTAATGAATCAGGAGCTAAAGAACAGCCAAGGCCGCTTGTGGAGTAAGGACTTGACGAGCATTTCCTTCCATGCTAGGGTACGACCTGGTTCATGTAGGAGAGAGATTCACTCGTATGGAATATTAACCCCCCTGCCCTGCCCTCCCCTCCCCGACCCGGCATAGCTCGCTATCAAGCTCTGCTTTTAGTTTCGTCATAATTCCAAACAAAGGCAAAGAGAATTAGAAAACAGAGAGTTTCGATTCAAAGGTTTTTGGCAGTTGTTCTTACGCAATGTACGCAATGTAGAAGCAGCGGAGACTTTCATAAAAATCCACTTTTATTTATACGGTGTACAAAATATATCCTCCCAGATAAGTGCTTTGAGCACAGACACTCCATCCGCAAAGAATGCGTGGTTTTATTTACCCGTCTAAGTATTATAACAAAATACCGAACTTTTTAAATCTATAACCAATTGTCTGATAAATTTTAAGTATACTCCCGAAAATATTTGAACCCCTATTGATAGCATCCGGCTAATCACCATGCACAATATGCTTATAATATAACGAACAAAGTCAAGACAAAAATATCCAACTTGTGCGCAGCGTCAGAAAATGCAGTGGAACTTTCTTCTAACTGGTTCAGATAACTTAATAAACTGCATTTGAACTACCCCCTTTTGAATCAAGAAGAGAAAAGCTATCCTGTAGATACCATTCATTTGACTTAGTTATATCATATACTTTGCACGCAAGACGAAATATCTGTAGCTTCCATTTCTTGTTTTAATGAGATTGTGCATAAAGCAGCTCTGTGTGAATCTGAGCTATGTCAGTGGAGTTCGTTCACTTCAGCAGGTCCTTGTTACTCTATCCCTAAGCAACGGCATTACAGCATCTCTGTGGACACCAACCCATACAGATTTTGGTGCAGGTAGCGGGGCATTTGGACTGGCCAGGAGAATTTGGAAGAAAGCTTCTTAATACCGGTGCTACTTTTTCGGTGCGTGGACCTAAATCAGGTTAGATTTATAAATTAGTGTTTGCTAAATAGTTTTCTCTATCTAGCAGTCATTCAGCCTTCTAATCGCTTTTCATAATTTTGTTCATTATTTCCATTTCCTTGAGATAAGATTTAGGTTTTTCTTCAAAAGTATTGCAGTAGTAGTGTACCTTTAACTTCTCAGAGTTAAGTTAGCTAATTAGATAGCCTTAAAAAAAAATCCGTGTTGCCAGTTTTTTGCTGTGCATCGTCGTTCTATTTGTGGTTGAACGAGTAATCCTTCACTGATAAAGACCAGCGAAGTTGTCAAATGTTATATTTGGATCACTGTGTAGTTATTTGTATGATTAAACTACCAGAAATCCCAAGATTCTCGGTGTGCGTCTTTGAAAGACAATCAATCACCGTCGATACCTTGAGCTAAGTCAAGCGGTTTCTTCGCATGAAAACTGCAAAATTTTAGATTACTTACTTACAAAAAATAACTAGCAGCTAGAGCGGAGAACTAACAATCAGATCTTGAGAGTTAGAGAATTAACTGCCGTATGACTAACATCCATTCTTTTATTGCGCTCAAGAGTTTTAAGTCACTCTTTAGTGCTTTAAGAGTAAATACGTGTCACACTTAAGCGTCATGGACGGTGTACGCGCGTCACAATCACCTTACCTGATGGTTGGCAGTAGCCCCACCGTTTCTCTTTGTCATAGTTGGGCGTGGTGGCACACCAGGGGCGATGAGTCTGCGGATCAGCTATACAGTGGTTCACTACCGCGCCGCGGAACACGAACGGAAGGGCGCAGCATTTGCCACTGTACGTTTTGAGACATGTAGACACTGAAATGCGACAATGGGTGAGGTAAATACAGAGTTGTGGAGAAGGGATGAGTAGATTTAGCATTTCGAATCCCTATCTCCCCCTCTTCTGTTACCCTACAGATCATCAAGCAGTGTGTTTTCTCCGGGTTCAAAAGATAAACTGCTTTGTAAATCCTGGCCGCAGAACGTTCATTTCCCATGTCAGCTTCGAAGCCTCTTGCTATAGGTTTAGATCGGTTTCTAAGTCTTATCGAATTTTTACCTTCGAAATCGGCGACATTTTTCTCTTAGAAAAATCAAATAGAGCAACTATTCTCCCACGTAACTTCTCGTGTGGAAGCCTCTCACCACCAGAGTAGGAAAAGGGGACGTGAATCCTCCTAATTACTTTACTTATCACTAATGGTATATGCCCACGTGACTGTACTTCTGCTGTATCATCGTTTACATACCTGGACAAGGTGTCTGTATACAAGTCCTGCTCTCGAGACTTTGTCCCTTGCAGACCTTTCCTGGCTTACACGTTCGTGTCCTCGTCTGTAAGCTCTTTCCGCAAGTGGCTCCACAGGGTCCAAATGGGGTCCACTGGGTAAAGTTTTCGTCTCCTTTTCCAAGTACAGCCTTTTTGGCTGCTTCCATGGACGATTTGTATTCGTCGTTTTCGCGGAGGTGCTCAATTTCTGAAAAAAAAAAATTAAAAAACGTTTGAATTATTAGAAGTAATATTAGTGACCGTGAGATCTAAATCACTTCACCTCTACATGTAGCTGTTAAAAAGGTGAATTCGCTCGTGGAAAATTTGTTTAAATTATCTCTCTTAAATATCCCAATTTTTAACTTAATTTTCCTTGAGGCCACAAGATCATTTATTTTCACCAACAGAACCTCTTCCCTCGTTGAGAAAATTCTTCTCTTGTTTACCTTTATTTCCTATCTGTCCATGGTGTGACATCACTACACTCCTGAACGGCATATCGCATCCTCCTGGCGTGACGGCGATTGCGTTATTATTGTTAAGTAACACCTCATTATCTCTGTCGTCTGAGTCACGCGCGTAGAAAATCACGTGATGATGTTTTCGTGGATGTTTGAAGATAGTCTTGAGTTTAAACGTCTCTGCAGTAATTAGGTAACCTTCTAATTTCATACTGGACACCAATGTGATTGGTCTGCGAACTTTGTTGATGAACTTAAGACTGATACACTTGTCTGAGGGAGAAGGAAAATCACTTTAATGAACAGAGCAGTATGTATTTATGCGCAATATTCCTATTTAGCCTAGACGCCGAGGGAATTAGAGCACTCCTGAATTATAAACCCCTCTATTGGTCAAAACTGGCGTGGCGTGACGCGTACATCACTCTTCTATTCTGATGTTACCAATATTGTTGTTAAAGGTGGTTGAAAACAAAAAGGCATTCAGGAAAAAACAAACCACCAGAACGGTAGCGAGGTAAAATTAACTTGCACCCAAAAATGCTGAAAATACAACTCTCTTTAAAAAAACGCTGGTTCTCTTACACGCGATAATTGTGCGCGCCACCCGCTACCGAGTCCACGCAGCAGTTTGTGCATGTCACGCTGTTCAAATATCTGACCAATCTTAAACAAAGCGAACTCACCATTTTCCGAGGTTTTGTTCGGCTCGTCGTCAAGTTTGGCTCTGCTTTTCTCCTGCTGGCTGACACCGTTTTGAATGTAATTATGGAAATTGGCGCTGTTTCCCATTAAACTCTGTTTTCCAACCGAAATCAATCCTCCCCAAGTTTTCCCCGGAACACGATAGCTGTTAGGCACTCGTTGTAGACCTGGTTGATTCAACTGCTGATATGGAAACTGTACATTCGGAGCCTTAAATGCCAACGGCTTTCCCAGCGGCCTTACTGGCGAAACAAGCGGAGGTGCACCGATGAAATGAGGAGTTGCGCGCAAAATTTCTTGTGAGGGTGCTTGTTGATTGAAGTAATTCAAAGGCCTCTGAAACTGTTTCTGTTGTTGTTGTTTTAGCTGTTGTTGTTGGGGTGGTTGTTGTTGGCGAAACACAGGCCCTAATTTTGTAAACTGCTGAGCCCGGCTGTTTATTTTTTGTGATTGCTGGTTCCTATATGCACTATGGATGAAACCTAGTGCCTTCGCGGTTATCTTTGCTAGCTGATCAGGCAGGGTATTTGGGGTTGTTTTATCGTCATTTGGAAACTCGAAATTCAAGGTAAACTGTTGTTTTCCATACGGGTTAAGTTGATTTGCAGCTTGCTTTGGCGCGAACGATTGCAGTTGCCCCGTTGGATTTTTGTTAAGTGTGAGTGCATTCCCTTTAATCAGCGGATTTATTTTTGGTTGAGCAAACGGTACCTTTTTCCCTGAGGTCTCTTTGTTTAGTATGATAGCACTCCCTTGCAGCTGCAGATTTGCTTTCGTTTGTGCGAAAGATTGAATCTTTCCAGATTGATTTTTATTTACTGTGACGGTGTTCCCTCTGACCAGCGGATTTATTTTTGCTGTTATTGAAGAGGAACCTTTGCCAAGACCGTTATTAAGGGTTGGGTTGCTCTTTAATTTGTTCGTGGTTGAAGCTTCAAGTTTGTTCTGGTCATTTCCTGAGAGCCCATTTCCAGTGTCTGTGACGACAATTTCCTGTTTGTCCTTCTGCAAATCCATTTGCGGCTTTTGTGTGCCATTCGTGACCTGCAATTCAAGAGTGACATCTGCACTTTTCAAGCCATGCAAGAGTCCTGTTTCGTTCGCTTGCTTTGTAGAATTCACAGTATCCGAGTCATCGTCAAATGTCAGCTCAAAGCTTCCGTTTTTATCAGCAGTTACGTTGGACGACAATTTTAAAGGTGTGTCGTTATTTTTACCAGAATTCGTCTTGTTTGAAAGCTGACCGTTGTCAGTTTTATTAATTTTACTGCCCATTAACGAAACTTTTTTGGCAAGAGAGCCTCCACTTTCATTCTTGGGAGTGTCTTTCCCTAAATTCTCCACAGAATCGTCGTTTGAAATGATACCAGAAACGTTTCGAACATTTGCTCTCGCCTCTGCGCTTTCTTTCTTGGTTGGGGAGAGTTTTAACCTTTCCTTTAGATCCTTTTTTGTCGGTTTTTGAGCTACTGCCATGTAAAGACAGCTCAAAAGAAATTCGTGGCTTCCGATGTCAACGTTCTTGGCGACCAGACCAAATTTACTGCTGGTGTCATGACACATAAACCACCCAGGGTGGTTAAACAGTTCATAAGCAGCCGCGCCTTTGGTTTGAGTTTTTCTTTCGATAAACGTCGCGTCTTTCTCTGAAGATTGAATAACATAAATCAGCCATTTGTTAAAAGTACTGTATTTTATTTCTTTTCTTGAATGAGAAAAGGATGAAGGAGGGAATGAACCTCTCCTCTTGATGTGAGATGTTACAGGGCGAGGGGTATGGAAGTTAAGCATTTTGTCCCATGATGTTGTTTGGAAGTTATGTACCTTGGCAAGGACTTGGGAAATCCATGGAAATTGCACCATAAGAATAAGGCGAGAAATGAAAATATGTCTGACTTTCTTGGAAAAGTCTACCTGAGAAAACGGGGTAAGTTTCTGAACAAAATTGCGATACTACGTCGTTGGGAGATATTACAAGACAATTTGTTGACTTGTTAACTCAAGATGTTGGAGCGGTAGCCCTTTGTTAGAGCAAATGGAAAGTTGCGGATGGAACTGAGCTTTGCATGAAGGCTCTTTCAACTGGGATTATCCGCTAAGAACATTTACTTCACCTTACCAAACACTCCAGTGGGCTTATTTCTTTCCAAATGAAACTTGTAATTCTTGTAGCGAAGGTAATGTCCCGGATTAGCTGCCGACTCTAACGACACACTTCCGGGAACGTGCTCGAACCCAGGTCTATGGAAACGGAACGAGTCGGCTCTATTGCCGAGGAAGGCGGACCTCTGATTCGCCATGATTCCTTTACCAGCTTCCTGGGGCACTGGGCCAATCCCGGCGTCATTTTGTTGATTGGAGGGTGGGAACAACTTTACCACTGTGAAATTTCTGCTGGCTGAAGAAATTATTTAAAGTAACTGAGCGAGTAACAGCAGTTCCACCATAATATAACCTGCATAATAGACGGTACGTTTAGCTTTAAGAAGGAGAGCAGACGTATTGTGGGGAGATCAGCGTGAAGCGCGAGTCACGTGTAAGAAGTGGAACGAGATTCGACTCTCGCGCACGTTACACGCTCGTTTCGCGTTGGTTCCCGAAGCCTAAAAGCGCATAATAAAACGACCGTTCTGCGAGCTACCTCTCTATCAATGAAAATTTTTTAGTTAATGTAATATTTGCCCTTTTTACCAAAGTGGCAGCCGAAGGTCAAAACTCCCAAGTCTCATGTATCACAGGAAATTTTTACTAACACCAAACTTAACACCCTTTGTATGGTAATCTACTCACAGATTGTCAATTAGTCATATGTGGTTTCAGCCGCGAAAAGCGAATGCTTACTGAATCTGATACAAAATGGTTTGGGAGGGGATGCATCTGTCCATTATCCTTTAGTCATGACAACTTAAATTAGAACGATTTCAGATAATCCTTTCGCCATTACTTGAGTTGTAATAACTTGAAATTTTCATAAGTTGCCTTTTGGCACCATGATCTCTCTCTTTAAGAGGATCATAGATATTTTAAGATGAATTTTAGATTTCGTTCACCATTTAATGATCAATTGACAGTGCTTTTCACTTTTCAACAAGAACCAGACGCTCACATGAATGGTATCAAATATTCATCCTCTTTTCCATCCTTTGTTTTGTAAGGCGTGTTTATTAACGCCTCTGATGTGACATGATCCCTGACATTTATAAACAAACATATTTCCTAAGTTTAGAAAAGAAAGTTCCATGCTTTCTTGACAAAAAATGAAGAGGTGGATAACTTGAGTATTCTTTGTAACATTATATATCCTGAGCGCATTCACGGTTAACGGGCGAAGATTGAAGTGTTCAGTTGGAAACTGGTTTTAAATCCTCAATTTTTTCTTTTTTCATGAAAATAGTATTTTGAAAATTTTGTTTTCAAAGTAGAATTCGCAAATAGCGAGATACAGAGATACCTCTTTGAATTGTTCTAAGCGATTACGAATCGAAACCAGCGAGGAAATTTGTGCGCTCACCGTACTGTTCCATAATCTCAAACCCAATGAGCTTATGAATTTGTTTGCATTCAACACTCGATGACTTGCGACATATGAACCCTGGTTTCGTATTAAAATTTGTTTATTTAGGTTTACCCGCGCATTAAGAATGAAAAACAAAACATCATCCGTCTTAGTTCGATATTGTCTGGTTTGAACAGTTTGGAGTGGTTTCAAAATTCAAGTAGTCGTTGCCGGACAAAATGATTTCATCGTAAGCGGGCCGCTCCATCACAATTTCGGAATCAATTCCTGGGATAATTCGTTAAATCTTTTTAGAGGGAAGTTGAATATTTTTATCGTTAAAACCACGGAACAAGTCCACGTTTCCTTACCTGGTAAGGCGATCACCGTGAGCTGGTAAACAAGTACTAAACACAAGGAGAAGTGAACCCGCAGATAAACCATTTTCTTAAATTCCGCGTTTCGTGTCTTCAAAAGTTCTTCACTACAAATGTATTTTCGTGATTCGCGAAAAAATCATCTCTTGCCGCGCGCACCTCCGTCAATAAGGGCGAACTCTGATTCCAAAATCGAAATTTGTGTTGCGTTCTAAACTACCTGTTAAATTTAAATGAAAGGTCAAGGTTTTTTTCTTAACCTGACGCGATTCGAACGGGTGAACAAACAATGACTTTTCTACCTGTTGCTTAGGTTTGCAAATTGCGCATTAGGCGTGGAGCATCAAGGAAATGCTTTTTTTTAGTATTTTTGTATATCATAACTCAGTTACTGCCTTTTGCTATTGAAGTAAACTTGAACTTTTGTGTGGCTTAAGGTGCCTCCTTGACTTCGAGGAAAGCATTATGAAGGCAATTTTGAACTTTGAATTCAATCAATCGCAAGTGAGAAAATCTCAGGGTAAAAAAAAAAAAATAGAATGATCGTTAATTTTCTTAACAGGGTGTTAATTATATATGCTCGATGAATATTTGCAACTGTATCTTAACTCAATTAATTAAGCGAGACCTTTTCTTTTACGACCCTGTACCCATTGGTGGCGAACACGGTATATGAACAAATGCACTGGTTGATTACAATTACACCATTCAGGTTTTCTCAAGGCATCTCTTTGACATTTTAAAAAGATGGGACACATTTTAACAAGTATCCTTGGAAGCACTCTCATCTAACCACCTCTAATTTGTGAATTAATTTTAAAAAATGAGACAACAAAGGAACTCATCGCTAACCAACATCGATTTTTAAAATAATGAGCTCGAGCTCGGTCGATGTGTGGATCGTTCGGTTAGATCAGTCGGTTGGTGGTCGTGCGGTCGGAGAGGCGGTCGGTCGGTCGGTCGGTCGTGGGATCGGTCCCTCTTTCGTTCCGTTCGTGGGATCGGTCCCTCTTTCGTTCCGTTGGTCGTCGGTTGGTCGGTTGGCCGGTCGATCGGTTGATTTAAAGTTCGTCTTTTCTTTCGTTCGGATTACAGTGACAGTTACCAACCAAAGTTTTTTTCAAGGGGACTCACTTTCGTCGGCCAATTTAGATATTCACATTTACGTCCGGGCACAGTTCCGTTTTTAATGAGAATCTCGAAGACTGAGTGCTCTAACTTTGAGCTCTGCAATAACAGAGGTTATATCAACAAAGCTTTTAGGTTAGAGCTTCCAATCAAGACCAGCTTTGATTCCATACAAATTATCCTTAAAATTTGAAAATATAATTTTTTATTATTTCTTTATCTATACAAATTAAGGCCTACCCGAAGAAAAAACGATAGCATTAATTTCATAATTTAATTATTTATAATACGAGTCATCGACTAACTGTCGGGTAGTGCCAGAACATTTTGTGTTATTCCATTCTGTTGTGGACTAAAACTGCTCCTAGTTCTACTTATTTTGCGATAAACGACAATTTCGGCCAACATGAGGAGAAAGCATCCACAACAAATCATAGCAGTGTTGAAAAAGAATCCTCCAAACTCGCCAAGACCCATCGGACGGGCGATCACAGTTTGCTGCGAAACTTTGCATCGAGACGTCGTCCATTTCTGAAATATTTGCGGTATTGTGTCATGCGCGTTGAGTTTGTGAATCGCGCGAGAAATTTGATGAGTCCACGAAGAGTTCCTTTGCAATGCGAAGGCGAGGCCAGATAATCCAAAAGGCACACCGTTCTCTTTGATCTCACAATTCGGATCGTCTTCAGCGCCTGTTTCGGATATGAAGACTGTCAGCTCTCTGAAAGAAGAAAAAGTCATGTCATTGATATCTTTCTCTAGATTTGAATAAAAATGTTCGACAGCTTTTTAGATTGTGTCGAACAAATTAGCTCTGACCTTTCCGTGAAGATTCGAAACAGTGGTAGTTTTGCAGTCGAATGCTCTACCAACTGGGCTATAGAGAAGTTTTTCGCAAGAAGGTCATAAATTGTACCGTGCTGAAAATTCATGATCTTTCTTCTCGTATGTTTACTTTTGAATGCGCGCTTTATTTTTTAGGTCAGGTGTTTCCCCTGAAACCTCGTTGCTTGTTTCTGCAGCAAACCAAAGTAACAATCAGGTTAATTTTTTTATTTTCTTTCTTTTACTTCTCATAGACAATAAAGCAAGCTTCGTAGAGACATCAGTTGATGACAATGACTCCATCGTAAAGGCGCTGGTTACATGAAAAGTTGCTTGCACAACCGGTATTTGATTGCTTTAGCTTAAACCATTTCCTCTAATCCTTCCCAAGTTTGGAAGACCTTTGTAGTGATAGAGAAATCAAAGGCAAAACTCACACAGAAATTCTAAGCGTTCGCACCAAATCCAAATCTAAATTTAGATTGGTACAGGTACTAAACCTCCTTAATATGGTGTGCGCGCGCAGGGAGACGGTCAGGAATTACCCCTCAGAAATTACCATCTACAAGGCCACAAAGTTTGTTTGGAGCACTCACCCTGATCGGAGTTTTTTCATTCCATCGGAGAACGTTTCCACGTTGTGGTCTTTCATGTTTTCATAGATCTTTCTCAGCCTGGCACTCCGACTTTTCTTAAAGAAGTCCTCTGTACTTGTGTCTTTGATTGTTGCAAATACGAATCCTGTCGGAGGATCTACCAACTGTGCAAAGTGAAAAGGCGAATATAAAAGATAAAAACTGTACTGTAAAAGTTTACGGCCACCTAAAAACTCAGCCGGGTTCTTACCTGTTGCTTAAGGCGGGCATTTCAAGAGTCATGGATGGAGAGCTACTACTCCGATCCTTCTTAGGCACCACATGGGAACCCCGAGATAATTTCCTATTACGCTTTTAATTAATAGCCACTCCGCAGAAAGCGATTGTGTAGAAAAAACAACTGTCATTTGGATTCAGCTCCAATGAAAGAGTGGAAGGGACTGGCATAAATTTGTAGTTAGCTCGTTCTACGTTGGCACCTAAGTGACGTCTTGTTTCATTTTATAGATAATTATTTTTTTTTACTAAGAGATCCAATGCCTTGTACCGTAGAATCCTTTCCCTCCGCTTACATCTTATTCACTAACCTTTTCGTCTGCGATGCCTGACACAATATTTGTTTCCTCCACAGTGATAAGAGAAGCCAGCAAATTGGCGGTGTACGAGCTGACAAGAACGAGGGCTGCAAGGTTTGCCACCACCATCACGCTCGGAACTGCGTAAGTTTTGGCCTGAATTTTGGTGAGTGGTACATGAAATATATTCCCATAAACGTACGCTATGAATTCGAAGGGTAAAAGATAAGCGCTCTTATGATTCCTATAGTAATATAATTTTTCAAAGACCCAACTCGTAACTGCAACCGCAAAGAATGCAATCAAACACATAAGCCACAGTTCCGTACTGAAGGATTTCAACAATCTCATGTCACTTATGATTTGTGCAAAAGTTTTGTTATTCGCTTCAAATCGCCTCACAAAGAACATTAGCGCCGTGTCGGTGTACGGAGTCGTAAAGCCGACGTACTTCGAACGTTCTTCGGTAATTGTAATAACACCGAGAGCAAGATCGGCGGTCCCTCGGTAAACGTCCCCGATCATTCCGTTCATTTGTTTTGTGGTCGGATCCAACGATCCATATTTTCCATCCTTGACTAAGTAAAGGTCGAATGAAAAGTCTTCGATTTCTTGAATCTTGGTAAGAATGTCGATCATAACACCATAGCAGCATTGAATTCTTGAGGGTCCTTTGCTGCGTTTCCAGAAACCTTCATTCTCCGGAAAGGAAGAAGTGTCATTATCCTCAAGAAATTCTCTACAAGGAACCGTGTTCGCCGGACAACTCGTGCCCAGTCTACTGCTGTAATCCACGTCATGGATCGCTGTAAAAGGCGCTTGTTTAATAGTAACTATTCTCAAGTGGCGCGGCTTAGGAAGGTCCCTCGGTAGAAAGGCCTCAAAATTATGGGGGCTATTGTGGAGGGTCATTTCTGGACAGGCAAATCCTAACACGTGCCAATTTTGTTCCACGTCCTGTTGTAAATCGTGTGATCGCAACGCCTTTATTATGGTGAATTTGAAGGAAGTACGTTCGCCATTGTTACCGAATTGAACAAATCCCGTCTGGCCAGGAAAACTATGACGCATCATCTCCCTGTAAATTATATGTATAGAGCGTTATTGTGGGCATAAAATATTGTTCGGTTGAGTGTCTAAAGTTATCCTGAAATTCGACTCCCTTAATTTAACGCGCCTTATGCCGAGATGCCTTAAGAAACACGCACCACCCAACCCGCCGATACTTGATCCCCCGCGTTTTTCAGCGCTTGAAGCCAGTTTCGTATATTTACTTCGAGCTCTGATTGGCTCGTTGTGATATTACCTTTATTTTGATTAGTTGTTTTGATCAATTTAGGCTTGCATTCGCTGCACTCAGGCGAAAAAAAAAGGACTCAGTGGTGGTATTACTTTCCGCTGGAGTCAGATTTTGGTTTGCAATCCCAGCAGGGTTCGAGTTGTTTAATCATGAATATAACTACTCCTCCCTGGCTGGCAACGCTTGCTTGGAAAGGGTTGATGTAGATACACGTTGCTCCATTACAGAGCAAAACTCTTATTATCAGGGTAACATGTACTGAGCCTCTTGTCCTGAATATTTGTTCTTTACGATAATTGTGATTTAGAATTTCAGGTCTTTTAACACAGTGAATTTATTACAAATGTAGATCGTTACCTGTAGAGCTGTCTTTTAAAAGTGGTAAAAAGCCTTCCCTGAAAACACTCCAGTTTATTACAGCGTGTCAACCAATCCAGGGAGCTCTTCAATCCCAACACAAATAACTCTACCGAGTCCTGGAGCAGCCTTTTATAAAGCGACACCATACTTGTATTCTCGGTTCTTTGAAATATTTGTACGCCAAACGAACCCTCAGGAAAAGCATTAGCATTGAAAGTAACAGCTTTGTCAGTGAAGATCCAATATACGTCACCTCTTAAAAGTTTTAAACTAAGTTTGTTGGCAAGAGATATTATAGCAGTACTCTCATTTTCCTGACAGTGAACAACAATTAAACGCACACCGCTGCTACTTATGGCTGCCAAACCCGAGCCAAGGTCCTCCAATAAGCTGTTTTCACGGAGGATAATACATCTGGGAGCAGCAGCCTGATGACCAATGTTCGTTGTGTATTGCAAGAGATAAGAAAGCAGCGCGTCGTCACGTGATTTTTCTGTGGTGACGCAAACAAATCGACTGTCCTCAAATTCTAGCATCAGGTCTATTAAGACGCGGGCTTGGAGAGCATCTGATGGAAGCATTGACAGATACCACGAGCTTTCCTGGAAAGTTACAAAACGTTCAGTAGGGTTTTTTTTAGTTTATTACCTAAATATCGGGAGGGTGGCCGTCTTACTTACGGGAGGTTGAAATAAGCGCCTTTTCAGTGCTTAAAAGGAAATAGCCCCTGCTATAGTGTGCAGGTGACAAAATCAGAGAAATTATTTGTCATTCAATAATAACACCTCCCACTTAGGGCTCAACACTCTATCACTCCCCCACCCCACCTCCCCCCTCCCCCATACACACACTCATTGAAATTCTAGTTCCTGTTGAGAGGTAAAAGCAAAAAGACCCTAAAAGGACTTAATTCTTTTTTTTTTTATTTTAATTTTTTGGGCATAATTTTCAGGAAACAGAGACTACCCGGTTAGAACAAGAGCATTATTTAATTTTCTCACATTTACGCGTGTAATGCCCCTTCGGCAGGCGCTCATTCGATAATGGCAGCTTGTTCTTTATGGCCAGGCCGCGCTAAATATACAATCTTTTTTAGTCGTATATAAGTGCAGTGGCCTACAAATTTCCTCTTTTTTGGATGGAGTACTGAATCTATATGTGCAAAATACATACGCACCGTTTCTCAGTGCAGAAAGAAAACTAAATGATTAAAATGAAAATTACATTTGATAATTTCCTTCAGAGTCCAAACTTTTATCATCGTAACCAAACGGTAACAAATATCTCTAACATGATTGGTTATCATAAGTCTGATTAGAGCACTAATCATGGGAAATCCATATCTTGCAGCACTTCAGTATTCTTTCCTTTGATTCAAGTAGGTAGCCATAATTCTTAGACAAAAGATATTGCATATCACTTTAATCTAAAATCATTGTAAACTACAACACATCTACAAAGGCTGTTGCAGCGTTACTTTGAAAAGAGTGCAGGGAACCCTTTTTGATATCAAATTAAAGTTCATTTTTGGGTATCTTTCAACTCACTAGAAACTCGTTTTTTTAAATTTCTTGCTCGTTAACAGCTGGTTAAGTTTAAAAAGGCATTCTCTATCCAAAATCACGCAAACAATTTCGAAACTTTACGCGATATTGGACAATCTTTGTATGGCGTCCAAATTTTGCCATACATCTGTACTCAAATCATTTTCAACGACCATTCACAGTGGGAGTAGTTATTTGGGTTATTTTATGATAAGCTATCCTGTCAGATGGTGAATATTAGTTGTTATTTTATGTAGGATCCATTACGATTATCTGACGAAAATCTTCGTTTAAAAGATGAAAAGATTTTGAAATTCGAAATAGATTAAAAGAGAGTGGCCTGCCGATTCAACACATTTTAAGGCAAAAGCGAACTTTTTTGTGATAGTTTGTCCCAGAAAGGAATCGAAAAAATGGGGTTTTGTCGTTCTAGGGAGTGATTTTGTTATGGCTGAGCGAAAGTAATTTCCCGCTGATTGTCCTGAACAAAATAGTGAGTGGTAAAGCGAATTATAAAAGCAGTACTTAAGTCAGTTTTATCTTATGAATGATTACGTCTTAAAGTTCGATTAAATATTTACAACTCTTCGGTCAAAAAGGCGTTTGTGAAGCCTGAGGCAAGTAGCACAAAATTACGGTCTTACTCCGGCGTAAAAGCTGATTTTATATCTAATCCCTGCTCAGGAGGTATCCTTCCTTTTCGAATGTGGTTTGGATTCCCGTCTAAACACGATAGCAGGACATTCTGCTAAGTTTTGCCTTTTCAGTACAGTTTTTTTTAATTATTAAACGGGTAAAAAGTTGCGAAACACGGAGATAAAAACGCCGAAAATGGTTCACCGAATAAATTGCATCTACATGAGTAAAGCTTGTTACCATCATGTGTTTCTAATGGGTGTCTAGCGAAATTATTGTTTCATTGCTTGCAAACAGTATATTGATGCCTCTGTTGAAGGTTTTGTACTTGAAGGATTTGGTATAATTTATCATGTTTGCAAGGCAGAATGATGAAAAATTGCCGTCAAGTACCTTCATGTATTATTAGCAGATTCTTTTGTCAAATTCAGCTTTAGATGACGTAATATTTTAAAGCAGCTTTATTCCTCTATTTAAAGTCTAGTCGTTAATGTGTTCCAATGTCATTTATTGCTGGTTGTTTGCGTTAGTGAGTGTTTTCTTGAGAAACGCATCCGTTTTAATTTGTGTTGTTTATTTACGTCCTATTTATTCCATCCGACTTAAATGCAAATTTCCGAAACTCTCTCAGGTATGCCACATAAACTTACTTGCTGTTTCGCCGTGGGAGACTTAAAAACATCAATTCATTTTTTTTTAGGCCAGTTTGTGAAAGCTGTAGCGAGAAATGTCTCGAAATCATTATAAAACGCGTGAAAACAGGAATCCACTTCAAATTTCTCCTTGAAAAAAATTAGGCTTGGTTGAAGCAAGCTTTAATCCTGATTAAAATTAATTTAAACTATAACTGTAATTTGAATTTGTTTGTTGTAATGAGGAATTTTGAAAAGTCGTTTAATTGGTAGAAAAAAAAATTCAATGGCATATCGTAACTGAAGCGTCTCTTATTGAGATCTGGACAAACTGGCCTTCGAATAGAACTTTGGTTTAACGAATCATCCAAGCATTACTAACGGCTTCTTCCTGGGCCCCGCCAAATATTGATAGGGGGGATTATTGTCATTTAGGTGCCTATAATTTGAAAGAGAATGTGAAAACAAAATATGTTTTGTGCAACTGTTTGCTTCTTACCTGATAGGTCTTGTAGAATTCTTCTGTTAAACTTTGAAGCCCAATTATCGGAATATCACTCTTACTCAGTACGTCCACAAGTACATAATTTTTCTTTGGCGGTAGAAAGCTTATCACGACACTAGCATTGTGTTCGATTATGTGCTCTAGAATTTTTCGCCACAGTGAATACGGTGTTTCTTTTTGCTTCCACTCTATTGCCTTTCCTTCCAAACTCAGAAAAGACGAGACATCTTTGTAGCGCTGAAGTATCTGCTCACAAGTCGAATTCAGATCGTATCGTTGAATTTCCTCGGAGATAAAGACGAGCTTCACAACTGGTTGAATTAAAGGAGTCGAAGTCGCGTCAATACTACCACACCGACATTGAAGAAGCAAAATTGATATTATGTAAGTCTTGCACAAATTCTGAAACATCGTCAATATAATGCTGCTAAATCATCAGATGAGAGGTACAAAGCCAAAAAGTTAACTGATTGGCGCGAGAATTCGCCGTATCTCATCTTAAATTCCATTTCCAACTGATAACATACGTAGCGTACATCTTTTGTTTTTAACCGAATGAAATTCCGGCCTTCTCCAGCCAGATAAAGAATCTTGACGAAGGCTTTACTCTAGGTTTTTTAACGTAAGAGCAGATGGACAAACCGTGAAATCAATGTGTATTTAGAGTAAATCCATATGCACATATCGTAGTATTTGTCTTTCGAACAGGTGAACTGTTTCTACATTAAATTCATGGCCTTTTCTGTTCGATTTAAACTACAATTAAAAGGCTTCGAAGCGCCGCCCTCAGAGTTAACACTTCTCACAATATCTCCTCAGCGATTGGCGTTTCTGGCGAGACACACTGTACGTTGATGTGGCGATCGCAATGCTATCCTCGAAGAATGTGAACCTAATTATCTGTTTTAACGCTCCTCATTTCTTTCAGCCGTGCTGCCTCTTATTATGAAGTTGCTTTTTCGGGCTATGTTTTCAATTTGGCTCAATTACCTGAGAAAACCACATACACTGCAACGGTGTATATATAGGCTAACAAATAACAAATACCCGGCTAAAAAACGGAAATGATCGGAGTAATAAGCATCCCCTTCGTTTTTGTGAAACTCTACACTTTACGGCAATCACTGCAGTAATTAATTCATGCGCATACTTCTTTTCCAAACTGTGAAACACTTCACATGTTACTTTATTTTGAGAAAAATTAATTTGAATTCCAGTTTGAGCTCGTTTATGAACGCAGCTTGATAAACCCACTAAATTGTAAACATGTAAAAAGTGGTGCGCGTTTCAGCGAAGTATAATCTAGATTTGATTTCTTGAGATTCCTTGTTTGAAGGACTTAAAAGAAAATAACCCATTTTTCACTGAATTTTTTATTTCCGTCAGCTCGCAAACTGTCAAATTAATACAAGTTTGATTAACCTTCGCTTTAGTTTTTATTATTCATCCGACGCTATATAAATTATTTATAGTGATAAAGACAGTAAATTAACACTGGTTTAATAAGAAACAATTCTGCGACGAATATTCTGGATCATTTCTGAGCTGTTTTTTGGCAACATCTGAGCCTTAACCACTCAGTGCTCATCAAAAACTGGTGGCACCATTTGCATTCTCCCATTTATTATCTTCGCCATCCCTTATGACTCTTGTTCATATTCTAATAACCTGTCTGATGATGTTCTCCTAAAAGCAAGTGAAAGATTTCTTTCTGTAATTCTCATTACCTTTTTCTCTATTATTACAGTTCCCTGCACGCCATCAAAAGCCCCCTATGCTGACAATTGCCCCCAGAAGAACCACGCATGGGTGTAGAATGAGATTTCTACAAAAAGAGCAGAGAAAGTTAGGGAGAGAACGGAAAGAGATGAAGGAAAAAAGATTTAAATAAAGGAAACTGGAGCGACGAACAGCGGAATTGAGATATTTGTTTTTGTACCCTAGCATGGCCAAACGTTTTTTTTTCTTTTTTTTTTCTTCGTCATTTTTTGTTTTTGTTTTTTTACTTTCTGCCGGTTATATATGAGAAATAGCATAAGAGGGAAATTCTGCTCTTCTTTCCGAATGATGGCTTTCTACGGTGTGAAAAGGTCGATTTTACAAAAAGCTCAGCCCAAAGAAAGAAATAATAAAAATGTCCAATTCATTTCAAAGTATCGGCGCGTTCTTTCTCAGGGTATTTAGAATTTCGAATAATCTTCCGATGTCTGGTAGCCTTTTTTTTTTTACCACTGTTAATTTCTATCCTTGGGACCATTGTTTCTACATGGCATGGGCTATAAGGCTGGTCATAAGAAACCAAAACGACTGATGAAAATGCTCACTCTGAGCTCTCCCTACATCGGAGACAGAACCCTCTGTTCATTACGCACTCAATAAACCTTTAAACCTTTAAGGTGATTGACTTCTACTTTCTCCTTACAGTATTAGCCTTGTTTCAAATGTAAAGGTAACGAGAATAAAGTAAATGATCACCAACCGAAGAAGCTCCTGATTGTCAGACAAATTCTCTTTGACAGTACTGGAGAAAATATAAAGAGAGTGTGGAGAATTTGCATGTTAATTTTGGGGTGTAAAGAATTGAGGGAATCATATCGCGTTCTCTTTACTTTGCATTATTTTGACTTTCCTTTCATAGTGAATTAAGTCTGTGTTTGATTCTTTCTGCATTATCTCAATCTTTGCTTCCTAAAAGGATAAAAAATGCGTCCATTGCATTCTTCTGAACTTAGAAGGCCAAATAACAGCGCGTTATCTTGGTTTTTGTGCTCTTTCTTTATCTGTACGCTCCTTCATTAGAGAATAAGAAAGTTTCCTCTTCATTTTGGTTTTTTTAATCCCCGTCCCAGGTCGAAATATGGCTTTCTCATATTGGAATCTACAGTATTTAATTTTATCAAAAGTTATTTAGCAACAGACGACCGCTTGAGTCGCACAATCCTTGCGGAAGGGTCTATTTAATCCTTTTTCGGTTTTAAAATACCCTTCTAGTTGAAGAATATTCTCCACAATGTAATTACTGAGTATTTTTTTTTCTATTCATATGCCAATTCATCACAGACAATAGCTTCCTTTCTCCTCAATCCTTAATTAGCTAGCTGGGCGTGCAAATATAACTTCGACCAAAATCTGTGACGTATAACCGACTATTGTAATTGGGTGAAGTTTTTTTTATCCATATTCATGAGATATTGTAGAATTTTCTGCAAACTGTGGTGTCCGCCAGAGAGTGAAGACGTGCTGTCTCTTATGCTGGAGAAAAAGTTGCATTCTAGAAGAAAGAAGACACTCGAATTGTAAACAAGAGCAACGGAAAGCACTCGTATATCACCACAACAGAAGGTAAGCATTCCTTTGGAGGATACTGCTTTCAAATCTTGAACAAGGAGTGCATGAGCTGAACGAGTCGCAGAATCATAGTTTAACGAGACTGCACGTGTTAGACATTCTTTGAGGGTAGCTCATCAACTCGAACTTCGGTTTGAGTATTTAGGGTGTCTATTTTTGTTGCTGAAGAAGAAATTGATAACTACCTTTTGGTCTAACACCAAAAGAAACTTTCTATATGTGTTGAATTTATTGAGGACGTTATTCTGAAATTGAACGCGGCCACTTGGCTAGTTTTAAAGTCTTGTATGTAGTCACCAAATCCCTTTCTATAGAATTTTACAAAAGAAAGAAACGTCAAAATGTATTTATCTAAAAACTGTTCTAGATTTTATTTCGTTGTGCGTAGAGTTTATGCAATCTTCCTGCAGATTTAAAACATTGTGCAGTCTCTGATCATGTTGATAAATTGTGTTTTTAGGAACGGAATATTGTCGTCGAAAGGATGGAAGGATGAAGAATCTGATCAAGGGAGCACATAGGAATCACAGTATTTATAAAGAACATCGCAAAGATAAGAACTTTAAAATTATTTAGTAACAGTATCAAAAATGGTGGCTACTATAGTGTCTTATTCTACTCTTCGTCACTTGTCTGATGTTATTGATTTTGTGCGTGGAATTGGAAATAATCCCTTGCATTGGAAAGTAATTAGTTTTCATCTAGTCACCATTTTTGGCCTAATTTGCAATGGTTCACACTGTTCTACAGACTGAGCGATCGTATGCTTTGTTTATTTTTTCTTTCTCTACTCCTAGTTCAAAATGGAGTGAAAATCTAATTTGATGTAATTAAAAACTTTTTGGTATCGCCTTCGCAAAATGATCAGCCAACGGACGCTGATACAAGCTTGACGAGAGAGAATCAAACTATAATTGTCTATTTCGCAGGAGCGATCGCTCATTTTTGTCTGCATAACAGCGGGTATCACAGCTATTTCTCAGTTGATGTTGCGAAGTGTGATATTTTTTAATGTGGCACTGTTACAATATACCTCAGAAAAAGATCAAATGAAATTGAAAAATTCAAATCTTGATTTACCTTAAATCAGCCTTAAATTTTCACGATCGACCTTCAACCACACTTTCATTTCATCCTCTCGATGTTGAATATTTTACAATACAAGACTGACATGTAAAGCTGGTTTACTGACTTACAACAGACTTCTATTATTCTTTTACCTTACAAACGAGTTCTTCACTAAATTAACAGAACCAATAGAAAGGCCTTGCTTAACTGATCAATCGAAGCTGACTAATGACAACTTGAACAACGCTACTTGAGCTTTTAAGCTAATAACATCGAGGAAAAACTGACCAATCACTTTCACGAACCAGTCGAGGAACTTGATTCTTGACAATGACTTCCGACAACATTCCTTAGCGATTTTTGGTAGCACGACTATTTCGATGATTACACTTAACGGTTGACTGTTTTCTCTGTTAAAGGAAAAATGTTACTAGCTTCCTCAATCTTCCCTTTTGCACAAAAGGGAATAAGAAACTTGAGGAAATATTGACGTTTCGTTCCCCACACGAATTGGATTAACGAATAAAAAGGCATTACTCAGTCAAGTTAAAATAATTACCAAAACGGTGCCGCCTTAAAATGATTTATTACTTTGTGTCATCAACTGAGGTAGGCTCAGTTGACAAGAGGACATTGATTAGTTTCAACTTTAGGACCAGAGTTCTAGATCATTCAAGTTATTTTATATTGTTTTGGTCTTGATAGATTTGTTTGCTTATCATTATTTTTTTGTTTTGCAGAATATATATCAATGTCCTCTTGTCTTAATATACTACACCTTTAAAACTTTAATGCCTGGTTACGAGTGCTCCAGGAAAGAAAATTATGATTTCATAAACCAGTTTAAATGGCATCCTTTTACTCAGTCGCGAAGAAAGATATAGAACCTTTTCATGTTTGGAGGTGATTTTTTTTCCCGAATCGTGAAAAATTTCCAACAAATCAGACAAACAGCATCGAAGACGCGCAGTTATTTCAGTCAATAACAGTCGTCAAACATTAATCATCATTAGGTCGTTACGATGAAAATTTCTAACGAACCATGGAAAATGCGTTCAAAATTAATAATTAGTTAAAAACATGCAATATCAGGTGAACAATATCATCGTCAGTTGGTTGCTCCTTGCTTTAAATTATTTCTAAAAATAAGCGTTTCTTGGAAATGCACGACCTCCTCTGCGAGAAATGAGTAGTTTTTGTACGTAGACAGAAACACATATACAATAGACTCGATATCGAGTGATAGTCCAACTCTCTCTCTTAAAATTCATTTTAGCAGTTCTTTTTTCCATTAGATTTTCACATCTGATTTTCTTATGTTATCGACGACGTATACGAAATTTGAATACGGACATCCATACTTATCCGATTATAGTGCTTCGATATTTGTAAAGAAAACTCGTTAATTTTACAAAAATATGCAAAGCTAAATTAAATGCAAATAGACTAAATCAAATCTCGAGAAGTCGAATTCGTAATACTTTAGTAAGTGTAGTTTTACTGGTTTATGGAATGCATGTTCCTATCTTCGAAACTTGTAAGATATGTTTGACTTTACTATGCAAATATTTCGTTTCCTACAACCAGGCATTTGGTTTTAAAGTGTATAGTTATCTGTTTATTTAATAGTTATGTGGAGGAAGATCTTTTGTGCTGTCATTTCGGAATTTGGTGTAACACAGGAATACAAAGAAGAGAATTTTCATAAATTTGTGCTTTTGATTTGAAATTAATTCTTGAATTCATATTGAGATATCGTTCCTATGAGAAGAAAAACAAATTTTTTATTCATTCAATTCAGAAGGCAGACTTTGATTGATTGATCTATGAGCCTTTCCGACAAAAACAAAATGAAACGCAATTGCTTTGATAATTCACATAAATTATCTCCTTTTTTTTTCTTTTGACTGAAATTAATAAAAAAACTTGGAGCCTAATTGTGAAATGTCGCAGCTCTTGTAGCTGAAATCAAATTAAAACTGTGTGCTCCGTTAATAGACGCTATTTTGTTTTTCAATTAGCTTCGGGAATTACGTTTAAACACTTAGATCTTGTTGCGAAATTTCTCGGGTCCAAGAGCTCAAATGTAGTTCAAAGAGTACATTCCTACTACAAATTTTTAAAATTCAGATGAGTTTCAAAAATATAATTTTTTCATCTAATTCAGCGAAAAACAGTTCTTGTGCTCAAGAATAAAATAAAAATTTTGTCGTTACAATTCATAGCTCTATTTTGCATTGCAAATTGCGTCAACTTTTGCTTCTTCTCGGGGATTTTTAATGTATATCCTGTGTTACATTCGAATACCGGCTGCTTGTTAAAGATCTTCTACTGAAAAAGCATCATGGCAAGTTACTGGGTTAAAAAGCAATTAGATACAAAAACAAACATGAACACAGTTCAATTTCGAAATTAAATTCTGACTGGCAAAGCCATACATTGCCATGGTGCTTTTCCGTTTAAACCTCGTAAACATCATCTTGTGCTAGAGACAAAATATTTTCAGAGGAATAGGCACAGTCAATGCAAAATTTAAACGAAAAATCAAATCTTAGTTGCGTTTATTTATCGCATGAGATGATGTTTAAATAATTTTTGGCGGGAAATTTAAAGAGAAGCTTTGTTAAAATTTTTTCAGAAAAGTTGTTAGGGGAAACTCTGTGCAAATTCTACCAAATTTTCCCGCCAAAAGTCTTAGTATATATTTTTTTAAAAAATTTTTCTTGATACCTTTTTGAGAATTTAATGGAAATTTACTTAAGTAATAAAAGAATTGAAAAACTTGTACTGCTAGTTAAGCAAGAAAATAAATATCACACAAGAAATATTCTTGAGTTTATTGACTTCCATTCAATAAGATAGAAATATAACATTAATAAGAGATGAAGTCTGAAACATACTTGCAAAAAAAAAAAAAAAAAACGGCGCATGCGTATTTTGGGCGCCTGTATTTTTTCTAAGTTTTTTGGCGGGAAAATGAAGCCATTTTAACCAGATGTTACTTACAGAATAGATTGAAAAAAATTGGCGCATGCGTATTATAAGCGCCCGTATAAGTTTTTTGGCGGGAAAATTGAAACCTTTTAAACAGCTCTTAGTATAACAAACAAAATTACGAAAAAAAAATTGCGTGCGTTGGAGTTCAAGTTTTCGACTTTGTCAAATAAATCCTCATTCTTTCGCCCTGTCTTGAACCTTTGAATAAATCTTGTCTTTCACAAAGATTGTTTTTCTTGTTCGATTCCTGCTTGAGACATCAGAGATTTTCAACTTTCGTTCTGCAAGGAAATGAAAATAAGCGATGAATCAACAACTGAAAGACATTTTGCACCTTTTTCGTAAGCGATGGCTGACTAAGCCAAAGAAGAAAATAAACCTGGATTTTATGGGAAATTCAACGCTATTACTGATAAATATTCTCTTTAATTCGAGGCGTAATGAGCATAAGTTTGTAAATATTTATTTATCTATATTCTAGACCATTCTAGGTGGCGAAAGTCTGTGCTCTTGTGCAACACGGAGCGGAAAAAGGAAAATATTTTGTAATATTCTGTTCGCGCAGAAAAATGTTTATAAGACCTGGGCGCAACTATAGAACCAAGTGAGCGAAATTTGGAAATATTTGAATGACAATAGAAACAACTCCCAGAGCGACGTTTTCAAAGAGTGAAAAGCTGCAAACTATTCTTGTGACAACATTTTTTTTTTCCAGTAATTAACCTTTGAATTTTTGAAATCTGTTCGTTTTAACATTTAAGCTGCGAAATTTTGGAATAGTCCTTAACAGAAAATCAAATGTCTACTCCTCTAAAAAAAATCGTTTCCGGTCAATATATTTTAATTAATTAATGTTTTCTTCTTATTTAAAACTAGCCGGAGATTTCATTTGTTTCCACAGAGTTGGATTGAGGTGACAGGACTCAGTTGACAGTTTCTGTGCTTTGGCGGATAATTACTTCCAACAAAACGAATCACAACGATTTCCTTTCAACTTGCTTATCAAAACAGATTTTCCTGAACTATAACTTTTTCATGATTCTTTCAAAGTAAAGGATCCTAAAACTTGCTATAGTGCTGACAAATGGACAAACAGTGCAAAATAGAAAAAAAAAAACACAGGAGTAACTTATCTAAAATTTACAATGAATTTCCAAACCGATTTGTGTGCAAGTAGAATCGTCGATTGTTTTGGAACAAACGCTCTCTCTGGTTTCAGCCACAATACTTGACAAGACTATTAGTTATTTGCAGAACATTAATTTAAAACTTATCTGAAATTAAAAAAAATGAACTCTAAGGTTATGCATTTTGGGAGCAAAATATTTGAAGTAAACCTCAAGAGATTGAACACTTACTTAATGGGCTCCAAGGTTCAATATTTAAATGTTTGAAAAAAAACGTTTTTCAGAAAAAAATTCAGATGTCTAAATTTTTTTAATTTCAATTTTTATTTTGAGCATAATGAAGTTGGAATCAGCCTCAAGCGCGAAGATCTCTAACCACTAGGCTCCAAATGTTATTGAAGTGATTAAAAGATTTCTGATTTTGAAAAGAATATAAGACAATTGAATTTCTCGTATATAAACAAAAGAAGGATATAAAAAACTGAAGTTGTGAACTATTTCACAATTACTCTCCAAGTTTGTTAATTTAGATAAAAAAAAGTTGTCATCTTGAATATGAGTTTTTAACTTATCAAAGACCTAAATATTAAGTTAAAAAAAACGTTTTTTTCCTCAGAAGCTGACGACTAGGCCCATAGATCTTTTGATAACTAAAATAGCTAAATTATTTTGCATATCTGCATATGTTTTAGAAAATTCAAAGAAAATTTATTGCTCGGATAGCTAGATGGTCCTAACATGGACGATAATGCTAAGATATGTGTTCATTTGTCTTTAACACAAGTGATTTTCAATAAAAAGAAATGCAATGGAAGTATTTAATCATCAAACCAACAGTGTTGTAAACTATTAAAAGTCACCTCATTTACAAAGAGATCAAAAAATCAAATCTACAGGAAATCAAAACAATTTCTTCGTTTGAAGTTTTCGTCCAATTTCGAGTCTGGCTTCTATTGTAACGCAGCGCACATTAAATCCAGCTTAAAACTTTCAGTGCAGACCACACATACTTTACCCTTTCACTCCCAGAACTTCATAGTAATTCTCCTTACTGTCTGCCATACAATTGTCATGATGTTAGTTTGGAGAATTTGGTATTGGATCAAATAAAAACGTTTTTTTAGTTTTTTTGGCATTTTTCTTTATTCTCATCACTTGGCTGCTTGATATTGCACTGGTATTGTCAGGAGAAATTCTGTCTTGATCACTCATAGGAGTTAAAGGGTTAATTACTTGTAAAGAATTGAGCAACTAACCTTGTCAGAAGTTATCTTGTTTTTCTTTCCCTTCTTCTTTTCCTTTAGAATCATTCTATTCTTTTTGCTGAAAGAAAAAGTTAAAATACCTTGTGAATGCATGCACAGCTATCCTGGAGTAAAAAACTTGATAGGTAACCAATAGGATTATTGTCTAGATGGGGAACTGAATAAGGATCATTGTATTGTGTATAACAATTTTGATGTTTTTGATTGAAAAGCAGTAGTAAAATGAACTGTTATTTCGGTAAATATTACACGCCTTAAAACAGTTTGTCTATCGGTAGATCCCTCTTGCTGGTAGCTAACCTTTGAATCACATCAGTATTTGTAAAATAAAACAATTGCTATGGAAATTTTCGAGACAAAACGATGTTTATAACATAACCAACACTGATCAGTTTTTACTATCAACGGAAACAAAATGGTAGCATTAATCGATCAAACTAACAGATCTGTGAACTAGAGAAGACAACGATCTGTCCCGGAGTGATTGAAGAAAAAAAAACAAAGAAAAAAAAAAGATGCATTTCTTTATTTTTATTTTTCATACATTTTTGACTTTTTGACTAGTTTTAAATTGCAGACGTTATTCGAATCCAGGTTTTTTAAAATTGTTACAAGTAGATCACCCTTGAAGCGCTAAAAGCTACCTCCGTGTCGTAAATAAACGTAGGAACAAAAACTAAATAACCAACCTGTTTTATTTTATTCTCATTGATATCTTGATGATGATTATGTCTTCCTTCGATCCTTAAGGCTGTTCGAATGAAAAAAAAAACTTTGAATACGTACATACCTATCAGTTATCTTTAAATGATTTTATTTTTATTCTCATTGATATCTAATGATTTACTTAAAAAAACGAAGGGGGCAGGAAATGTTGATTTATGGAATTAAAAGTATTTTCCATGGGAAGATATGGAGATTGAAGAAATAGGTTTACAAAGGAACCACTTCTTTGGGACATCTCTTTTCAGGAGACACAAGCTTTTAAACATTTTATCTCTATATCCGTAAAATCTACATACACCGAACTATAAATGCATGGGATAAAAACATAACAATCAAACGAAAGGAAAACTGAAGAAATGCGGGATAAAAACGAAACAACAAAAGGAGAAGAACAGCCGAAGTTGCGCGAGAAAAGTACGAAACGATCACATGACAGAAGAGCCAAAGTTGCTCGAGATGAAAAGGTAACAGTTAAATAAAAGAACAGCTGTAGTTAGGCAAGAGACGAACGGAGGAATTAAAATGAAAAGAACGTTAAAGTTGCGCGATATACAAACGTAATGGTCAAAGTGAGAGTACAGTTAAATTGTTACAAACGTAACATAATCAATAATCAAATGAACGCACAGCTAAAGTTGCGCGAGATACAAACGTAACAATTAAATCATAGGACAGCTAAAGCTGTGCGAGATACAAACTTAATAATCAAATTGAAGCACAGCTAAAGCTGCACGAGACACAAACGTAACAATCAAATGCAAGGACATCTAAAGCTTCCCGAGATACAAAAGTAACAATCTAATGAAAGCACACCTAAAGTTGCGCATGATACAAACGTTACAATAAAAAAAGGAGCAATGAAATTTATAAAAGTAGCAATGAAAGGACAGCTTAGGTTGCGCGAGATACAAACGTAACAATTAAATCATAGGACAGCTTAAGTTGCGCGGGATACAAACGTAACAATCAAATGAAAGAACAGGTAAAGTTGCGCGAGATATAAACGTAACAATGAAATGAAAGAACAGGTAAAGTTGCGCGAGATATAAACGTAACAATGAAATGAAAGGACAGCTAAATTTACGCGAGATACAAACGTAACAATTAAATCATAGGACAGCTTAAGTTGCGCGGGATACAAACGTAACAATCAAATGAAAGAACAGCTAAATTTACGCTATATACAAACGTGACAATTAAATCATAGGACAGCTTAAGTTGCGCGGGATACAAACGTAACAATCAAATGAAAGAACAGGTAAAGTTGCGCGAGATATAAACGTAACAATTAAATGAAAGGACAGCTAAATTTACGCGAGATACAAACGTAACAATTAAATCATAGGACAGCTTAAGTTGCGCGGGATACAAACGTAACAATTAAATGAAAGAACAGGTAAAGTTGCGCGAGATGCAAACGTAACAATAAAATGAAAAGACAGCTAAAGTTACGCGAGATACAAACGTAACAATTAAATCATAGGACAGCTTAAGTTGCGCGGGATACAAACGTAACAATCAAATGAAAGAACAGGTAAAGTTGCGCGAGATACAAACGTAACAATCAAATGAAAGGACAGCTAAAGTTGTGTGAGATACAAACGTAACAATAAAATGAAAGGACAGCTAAAGTTGTATTAGATACAAACGTAACAATCAAATGAAAGAACTGCCATGGTTGCGCAAGATACAAACTTAACAATCAAACGAGAGAACAGCGAAAGCTGCGCGAGATACAAACGTAACGATCAGATAAAAGGACAGGTAAATTTGCGCGAGATACAAACTCAATAATCAAATGAAAGAGCAGCTAAAGCTGCGCGAAATACAAACTTTATAATCAAATGAAAGGACAGCTATGGTTGGGCGAGATACAAATGAGAAAACCAAAATGAGAGCAACAAAAAATCTGCGCGAGATACAAACAAAACAATCAAAACGCAAGAACAGTTAATTTGCGCGAGATACAAACGAAACAATTAAATGAGATAACACTAAGCCCTGCGCGAGTGACGAACTTAACAATAAAAGGGACACTTAAATTGCGTAAGATACAAACAAAACAGTCAAAATGAAATGACAGCTATAGTTGAACGCGATAGAAACGTAACAAACAATTGAAAGAACAGTTAAATTTGCGCGAGATACGAAAAAAAAAAGTGGGAACAGTTAAATTTGCATGAGATACGAACGTTACAATAAAAAAAGGAACAGTTAAATTTGCGCGAGATACAAACGAAAAATGAAATGAAAGAACAGCTAAATTTGCGCCAGATATAAACATAAGGTCTAATAAAAGAGCAGCTAAATTTGCGCCAGATGTAAAGGTAAAAATGAAATGGAAGAACACCTTTGCGCAAAATAAAAACAAAACAATCAAAATTGGAGAACAGTTAAATTTGCGCAGAATGCAAACGTAACAATTAAATTACAGAAAAATTAAATTTGCGCAAGTTAGAAACAAGACAATTTTAAGAAAGAAAAATTAATTTGCGCGAGGTGCAAACGTAGCAATCAAAATTAAAGATATAGTTGCGCGAGAGATGAACGTAACAAACAATCTAAAGAACGGTTAAATTTGCACAAAATACAATGAAATGATCAGGACGAGAGAACAGTTGAATTTGCGCGAGATACAAACGTTACAATAAAAAAATAAGCAGTAAAATTTGCGCGAGATACAAAAAAAGAAATCAAATGAAAGAACTACCCTGCGCGAGTGACGGATGTATCAATAAAAAAGGACAGTTCAATATACGCGAGAAATTTTGAATCTCCTAAGGTCAGCTAGCTGGCATGTCCACCCATATTTGTCAGCAGTGAATATACAAGCATGCTATTTAAACCTTAGAGGATGAGAGGAGAGTGGAGAGACGAGAGAGAAGAGCAGACTGGAAGAATATAGACAGTGTAAAGAAGAACAGTGTCAGAATTCTGTAGTAGAAGAGAGGGAGTATTACGGTTACGCAGAATGAAATAAGCTTGGATGTTAATAGAATTGTGTACTGGAGAACTGAGTAATTAAAGAAAAAGTGACAAGACAGTTCGAGAGTCCTGGTGCCTTTCGCCGAGAGTGGTGTGCTCGATAGCTGATTACCCCCGACATTTAATAGTCGTAACATATTTGGTGGAGGACTGGGGCAGCCTAGGTGAAAACCAACCTAAGAAAAGAGCAGCTAAATTTGCGCGAGATATAAAGGTAACAACGAGATGAAAGCACAGCTAATTTGCGCAAAATAAAAACAAAAAATTTAAATGAAAGAATAGTTTAATCTGCGCAAGTGACGAACGTGACGATAAAAAAGGACATTTAAGTTGCGCAAGATACAAACAAAACAGTCAAATGAAAGAACAGTTAAATTTGCGCAGGATGCAAACAAAACAATCAAAATGAAAGAAAAGTTAAATTTGCACGAGATATAAGCGAAAAAAACAAAATTATGATTATTACATTCGAAATGTGCAAATTTAACTTTTTTTAAAGAAAAGGACATTCAAGTTGCACAAGATACAAACAAAACAATCAAAGTTGCGCGAGATTCGAATGTAATAATTCATGAAATGAAATAACAGCTAATTTGTGCATAATACAAACGCAACAATTAAGTGAAACAACAGTTAAATTTGCGCGAGTGACGAACGTAACAATAAAGAAAAGGACATTCAAGTTGCGCAAGATACAAACAAAACAATCAAATTTAGAGAACAGATAAATTTGCGCGAGTGACGAACGTAACAATAAAAAAAGGACATTTAAGTTGCGTAAGATACAAAAGAAACAATCAAATGAAAGAACAGTTAAATTTGCGCAGGATGCAAAAAAAAAAAATCAAAATGAAAGAAAAGTTTAATAGGCGAGATATAAACGTAATAAACAAAATAAAAGGCCGTTAAAGTAACAATGAAATGAAAAGACAGCTCAAGTTGTGCGAAATACAAAACGAAACAATCCAATGAAAGAACATTTGAATTTGCGCGAGATATAAACGATCCCTACGCCAAAACGTTTCAATTATCTCCCTCTCCTTTTTTTGGCGGGGGTAGAGCAAGGAATGTTTTGAGACCGTTTTAACGGAAAAATTCAAAGTTAAAACAATAAAAGCATGAATGACATTATACAATATATTGACGAGGAAAGAACCGACAACAGAAAAATAAATGCACAAGCCACCTACACCCAAGCAACTTATTTCTCGCTGTCGCCCTAAAAGTCATAACGCTCCATAAGAACTAATATGGCGTCTACCATGTACGATCCGTCTTGCAATGCTTTACGGTGTATTTTGTCATATGTTATTCGTTTTTAGGTTTCATTCTATAATATGATTTTCAGCTAGATACACAAACCCTGTATTTCTATCGAAAGTACGCAATTTTCTAAAGTTATTTACCTTGAAAAATTCGTTGGTGACAAACTGACATCCATTTACCTTCAGCCGACGCCGATCTATAACCAATCGATTGAGCAACTTCCAAGAGGCAGTTATTGTCGAGTTGTAGGGCAGCCTCGACAAAACGGACGATATCCTTGGTAAACGGCTAGAATTTAAGGTGTTTCTTAGCCTTGGAGTAGCTGAAAAAGACGCTGAAATTTCTTGCCGCTCGTAAGCTCTTTCCACGTGCAAGACTGATAACAAACATGAATATTAATTCAAGATATTTGTAATTCAAATGAGTATTTTGACTGGCCGAAAATCATCCAAAGGCTGTTCAGTCACTTTTGTTCAACAGCAATTGATAACTAACTATTAACTGTCTTTTGACGCGGCTATATGTTAGGTAGAAAGGTTTGAATCCACATAAAACTTATTCGATCTATGATGTCATGGAAAAACTATATTGTGCATTGCTGGGATCAGCTATATTTAGAAGTGTCCTTGTAGGAAATGTTAAAATTTCTCACCAGTGAAAGTTAGTTAAGCTAAGTTCGGTTGCGAGTATGCCTCACAAACTAGCGCTTTATGTCTTTCTGTGCGGTGTTTTCACCCCCAGAAGTGCGCAATTATTTAAGTCAAATTTTGCAAAAGGTTGAGTGATCACTGTGATCATCTGTTTGCTGACAAAGTTGTGTCGACGGCTCACTAAGAATGCAGTAATTCATCTGCTCAAGTGCGAAATGTAGCCTTTCACATCTTTTTTTTTGCTAGCTATGCTCTCAGGATAGCTTACGTGGTTAGCGCTCGATGAAAATAAGGGCGGCGGAGCTGCGAAAACGAGCTGGGAACTCTTCCTAAACCCCTAGTGTGTTTTACACATTACATGCTGGAATTTATTTTGACTTATAAGTACTTCTTATAATGTACCTTTAATTATGGTTAATTTATAGTCTACCGTTTTAGACATGAGCCTCTGGCTCGGGCAATTGGGCAACCATGCCTCACGTTAGACAATAAACTTTGATTGATTGATTGATTGATTGTTTCCCGCTCGTTTCTGTAGCTCCACACTCAATGCTCCAAAGCGCACACATGACTATTAGCTTCACCGGCTAAGCCCTGAAATTCCTCTACAAAGAATCATTTATGAAACATTTTCTAATGCCAAATTCACAAATGATGACTCCCTTTTTTTCTTGTTTAATGTCACATTCATTACTCTTTACATAATAATATTTACAGAGGTCCTTCGTTAGCAATTATGTCTTTTCGCAAGTATCAACATATTGCCTGTTGCGAGAATATTTACATGGGACTCTTGGAAGCGACCATCTCTCGTAGCGACTGCAATAAACTTCTTGCTGGCTAATAACCTTCACTTTTCTTAATCTGGCGTAAGCAGCGATCTCAAATCTGTCGACCTTACGGCAAGTGTACTATTATCACCTATTATCTCTTTTGCTTATTTTCAAAATTTCGATGCGAGCCATTTTTCCTTTTTGATTTGAGGTCACTGTCTCCTCTGGGAGGAAAAGTCGAAAAGTAACGACCATCTTTCAAAATTCGTTTTCTGATTGCATGAAATGAAAATGTTAACATCTAAAAAAAACTTCTCGTATTCTTCCTCTTGGCGCAGAGAGCGGACGCCTTATTTTAATTATCGATAAAAACGGTAGCACACGGGACGGCGCAGTGTAATGCACGTTGTTTGGCAGTTCATCTCTCGTCCTTTTCTGTTTCCGACGACGTTAAACGTGTTACAGAGGTTCCCTCGTTTGTGGTTTTCCATTTTACAGAGAGACATCTATAGTTGTTCTGTAAGAGAATAATAAAAAGAGAAATCAATTCAGGTTTTGCAGGACGCAATGGCTTCGCTCACGAGTTCTTTGTAATTTCCTGGTAGTGCACCGGAGAGCAGAATGTAAAGATTTGAAATTCGATTCCTCATAGTTCTTCATGAGGACTTAGATCAATTTCTTTGACCCATCCTAATGTCACGACGATAAAAATATTTCCAAATCAAGGCCTGTTAGAAAAAAATAAAAATAAAAAATCACTTACCGTTAAGGTTTCTTGAAGACTTCAGCAGTCTTTGTCCCGGTTGGCATTTTTTGCATGTAACTGGACAGTTTGCTTTTATAAATTCCACTGACTGTCTTAGGACCTTGTATTTCAACGCATCAGGATCACAGAAGTCGTACCAGAGCGTGCAAACATTAGGATATTGGTCTCTACATTCTGTAGTTCACAAAGAGGATATAATTTCAATTATAACTGACGCTACACAGAGTTCTGAGGTTAACAAGCAAGCAATCTATACTAAGCTAACAAGATTTTCCACAAATCAGGAGAGCTGAGTACTTGTTGGAATATTCGTAAAGAGAACAACAATTGGAGAGTGATGAGAACCGTCTTAATTAATACATGCGAAAAGAGCATATTTTGACATTATCCTCTATACCCTATCATTAGTGTCCATTTTAGCCACACTGCATAATGTTCCTACATTTATTTATAGGAGAATTTGTTTGACAATCAGGAACTTCTTAAATTGGTGATCATTTCCATCACTCTCCTGACCTTAACATTTGACTCAAAAGTGATTCTGTAAGGAGAAATTAGAAGCCAGTCACTCTTAGGTTTTAATGGTGAAGCAAAGTAAAGCGAAAGAAACCAACAATCACTGCTATGGTACCTCAGTTTTAAGTCTTGACTGACTTTGACAGGAAATGGTGACAAAACGTTTGTGGCTTTGTGTGGTTCATGATTATTACTTACCCATGCACCCCTCTCCATTAGGTCCCTCTGCTTCTGAATAATCCCAACAACAACCGTGTGGAGAGGAAAAACAATCCTGTATGGGCTGGGCTAGGGCGTGCAATCCTGAGGGAAGTTAAAAAAAAACCGCATTTAAGTTAAAATATATATACCATGCAATGTATCTCTATACTTCTTGTGATAATTCTCCGTTCGAAGTTTGGCGTCAATTTTTTTTGCAACGGGTAAAAATATCTTTATAAACTTGAAAGAAACTACAAAACGCAATTTCAATAAAACGGAAAACAGGCACTGAAAAATCAGGAAGGTATATGGGTGGCTAATAACGGAGACGATGAGAACGGTGTTTAAATAACGGCGTTGATAAATGAACAAATTGTAGAGAAGCTACTTAAAATGTATCACACAGCAGGCATACCATGAGCTAACTGCGCTATAGTTGTGAGCCTCTCTTACTTACGCCAAGACCAAAATTTTTCGGCAGTCTTTCATAAGATTTCATAAAGCTAATCGATTCACAGTCGTGAGTTACTCCTTATTGTTCTCATGATGTACCCCTTGTAAAGAAAGGGAGACGCCTTCCTTTATAAAAAGTCTTAAATAACTTGAGAATTTTAGGACCAACTCCACTCAGGCAGAGCATAAATCTTAGGGCTTTACGATCGTTCGAATTATCAAAAGGAATTGATGGGGTTTCCTTCGTCTACTGAGTTTAACTCTCCATTTCACTTACTGCAAACACCACAGCTCTTTGGACAAAATGCTTTTCCCCGCTCATCGCACGCTCTCTTTGTAGAAAGTATAGACATTCGTCTTTGGCAGTACTTTGGATAACGGTCTGTGCACTCTGTTGTAAAAATAAAATGATGGAATTACTTTTTGTGCCTGAACCTTGATTAACCTGATAACCTCGGTGCAAAGTATTTAGGGCTTTCTTCAACATGTCACTCGAACTTGAGGTGACTGTGTCAGGCTTGAGACAAAACAAAGTTTCTTAACAGGCTTGTAACGCTCCAAAGCGACGTTCCTGAGTGACTACGGCTGTGGCTTTTATTTTTTTTTTACTTTACACGAAAATTTATCCTGGACGTGGAGTTAAAGTTAATACTAATACTCTGTTATCTGAACTTTTCTCAAGCTAAAAAAGACAAAGCAAAACAAAAAACAACAAAACTTAACAAGCGAAACAAAACCGTGACAATCAATTCAAGAAGAAGAAATGATCTGTTCTTTGAATCTTTGAACCAAGATAAATTGTGAAGTACAGTTTTTCTCATTTTCCGTCTCCGAAAACACCTTGTGGGAGCATGGCTGGCCTGAAAGCGAGCACGCGTGGAACGTCTTCTAATTGAGAGTTTTACTCACCAGGACAACCTTCACCATAGAATCCTTTGGCCTCTGTCTTCTTGTCCCAGCAACATCCGTACTTACTTGTTTCTAAGGCACACTTCGGTTTCACCACTGAAACAAAGAGTGAATTACCATTTTAAACATGCAATATTTTTGTGCCATTAGTTCTCCCGTTGGATTTGTACAATCTAAGTTTTCGTGACACAGGAAAGGTTGGTCTGGCGAGCGTAGGACTAACTCCAGGCTATTCCGCTCGATATGAGACAAAACGTTGTCATCAACTGAAATGTTGAACATGAGACGTATTTGATGGTCGGAAACACACGGTGAGGCTTGGACATCGCTGTGATGGCAGCCAAGGCTTTTATCAAAGGCGCATATCTTATCACGTCAACTTGATCAATGATTAATCTGTATCGTCGATGAGTATGACACTCATTACTTACCACACGAATTGCAAGTGAGAGCGCAGATCGACTTCACAGACTTCCATTTGCAACCCTCTATGCCTTTAAGGCGATAATTTCGTAGTAAGTTTTTGCACGCTCTCGTCCTTAAGCGGTCTCTGCAAGCTAGAAACACAGAACAAAGAACTTACGCTCGCGTAGACAAATATAGCTGTCCTAATAGATATGTCAACACCCTCGTATTCTGCGTCACTGTTGAAGTTCCCGTCGACACGTAATTTCAACGCGTTAAAACCAATTAAGAAATGATACACGATACAATCCGTCCCCTAGTCTCCGAAATAATGTAAGTTCTTTATAATTTTAGGCGGATAAAAGTCTAAACGACTAAAATGAATCACGTAAATCAAAACAATTCTCACCATCAGATGCCGTGCCGTGTATGAGGAAAGAAAATGATAATATCATCAATATCGTTATTTGCATGTTGATAAGTTGATCTGAAGAACGTAAGTCTTATCGGTCTTCGCCCGTTCTCTCTGTCTTATGAAGTCTTGATTTTGAGTTGTACAAGCTCGCTTATCTTGCTGTATTTATTGGCTCGAATAAACAGGCGTGGGCGAAATGTGAAACCTCCGACGGACAGGAATCAAATGCTTGTTTACTTGTGGTCGCTAAATGTTGTAAGATTGGCTATTTCGAGTGGTCGACACCCTTAGTACTTCCCTTCCGTAGTAAAATCCTCTTTTAGGGTTAATATTAGTTTGCGTAGACTCAAACCGATTGCGTAAGCACTGAGCGTTCAACCATTTTTCTTTCGCAAGCCATTTCTAAAGAAGAGGTCTTTTTTTTCTTTTTATAAAATAATACATGTGTCACTAAAAATTGAAAAGCATTTACTCGGGATTCGAATAGGACCGAATGGGTACGTTATTCCAACTAAACTATTCGACTCTGCTATCGACCTTAAAAGAAGCTAAAATCATTGTGGCATGCGAAAAAAAAACGTTACAATCTCACAGGGGTGTTCAAGTATCTGTAAAAGATACTGGATTCGTGCATATCTCAAGCTTCGCCAAATTTTCTCCACTATTATTAGCAGCACTCGATCAGCTATGATTGAAGCCAAAAATTTAGATAATGTTGATTAAAAAAAAAGACTTTTATAAACAATTCGAAAATGGCAAGAGTTCAAAGAGTTCCTGTTTGGGTTAGCCGTATGGGTCATCAAAAGTTCTCTTTTTTTTCGGTTATATTTTGTCTTCCCTTCTATTGTGGTTTCCTTCTTTCAAGTTAGCGTGTTCCTGTCCTTCTGGGCGGGAAATATCAGCCTTTGTAACTGATAATACGCGTGTGCAACGGACATTTCATACCGCTATTTGTGTTTTAATCGCCTGCCTTTAACATAATTCTATGAATAGTTTACTGTCGTGCGCTAAAATAATTTTTAATGACCCTTAATAGAAACTCGCCATCAGACCGCAACCTAAGACTTGCCCGGCCCTTGTACTAAGCTATTCTGTAAACATGGTGGTCACGTCAACAACAGACCATCAGCATGCGACGCTGAACACCAATGAACATAACTTTTTCTCTCCAAAACTATTTACATGTCCTATGCTCTTATGTCAGTTTACATGGTGATTTCTCAAAGAAACCTTGGGATGAACTCGAGGATAAACACGGAATATAGTAACGTGACAGTTCAAACCGCCTTCTTAATTATGGCACGCTGAATGTGCGTAAATTTTCGTGGGTTATAGTGATACCGGAATAAGCTACTTAACTGCGGCACTTGCGAATCAAGGCACATTGGAGGTAAAACTCTATGATAGAATTTATTTTTAATCATGGACTTTAGCAAGATTGCACAGCCATTCCACAAAAATTACTACAGTCGAACCACTCTCTACGGACACCGTCCTCTTTATCAAGGATACTTTGGACACTTTTCTCTGTATTTTCGGTGTCTGTAACACTTTTTGAAGACTCGTGTGAAGCGAACGTAACTAGGGTGTCGACGATACGTGCCATTCATTTTACGGCCACCCTCAAGCATAACCGTCAAGCGAATCCTAAAAAAGCTCATCATTATTTTAATTCTTCTAAAAACTTGCGTGATGTTGTTATAAAGATTCAAGAGCGTTTGTGTTGGCGGCGGCGGTTGGAATCAAGGACTGCGCAGAGCTTAGTGAATATCCACAGTTGCCCTAAGGCCCTAGATGTTTTAGCAGCGCGAAATGGGAATTCGCTTATCAAAATTCAACACTTTGTTGTAGGAGTTAACCCTGTTGCCTCCACTGTATTGTGACTTAAAAGAATAAGCAGACTGTATCACTGATTTGCAACAAAAGGACCAAAAGAAATGTTTAAGTCTCACTGCTATTTTGATTCAGCGATTGAGAAGAAAATAAATAATCATTTTGGCCTTTGTTCAAAAAGAATCTTACTGGAAGAAAGAAGTAAAACACAGACAGGAAAAAAAGGCACAGCGTTTCTCTTACCACGGCATTTTAAGATCGCTATGATACAAGCCACAACGTCTTTGCTTGAAAAAAGAAAGAAACAATCCCTAGTTTCTACCTAGACAGTAAGACAAAAATATAAACTATTTTTATCATATCATTTCAGTGACAAATTAACTGTTTGGACTTCGTTCAGTCAACGGTATCATAAAATCCACTTAAACCCTACAGCGCATTCCGCCGTGCGTATCAACTGAAATTCCGCAGAAGCAATCAACAGCACCATGCAAAAACTTGCCTAGGGCCCGGACGCACTTGGCAAATTTCTGTTTATTTTGCGAAAAAATCTAACACCCGTTCCCTGGGACAAGTGCGCCCAATGATTTTTAGTTCTACCAAATTTTGTCAAGGTTTACTAAACTTCAGAGACGCCGTCGTCCTTCCTCGGAGCAGGACAAGTGTTTGTCACGCGTGAAAGCTGACAGATTTGTCAATTTACACGCCATAATTTGAAGGAAAATTTCAATCACGAAAATTTGATCTCTACTTTTAGTTGGAGTATTTCAATCCGAAGCGCGGCAATCAAACGGTAAAGATTCGTACCTCTGAATGCTGCATAACGATCTTTACTTAGGATACAACTATTACGGTTCTCAAGTTTACGTTTCAGCTGCAACTCCAGGGCCAAGTACTGTTCAATTTATATCGGCTAAAGTAGTCGACAGCGCATTCTTTTGCAGCCTTTACTTTTATGTGTCCTATCGATGGCGCCTGCTATGTTTGGTAGATCCGTAAATTCTTCGAACGTTGCGATGGAGGCTCTTGTCTCATGTGATTGACACAAGTGGTTAACAAAAATTTTGCCGTGTCTCAGTGTGCCCACGCTTGACAAATTGACATTTGGCAGAGACAAATTTTGTTGAGATTTCTGGTAGGGTCAAACAAATTTTGTCAGTCCAGTGCTTCCTGATACTTAACTGCATGGTTCCCTTGCCACGGACCTACATTTGTCGCCGAGTGACTCTTCCGACGGGCAAAGATGCAACACACTTTCAGATGGGTCAACATTACCGCGGTGTCATTTCCGCTTGACGCGGTTTTCGCCGTCGCGTGAATCCAGTAAAATTCAACAAAAACAATGCGTCTAGACTACAAGTAGCTCTCGTGGCCCACGCGCAGCGGAGCTAATTTTATCGCTGTGTTCTCTCACTTGCCCAACGGACAAACCTGGAATAGAGGGGCTACTTGTAGTTTTATCCATTCGGGAAAGATGCACTAGACTGAGGCGAACGAAATAGACGGAAACGGAACCACATCTGTCAGTGTTTGACAAAACAACATTAAACAAACAATTTTGAACGACAAAACAAAAACTTGATAAAGAAACGCATTGTTTTGAAGCTTGAACCGTGGCTGTTTCTAGTTCGCCAATGGCTGATCAAGAAAAAAAAAACTAGTCTGTACATGTTTCAACATATCAATTCAGCAATCTTTTGTTTAGTCTCCTGTGAACTGAAACTGGAAGGAACCTTCCTCCACCAAACGGAATGTTCCAAACTGTAAGCCGAAACATTTGAAAACAAAGAAATGTTATGAGCCCTCGAAAAAGCTCAGAAACTAGCATTTCTGCTTTCAAATTCAAAGACAACTGAATGAAAGTTTCATTTTGTCCTCGTTGCTGTTAGTTACAACTGTTAACAATCCTAAGGCTTTTCAGAGATTTTGAGTCGAAAAGCAATCACATGTGACACGGAAAAATTCCCTGATTGGCAAAGATACAAGTATTGATCATGTTTAATCCCAACGATTCTATGAAGAAAACAGTAACCAAACACGAGTTTTGATAGCAAAGTAGTTGTTTTCAGTTGTAAAATACTCTCCGTCTCTGATCTAATAAAATAGGGTTGTAGGCTTGTGTAGTGCCAGACTTCTATTGACAATAGTAGCTTTTTAGAAGTTCTAAATGTCTAGAACTGTTTGATTCAACTACGTTCGTGGTTTTGTAACCTGGATAATTGAGCTGAGGCGGATCTGTGCTGGGGAATGTTCGAATTCTGCGGCAACTAGCATCATAACAAACTGTGGGGTTGATTCAGTGGTTAAAAAAAAAAAAGAAAAATTGAAGGGATAACGTTCACAATGCACAAACATGTTAATCGTTTTTGCCTTATCCTCACGACCACAAACGGAATAAATTTTTTCGAAAATTCTCGTTTCTTCCCACTAATGTTTGCAATCTAGAAGTATTTCCTCTATGCAGATCTTAATTAGATAAACTAGGTTTTTGTGGCTTGTTGTTCTCAGAATAGACCGCCTATGCGGAATTATCAACAATTAATTGTCTAAATGAGTCATCGAATTTCCTGCTATTCGCACCTCGAAAACAACTTTCGTTGTTGTTTGTTTTTGTTAATGTTACTGTTGTTATAGCGTTTTTGTTTTCTTCCCTTATTTAACTGATATGTTTTGTTTTCATATTCCTCTACTCTAAGCCAGTGGTTCTTCACGCAAGGTTGCCCCGTCATAAAATATCTATAATCATTCATCCCAGTGTTCAGCAAAAACTGTTTTTGCACCAACACTTACCACTACCTTAATCAAAATAATTTTTCATCTACTTTTCAGCTTCTGCGAGGTTCTTTGAAGGATTACCAACAAAATATCGCTGGCCATGCCTCATAGGAAAGATTCCTTTTTGATAAGAAATCGGAACTCTTTTATCGGCTAATTTTGCTTTGATGCAGTAAATAAGCTAAAAATTTCCCGAAGGCGTGTCCCTGTGTTGCGAAATTGGTGTGGTCGGCATTTTTCAGGAATACCTGGAGTGCCAGTAATTGCTAGTTTTTCCGCGTGAGCTGTTTCATCCAGAACAATCTTCGCCATAATAAATTTAAAATAGCAATTGTTGCAAAACCTGGTCTAGACATGTCAATCCGGTCAGTGCTATTTTAGTCAGCACATGCTCTGGCATATTCTAGGATTGGCGCGGTTTTTATGTCAAGAATCATCACTTTCTCTTTACAGAAGACAAGTGCACAATTGGCAAGCCTTTAATCTATACACAATGGATGCAAAATTACTGAGGCCAAAAGCCTTCTGCGTAAGTCAGTTCACTAGTGGGAAAAGAGACCACAAAGTTTCCTTCTTACAGAGCACTTACATAATAGGGAACCTAGATTTCGACATAAACTCTGTCAATAAGTGTTTTAATAAATGATAAAAAGAATACCATCTGATATTTCAATTGCGTCCTTCCCTTCAAACAGAATTTACTTTTTGGGTTTTGTAAGAATTATATTTTTTAAAATAAACAGGACACAATTCAAAAAGTACTGAATCTTGATGAAAGCGTAATTATGCCGAATCCATGCACTTTGTAGCTCAAAATACGAGTGAGTGGGTAAGAATTTATAATGAAATATTTCATTTCCTGAGCACAGCTGGAAATGTCGTGAAGAGTTGAATGCGTAGGCATTCGAGTTCAGTCAATTCTTTCATAACTTAATTAAAATGTAGATGTATCTAGAACTAAACGGACATCTACATCTTTTAATTTCTTACTTTGGTAGATGTTTGATGATCTTTTTTTCAATCTCTTTTTCCAGCATTGTTATTATTAATAAATTGATGATTTCTATTGAATTATTACTGTGGCACTGTGGAAGACTTTGTCATCTACACCGTGGAAGTATTTCGACGATCATGACTCTTTTAGAAAAAACAATGTATGGCATAGTAACCGCATGTTTTTCTGTCTGGGAAGACGGTATCCACATGCCAGAGCCATTATTGAACATTACATACGTGGTTTAGGTTAATAACGTTACTTATCAGCCTCAGAAAGGAAAGGTCATCTCTTCGGCTTTCGTGTTATGTGATTTCAGGAACTCGTAAAGCGATTAACGTGAATAATTGTTATTCTGCGAGATACTTCTAAGACGAAATTTTCATTCTAATCATAGATCGCTAAGAAACACCCCAAGCTTGTTTTTCTTCTACCGTATGAATTAGTTGCGCGTGGAATGAGATCGTCTTTTGCTTTAACTGACCTATTTCTAACCAGAACTAATCATATTACAATAACAGTGAAATCGCAGAACTGAACTATGTCAGGTGGGAAACTAATTATTCTATTATTTCTATTGCAAAGTTCGGAAACTGTTTATTAAAGTTTTGAAGTAGTTAAACAATGTGGTCAAACCCATTCGTGCTATGGTAACGGAAGAGTGAAAAATGCGTCGGGTTAAAGAATCATTGCACAGTTAAACCGCTTTCACGGGGGATCAAAAATAATCTTGTTTGAGATTTCCAATAAATTTGGTCTTTTTTACTAATTCTTTGTTCGATAAAATCTTTTGAAAGAAATTATTTTCAACGATTAAGTATTATTTTTTGGTCTGCTTTGGAGATTGAACGAAACCAATGACCGGTTGTTCACCCACATTTCATACCGCATTCACAGCAGGTCATCTGAGAGTAATTTTTCGGCTGAGTAACGCAGCCACCGCACCCTTAAAATTCCGCACTCAAAATAGAATTTGAAGTATTTCCCCGCAGGATGAACTTTTCACCTCTTTGTCTATAAAAAGAGAATCGAAAGCTTTTGAAAGTCAGCATTAAGAGGATCGATCGATTCATTCGAGAAGAGATTTCCAGCGCCTCACTTTACTTTACACGATGAAAACACAGACCACAATAAGCATTTTGCTTGTCATCGTCGCATTTGCCATCTTTGCAACGGCGCAGAGTAAGTATAACCCTTTTTTATCTTTCTTTGTAACTTCTCTATCGATTGTTTATCCACTCTTCCAACAAGTTTCTAAACTAAGCGAAACAATAGTTGATTTTTTTGTTTTTATCATTTCCTGAAAAATTGCTCATTAGTTTTCGTTTTCTGCCAGCGAACCTTTTAGTTCGTACGAGGTCTAATACTTATGTCGGCTTTTCAATCATTATCATATTTATTACAATCATGTTTCACGAGCTGTCTGTGTCCACTCTTATGTAGTTCAAGGGCTAAGTATTCGATGGTGTTAATGACTAATGATTTATTTCTCTCACAGAATGTGAGGACCACATGGAAGCAAAAACTTGCCAGTACTTTATCAAAATATATGGCAAGAAAAACATTGATGTCTGCAAGTGGAAACACATGAGGACCAACTGCGCTTTGACTTGCAAAATTTGTGGTAAGATACTGAAAATTATATACAGAGCTAAGAAAAAGTTCTTGCACACAGAGCTGACTGCATGCGTTTTGATCATAAGCAGAACATCATTGGGTGCTCTTAGTCTGAGAATCTCAGACTTCTTTCCTACTTCAATGAAAGTGGACAGGTCTCGCAAATAGAGGAAATCTCGACAATGAAAAAAGCCTGACATGAATTTGAAAATGATGAGAGGGAACAGGTGAAATTTTATCAAATATTTGCATCGCCCGAATCACCAATTTTTTTGTATTTAGCTCACATTAATCATCAGGAAAATTTCTGTTTCTCTCTGTACAGTACCCAGACCAAAATGTGCAACATCACGAAGCAGATACGGCTGCTGCTGGGACAAAAAGACAGAAGCGAAGTCCTACGCGGGCGAGGGATGTCCCGGTAAGAAGATTAATCTCCTTTTTTGATTTTTTCCAGCTTTTTTGTTGTTTGGTTGTTTGCCTCTCTATCAGTTGGCCTACATTCTGGGTCGAGTACAGAGAGTCGATTTTTTTCTCGTGAAATTCTTGCGTGAACTATATCAAAACAAGAAAACAAACTATTCTCTCGTGGTTAGCTTGTTCTGTGTGTCTTTTATTTTCTTTTTATACAAAGTTCCCACTGGAACTTTGATACGTTCCCACTAGAAAACGAGTTTGTTGTTGACTCGATTTCCGCCCTGCCCTCTTCATCGATCCGTTCGCCCCCGCTCAACCTCCGAGAGGAGCGTGGGCCAATTTCCCGAACAGCGGCTGATAACTGAGCAGAAGTTTAAAGTTTCACAATATTTTACCCGCAAAGTTCATCAGTAAGCCTCAATTTCGTGTACTCAACCCACGTCTCCTGTTAACGTAAAGAGAGGGTCACTTTCAGTGTAGGGTTTAAAAATTCTGTGGTGTTTAAAAGTCCTATGAATATAACCTAATAGTGGGTGTAATAATAGTAGGTGTAACTTGTGTTACGTTAGTTACACTAAGAAAACAGTGGTGTAACAAAATGTTTTTGCTATTAGAATGCAAAGACAGATACCCGAGCTATTGTAGACGGCGCGTGCAGCGATTCTCCAAAGAAAAAGCCTGCAATGTACGAGGAAACGACATGTGTCCTAAAAGTTGTGGAGTGTGTAGTAAGTCAAGAACCTTATTTTATTTTGGGAAAAGGGAATTTGCTCTTATATGTAACTAAATCCAAATAGGATATATCAGAAACATTTGACCATTATAGTTTATATCATTAGCATTATTATTATAGTTATCAATATCGTTATTATCGTCATCGATATTAATATCCCTATCGTTGTCGTCATCGTTATTGTTTCGGTTATTACATTTTCGTTATTATTACCTAATAGTTATCGTTATTATAATCATTACTAACACCACCTCTGTCCACTTCTAACATGTCACACTTCTTAATCACATTTTAGAGATCAAGGCTGCTGCTCAAAGGCTGCCTGAATGTCTGGATTCCCCTTATGGTTGTTGCTGGGATCTTACCGCTGCCCTGGGACCTGGAGGAGAGGGATGTAGAGGTGAGTATGGATTACGCACCTCAGTTAAGCCTTTGTGGGACCCGTACTGGGCATCAGGCCTTAGACACTATTTAACGTCATTTTCACATATTAGGCCCACATCAGCAATAGTACCTCTGCACATGACACATGTAACAACATTGCTTTGCATTTCTTCTGCTGCAGTCTGTAGGAACCTTTATACCAGAATTTGTCGTTTATGGAACGGGTACTGCCAGCCAAATGCCTACAAATTTGTTAAGGAAAGTGTGGTTCACAGATACAGAAACAGCTGTCCCGTCACGTGCGGAAAATGCAAAATAGGACAGAAGAAGCTGGACATTTCTTCCTTACGTAAGTAGACCATATCTCACACGAAATTATTTTTAATCTATTTTTCTCCATCAAGTATTTTCACTTGATATATTGGGCATTAAAACGACAGAATGCCATACTAAATTCCAATATTACTGGTAATTTTCTCAAACCAAATTAGATAGTTTAGCAACTGTTGTTTGATGGATATAATAGTGCAAATTTTTTTTCATTTGTTGCTCAATCAATAATTGATCAAAACACATTCGCAATTATCACTTACCGATTTTAGGTCATTTTCTCGATGCATTGAGTTACTATGGTAACACTAAAGCCCCCTTAAAACACTTTTACGTTCAGGTCTTCAAAAAAGGCGAGTTCCATCAAACCCTTTTTATCAGAAAAATGCTTGCTCTTTTGAGATATCATGATTCACGAAATTTTCGAACAGTCTGAATCGTAGGTTCAGAGCCACCTTAAATATTACAAAATCACAGCATAAAAACATCCATGCGACTAAGACAATGGTATTAGGGCCACAGTATCAAGAAGTTCGCGGATATCATTTCAACGTCCTGCATAAAGCCTTATAGGAAACTTAAGTCGATTTCTAATAGACTCTTTTTGTTTGCAGGGAGACTTTGACATACGTGAAACTTCGAATTCTTCAATACGTTAACAAAATATGTCCTCTACGTGTGCCACAGGCAAGAAAAGACGAAAAATCCTCAGGAAAAGGGGCTACCAACGTAAAATAATTTCTTGTCTCAATTTGAAATGAAAACCACTAAACATGCAGTAAATATTTGAAGCATCGAATTTTGCATTGCAAGCAGAAAGAACGTGTATAGTATAAGAGAAAAACAATATTATTTATCAGTTATTTATAAAACGTCTCTTAATGAAAAATAAAGTACGTCGCTCCGACTGTATCGTTGTATTTTTGAGGTATCAGTCTTAGATCCTAATCCCCTCTGAACAAAAGCAAAAAAATTGGAGGCCTCCTGATCACAGATTTGGCTACATACCCCTGAAAGAAAACGATATTTAGAACGAACGGAGGTTTATCGTCTCACGCCGATTAAAAACACCAACAGTAAACGTATGATTAAACGTCAATTATTACGAGTAAGCAAGTAGTCTCACAAGGGATTTATCACTTAAATTTTTCTTCTCCCTCATCAAAATCAAACAGACCAAATAAAAAATCAAAACTTTCGGAAAACAAAGGTGGTTTCTAGAAGCGTTCGAACCTTGCTCTATTCTTCAAAGTTTTGGCCTCGAAAACTAGCACCACCTTGTCGTTCATTGAATGAAAAATTAATCCATTTTTTGCCATTTAGTCTCTCACGCTTCCTCGCGGTTACATCTGATTTGCGTTCTCATTGGTTCCCTGATACGCGGGGGTTTTCCTGAGTGATCGATAAGATTTCTATGGTGTACATTTCATTTAAGTCTGGCATGCAGTCCAAAAGAACTTATATTATAATAGCTAATTATTCCGAACACGGAAAAACTTCATCATTCAAGACTATCATACTCAAGTCAGGCAAAGTAAATTGCTTGACCATTTTAATTTGTCATGTAAACACTGTTCATAAATACATTAAATACCAATGCGGTAAACAAATAATAAAGAGAATAACATCATTCATAAATAATAACAATAATAACAAATATAATAAATATAACGATATCAAAATGTACAGTCCTTGATAGCACTATCATTCCAATGATATGCTGATAAATAAAATATCTTATTGAAATGACTTTTCATCTCCTCTTACTGCCTCCAATCCGCCCTTTTCGCCCGTCGTCAACGACTTCGTAGACTTATCATATAATATCAGTTTCTTTCTGTTAAAAAAATTAAATAAGGACAAAGTTTTTTTTGGAATAGTTTGTACAGAACCATCCTCAAAATATTCATAACAAACAAGTCATGAGCATGAAGTGTTAAATTTGGAAATAGCTTTGGATCTGTAACGATCCGATTTAAGCCTAAAGTGGTTGTGCGTTCGGAGAGAAAATAAGGGGCAATTGTATCTGGCACAAAATCTCAGAGTGCGCAGTATGTGATGATCAGCTGGCCACATGGCAACGAGCGCAGGACACTACTTACGCAGCATTTCGAGAAGAGAAGGCCCAGGGATGCGACTGAAACGATGAGTGTACACTTATGCATAAATCAAGTATTTGTAATTTTCCCGTTGCAGCCTTAAAATTAGAAGCTAAAACATATGACAAGCTTCCCTTCAGACCTATTAAATCAAAACTTTGCAAGAAGCTTACACTCACTGTAAACAGAGAGATCCAACATCTTTTGTCCTATCCTGCATTTTCCACACGTCATGGGACATGTTTCTCTGTACTCATCGATGACATTTTTCTGGACATACTTATAAGCTTCGTCCTTGCAGTAATGACTCCATAATTTACAAAGCCTTTTAAAACCATGGCGGTCTCTGCAAGCTGCATAGTAGAATATACATAACATGTTAATGGACTGTGGCTAACATTTCTCTTTTCTTTTTTCTTCTTCTTATTTTTTTTAACAACAAAAGGTTTGGGAACGCAGTAACTGAGTAGGCTCTTTAAGAGCATTTTGATCCGAAACCGAGAAAATAGTTTTGTTAAGAATTGTTCAAAGTTAAAAAATATACATATACATAAGTATATATAAATGAATGTGGGGGTAGAGTCTACCTCAGCATAAAGTGCTCAATGCTGTGGTAGCAGAGCTAAGTATACATAAGTTAAAGAATTAAAGAAGACGCATCGATTCTCTGTGACTCTGAGTTTCGCGCCTAAGCGCGCGTCAGACAGAACTTTTTCGCTCGTCAGACAGAACTTTTCTATATATATCTTTTCTGTATATATAAATATATATATGTATATATATATATATCAGCCTTGTATAGTTGTGGAGAATTTAGATTAACCCTGTAATCCCTCTTTCTCTGGGCGAATGAAAGCGGTGGCATGTCTTCAAGGTTCAAAATTCTTGCTCACCTACGCATCCTTCGCCAACAGGTCCCTGAGCAGAGGTAAGATCCCAGCAACACCCATAGTGGGAATAAAGACATTCAGGCGGCGCTTGAGCCGCAGCGGCCTTGTGTTCTATTGAAGAGATACAAAATCCAAATCATCAATACGATTTTTCTATGTTAAATAGATTGCATGATCACAAAGATTGACGTAAAAAAAAGCAGCTGATAACCACGCAAGAAAGCCTGAGAAATTCCCTGGCTCATCTTGGGTTTACCGGCTATCATGTATCTCGCTCAGTGATATTGTAAGATCATTTTATTTGCTAACAAAAACACAGTGCTAATGGATACGATTCCCGTTAGATGGACAAAAATGATTTTCTTTTTCCGAATATATCAGAACGGAGTTCAATTCAGTTGGGACTCATTCGAGTGATAAGGAAAATCAAACAACCACGAAGCGGGAGTCCGATTTTGTTATAATACGAGTACGATTTTAGACAGAATTAGACTACACAAAATTCTGTTCCCAATTAATCAAAGTTGTGACAAAATTTGATAAACAGATACCTTCTGGTTGAACATATCCATAAACAAAAAAATAACAGTTGGCTTTTTCCCGCGCGGAGATGAACCCAATAGCCTACAAAAACAACGCGCGTAAATGACGCAGACGGTCCCACTTCACAGGCATGGCGCCGCATGGCGAGTCAACTGTTCTATTAGCTCTGAAATTGCATTTCTGATAACCAATCGGGATCGAGAATTTTTCATGGTCCAGTTAATTATTCATCATCAAAAAGTGGCAAATATAAGGACCTCATCTTCAGCGTACCAAAAAGGTTTTCCTTCACTTACCGCAAACACCGCAACTTTTGGGGCACATCTTACTTCCATGCTTATTGCAAGCGCTTTTCCTTGGATGCCTTGCAATTCGCTCTCTGCAGTAGCTTGGAAACTGATCCCTACATTCTGTTCGAAGAATTGATAAGACGAATTTACTTCATGCAGCCATGCGATGATTTCTTATGAGGAATATTGCTGTCAGTGATTAAACATGCGTTTTCCGAAAAATAACCAAAAGTCGTTACCGACAGTTTGTGAGCCGTAACTTGCATTACTCACTGTCTCACCTCGAAAATGGACATTGACCTCGAGAAAGAAAAGTTTGTCATTCTTGCTGTATGCGAACACCTGGCAAATTGCCGCAGTTTTAAAATGAAAACTACACGAGTGTATTACTCCGCAGTAATATAATCGAAATTGAAAAAAAAAATGACAAAAATGTGCCTACCAGGACAACCGTCGCCAGCATATGATTTCGCTTCCGTTTTTTTGTCCCAGCAACAGCCATATCTGCTGGCCTTAGTTGCACATCTTGGCGGGGGAACTATGAAGAAAGAGCACGATAAAAACATTTCAATTAAATTTGATCTACTGGTAGCCATGCACTTACGACGAGTTGCGTTTTTAACCAAAATTAGTGTGGAATGAACAATTAAAATTAATAGTAATCGACGTCTGGAGCTGCTGACTGCCCTTTTATTTTGCGTTATGAAATCCCGTGTTAAACTTCCTCTGATCTATGCATTTGGTTTGAATCCTTGGCTGCCTGCAGTTAGCTTTTTTTAGTTATCATTACTATAAAAGAAATCGGCTCAGTTTCATCCAGCCTTAGGAAGAGTAAAATACAGAAATATAGATAAAAGGAATGAATAAATATCTTACCGCAAAATTTACAAGTTAACGGGCAGCTAGTCTTCATCTCCGGCCATTTGCAGGAATCACGATATGTTTGGACAAAATGTTGACAAACTGGGGTTGTAATACTGTCTCGACATGCTGCGGGAGAAATGGATATTATGATGAATCGTCCGTATTGATTCATTGTTCAATGAGAAAGCGAGGTCTGAGCATTTCCTATAGTAATCTGTGTAAGGAGACTGAAGCAGGCTTTTCCCCTCTGAAGGACCAGATCATCTTCGACTCTGGCTGGTTATCGGTCTTCTTCGGCAAACTACAATGCGGCAGTTTTTCATCAAACAGTAAAAAAATTTATCCAATTTTCTCATTCATTTTAGTGATTTACTCAGTCATTTATTTATTTTTTGTGCTCTTCGCTACTTTAGGCGATGGACAAAGCATTAAGGATTTTTCCTTCCGAAACACTTTCTGCTGCACTAGATATTTTCACTGAAAAATAGTTAGTTGAGCTTTTCCATTCCGGTTATAGGCAGAAGAAGTTTTTTTCCTGACTACCAGTGAACAAATCGGTTGCATGGTTCATACTTTTTTTGTAACACCAACAGTTTTTTTACATCAGTCAAGGCAATGTAAAAGAAAAAGAAAACTAACATACATGTACACAGACGGTACTACTTACTTTTCGCCATTGAGGACATTGTAAACGAGAGAATGGCAAAAACAACATTTACCAAAGGCGTACTCATCTTCGAGCTTCACTTCTGTACCACCGCTTGTAGCTTCAAATCTTTCGAGTTTCAGTGATCTTGGTCTTCGTCGAATTGAACTGATTTTACAAATTGACGACGCTCTTATATTGACGGAGGGGCCGACATTGCTCTGCCGAGCCGAAACTGATACTCCGCCGACGCTCGGGGGCGGCGACGATGATGTCGTCGGAAATGCGGACGTGGGATCGTTTATTGCTACGACCGCCCGACGTCCTCCGAAAATTTTTTGATTGAATCAAAAAATTTGATCGAGCTAGTTAATAAGTCGAGAAGCAGTTACACAACGACGAAAGTTAAGATATTAACAACAGAGAGGACTCCGAGTTTCGTTACAATGTCACGGAAATTTTAACCCATCGCGCGAGATGCAGCATCTTCTGTAAAAACTTATGTTGCTCTGAGTCCCAAACGTTTTCGTATTGTGTGGCAAGGAAATACTTCAAGTAGAGTCATCAACTTCTATTTCCGAGTGAAACGATTTTCTATGTTTAGATACAACGAAAAGGAAACAGATTTTGATTTACACCTACTTACCATAATTGTCACTGACTCACTGACCCAAGAAGATTCTCGTAACCTTTGTCTCGTATTTCATAACTCCGAAAAAAAAAAAAAGATTAACAACGCGTAACATAAATTCCATTTGAAGTCCAGACTGTTCTAAATTCACATGTAAGCTAAATTACCTGTTACTATCTTGTCGCGTTTTCTACTCAACCTTACGGTGCACTGTTGCGCGGTGGGAACTTTTTCGAGGAGTAAAATTCCTCATTTAGCTTAGTTGTCATTGCAGTGTTGATTATTTTATTCGATGCATAGCGAAACACCCTCGCGAGTACGAAACAATTTTGGCCGTTTCCTCCCTTGGGTTTCCTCCTCTTTCTCTCTTTTTTTGAAATCTTTACTCCCCTCTCTTTTTTTAGGGTAAAGAATTGTCACCCCTTTGGCGCTTGCTGTTATCTCGCTTCCCAATATCCCGTTTGTTTCCCTACTTCCGGTTACCTCATTTTACGAATGTGTGAAAAATTCACGTACTCTTTCCCCGTCCAACTGGCGGGGGTGGGAGCTTGAGGTGGGATGCACCGACCCCGTCTCCAACTATGGTTGGATGCTGCGCATGCTTAAGTAAGAACACACGGTCCTTTACGCCAGCGGTAGAAAGGAGAACGAAATTTGCTATTGTGTAAATGAACTAAAAAACAAATAGAAAGTGTACTTACGGTCCAGAAAGAAATGCCGAGGGTTTATCCAGCGTGCCGTTCAGTCCAACCTTCCGGTCAAGTTTGGAAGCGAGATATGAAGGGATATACAATTGCCTTTCACCCAGCTGTTCCACTGTTTAAGCTTCCCACGCGCAGTGGGCCAGTTGGTATAAATTGCATTGGACTTAAAGCTAGCTAGTTATACCATCTTCCTTTAAGTGAATTGCTGCCTAGAGGATATGAAAAAAGAACAACGGCAAGCTGTAGAAGCGATTGTGTCATATTCCAGAGAAGTCATCCAGCTTGTACTTGTGATGTAACAGCTGATGATTGTAAAGCTAACATACAACATATATAAATTAGTTAGAGAACTTTTCTGATGTTTCCATAGTTTACTTAACTTCTTTAACTCCCAGGATCTGATTGTTAATTCTCCCCTTTAGCTGCTACACATTTTCCCATAAATTTATTATGAGAATTTGGTTTTCAATCAAGATAAAGACTTTTACCTGATAAGTTTGAATATTCTCATTACCTGTTTGCTGGATAACACATGGAAATTATGGAGAGAAGTTACATGTTAATCACTTGTGGGAGTTAAAGTGTTAACAATTAACCCCTCACCCCAAAGATCTCCACAGTAATTTTCTTTTCTATCTGTCATACAATTTTTATGATTTTGGTTTGGGGAATTTATTATTAGATCAACTTAAAATCCCCAAATTCATATTTTCTTTATTCTCAAGAACTTGTGTGTTTGATATTGTTTTGATATTTGAAGGAGAAATTCTGTCCTGGTCACTCATTGGAATTAACCCTTTAACTCCTAGAAGTGATAACTTCTTCTTATAATATCCATATATTATCCAGCACACAGGTAATGAGAATACTCAAATTTATCAGGTAGAAGTTGCTGTCTTGATCTACACATAACACCAAATTCTTGTTACTAATTTACAAGGAAATGTGTAGCAGGTGGAAGAGAGAATTTAACATCAGATCTTGGATGTTAAAGGTTTTAAGGGTAAAAACATGTTAAATTAGTTTCTTTTGATGCTGCTTTAATTGATATCTTCCTGTTTGAAATGATAGTGTTTTGAACCTTTGAACTGCACTTTCATGTTATTTTAGTTGAGAATAAAGTTGTTTAACAAATATTGTAATATTAACTTATTCCAAAATAACTTAAGGATGGGGAAAGGAAAATTTTACTTAATGGTAAAATTTTGTAACCTTTTAAAACTATTTTTTGACCCTGAGTTTTCAGAAAGCACATGTATATAAATCAAAGTAATCCTTGTATTTACTTAATGTGTATCATATGTGAATATGCAGAATGGTGTTTTGTGTTTAAGATACTAACAGCCCTTTGTATACACCTCAGAAATTTAGATTTACATTACAGATTTAAAACTTATGATAAACAATATGTACCATGTGAACAGTTTGTAAACTTTCTCTCATAGGTAGGCCATTCTGGTTATCAAGCTCACACAATTAGGCCCTTGGAACAAATTTACATGTTTATAGCAATAATGTTACATGCACGGAAGGTTTGAAGTGTTGCACCTGTTGAGGTGTTCCTTTTCTATCGTGGAATTTGATGTTGAAATCTCCACACCCAGCTTTTCAACATCACACTCAGGCAAAACATACTCATCAAGAAAGGTTTCAGTGGTCCTGGTGACAAACTCAGCTTTCTTTTCCTAGGAGGAATGTTTGGGTGGAACTTTGATGTTTGTGAGTTGCCTATAAATGCTATTAATACCAGCCTGTTTCGTAAAATCTACACCAAAATATTCCTTTGGGGCCTCTCCCATGAATTCTGCAACAGCTTTATAGTTTTTCTCTACAGGGCAATATAACTTCTTTTAAACTTATTTTTTGGCATAGCTGGTTGAGAGAGAGCCTACATCTCTTGCTCTACACTGCCGTTTGTAATGTATGGTTACTACCTAGCATACTACAAAAGGTGCATAAATTAAAATATATGACAGTCTCATGTCAGTTCTGGGTAAAAATTTCATTACTTTGTCACTATTCTGTTGAAAATTTTCAATCTTTGTCAATTGTTGGTAAATCTTAGTCAATGATTGAAAATGCAAGTTAATTATTCTCATTGGTTAGGTAATTTGTGGGCTTGAGCACAGGACACAGTTCTGGAAATGAGGCTACACTCCTTAACCTGGCCTTAAAATGACTTTGATGAAAGGAAGTTCTCTAATTAACTGAATCTTAAATTTAAAATGGCTACTTCCTAGGCTCTTTTTTTTCTGAAATCTTATGTGGATTGCCTCTTTCACCCTGGGTCTTGGAGAGTCAGATATCCCTGTCCTGTTCCTTGACAAAAGACTTCACCCTTATAACATCAACAGGAACAGTGAAATTGAAATCCCAGAAGCCAGTGGATGCTGATGATCAAAAATGCAACAGCAGGAGAGCCTTGCATTGATGGACCACAGAGGGAATCTGATCTGAAGATGTACCAATGCAGCTATGGAATTCCATCCATTAAAAACTGAGCACTACAGCATGTAGGTGGCATGTTCTGGGTGAATGTGCATTTCAGGCAGCTGCACTGCATCTATGGAATGAGCTACCATTGCAATTACGCAATATTGGATCTGTAGACATTTTTAAGAATTCAATCAAGACTTTTCTTTTCAGGCAATTCTTCAATGGTGGTTAAGTTATGAATTGTATATAGCCAAGTTAACTGTAATATGTAATTATTTTTTGAATTAGTTGAGATTTTAATATTTAGAGACACTAATTGTAAAGTGCTATTGATCTGTCATTGTAAATAGCACTCTATAAGAAATAAATTATTATTATTATTATTATTATTATTATTATTATTATTGTTCTCAATCAACCTCATCGCCTGAAGAAGACTAGCAGTTCACAGTGCAAACATTGTGATCCACATCCAAAGTGACCACATTGTGAGACAAACAATTACATTTCTCCTTTGATAGCATTAACTTGTCACTAAAATCTGCATTTGTTTGCATGCGCTGGTCAGTTAACCCCATCCAGGCCCTCATATACAGACTATAGCTACAGTATATTTCATTCCCTCATTCATTTGGCCAGTTGGTCAGTTGGTTGCTCAGTCAGGCAGGCAGTCATTCATTCTTTTTCCCAGTCATTCCTTTCAGTTGTTCCAGATGAGCCCACGACATATCAGCGGCATCTTGTATGAGTATCCGCAGTTTACAATGTGACTTCCGCTTATTCTTGTTAAAGCGTATTTTACAGTTTACTCATGGAATAGGAAGTGCGTTTGAGCCAGTTTCTGGCAGATTTGAACAGAAAAGCGGGTCTTTTGTTGGAGTGTAATGACATTTTCATCGATGGCGCTGTTAACGAAATGTTTGGCTGGTTCGTAAGTTGTCGACCTGGTTTCGGTCGATCTGATTAATTGACAACACCCCTAGGGCAATACATATCATCGTCCCAAACCAGATGAGCCCATGACACGTCAGCGGAATCGTAGCGAGAGTCTTCTATTTTTCTGCTCGTTTCCAGCGAATCAAGAGACCGTGACCTGTGTGACTGACGATAAAGCGTCGTATTCTTCAATATTTTATTGCGAAAGTATTCTTCCCATAACTTGTACAAACTAATTTCTGTCTAGATCACATATTTAAGAAAAAATCTAGCCTGTTATAAAGGCGTTAAAAGGAGGATCGACATTTAAATATGACCGGCCTAATAGTTTCGGTCGATGTTATCCTCTGACCTCGCTATCATCGACCAAAAGCAGATTCAGGTCAAAGATCATTTGCATAACTTTGCACTGTAAAATCTTTCGATTGGAACAAACATACAGTTCTTTTCTGTTTGTAATAAATTATCTTTACGTTTTATTTGACCATGATCTCTTGGTTTTTGTTCAACATCTTATTTGCTACTAATAAATATATTTGCCAAGGGGTGGTCCAGTTAATATTTAACACTCATGCATTTATGTTTTGCGGCTCGCGGGTAAATATTGGCGGGAAATCTAAATGTTTGGTAGAAGAACAAACATGGCTGATAACAGTACACCTTGGGCTTCAAGATGGACCGTACAGTTTGACCCTTATTCCGGGTATGTTAACGATGAAAGCAGCGCTGACGAACTCATAAAACAGTACGAGATAGCTACGACGACACGCTTCACTGTATTTAAACAAACAGGAGGATTTTCGAATTGCAGTAGGCTGGGTAAGTAAGCTCACATGTAAAGATTTACAAAATAAACCATACTGACAGTAAAGTAAAGTGAAGTATAACTTTATTTAGACACTATAGGTATTTAAAGCCAGGGGCGTGTGAGATCGTGTTATTAACATGAAATATAGATAAATCAAAATAAAAAAAGGGATTTAACTTTTTTCCAATAATTATTGATATCTTAAGAATACATGTACACATCATTATTCTTCGGTTTACCCTGGTCAGTTAGACTTTCAAAATTAACATGTAATTAAAATTCAACTTAGCTTCAAGTGTCAATTTACTGTGAGCCTGCAGCAAGAGTTGGCAAGAAATGCTTAATTAATTAAGATCAAGCTTAAAGTGTCAAAACCCTACTCAGTGCTATTGACACACAGCTGCCAGCATCCCCATCCATTACACCAGTCCTTGGGCTACATCTGGGTGGGGCAGGCTTGATTTTCAGGCCCTCCATTTTAAGCACCCATGTGTACATATGTACGTATGTGTTTGTGTACATGTATCGTATTGCTAACTTAGCTTGGTTCCTCTTCTCACATAAAAGAAAATGCAGATAAAAATGCTAAATGAACCACTTATTCAATATTCAGGCTATTGTTCTTTCTCATTACTCATTCTCGTGACTGAGATATTTTTCTTTTGTTAACAGATGAAATAAACTCTCACATAAATCGATCTCGAGTTCAATCTCAAGACAATGTAAAAAAAGGATGCGCAAGGTAAGAATTACACTATAGTCCAAGTCTTTTGAAGTACCTTCCGCAGTTCCTTTGGTCTTCTTCCAAAATATCTCACCTTTTTCGAAACGAATAAAACCGACACGTTTTCGGCAGCCACCGAAAGCAATGCCCAAAGGAATAAACCGAGCCTTCGAGGTAAAAAATCCAGCGGTGTCACCCATTTCAGAAAGTCACATTTAATCCGCTATGGAGTTGTAATGAAATGCTAAGAACCACCGTTTACAATGGGCTGACTCACAGGAGATGACAGGATGCAGACTAAGTTTTGATGGCATCCCATTCCAAAATAAAGTTTTAGAATGCCAAAATGGGCCAGACAGAAATAAGGCACTCAAAAGGAAGGAGGCTCAAAAGAGACTACAAAAAGATGTAAGCATGCATAATAATTAACTAAATAAGAATGTAAACAAGATGATATCATATGTAGGGCATTACATAGTTATTGATTTACCTTCACCTATTTGCTCTTAAGCTAACAAGGTGGTAAGTCCCAACTGATTTTTCTAAGCAAGTTGGTGGGCACTCACCTCTCCCTCAGGGCTAATAGCAGGCAATAATGTTTTCTTTTTTACCACTTGCAAGTAAAAGGACATATCACATTTTATTTGTTAAAATAAGCAAAGTCACAAAAAAGGACCACTGTGACTGCAGTTTACAAGGTAGGAATCAAGTACTATTTTAAAGGATACTTTTCATTACTTCTAAGTTTATTGATAACTTGACTATTCCCATATGACTGCTCTATCTAACAATCCAATAAATCTATTTGGTTTCAGAAGGAGAATGCTGATCACTGCTATAACAACACCAAACAGCGCTTTAAAGTACAGGATACGAAGAAATGTGACTGTCCAGCAAAGATCCACCTAAGGAAAATAATCAAGTATCCTGAAAATAAGGTCAGTTTATTTTAATTATTGAATAAGGGTTCAGGGGGCACTACCATTAACATGAATGATCACTAGCCTAATAAAGGGTGCTTAATCCTAATGGGCCTTGTGTTACATGTAGGTGAAGTGGACATATGATAAGACAACCTGGACATTTCGTTGTGCAGAATTGAAACAAATTTACCTGTAATGGAAACAGAGTGAATATTTTAGAAACCAATTTTTCAAATATTATTTTAATTAAAACATTGTATCGTTAGATTTCAGAGAACACAAAGAGTAGAAGGGAGACAATGTCAAAATTTCTGAGAACATCCCTAGAGTCAGAAAAGAAGCAAACAATAGCTACAGAGGAGCGTATTTACATATTACTTCCTAAACCTACGGATCACTTATTTCACCCCATGGGGAGGGTAAGTACTTGGCCATCAATTAAATTTTTTTTGGAATCAGGAAACTGAAGTTTGGTGGGGAATTGAAGGTGACTTAACTTCACACAGATCATCAGTCTACTGTAGACTGTGCTGCTTCCACTGTCATGTCGAATATATATAAAGAATGAATAAAGATTATACATCACAACAAAAGACCAATAAAATGTACTACATGTAGAGCTTCTTTTAGCTACACTGGCACTCATTCCTCAAACTCAATGTCAAGACTATAATATCACAATTTTATCGGAGAGGGATTTCCACTGGCACTGTTTTAATGGAATGCTGTCATGGACTTTTTAAATGGATTTTCTTAAAAAATACAGTGTTCAGTACTCTGTAATTATAACATTCTGTAACTATTACTGAAAAGCCCTACCAGAGGACTGCCGATAGTAATGTTGGTATAATTTGCATTATTATTCATTCAAAATATTTCCCTGTTTCTGAAAGGTTAAAACCACTCACATATTTCATCATAACCAGCTGCTGTTGACCAAATTTGGAAAAAATTTTCTCATATTGAACCAATGACATCAAAAGCAGCTGGCTCCAGGTTATTGAACCATTGACCAAGAAAACCTGGGGATGAGGTTGTGTAATTTTTTAAATGAATAAATAATAAAGCAATTATTCTTTCTTTCTTGTTGTGTAATCAGACTGCTGGGCTACTTCAGCCTATTGATGAGACACTGGTTAAAAAAATTCATGAGCTTGTTGGAAGTGGTGTTAATTGTGTTTCTGAAATGCAACGGCACCTGCATCATTATGTAAAGAAGGAACTTTTCACAGGCCAACAGCCTCCAGATCTAACCAACAGACGGTTCTTCCCAACAACCATGGATGTCAGGAACCACATGTATTGTGCCACAGTGGTGTGCAGACATTCACAAATTGATCAAGAAAACCTTGACTTAAAAATCAAGAAGTGGAAAGAAGAAAGCCCAGATGATAATTTCTTTTTCAGGCCTTACTGCCTAACAAGTGATAGTGAGTCCTATCAACAACCACAGTCACTGAAGGAAGAAGACAGCACTGATGTAATTAAAATAAGTATAGGTGATCCATTTTAAAGAAGACAACATGGCTGTGTGATTCTGAGATACATGCTGGTCAGATCCTCCTAAAACAAAAATTCCCTCTTGTAGATGGTCTAAGGGACCCTGTTATTGTGGGTGCATTAGTCACTCCAGCCATTAGTGAGTTTGTACAGATCATAAACACTGGCTCACACTGGGTTTGCCTGAGCACAATAGCTACTAGTCCTGGAACTGTCAAGGTGTATGACAGCTTATATCAAAATGTAAGCGCGGTTGCCATTGATCATTCATGTCGCATGCTATTGTATACTGGTTCTACAGTCACTTTTTGTAATGAAAGAGTGCAAAAGCAAACAAATTCAAATGACTGTGGCTTGTTTGCACTGGCATTTGCTACAGATTTATGCCATGGCCTAGACCCCACAGCGCAGTCATATGACCAAGACAAAATGCGCAAACACTACATCAACTGCCTGGACTTGCATGATATGGTTCCTTTCCCAAGAACGTCAAGACGGGTACCATATCATGCAATCACCAAAAGAAAAGCAGTGACAATCTAAAAGTCTATATGTGGCTATGGTCTGAATGATTTGTAATTCAAAATTATGAATGAATTCAAAATTATGAAAACTATGAATTTCTCCATCAGTTTTCTGCGTAACTCAGTTTTCTGCGTAACTTATTTTTCCTTGTTCTTGAGTTTGTGGTGCTTTAATATCATGATGAAAATTGCCTGTAAGAATTTCATGGATGATACTTATAGACCCACATTTAATCCATAGGTTATATTCTACAAGTTCAAATTGAAATACTTAACACAATCATCTTAAAATTGTGAAATATGTACATCAATTTATTTAATACAAGTTTGAAGGCTTATCATGTGATAAACTTCTGATTAAGTACCTCTTCAGAAATTTCTGTACATATAAGTTTAACACAAATGCAATTAAAATTAATACTTATCTTTCTCGAGTATTTTGATGTCATTGTTCTTCTGCTCACTTGGCAGCTATGAGGCTTAGGTCGATGGTGTGTAGGATTTTCAAGAGGTGTTGCCAATCAATCAGATCGACCGAAACCAGGTTGACAACTTACGAACCAGCCAAACATTTCGTTAACAGCGCCATCAAAGTATCATTACAGTCCAACAAAGGACCTGTTTTTCTGTTCAAATCTGGCAGAAACTGGCTCAGACGCACTACGCGAACTTCCTGACACTCGAGTACACTGTGAGTACGCGTCAACAAGAAAAAGCGGAAGTCACATTGTAAACTGCGGATACTCATACAAGATGACGCTGGTATGTCGTGGGCTCATCTGGTTTAGGACGATGTTATATAGTGCTTTCCCATTCCCATTCTACATGTACAAAGCATGCGAAGACTCAAGAGAAAACTCGTGCTGATAATTTTAATCTGTGTATATTTTGCAATTTTTATTAACGTCGCTGTGGATCCACTGTATTTGCAATGGATCCATCGCTACGCCTTCGGACATGAAATTTTACGAGGAGATGTTGTGAACAAGCAAGCTGAACTCTCAAGGCGTATACATTGCAAAGAGAAACTAGCAATCCCTGGCGAAATGTGTCCCAAACTTTTTTCGGAGATGTCCTCCTGCGACCTAACTGAGGATGGATTTTCCTGTCCTGACATCCGACGTAAAGGGAATACTACGCTGCGACAGGCCCAATTGGTACTAACAAGAATATTACGAGTATTCGACCTCATTTCACGCAAGCACAACATGCCATACTGGGTGCGATCCGGATCCCTTATAGGAGCCATAAGGCACAATGGGTTTATTCCATGGGATGATGATATAGATATAGAGATACCACTCATATATTACGTCGACTTCTTTGAAAAATTCTCCAGAGAACTACCGGATGATATGTTCTTCCAAACCACCAGGACAGACGTGAACTACACGTACCACGACCGACTGCCGAAGAGTATTTTTAACATTTGGTCGGTCAGTGATCAACGAGTGGGATTGCATCATCACCCTAGGCTTCCCAAAGTCAGAGATCGATCTAGCTGCTACAAATTTTGTCTTAAAAGAGGATGCGCTTATCACGACGGTCTGCAGCTCGATATCTTCGTGGTCGATTCAATTCCTTGGGGAATATTTCCGTTGAGGGAAATGACCTTTGAGGGATTCAACATTCTTGTTCCAAACAACTGGAAAAGTATGATAGCTGCTGAGTATCCACAGTTTATGGACTTACCTGAAAAGGAGTTGAGGCTCCCGAAAAATATGGACATTGATCCCGTGCACGGGTGCGAGGAGCTGTCAAAGAAGTAGGTCAGTGCGTAGATCCGAGCGTTTGCGCGCTTTCTGATCGGTTAACATCTATTGTTTATTTGCTTGTGTACCCATTTTATTTGCTTGTGAATCCACAGAAATCTGAA